ACTGAATAACTTGAGAAAAGTATTTACAGAAATAGCTTTTACACATATATCTTCAACTAATAGCCAATACATTATAGACGTTAATATATTTAAAAACATTAATGGTCGTCATAAAAAATTTATTTATACTTGAGTTTGGGTACATGTAATGGCGTCAATGGTGATACTATTATTTTCTATTCTTTGGCTTATTCCTATTTCTTCAATATTGTCATTGATAATAAGAAAAAATTCGTTCGTCGTAGTTTTCAAAATGCAATCAATGTGGTTGTAAGCATTGGATTGCGTCACTTCATATTGTAACTAGTTACAGCTTTTCTAGGTTCGGCAGAAATGGAGCGTGTTCATAGACAAGCCCCGAAGAAATAATAATCATATTCACAAGTGTATGAGTTCACATTTTTTGTATATGATTCAACAATTCAATCGGAGTTTTTAATAAATATTGTTGTCATTTTTACTGGCCACAAAATTCAGGTGCGGTGCTAAAAAGGTGTGGACAAAATCACCACAGAAATCAACATGATGTGTGTTGTTCTAAGTCTTTACCAGGAATGAAGATAATTAAAAAGCGAAACCTGATTAAAATAAAGACCATTGAATATTTTTGAATATCCTTCTACAAATCACACAGTGATAATCATTTACGCTTCCTTTCTAAATTGAGAAAATGAATTTCGCTCTGACCTATCTGATCTTTTTGTGATGAAAAAAGACGAAAGTGTTACACTGAAGATCTTCCGAAACGACTGGATGAAAAAAAAAATTGGTCAAAATGCCCGAAAAGCTGTAACAGCCAGCCTCCAAATGACAGATTCAGAATTCGGTACTTAAGACATGGATTTTCATAAATCAGAAAACACTGAGAAAATATCAAGGTCATTGTCCTTTCATTAAACCTAACATTTTTATGACAAAGTGAAGAAAAATTAGTATCTCAAAGCTTTCAAAACTATTCATTTTTTGCAGTGTTTGTTGTGGTATGTTTAAAATAACATTTGTTTCGCTATTTTGAAGTGAGTATATGCAAATTACCCACTCTGATTTTTTATTATTGGATATGTTTTAGTTATAGTCATTCGCAATTAAGATTTTCAGAGGCGTAATGTTCTAACACAAATATTATACATTTTCGATAGGTAGAACGGCACTCCTCCAAAGCATACACCCAAAATAAAGAATTAAAATAACTTTTATTAAAAGATTCTGCTGAATGCAAACCATAAAACACTTCAAAATTTTCACGGTGGATTTATGGAATACGGTACCTGCGAAAATGTTAAGTACGTTCGACAACAAAAACATTTTACCAACCAAGGCGGTGGTTTTACGTAAGGTTGTGCATTCACAAGAGAATAGCGTTATGGCGACTATGCTGTTCTCATTTCCATTGAGGGTGATAAGGATCAGATAAAGTTAGGTTCCACATGACGGTTGGCGGATGTCGTGAAATGACCTCATGATCTCAGGGTATATTTTGATCTACTAATTGCGATGAAAAACCTTTTAAATATGGGTGAGTACTAAAACAGCGTTAGTATAAATTAAACCGATAAGATAAAAATCTAAGCTGATAATAGGTAACGATTTCGTATTTACTTTCCTTTCCATACCATGCTCAGCGACTACAAATATCACATCGAAAAGTTTAAATAGTTTTTATAGTGATAGTTTTTATAGTCATAAAAAATTCCACTCAGCCTGAAAAAAATTACTTTTAACATTAAAGTTAAAAAAAAAGATATAACACCAATTCAAATATCACCAATTTAAAAATAATATATTGACGTAGTCGGTCTGTCTTTAGTTGGCAGTGTTTCATGATGATCAATTCTGAATGGAGCTTTCGATATCGACAGACGGACTTCGAACATCGATTATAGAAATAATTTGAAGACCTACAAAGGTATAATTCAATTTCACAAACATTAAAACCTCTTCTTTAAAAAAACATTCTCATTTTTCAAAAGGGTTATAAATTACGGGTATAAAGCGCAATTAGCGTTTTGGGTTGAATTTAAACTTCAGTGGACTTTGATTTCTTGGACTTGAAAATAAGAGTAGAAAAAAAAAAAAAAAAAAAAAATTTTCTCATTTGAATGCACTACACTACTTGTACAATCACCGGGTGAGAGGTCGTGATTGGTTATAAAATTAAGTATGTTTTTAAGCCAAACCCGACCGCGCTCTTACTCCATAGTGACACTTTGTGTCCCATCACTAATTAATTAATAACTCGCTGATTATACGACATAATTCATCCAAAATCAATAGGCTTCTGGTACGACATATGATGAATGCACATGCAAAATCTGGAGCAGATTCAATCTCGCTTTCGTGAGATATCGTGTGCATCTAACAGATAGACAAACAAACAGACAGACAAATACCTGACAGACAAACAAACACACATACTTACCGATTAAAATCGATAAGTAACAACTAGCAAGATATATGTTTCCAACCGTGCATGATTTGTAATGGAATTTTCCATGCTATACAAATAAATTATTGGCATGTTAGAAATATAATTTATTAATGTCGAGAAAACTCAAATATCTCATTGATTTGAAAGTAAAAATAAATTAAATTGCGGTATTTGTATATTTATGTATTTGAGTGAAATAAATGGTTTACTTTTTGGAATATGCTAGAAGACAATTGTTCCAAAAAGTTAAAAATTACTTTCCCCGACTGAGTAAATGTATTCACATTGCCCGTGCGAGTAAGAAACTAGAGCTACAAATAAATCCAAGAGATCGCGGAAAATTATGTTAATGTTACTTGAGTATACTTGAAAAATGATTTTCGAAAATATATGTTACTGAGATATCTAAGATAACATGTGAAAATCAGTACTGAAACCTGTGGAAGTGAAACTGTGCCAGGCGACGTTAAATGAATTACGGTAAGATGACGCCGTTCGTCCCCTCTCGTACGTGAACCAAAATATTTGGAGAGATTGTTAAAAACTATTATTCCCTTATTCGTCAGTGACATGAAGAACATACCGCAACTGCCAACTCATCAATTGACTAATTCAGTTATTTATTTATCTGCTCTTAACATCGGAAGCAATCGATTTGCTCTCATTTCGCACTACTTAGTAACCTGTAAATATTCTCGTGGTTCATTGTTTACATTAAAATAGCGTCAAGGATTTCACAATCGCGTATGACGTGTAACACTGCGAGTTTTGCGTCCATATTGGTCCACACAGAAAAATATTTGACAGAAATTGAAGCCGAATACCACGCCTCACTGGAAGTGATTTTCTCTCGCAGACTCAAGGTTATGGTCGTGAATTATTATACTCGCCAGTAAAAATATCTAAAAATATTCTCCTTCCTCTATAGTTGGTATAGTTGGTTGTTGACGCAAGAAACCGCGCAAGGGGAATGTAACATATAGTGGTAGCAATGCCTGCGATAATCCACAAAAAGCCATGAGAATTGTTGAAGTCACCGACACATTTGACCCGAATCTTTTCCTTTTTTTCGGAATTCGGATTTTTTGGAAAAACACTAGTCATGATGATACATTTTACTACTATATTTGTAATCGAAATAACTCCAACCCTAATGTAAATTCGCAACAGATGAAAGTTGTGCTTGTTTTACTCCGTCGAGGATATCGATGTGGCCCAACAGACCAAATACCCCATCTAATTATTAATCTTGACGAAGTTAATTTTTTAATAAGTAAATATTAAGTATAACCTGCCTAAATGTAAAATAAATAGAAGCCAATTTCGAGCACATTCATATGTAAATATATACGCCTTGTGATGATGCTGAATTACTGTCTTCACCAAAGGACACATCTGTGCTTAACGTTGTATGATAATTTTTTCAATGAAATTTTTGAATGAAAATTCAAGGAAGGGCAGTGTATGCAAGAAAATAATGCTTGAGTCGCGCATTTTACCAAGAACGCGAAATTTATTGGTATAAGTCTTATTTTTGTGTAAAAGTGTTTGTTAATTTATAACTGATTACTCTGACAAAATACCGAATCGGTGATGACATATGATGACATGTCGAGTTTTGTAAACTTGTTGATCAAAACATGAAGCCAAGTAAAATCAAAATTCTACAAGCGAGAATCTGCATCATATGCCGCATAATTGTTATCGACGCCTCGGCAATGCGCAAAAATTTGAAAGCTTACCAAAAAGAAGAAAAAGGTAATCCACGTGATGTAGCGCAAATAGTGGTTGCATCGAACAAAACACAAAAAAAGCGTTGACTCGATTTTTAATCAGATCAATTATCGACATCTGCTGTTACTTTATATGCTAGTCTACGGTAACAGGATTACTGTTTCATATGTTTTGTTTCCAGCTATCTCAACCTAATTCAAGCTACATTTTAGGCGTGAAGTCAATTCGGTATCAATTTTACTTTGAAATACAGATGTGTATATACACAAAAAGAGACATACAGGTAAAAACCCATATACGCAAAACGGAAATTCGGTAGTTTATATACTAATTTAGCATCAACACATGTAAGTGCACAAAAACATGCTTATCAATTTAATCTAGCACGTTCTACGATGTAAGATCTTTATCTTGCGATATTTAATTCCATCATTTCCAAAATGGTCAACATGTCTGTTGACATCTGAAAGTTTACTTACTTATCTTGATGAGCTTGCATTATTGGGGAACCTATTTGGTCCTTTTTAATTAAAAAATATTCCACAGAACGAGGGTATGAATGTGCGTTTGTCATCATTTGACTCATTTGTTTAAGTGCCCAGCCCACGCTCTTCAAATTCACACGAAATATTGGGTATATATATTTCTCTACCAGCGAGACATATTGCGAAATTGTTTGGCCTAGATAACATGTCAACCGAATCGCAAGCAATTTTACCAACATTGTCACTTATTAATATCTAGAATTTAACTGCTTTACGCGTCGTTCTAGATTATTTTTAGCGATGACAATAAGAGCGTACTCATTCCGCTCCGCAGAAAAAAATGTCGTTACCGAAAATTAATATTTAAACGACCGATTCGATGAATGCGACATCATAATCTCCAAGTGCAAGATAATAGCCAGGAATCAACATTTGATTCCTTGTCAAGGCCACACAAGTTTATATCAATCTCAAGAAAAAATATCAAATCGGAAACGAAATATCTTGAGACTTCGGTGAGTTTGTTTATTTCTGTTGGACGATTAGCGATGAAACAATGTTCGCCGAGCTAAAAAAAAAAAGAAGTTTCAATTCTTCATTTATTTATAAGCTTGTCGGGAAAAAAAGTTATATGTTGGGCTGATATAAAACTTAGAAAGCAACATCTGTTAAGCCTGTTATCTTTTTTGCCGCTGTGGTAACTCGCCTAAATTTTGAAATGCGAAATTATAATTTTAATCACGGAAGTATAAAGTGAATGTTGTAGAAAGGACTTTAGTTAAATTTAAATAGTCTGAATACAAAGAAGTTTGAATGGTAGAATAAAAGTATTTTATTAAAAAAAAATGAAATGCGACATATATGATATGTACGCGAATACAATATATATTTTTATTACCTCAATAAATTAATACCCCATGTTTGCATGTTTGTTTTACAGAATCTAAATCCTTTCTACAAAACACGTAAACTACAAACAAGATGAAAACAATTATTTTTTGCGTATTCGTTATCTTCGTCGTTTTTGTGGAGACTGTTTACACACGCTCTATCGCGAAAAGGTAAGATTACTTTTAATCAAAAATCATGAAGCAAATAGCACACAATTATAACTTATTTACGAACGACATTAATAATTATATGACAAATAATATAAAAAATATCCTGTTTATTTCAGATCTCATAAAACGCCCCACATCGATGGAATGAATGAGAAACACGAAGAAAGACCCATGTTCCTGTCTCGTCGTCGTCGCCATGCCGATGGCACAATGACCGATAGACTCGGAAAACTTTTAGGAAGACAGGGTGCTAAAGATGTCGTTAACTTAGTGAAGGGGTGAGTTTGAGCTTATACATACATACGTACATACACAAATAATACATATTGTAACAAGCAAAACGATACAAGTATTCCAGTACTTTGCAGTGCACATTGATAAACGAGAACTACATGGGTAAATTGGTAAACTTTCACGCTCATGCCAGGAAGATTAATGTACAAACCGCCACGAGCCAGATTTAATTGCGCGTTAGTTATTTTTTGTATTGGCGATGGATGAATTGGAAATTTCGAGAGTTATCTTTTCTCTATTACAGCAAAACAATGAAAAAAAAAAAACTAATATAAGTAAATCGTAATTTTTTTTATTAACAGAAAAGATGCTTCTTCAAATTCACCTCTAACAAAGTGTATTTCACGACGTTTGCGTAACAGAAAGAAGGTCACAAACAGATTTTACAAAAGAGTGATGATGTCCTGTGTGCGACATGTATTCAAGTGAAAATATTGTCGATAAACTAATGCAAACAACGTGAAAGTGGTACGATGGAACCTGGTGAATCTTCAATCACATTCCACCGTTAGAGGTTTTCAACTGTGTAACTGACTCAAATATGCAAATACGGATTTTAAGCTTATGACTGCTCAACATTCACCGGCTATATTTTTTAAAGAATACTCTTATCGTGATAAACCAAATGTAATTGGAACACATGTAATGGCTTCCATATCGACTATACACACGAGAGGGATTTTGATAACAATAAGAAACTGATCACCAGACTTGCAAAAAGAACATTTGAAGCTAAAAAAATGACGAAATTTGTGTAACATTATTATATTATTATATATATATATATATATTTATATATATATATATATATAAATCGAATATATGTTAAGATATTAAGTATTTGTATTATTCAAATAGTTGGACGATGCTAAACAAGCATTATGCATATATTATATATATTCTTATGCCTCATGCGCTGAAAAATGCAACGACGTATAAATGCATATATATGTATAACAAAAAAATTGAAACCATTATGACTAATTTATTATTAATGTTACTTTATGTTTTAAACACGTATTTATTTCTTTTTACCAACGCCGCAGTAATGCTGTCTAAATAAAAAAAAGTTTAAAACACTTGATCAATCTATCATTATACACGTTCAAACAATGACAGCCGGGAAAGGGGAGCTAGCATGCAAGTGATACAACGGTCGGTTAGAGTGCGAGAGTCATTGTTTCAGAATGCAGAGTAACGATAAAATTGGAACATCAAGTGATCATCACTTAAATTAAGAGACTATCGTCGCGAGGCACGTGGCAACCTCGCTCGAAATAGCACGGTCATTTCGCGGGTATTTAGCTGCGGGTAAAAGAAATGTATTTTATCTTTCAGCGAAACATAACGTTTCTATTAAAGTCGTGTTCGCGATAATATGATCAAACGTTTTAAAGACTAGAGCCGAAAAAACAACAAACAAAAGCTTTAATGAAAGGATAAAATTGTGAGTCTATTTTTTCTCGCTTTTCATAAAATTCACGCAACAAAACCATCTGCATTTCTGTCGAAGGATTGTCGCTATACATGTTTTAATGGTCCGGGCATGTCAACATCTTGAGGAAGTATAAACAACAAATTTATTTACATTAGATAAATTCATGACACACTTAGATTTAATATATCACGATGGCCCAAGATGGGAGTGGAAATGGCCCGATTCATTGTGTTTATCTTTGGGATTATTTTATATATCTTACATCTACTTTCACTTTTTAATGATGAATTATATAAATGGGAAAATATTCATCCGGTGGACTTTCGCCCTGAAAACAAAATTGCCAAATTCAAAAAATTGGTGAAAATGTATGCTTTATCTTACGGAGTTTCGAAATATTAACTGACTGGTTCTTTAGATGCGTGGGAGGGAATTTCCATACCACAGAAACAGTATTTTGATGTAATTTTTTTTGGCCTTTTACTGGTTTTAATTGTTGTCACCACTTGGACATGCAAATTTACTACGGGTTGACTGTAAAATTAGATCCTGAGAGCAAGGAGTGGATTTTCGAGATTATTCTAAACACATAAGCAATAGATATAAGTCGCGGTCAGATGAGTCAAAACCATTCTTCTGTTGCAATTACACATGAACTAATAAGCCGAATATTTTCATATTTTTTTTTGCGTCACTCAAACGGATGAAAGTTAATCAATTTTCATTCATCCGGAATGAAAGTTGACCGATTATGCTAAATATCTAGAAAAACAATCCGTGACAACACTATATAAAGGAATATGATTCCTACAAATGCGTAGGAGAACTAATTGTGACATTTGATTCTGATCAGTGAAATTTTCAATTGCTAAAATAAAGCACTGACTAAATCGGGATAACTAATTTCAACCACCTTTGTAAAGCATTTACGTACTAAGCATTTATTTTGGTGACAAACACACCTTATAATTAACATTCTTTAGAAAGATAGGATCCCACATACTTGTTTTCTTTTGTTTTTATGATCATTTGTTTGGATATGTATGATATATCGCGCAAGAACCGTTTTATACTAGAGAAGAATTCGGAAAGTCAAAGATGAATTTCGGTTCGTCAGAAAAATTATTTATTTGTACAGAGATTTAATTTTCTACAAACACATATAAAGCAAAATGAACTGAGCCAAGAATAACCCTAAATCTTGTGATGAAAAATATTGTTTACTTCAGCAGAAAAGCTATAAAACGAGAAGAGAATGTAACAAAATATTGCTAGAGGGTGGGTAAAGACAGGTTGTTTTATAACTGGAAAGACATAAAATATTTGTGGCGAGTTTATCACTGAATTACACCTAATTTTTATTATAAACAATGACAAATACAACATTGAATCACAAGTCATAAACATAGACTTCTGTCTAGATATAACTTCAAACCGAATATCTTGGCTTAAATGTTAGAACGATATTAATAATATCACGATATCTCAAACATACATATTTAAGTTCTAACAAAAACGTTACTGTTGAAAAACTATCAAAATGTTCTGATGATATAAAATCATTAGTTTCGGGCACAAAATTTCATTTTTTACCATAGTACCGAAAAGTTTATGATTGGGTGCTGCATCTTCGCCTTTTTCTTTATTTTTAAAATTTACAGCTATATGCAATCACTCATCTGAACAAGGATTTTGTTGTAACAGTTACCGGACATGAACAGGATACCTTATCCTTTTATATTCCATCCATTTATCATTTGAAAATATTTGACCAGCTATTTAATCGGGAGACAGGTTGATTAGGATGACGGATAGCAAGCCAAAACAAAGAGCGATTCCGCAATCGTGCGGCCATTTTTTGAAAAATGAGTCATTAAACCTGATTTCGAAACAGCTTCCACTCGTTGGATAGAAAACTAAACTAAAACACCTACTTGAGAAATTGCCACAACAAGGAGATTAGAATGAGGGCTTACGTCACCTATTCACGCGCATATGTCATCTGACGAGTTATTCAAATTGCGAAATTCCAATTTCGAAATAACGTCAAATATGTGATTAACAACGGTCATTATCGCAAGCTTATGTTTTCAGTAAAATAAGGCCCTCTTTATAAATGAGTCCCTTTTTAATTACTTATACAAGTGAAATGAGGTAAAAGCCAACTCCGATAGCAACTTGTTAAATTACATTTAAAATGAATGCCTTACACGTCGGAGCCATATGAATTCTCAGTTCGTAATATTAAAATGAAGAAGTGTTTATTTATGTGTGGGGGCATCACAAACTAAGCATACAAATTAATAATTGTGAAGCAAGGTAATTTGTACAGTATAAACGTCCATGTGAATGTTTGACGGGATGAATGGCACAGAAAAATATATTTCTTCCTTGTAAAAGAACAAAATAAATTATACACAATACATAAAAATGTAAACATTCAAAAAAAAAAAGATATTTACGAAGAATACGGGAGGATACGAATTCATAACTTGTAACTAGATTTTATATATGTGGCCAAATTGTGATTTATTTTTAAAATCGTAATACGGAATAGCAGAAAACAAATATTTAGAAAAGTAGGATTACATACGTAATCGTCAATATTTTATTTTACTTCATGTAAATATGCACATAAAAGTGAAAATAAAAGATATTTCAATATCAAAAAACTCAACGAACAGAGACTACGTCAATATTTAAGAATTGCGGAAGTATCACATGCAGTTATACAAAATGCAATAGCGTTATGACGTTAAGATACTTAGGAAACTTGTCTGTACATTAATGACGAGAAATACGACTTTACTAATCGCATGTACTAAAAGCACGTACTGATCGGCTAAAACGTCATGCATTTATATGAGTCAATTACTATTTAACTGTACAATCATAATTCAAACGGTATGTTTACGCATAATGTAATCAAATCATAGATAAAAATCTATTTCGCGAGTTTGTAGTCGCTAAAACCGCTTTTAAAGGAAGCACGGAGACCACAATTCCGCAATAGCTGAACGTCAAATTCCTTATTTGGAGTGTGTACACGTGAATTTACGTCTTGGAGGGGCATACGATACCAAATTTAACAAGTAGAACTAGCATTATCGGTATTGTTTTTCCAGAACTTACGTCCTGAAATAACATTTTCTCATACCGAAGACGCATTTATTAAAAAAAATTGTGCGCATAGGTGTTTGCTGTTTTGTTGATACTTTCCAGGTTGATTCCACTTAACAAAGTTTATATACAATGCTTTGTGCGATTTCGAGTTGATGTAAACAAACCATATCGATAGATTCAGAATTTTACTTCAAAAAGCACAGGGATTGACAAAGCACAGAGAACAATTACGGTTCATTTTTTAGTAGGATTCATTTAATATCCAGTCCCAATCTTATTCAGAATTTCAAATGAGTGAGTGACTTCACTTGCAACATTAAATCTATTCCGAACAAAAAATGCTATACAACACAAGTGTAATATTTCTAAAATTACCTTACACAGCCACAAATTAAAAAGGCAAACACAGTTACGCTGTCAATAGCCAAGATCGAAGTTCAATAGCCATTCGCCAAGAACATCATAAAATACCGAGTCTGAAGTAATGTTACGCAATATTATGAAACCATCCGTATAAATCCTAAAATGGAGTAGCTTATCCGACAAAAATAGATCAATATAATTATGCATTTGCTTGTTGTTAGTTCGCACCACGCAAAGTTAAGAAATTAGACCGTTTTAACTCACGAATAAGACACTCGATTGAAGAAATATATGTTAAAATTTCACCAAACAATATTAAAATAAGTGCTTTTCCGAAAAAGTTGCGCAACAAACGAGAGTATTAACTGTGAATCAAAGCAGGGCGCCAACCAACGTTCAGCTATACGAGACGAGCGTCTGAATTACGACATAAATTTTAGAAATCGACGGGGCGTCGACTGCGAATATAGTTGTATAAAGTAAAATAAAATTATTTGGAAATCCAAAAATAGTTTTGATACAATTCATTCAAATCAATCAAACAAGACGATTCTATTCAATTATGGGTAATGGGCTTAAATGATTTCCACAGGGTGTTAAACTTTCCACATATTACTAGCTGTTATTGGAAGAGTGAAAAGTAACATAAAAGGCGATGACGATAAGACGAATTTTTTAGGATCACTTCATCCATTAATAAGTCATACCTAATGCGAAGAGAAAATCATTAAAAAAATAAGCATGGGGAACGAGAATCAACGTCATGGTATTCAAATCGCCTTTCTCCAAACGATCTGCCCTGGTGCTTAGTCACAATAACATATCACATTTCTGCAGTAAAAATAAGATTAAAAGTATGTTGCAACCCCATGTAAAATAATACCAAACCACAAATATCTTTTCATTCCAGATCAGAACAATTGAACGTGAACAGCTCAGCCCCCACTTGGAAATATGAGGATGACAATTAAGTTACCTATTGCGTCATTACGCGCAAATTTCAAAAGTGTATTTCAAGTCGAAGTACAAATACTATCTAGTTGGAATAGGGAAACCCAGTGATATGAATCATGAAGTTATTGCATGAAAATTCCTAATGGACTCTGTAAAGTTGATTTGAGGTACACTTATATGCGGAAATTGAGAGATCACTTGAACTACGAAAACTAAACAAACATTGATACAATCCACGCGAGAAAAATTCAATGAAGTGGTGATTATAAATGATTTATGGTATACGTGTTAAAATGAAGAATACCAACTTTTCCGTAACGATAACAAAAAATTAGCTTGGACTAATAGAACCTAACTGAAAAAACTTTAAATGTTTGATCGTCACATCTGTACATATCATCGTGGTGCCGTACCTCTTTGTCCTGTGTATTGTACAAGAGTTTTATTTGTATATTTCATGTCTGTTGTCCTACTATAACGCAGCAGTCCCAAACTGCAGTTATACTTGTTGGGGTGCATGTCGCACATCTGTGTCTTAGGTCAGTAGGTTATTGAACATGTATCCCGTCTCTTTTATACCGTTTAACTATTATGCAGATACTGTTACATTTTTGACGCAAATAAACATACATACATCTGACATAGATGCATGAAAAATAGCTCAAGCTATAAGTCTAATGGGAAACGTGATGCTTCACTGACTTCAGGTATCTTATTGAGGACAGCCAATTTGTAAACACTTGTCACCGAAAGTGCGGACTGAATAACCGCCGATAATGACTCCGATAGAGGTGTATAATAAATATTCCAAAGAGGTGGGCCCGTGAGGTTGTTTCGACTGACCCACGATATAATAAGATTTTTCAATATTTTAGTAATTTTTTAATAGGCTCGTGTATGTTTTGTGTTTTTGACGTGACTGTTTCAGCCATCTACATTCAATTATGTATAGGCTATATTTCCACCAGTTTTCCTTATTTCGCATGTATTAAGTCTTACGTTTGACGGACATCGATGTTTAGTTTTTTTTTTATTTCTCGCGGAACCGCACATTCCGAAAGTTAAGTGTTTGGTCATTCTTCTCGTCGTTATGAAAAAAAGGGAGCCAAATTTTTGCCCATGGCTCCTGGATTTGTCCTCCGTTTTTTTCAGTTCGTGTCGGTTTCATTATGAAAACTTGCCAAAGTCGTCAAAAGGTATATATCAGTACGATAAGCCACATGAAAACATCCGCTGAAAGGCACCTTGGTGACTTTTGAGGCCATTATGACTGCCAAGAAAACGCGTGATCACGCTGGTGCAGCCAATTCTTTTTTTACTTTGCAGATGGCATCATGTAGCTTTTTTGTCTTGGAACAACACACCCATAAGCAAATTTGAAATACAATAAAAGTGTATTTACAAGAAAATATTACACTGCTGAAAAAGCACCATATTATGACACAATATAAAATAGTTCGGGTATAAAAAATTGACATAATTATACTCACACAGCAAAATAATACCTCACTTCTTATTATAATCAATTAGGATGTCAGTAAATCAACTTAAACGATCTCTTAGAAGCAGAAACAAGTATTATGGTAACCGGTTGAGGGAAACGGGTAGGCTGTGAAGCCTTTGGCTCGATGAATCCAATAAAACCATGCTCACATCACTTTGATTACTCCTATCTACATTATTTAAAAAAGAAAAAATGACCATGACAAATAAAAAAAAAACATTACAAAATTTGCAAAATCTTTCATCAGTAAAAACAACCAAATGTAAAGATCAGGTAAATGAAAAGGAACTAGAACAAAGACAAAACATTTTGATATGAAAACATTATCACTATACACATCACTTTATAGAAACCATGATTATGGTGGATGCATGTATTTCGAAATGAATTTGATTGAAAAAATATTGAGCCATCTAACAAATGTTCAAACATATTAATAATTTAAATTCTTAGCAGGAATATCGCAGCTTTATAGGTTGAACAAATACAGTCAGTGATACAAGCTGAGTCATAGTCAAAGCACCTTGTTTTGTTACAAAAGCTTTCCATTGGTGCGTAAACAAACCCATAGAACCTGATATCTTTTATTTAGATAAACACAGCATCTGCAGACAAAGTTCGAAAACTCACTACCATCCGCCAAACCGACCAGTACAGGAAAATATCATCAGATTCAGAAGTCCCATGATTCTAAAAAAATACTAAAAACGAAGTAGTCAAAAGTCAAAAGACAAGGTTTGGCAAATTTTAACACTTTGTAAAATATAGTCTATATTCATGATTCCAACTGGTCAGTTCACAATATTATTTCGTCAGGCAATGTTTTCATCGGATTGTTTCAACAAGTTTGGTGCATAAGCACTATCATCAACTTTATCTGATCTTGGTATCAGCAACTCTTTTTCACAGAAACCAGCTTTAGGATACTTTTTCACTTCAATCGAGTCCAATGCTTTTGACAATGTTTTCTTAACTCTGAGCATAGTGAGACGGGAAGCTGCATTTGAAGTCCACATTTCTTTCATCAATTTCACAATTATATTCATGTTCTGCAGTACAGGAAATAAGCAAAATAGGTAAGGAATTTTTTGCCGCCTGACACATTGTGTCAGTGAAGAACTACAATGAATTGAAATTCCAATTAAATATGCTGACCACAGTCAACACTGAGCATTGAAATATTGATTTTATACACATACCATATTATATTTGACATGAACATTAAAATACATATTTAAAAAATATGCCAATATAACCTATACTGCTTGAACCTGGTACCATAATTGTAAAAAAACTGTAATATAGTCGTTACAATTAAATCACTACAACCTAGATTGGATCAATTTTTACTGGTATTTTATAACCTCACCTGACCTTACCTTTTGATGGCGCTGTTTCCAGGAAATATTCTAACTATTTCCAATCTCAGTCTCAAAAAAGGTGAAATCTGCTCTGCCATGCGAACTAACTAATGAAAGATATTCCCAACTAATGAAAGATATAAATTCAAATCTCCCTATGCAATGCTTCTGTCTCACCTCTTTTAGTGCAACACTCTCTGATCTTCCATTCTCATGCAAATCTTCCAAATCAACTAATGTGCTCACTAATTTGTTTAGCTGGGTAATATATTAAATAAGATAAGTTTTCTCAGGCATGGACTAATGAATTTTATTTGGTGTTGAAACATAAGAAGTATATGAATAATTCGGATATGAATAGTTGTGAACACTAACAGCCACACAGCTGTGCAGCCATCTAAGTAGCTTTTCCTAGAATTTTTAATCTTACTTGTATAAATTGAATTTATTATTTTTCTTGTATAAATTTAACTGGCAGTAGTTAAAATCATTATATTTTAGTAGCTTTCATTGTAAAATTGTGCTGATATTTTGCATGATTTGGTTATATTTCAACTCGTCAGGTTTACATCTCTGCGTATAATGATATAGTCCAAGTCCATGCTTCCGAAAACAAACAATATAACTAATCCCATACCCGACTTGGAATGGTAACCGGACGAGAGGCCGTGGGTCGCCATATGGATAAGCCGTCTTATCGACTTTCCTCTCCCCCGGGATAAATATGTAAATCCTATCCTATCCTATTTCACCCAAGCTCATTATCTCTATACTTGGTTGATCTGATGTTTTTTTGTGAAGTTCTTTCATGCTATTTAATAATCTCACCGAAAATTCACTTAAATAATATATTGCTTGCTTCCAACTTTAAATGTCATATGATAATAAACTCCTAAATGGTCGCTATACTGTAGCTTTCTACATAATCTTAAATTTGAATCTGAAGAATTCAAGTACACATTGTGTACTTATATTACTGATTTGAAATAAGAAATATGTTTGATTTTCAAATAGAATATGTATGAGACAGCACTTTGAATTTTAATTAAGTTATGAAAAACATACTTGTTTATATTCACAATTGCCACATACCTGGTCAGTCTGCCATCTATTAGGTATAACTGGCCTGTGGTTACAGTCACATACAATCTTTCGCATCTCTTCAAAGCTTGGATCATGCCCAACTACATCATGGAAAGGTGGTTTGTATTCCTCTGCAATACCTACAAAATCAATAAGACCGTGTCATTTTTATTTACAAAATAATATTATGCAACAATTCAAATATTTCAAAGTGGTATGTTAATTAAAAGGCTCCGAAATTTAAAACCTACCTCCGATAAGACCACGCCTACAAACTTCCCACAAAACAAGGCTGAAAGCATAAACATCGGCTTGGCGAAAACTATCGAAATTTTTCACATTTAGTGTTTCATCAAGAACTTCCGGAGCCATGTAGCGCTTCGTTCCAACCCGATAGTTGTTCTTACATATATCAACTGAATTATCATCCTTCAATAACACTGCAAGGCCTACGCACAAAACAAAAAAGTTAAGTTCATTGTTCAAACAATACTGTGTCTTAATTAGTTTATTAAAATTGTTAGTTTATAAAATTCAAAAATTATTATTTAGTCCATTAAAATCCCTGGTTTTCTTCTTATTCTTCAAAAAATAAATAAAATCTTATATTTCGATTCTCTTCCTAAACTCATTTGTATTCTAATTTAACATTATCATGTTATGAGAAAGAAACAAATAAATTCAATTACCCAAAGGGGCACACTTTAAGAATCAAACAATGGGCATAAAATATAAAACAAAGGTATATACCAAGATCAGCAATACAGCTAGTCAAATCGGTTTTAACAAGAATGTTTTTAGTCTTCACATCTCGGTGAGCAATTGGTGGTTTTCCCTGGAGAAGAAATGAATAAGTGTGAGCATCCAAAGCAAATGTATCATATGTGAACTTTGATTTGGGGCTTTATTGGGGACAAATCTATTCCATTACTGTATTTGGAAACAATTAGTTTTCAAATGATCACAATACAAAAATTGTCCATCAGAAGTACCAAGCTGAAATGGGAACTGTTACAATATTCAATCCTTCAAAATGACGTTAGACTGCTGTTTTTTCCAGTGTGTATTGCATACACTGTAAATGCTTAATACACGAAAGAGTTCAAAACTTGGAAAAAAATCCTATTCCTATCTTTAGTAACTGCTGGCCATGCATGGGAAATCTACAGGCAGCAAAGGATATATTCATTCATTCACTCACTTTAACACCAGTGATGTCACTATGCAGATGAGAAAGACCCAGAGCTGCAGTCTTGCACAAGTTAATCATTGTTCTTTGATCAAGTGTAGCTCTTTGTAAATATTCATATAAAGAACCATATGGATGATATGAACAAATAAGCCACAACTGTAAAATATATCAACAGACGGTGTTATTAAAAATTAACTAAAATTTATGTATAAGTCTTATCAATTTACCAAGTAAAATTCACATCATTTCTATCATTACAATCATTAATAATTTCAGAAAAATTACAACAAGCAGGTAGAATGAACCAAATCTTCATATTATATTAACAGGCATATGCAAGTTTAACTTAAGTAAGGTATGTCTGTAAAGTTTCATGAAGTGGTAAAACTATGGGTTACATCGGATGCTACATAGTCTAGCAAATCAAACAAGATCCTAATGCCTAATTTCACTCATAAAATTGCTACATCAGAAATATTGAATATGGTTCATGTCATGACTGAGTCTAAATATAAAATTAGGTTGTTATTACATTTTAAACAGGAAATTAGCAGGAGAATTCAATGATATCAATCTTATCTAGCCTATCTATCTATCTCCAAAATATGTGTGACATGCAAAATAAAGATAATTTATTCTGAACAATTTTGAGGCTTATTTTACAATAAATAATAAAGTATCATAATATTGGTGATTGTGTTTTTGTAAAATACCGTAAACGAAATATTGATATGTAATACTATAGTCGTTCAACAATCACCTTGTGTGTTAAACTGTTTTTGTTTACTGAATACGCCCAACAACACCCACCCGCTTCCTTATCTATTTCATATCTATTTACACCTGTGATAGAATCTAAACTTTGTCGAGCATCAATGGCATTTCTCCTTTGTTTTATTTTGAAACTAACATGAAACAAATTCCTAACTTCCTGGACATAGTACATAAATTGTAATCAATTCACTCTCAGAGTAAGTTTCAATATGTTAAGAAGAAATGCATGACTGCAAATTATTTTGCTATCGAATTAATGTAATAGGGTTGGAAGATGAGAGATTTTTTGTAAGTGATATTCCAATAGCATGATAAAACTTATTAATAAACACCTAAAATATAAAATATTTTGATACCAGCTGCTCATTTTGTCTGATACAGTTTGTTTCAGAGATATATCATCATTAACATCAAATGAAGATCACAGTATCCAATCCCATAGCTATTTGCTTTTTTATGAATTATGAATTCAAATACTGTTTGTCTGAGAATCTCCAACAAGTTACAGTTGAAGCTAGATTTCTTCATAATGCTATATAACAGGGATGGCGAACCACTGACCCGCGGGTCACAAAGTGACCCACCGCACTGTTTCGGTGACCCTTCATGGTACGAATTGAATAAAAACATACTATCATATTAGTGATAAAAACTGATAAAACCGGCTATAATTAAATTTACCAATAAATAAACTATTATAATGTACCATCAGTTGGGCAGCCAGAGAAGCGATAGCTTAAATTCAAATTTTAGTTTTCGCGTCGATATGATAATTTTCAAAACTCCCAATCTTGGTCGCACGTCTGCACCCGTATACCGTTATGCAGCTATTGGCTGTGACATCGTTTATGGCATAATAATACGATTGATTTGTTTATATTTGCCACGTCTTGTTACAGCGTTCCATTTCGGAAGTGTAAAACCAAAAGGCAGACCGCAGATTGTTTCGGGAGGAAATACGAGAGCTAGATGCTACTTTGCATTTTATTGGTATCTCGCCTAAAATGCCGTTGGGAAACAAAATCTTTAGACTTAAAATAAAGGCCTAAAAATCTGAAATAACAATGGGACAGTGTGGAAGTGCCTTGATGTGGCTGAAAGCTGATCGAAAAATATAAATCTGTCAGAGTGGAATTTCCTCCAAACTCTTTGAAACCGTAAAATAATGATCCTGAACGTTTTTTGGTAATTCACATGCGTGTTTTAGTACACGAATTTCATAGAAATCGAGTGCCATAGAGAGTCTAGTAGCAGTAGGCTTGGTAGAATTGTGGCATAAAAAAGCCCAAAAGTACACAACACCAACTGAAGCAAGATAAGATGCAGCAGCAAGTTTCGTATATATACAAACATTGATTGAATATCTGTGACCCACACTCTTCCGTTTCGTGGTAAAAATATAATATTTGACCCATTCATTGAAAAAGGTTCGCCATCCCTGCTATATAACAATACTATGCTAATGAAGATTTTTTATAGAAATATTTCTTTGAAAGTTTGCTCAAAAAGTTCAAGTCAAGCCGATAAGTAGATGCAGCTTTATTGCTGATGTACGAGTGTAAGCATTATCTAAGCTCAGAAAATTACCTCTGTGCACGAATTTCTTGACAATCGATCGGAAGCATAATAACACAATACATTAGCATGACGTAACATGACTGTGTTGTAAATGTCTGTTTCTCTGTTGAATGATTCTTCATCTCGAGATGAGAAGATTTTTACTGCAACTGATTCTCCTTGATAAATGCCTCGCCATACTTCACCATATCGTCCTTTACCTATGACATACATATAAAGTGATAAGGAAATCATGATTGACATAACAAACCTTTATTTGAAAGATATTATTGCATCATATCGGTAGATTAGTGTATTTAAATACACTAAGTTCATTCAATACATTCATTTATTAGATTTCGATTGATCAGGTCAGAAAAACCATGTACAAATTTGATTTTGCTCAAATAATGTACCGGTAATAACTTGAATTATCTTGAAATATTTAATACAGATTTATCAGGACAAGATAACAGATAATTATTGATTTTCTCAGTAAATACAGATCCGGGGCCCGAATAGGCGTATTCACTTCAATGAATTCAATCAATGCAATACCTGGTCAAGCCAAACAAATGAGTTAGGTTATCTAAATATTTTCTGTTAAATAAACATAAATTATTGCAACGGATGCTACGTCTGAAAAGCAGTATTTATGAATAAAATTCAAATTATATTAGATATATAAAGAAAGATGTCCAATATATTTAAGAAATATTTTCTTGTCGATGTGATGATTTGAATAAAAATTGTTTTCAATCATTTCACATACCTATCCGATCTGCTAAATGTATCTGTCTAGCAACTGTTCTGTGAACTAAAAACGGCAAGCCAGATCCACTTCCAGAGGAACTTGGGGACGTCATCATATTCTAATTAAAGAAAACCATAGCCTTTTAATAAAATAAACATTCTAGAATAAAAAGTAACTTTTAACAGATTGAACATACAAACATGACATAAAAGAAACATTTAGAATTATTTTTGCCTAGACTTATAGAAAGATAATTTTGATAAAAGATGTTGAAAAAATACAATAACATGAAAACGTTTGTTCATTTAGTGTTGCCCATTCTTTGAGTATATCATGATGAAATTATATCAATATTTATAAATGTTTTAGTTATATACGGTACCTTTTTTATTGATACATGCAATTCAGGTTCAGCATTAAATTATGGTATACCGCCATTCACAGACATCTTTCAAAATGTATATATTAAGTAAATAACAAAAATCTATAAACGCTTATAATTATAACATTATTCAAGAGTAACAATTATCAAAAGTGTGGAAAGAAGCCGAATAACTATAGTAACGACCACACATTCATCCATATTATAATGGTAACTTCAAAGTTTTATGGTAGTACCCAAAGAGTGCTTTCTCCGACAGCTTGAACGTGGAGACCACCTTCAAAATGGCGGGATTTCATAGGTCTTTCTTCAAGTTTCTGAAAAATAAGTGGAAGAGTGTATATATTATGCTATAATAAAAACTTGAATAGTTCAATCTTTATATTTGATTGTTGTAAAAGATTGTGCAACTTAGAAATCAAATATGCTGAAGAATACTTTTAATACCATTCCATTACCACTACAATTCACAGACGAAGAATGAGAAAAGATAAAATAAAGATTACTAATGGTAAACCATAACACAATAAAATGCAGTATATATAAATTCATAACCCATAAGCACAAAATAACATATATTCAGATTTCAGAGAGAGAATTATCATTAGCTATTGACCTGCATCCTTTTTCTATGATTCTTCCAGCAGATGAAAACAGCAATGAAGCTGATGACCAAGGGAAACAGAACACCCAGTGGAATCAAAACTGAGATCGACACTTTTGAGTTGCTATCATTTGGCACAACTGAAAATAAGGTAATTGATTTTGAGACACTCCCATATATATTGAAACAAACAGCATGAAGCTCCGCAACAAAATAAAGAATCTATTAAGCAGACCTAATGCGTTGAATTGATCAGGGATGTCAAAAACAAATGGAATATACTTAATAATACATTAGATATAATTCTTACATTAAAATGATTTAGAACAGTGCTCTTCAACCGGGTATACAGTATACCCAAGTGTGTGTATAAGTATACAGGACCATAAGTTGGGTATACAATTGTGTATACGAAGGGTGTACACAGCAATTCCATAAATGTCACGGAGTGACATTTCACACATTTAATCAATTTTACTAGATCAAGGATTCAAGGTCTTGGTGGTTGCTATTTTTAGAATGCCAATTGGTAGCAGTAACACTGATGTATTTACCTTAATTCACTTTTCACTTTCAACCAAATATTTTTCAAACGACGAGACAAAACAAGTGATGTCACAGAGTGACAAAAAGTTGAATGCATAAAATGACTGCGATATATCAACCAAATTTCGTCAAAAGCTTCATGACTAGGGCTGGGAATGGTTAACCGGTTAACCGATTTCAGATGGTTAACGGTTACGATTTATTTTAACCGTTAACTGACATCTCAGGTACAAATCATCTTCATACCGTACAATTTCCTCGAATATGATTACGTTATCGCAAATTTATCTCTTGTGGCATTTAATTCAAAAGAATATTACTAACTGTATGGGCAAGGACGCAATAAATGTGAAAAATAATGGAAGTACCAAGATTGCTGATAATGGAAATTTGACAATGATGAATTCAGAATCAGTTTTCGGTCGATTTCGAAATATATTGTTCGCGATTTCATTGCAAAATCGGATATTCAATGTCATACCACAAGTGCGCAGTTGATGCCGTTTTTATTTCTATGATATATATCTCGAAGTAAAATTTGCACATCGAACACTGATAATTTGTCACATATGGTAAATGACGTTTAACATCGGAATCAGGTTTTCTAAAATACTTCCACACGCCCGAACCACGCTGCCTACTATTGCAGCAGAGCAATCATGAAACTATCTCGATTCGTGATAATTTTAATAAGCAATACCGGGGATAAGAACACGCGAAATCGCTTTATAAGCATTGTGACGTAACACGCTGAAATTTAAAATTATTATGTCAAATGTTACGCATCGGTTAACTGGTTAATTTTACCTGGTTAACGGTTAAAGTGTTTTTTCTGAAATTCCCAGCTCTATTCATGACATATCAATTATAATAACTTGTTTCAGTATTCTAGAGATATTAATCTCTACATTTATACAAAATTTATTGTACAACAAACATTTTTCAGAAAGCAGCGTAATTATATGGCCCAACTAGTCGCATGTCACTCCGTGACGTCACGGAGTGACAAAAATTCCTTGTCATTAAAATGGTATTAAGAATGTTGAACAATTAGTTGTATTAGGTCAAAATTGGTTATTTGTTTGAAATTACAAAATATTTGAACAAAAGATTGGGAAAAATGATATTTTTTTGTCGTTCTGCTTGTGTCTCCCTCATATTAATATGCTAAACGAGTGCACTAACTTTAATAATCTATATAGTTAAGTAAAAGGCTATGTTGCACAGACAACATGAAACAGACATAACTATTCCACTCCTATATATTTGAAATTTTATTGCAGTGACTTGACAAAGAATGAACAATTCAAAATACAGAATCTGGAGGATCCGTTAATGCAATTCAGTTTAAGAATCTTTGCACCATGCGACGTTTTTTGTTATTTGGATATCTAATTTATTAACCATGGAAAAGCATTTTTTTTGCGTTGAAGTCTCTCTTGTTAGGTAGTACTTGCATCTGCTTGCAAAGCACACATAGAAGCAGTAGGCCCCAAACACAGTTTTCTTAGTCTGCATATTCAGAACAAGAAGACAGTGATAAATATGTCCCTGCGAAAACTCGTTATTGCATCATTTTTGCTTTTTCCAGCTTTATGATATAGTTGGCACGTAAAAATAATTATTGGTGACAATGAGTGACGCACTGGTGTTTTCTAATTGGAAGTATCTTCAATTTTTGACAAACACATCATATTTCTTTTACATTTCATGATTTTTCGCATCCTATGAGTTAACCCGATAAATGGATATAAACCAAAATCTAGATGCCGATGTTATAACTTGAGATTTAATATTGTTTGTGAATTATTTGAATTCACTTACGCCTTTTACAAAAATGTCGAATTATATTGCAAAACAATGCATTTTGCCATATTTATTCTGCCATTCCAACAGATTACATATTTTTTAAATAAGTTCGTTCATATTGTTCAAAACCGGCACATGTTAGGTCAAATATTTTGGTCATCGATAGTTTTAAAAAAGTTGCCATTGCCATTCAATCATGTCATTCAAGTTTCATTGTGGGTAAGATCCAGAGTAAGTAGAAGGCAAAGCAGAAGAATTTGCAGTTCAGACCCAATATTATAGTACTTCGCGTACAGAAAAATAATATTTTCAAAAAATGGCATACTTATGTCACTCCGTGAGGCCACGGAGTGACGAGATCTCTTGAAGTGCTGTGAAAAAACAACAAGCAACTATCAACTGCCAAATTGGTAAATTATTGGGCCCTACCCCCAAACGTCTCAGTTTTTGAGGCAAATAGTTATTGGAATATATCAGATAATTGAAATAAAGTTGAAAAATTGTCACGGAGTGACAACACAAGGCAAATTCCCATCAGCTCTGTTTAGCCCAGTGTTGCCAATAGTGCACAGTGCAATATTTATATTAAGCACAGATATCAGAGGTAAAACTTAACACATACTTTGGTTGAACAAATACATTTTAAGGTAACATAAATAGCATGAGAGTTTATGTTACAAAACTGAAGAAAATTAGGCAGAAAATCATCAATTATTCCGCTAAAGTAAAAACAATTATTTCGAGCCGTAAATGTACCTTCTAATGCGATTTTAAAAACTTCAAGATATGTCCTACACTTTCTGCAGTTCAATATTTCAATTAGGCAAGATATAATTTTTGCCTAACTTTCAACTAATTTATGGAATTGCTGTACATCACAAATTATATAAATAATGCGGTCAAGTGTCGGGGTTGGTTATTTCGGCTGCCATGCACTTCGTTAGATTTATGTTGAACATTATTCCAGTTGACGTCAAGACCGTCAGTCAAATTTATAACTTGCAGACACTAGCCTATTAGATTGCATGATGATATTGCAGTACAATATGTGCTTAAAATTTAATGTTTATTTAAGCTTTTAATAAACATTGGTATTTGTAAGGTATCAAAGTTCTTGAAATATTGTAAAAGGTATACTACGATTAAAAAGGTTGAAGAACACTGATTTAGAATCTCTTCATTATAATATTTGAAATAATATTACCAGTATCCTAATTGCAGTAAAAATATAATTACCCCAAATTGAATTTTGATTTATTTTTATGAGGGTTTAACATGCTTTTTCACACATATTCTTACTGGTATATTATTGGTCAAAAGGATGCGGTTGAAATTAAATTTTTAGCACAAGTTGTTTCTTCAACTCCATACATAAAACAGAACCCCTCTTTGGAGTCAGAATTACTCATCAGAAAGCATGGTTTTCATTTCAGTTGGCATTGATTGAATTACTAATGACATCTTCAATATACAAACTGATATATTCCAGATAAATTTTTAACAAAACTTTCAAAATTCCAAAGTCATGAATTTAGATCCAAAAATAAACCAAATTTTAGAAGTATTTCAATTCCATATTATCTGGCATTGAAATAATATTAGAAACAAATATGCATCAAATTATATTGCAATAAGTGAGGTACATGTTATTCCAGAATACTTCACTTACCGGTAAGTTTATTAATAGACTTTACAATTCATTTACTTCAAGATTTAACTTTAATAGATTTCTTACTGTTATAATCAATTTTGGCATTTGACAACTTGTATCAAGAACAAGTAATAGATCCAACATTTATTGGGTAAGAATTCAACTATCTTTGTTCATCGATCTGAGTTGAGAAATTCGACCTTTGCTGTATCTAATATTGCTATGAAATGTGCAACTATTCAATAAAAACTACACATATTCCTGACTATGTGTACATCCTTTCGATAGCAAATTATGAAATATCAACACTGCCAATAGGAAGTCATATCGGTTCCAAACAACATCAATGACCCATGCAACATTCACAAAAAAGCAGTAATGTCGTCAGCGGCAGACATTCAGTTCCCGAAACATGTTCGTGATAAAAGAAGAATAATAATGTTCAGGGAAGCCCAGCTACTTGACAAAGTGTTTTTTTTTAAATGAGGCTGATGTATGAAACAGTTGTCAAGGTTTAGTGAAAATATCACATACTCCGATATCATTTTCTCTTTAAATTTATCTTTTTTGATCATTTGAAAATGTGCATTATTAATTGCAAAGCAAAAATTTGAAATATCAAATTAGATAGCATTATTATAAAAAATTCTCACAAAATTAATAACATTTATGAAGATAATAAGTATTCAAAATATATCTTAAAATCACTACCTACCATCAGTCACTGTCAAAACTGGATCAATGTCTTTATTGCACATATTTGTGTCGCAACACTGCATGTTTAGTTCATCGTTTTGTGACAACTTGCACATCATAAAAGCAGGAGATTCATAATTCAAACAGCCCTTCTGGATGACACTCCTGAAATAATTTTCAATACTTAGATTATGATAATTGGATAATCTTGTTAAAAAGTAAAAACATATTTAATAAGTACTGACTGAGTATCACCTAGAATGCAATATTAAAGTATTACTTGGTTACAGATGAAAGAAAAAAAATGAACATGATACAGATATCAAACTAACAAGAAATTAAAAAGACGTCACGAGTCGGGAACCATTAATATTAAAATTGATACTATCTAACTAAAATCCAAAGTAATCAAATTCCTAATAAATCGATTGAAAAAAAAAAAAAACTAGAACAAGATATAAAACTGAATCATGTGCAGGCAAATAATAACAAAATAGTCTCATAACTAAATTTTCCAGTCATATTGTTATTGCACCTCTAAGAATTAATATTCATAGAATTTGATATAATGTGAATACAATATTAAATAAACTAATTTAAATGTCCAGGGACAAAATATAAAACCCTGAATCTCAAATTCAGGAGATGGCTGAGCCTTTGTGCAGAAATATACATCCTTAATAATGGTTTTGACAAATATGTGAACAAACAGAAAATACAAAACATTAAAATACAAGATAGTCGAAAATGAATTCCATGTTCATTCGCAATTATTGCTACCAGCCTCTTTCACAAATAAGCTTCCTGTCAATAAATTAAACATGACCTACAACTACCTACCCTTCTCCATTCTCAGATCGGCCAACAACTGAGAAACAACTATAGAAAGCAATACAAATATCTTTTCCATCACAATCACTTGGATACTCGCTCTGACACACACATTCAATTCTTTTCATTTTCGTTGTTACTTCGTATTCGGTCATATTGGTGGTATTCTGCACATAAAAATGAAGTTATTTAAAAAAGGAGAAATGTGTACGTATACAAGAGAGCACATTAAAAGATGAAACAACTAATATGGAGTCTAATCAAATTTTAAAATCTGAGATGATGATGATATTCTGCCAGCACAATGGGATCCTGTGACTGTGCAACTTGACAATGTACCCCATCTGTCAATGGGACAATATCTAAATAGAAATATTTAAAAAGAAGACCTACCTCATGTGTGATAACATTTGCAGTTGTGACAGACTTATTAAAAGGTGATGTCTTAGTCGATTCCAGCTGTGTTACATTGTCCACTGCATGCAAATATAAGAAAAAAATTGTAGTAAGACTGGTTCCTGAGTTTTTTTTTATCAACAAATCACAAAAATTATAAGTACAGATAACAAGGAAAGGTTATAGGGACAATCATTGAGCATTCAACCACCTGGAGAAAATAGAGATATCATACAGTCATAAGTACTTTTCATGACAAATTGTTCCAGAAGCACATTGGCAATTGGTTATCTAGACATTACAAGTTGCTCTTTACCAATTAGTTAGCTAATTACATCTTTAGTTGATTCTATTTGGTTTTCCAAAATTCAATTTAATGATCAATTGCCTGATTTTCAAATGACCATCCATTCATTAATCATTAATTTGTGAATTTTTCAATAAGCTTTTATTTTGTTGCTGTCATGTTCTTTAGCCCTTCTTAAATTTAGAGTCAAATAGAATTCAAGATTAGGTTAGTTGAGAGAGTACTTGTAAGATATATAAAGAAATCATACAATAATCGAATCTTACCTTGAAGCATCTCTACTGTTCCAATGAAAGCACAAACAAAAACAATTTGAGGTAAGAAATGAAGACATTGTTTTAGCGACATTGTGAAGAGAGTGACAATAAAAAATTTTCTTGGAAACTTTATTGAAACATAGTAGTTGTGACAGACATAAAAGGCATTCGATAAGTTTACAGTAATTCACATAGCATTATATTATTTAAAACTGCAACAAAAAGCATCATATCAAATGGAAGAATAACAGTTGGTTTCAAAATAAATATTACTTAACTAGATGCTATACAACCAATAAACTAGTTCTGTTATTGCTCTTATTTCCAAGTTAAATTCAAATAAACTTGACAACACAAAACGCTGAAATATGTAAGTGGATTTGGCCGAGTCTGCAAATTGTTTCCAACTTTCTCTCAAGATAAATAGGCCAGACTTATCTCATTCTACTGTTTCACTGTTCTATCCAACAGTCCAATGAATGATGACAATTCAGCGTAAGATTTTTATCAATTTGAATCGTTAATACCAAATGTCTGAATTCAAACTGAAGTTTTTGACACTCCAGTCCAGAGCGCCATTTAGGTCACAAGACTTTTTAACTTCAAGCAATTTGTCTCAAATCATCACACTGTTATATGTTAATTTTATCTCCATTCAGGCATCAGTCAAAAAATATATGCTGCATCAAGTCTGAATCAGTTACTGGTATCAGCCATGTATCAAATAGGCTACGGTACTGGTACCGTACACTGTCAGACTTCGTGAATAAAGTGTGCAAAAAGAGGTAACTTAAACTAAAAATACCATATTTCAAGGTGGCAACGACACCCATGATTACGACTATGAAGTAATTTATAATAGCATAAAAAACGTCAAAGTACCATACCGGTATGGCTTTATGATACCGTACCGGTACTGTATATATACGGTACGGTACCGACATACGGAAATGATAACGGTAAAATCATGGGCCTAAATAGAAAACTTCGGTAACGTTAATCCATAGTAACGTTACGCCTTCATTGCTGGTGTCGTGCTTTCATTGTTCATTTCTGTGTTCTCAAATACCACTCAGCAAATCGCTTCCCTAAAATTAGACTATCGATAGCGCACTTTTATCGCAAATACCGAATTCACCGAACATTCAGACATTCAGCTTATCGGTACAGGATATCGCACCTTTTCTGTGCGATATTTTACTGAACTATGGCCTCCGGAGAGAGAGAGAGAAAAAGATATTTATTTTTGTCAGGCAAAAAAGAAATTAAAAAGATCAAATCAATACCCAAAACATATCAGAGGAGTATATCATATCAGTCAGAGGATGGTGGGAGCGATACGACATCACAGGTGGCTCTCGTCCGGTTACCACTTACCAGTCCATGTCGAGTATAGGAATAGTTGGCCGCCAGTGCTACTGCTAACGTGCGCGAACCACCGGTGGGGAGGCGGTGAGGAGTCGCCTCGCACATACCCCAAATTAGACCGTACCAGTACCAGCTAACCGCGGAAACGTGGATTTCAAGGGTCTAAACAGAGTTTCAGCCTACAAAAAAGCTATAAATGATACAGAAAAATGCCTTATTTTACATTTCACAAGCGTCACCCCCAGTGTTTCCAACGTATGTCAAGAGTAAAAAAAAACGAGAAAGATTAAAGAGAAGGAAATTTTAAAGACTTGAAATATCCACTGCTAACCCCTACACTTCGTGGTGGTATCAGATACATTTTTTACATTGGTCTAATTCTGGGTTCCTGCACATATAACCATAGAAGTATGTAATTCCTCAGCTTACCATATATATAGAAAGTTCATGCCCTAAGACTGGTCACAAGCTTCAAGTCAATTACGAGAGAAGCAATGCCTGAATTAGCAGAATATATAAATAGGCTTACCATAAAGCGGCGGGACAGTCCCGCTTTTCAGCGTTTTGTCCCGCCGTCCCGATAAGTCAGCCAAAAGTCCCGCTTTTCCAGCATAATACGCAAACATGTTCTCGTTACTGTTGTTTCTGTGTAGCGCAGCGCTAGCCTACATACTGAAGGTGAATGCGTTCGTTTCCCGCTGATTCCCATTGATGGCAGACGTATCGCATGTAAAACCCATATTAATTTGTCTAAATTCGAATTATTTGTAGCGGTATCGGTCACGTCAATTCCTTGCTATTTTTCGAACTGAACCCGATATTTGGACAGAGAATATGCGCGTGAAATTTCAATAACAATATGGTCAATAAAGACAGCTTTAAATGTAACAATGTAGGCCTATGTAGTAAAATCGGAAAATGTGAAGTTACAAAATCACAGCTAATGGGTCGTTGTCTTTTGAGGCGTCCCGATTTGAAGTCACAAAAATATGGTAACCCTATATATAAACAGTATCTAATTTAATTACCTTCATTAGCACTGGAGTAAAATTACTTTCCAGTCATTTTTCTGCCCATAGCTACAAAATAACATAAATGTGGTATCTTTTAATTCAATAAAAAAATTACAAACAAAGAAAAATGGAGCATCAGAAAAATAGTTAATATTAGACCCCAGTGGGAAATGCCTACCCATTGAATAAGATAGATATAGCATGGCACCGACGCTTGGTGAATGTTCTGTTAAGTTTATAAATGGTTCTCGATCTGGGAAAAAGCACACAAACTTAAAACAAGTATGATGAAGTAAATATATAGCAGCAAGTAAAAGATGAACCTTAACAAACCTATTCCGATACATTTTTGTTTGAACAAACAAAAATTACCCTCAGTGATTTGATATAGGACTTCAATCATAGCTATTACTTCTGAAGTGAAAGTTCGTACAATACACAATCTTTAAATACACTTGGATATTCCAAAGAAATACAAATACATCCCTAGTAATAAGGTCATATTATAAATAATAAAAAAAGCATCACATTATTTTATAACAATATGGTATTGTAATTGATTAACATCTATTGAACATCAAAGAACTTTAAATAATTCAAACCTAACAGTCGTGTTTAGAAATGGTCTAATTTGGCAAAGTGTTAGAGACCACTAGAAAAGTCTCCAAACAATGTTTTGAATATAAAAAATTAATATTATACGAAAACAATACTTTCTCCCACAAAGCACAAAAAAATGATAAAGCCAACAAGGCAAGTTCCCCCAAGGCAGATCAACTACCAATATCACAGTAATTGGGAACAAAAAAACTTTTATACTAATATTGAGTATTGAAAAAACATTGTTTCGACACAAAAACTAGTAAGTAAACATCAAACAAAGATATGTATGATAAACAATCACGGAACAATCAGCAAAATTCCAACATGTTAGCCACTCAAATCAGTCAGAAAAGCTAGACTAAATTTCATGGTAGATATTAAGATTGGAGAACATCGACGGTCAACGATAATTCTATGTAAATCAATAATTGTTACCAGTAATCACATGTTTTGACCAATAAATTCTTAACACCATTACACACAAGTATGAACAATCCAGGATATGCATTGAAAAAAAAACAGCTGAACCCCGATAAACAACCTTCAGAACATTGGAATTTTCATATCGTTTGCAAATTCAAAAAGACTGGCACAACTGAATCGTAGCATAAAATTGATTGTAAAGTATTGGATTCTGACAAGTGTGGGATAAAATCTACTATGGAAAGTATGGTTATATTCATTGTTTCTTCTATATCAATACCCGTCGAAGATCAGAATATTACGATTGATATATTACTTCATCTTTCAAATTATATCAGGAAAAGGAAACCTTTGGCAAGGGGACCAGCTGACACACAATTTTCTTTCTGTTTTACACATTGCATACAAATCTTCTTGATAACAGAAGTGCAACAATGGGCCATCAGGACTAATTTCCTTCCTTTGTCGTAGCTCTATAGCAACACCAATGGATTCATTCATAATCAAAATTATATTCCTGCCACAGCAAACTGACATTGTGAATATTTCATACATTCGCTGAGATTTCCAATATCATGTAAATGGAGCAACTGTTGTTGACTTCTCCAAATCTTTTATTTGCTGACGAATATACAACACCCTGAAAAGGGGGAAACGTATTACCAGAAAATGGAGTGATTGCGTTTCAATAAAAATGCAACATTGAATTGAAATATTAATTCACACATCATTTATTGGAATGTGAAGATGCTAAAAAATAACCAATTTTCTATCAATGATCATGAATAGCAGCAAACATGCTGTATACTTTTACACACAAGTGAGGACATGAGAAGATTTTACAATCATTCGTTCAACTGCACATTCGTATAGTTGTTGATGTCAGATTTTAGTGAGTTTGAAGATAGGGCACTTTCATCAAACTTTTTGAGAAAAGCAACATACCTTTGTTCATGAAGAGTAGAGTGAATTTCAGCAGATCGGACTTGTGATCGCGCCATTTTCATAGAAGCACTTAGTTGGGATGTGTGAGAAACGACAAACTGATGATTTTCATCACATAACCTGGTGGACTGCAATAATATTTGAGTGATAAGTATTATAGTGGCTAAAATTAAATTATCTACTACCGGTATTTCCAACATACTCTGAAAATTTGGAATACGAATAATACCAATTGAGACAATAATACCTATCTGGGACCATGCCTATTAGGATTTTGCAATACAGAAAGAGAAATGAAGCGAATTTAAAGTACCGTAATTCTATTTAAACTTTTTTAAAGCCTAATATTTTTGAAAAAAACTGAAGTTTCAATACCTCAAATGAAAAATGCTTGGATTGAATTGCTCATTGAATCATCCTTACTCGTAAAATCAAGAATTTACAATATATGATACATTTTAAATGCATTCAACTGTTTTGGACATCCCTGCATTAGAGTGACTTAAAAATTGAAATGTAGAAATAAACCTACAAGATACAAATTGAAATTGATGCCTGATCAAATTTATAATTATTCCTAAATTACTCTGTTACCTGTCTCTCCAACTGATCTGCAGGCCAACCTTGTACATGCAATACATGACGCTCATCCAGTAATCCTCTGAGATCATTTAAAACTTTTTCTGTGCTTTGTGAAACCAAAGTTGAATTACTGAAATAGAAAGGTAATCATTCATATGTAAAAAGGTTGAAATGAATTATAAATAAACATCAAGCTGGAAGTAGAATGGATTCAAGCAAACTTAAACAAGCAATGTATCATCCATATGTGAAGAGTTATGGATGAGTACGAAAGTAATAGAATGGAAATTTTGATACATGGACTCATGCTCCGTAAAAAACAACACTAAATAAGAAACTAACATATTTATGGTATCAAACTTTTGTAATCGATTTGATGTATTGAATATCCATGCAATATAGTGATTACAACCTAAATCTGTTTAAAACCAAAAATCTAGAAATATTTATATAGTTGGTTGTTACCTTATGTGATCATCTACTGGATTAGAAGGTCGAACACGCTTTGGAGGAGGTTCTTCCTCTTTCGTGACTTCAGTTTCAACTGGTTGTACCTCTTCAGTTGTTGTACCTATAATATATGAGTACTAACTTGAAGCAATTCCACTGCAAGTAATGCATAAATTAAGTCAGAAGGAGTCATACGACAATAAAATAAAAATATCTCAAAACCTAGAAATTATATACAGGTCGCCTATTACATGGGTGTGCAACCTTTATCACAGGAGGGCGAACTACAAATAACTGGGTGAATCGGCGGGCCGCACCTTAATTTAAGATTGCCTTTCTAGTAGTAGCAGTCATAAAAAATTGTTTCTTTTTTTTATTGATCTTACGACATTACTAGGGGTCCTTGGAGAAATGAGGCACAGCGTATAGAAATGACCGAAGAATTTATTTAAAACAGAATCAAAAATTATTGATACTTGTACTGAGGTATGGATGCTTATATCTATATAGTTCTGTATTTTAGCATCATCACGATTAATTTCCATTTTCAATATTCTAAGAACAACTAACTATTTTAAAACAAAATCTTACTATATGCCAAATTCCCGAATTCAAATGTTATAAGGAAAACAGTAATTTCATTCTCAATATAAACACATTTCAATGACATATTAATGCCATATTGAGTTCAATTTCAGGTAGGGCCTACTAGATTTATATTACCACCAAAAAGCAGAAAGCCCACAATCATTATATGAAAACGATTATGGCAATGGCACACCAACACCAATTCACACAAAAATTAGATAGTACCTACCTGAAATTTGTTGGTTTTGGGCAGCCACAGATAACAGCATCTGAAGAGCTAAATAGCAAAAATGTAATTATACCGGTAAAAGAGCTAAAAAGCAACAGAAAAAAAAATCCAAAACAGAATTCCTAACAACTAAGAGTGACTAGAAATAGGATAGGTTTTAAATATTTATCCCGGGGAAGAGGAAAAACGATTGGATGGCTTAATCGTATGCATACCACACCCCTCGTCTGGAGTCCATGTCAGGTATGGGACTAGTTAGCCAGTTATCTTTTTTTCAGAAGCATGGACTTAGTAATTAAGATAATCGAAATTTATGAAAAAAGGTGCATACAAACGAGAGTCTGTATTCGAAAGTAAATATATGATTTTGATAGAATCGATATCAATCTATTAAATCATTGATAATAAAAAAGGTACTCCTGTAGTATGTGCAACAAGATTGCGGACACCGGAACGTAGTATGTGTATCAGGTTAAGGTTATGCCATAATTTCAGGTACAAATACTACGGGAGTCACTTGGCTAGTCCCCGAACTCGTAATAGAACTAAAATAGGGAAAATTGGAAGAAGTATGGCCTAACCCTAGCCTGGTGGGAGCGCCATAAAAATTAATTGTCAGTTAATTTCAACAGGTGCACAAGTTTTTTAAGGACAGATGGACATGAAATTTTCTTTGTGAAGTCTCTGTTAATCCAATATAAAAAATTGATTACAGCTGTCAACTTTATGAATGATTTCAAATTTGTTGGATGAATAAATAAAAGCAATTAATCTGAACCCGAAAATATTTTATAAGCCATGAAATTGGTAAAATAAAATTATCTTTTATTCTGAATGGGCCCAATATATGATATATCAAAGCAAAATTGCAACATAAAGTAAATTCAAAATAACTATCAAAACAATACATAATGAAATTCAGCATACATGCACAATAGCATACCATTCTTTAAATGTCCTTCTATTGAGGTTTCTTTATTTTCTTCTGATGCTGAAGTTCCAGCTTGATTTAAAACAGTTGATAATGTTTTGACTAAAGAGGAAGGTGCTGTAGCATCATTACTACCATTTGCTGTTGGTGCTTCTGTCTCACTGGTTTCCATCAATGCTTGGACTGCAAAATAAAATTATATATAAATGTGGATTTCTATGCGAGTTCACTGAGACATTGATGTTATAAAACATTAAACAACTTCAATTTTTGTATGATTTCACCAGTGCAATCACTAATCAAATGACATGATCTTGCATAATAACATGTTACCGAATGAATGCTGTTTATGGAAGATGACAAAACCTCTATATTAATAATAATTATGGACGTCTAACTTAACCTCTTGCATCTGAAAACGCTTTACATTTAAAGAGAACATTCTCTCATAAATTACTGGTAAATAAATAATAAACATAGAAGATATGCTGGCAACAATGTTACTATCATACAGTGGCGGCGCGTGGTCATTTTGACAACCGGGGCAAGCTACTGCGGGACCAAGTCACCCCCATCTACGGGGACAGGATGAGCGCTGTAAGTTCTCCCATCATTTTACGAGTATAAAAACCATTCCATCGGTAACAACCAATCGGCAAAAGCGACAATTTTTAACGATAAGAAAGTGTCTTTAAAACCGGTCCTAGTCAAGGGATTAATAAATATAGACATAGTTTATTTTGAAACCTCTTTCAAAAGGAAATGCAATATTTACCCAGATAAATACAATGACATATTAACAGAAACTTCGGGAAAGCAGACAGAACCTAAAATAAGGTTTAAACGTTACTATGAAGAAAGGAAAGTTAATGCAAAGATAAGGACATGCGTCGCTCACTCATAGATATATATGCTGCCTGACTTCTACTGCTTGAACATATATGCAACACGCCGCGGTTTCTTGGAAGCAAAATGCTCAATAACGCGCTGATTAAAGTCATGCATCCCAGAAATAACGTCTCTGTGAATGGATAAAACAGCCAAGGAATTTAATCTATCTTGCTTCATTGTGTTTCTGAGATACGTTTTAATACGCTTCAGCGTGCTGAATGTTCGCTCTGCGTCGGCGGAAGAAATAGGCGTCGTCAAAATGATGTCCAGAAATTTTGCAGAAGCCGCCAAGGTAGTTACTAGAGTGTTATCTATGAGGAACCCATAGAGCGCGCAAGTTGATGTGATGTTCAAAAAAGTTTGATTGGTGTATATACATCGCAATTCATTTTCTAATTTACCCACGTTTATCATGGGGTAAAATTTGGAGACAGTAGCCAACAAATGGACGGGTAATTGATGTGCATATTTTGAAAAATTTTTGGGGTTCATCAAAGAGAACGCGGCAAGGTGTTCAGTGCGCAGACGATCGCCTATTTGATTCACCAGAATGTCACAGCATTCCTTTGCAGACAAAATCAAACGCTGCGTTGTTTGCCCGCGGCGTAAAGAAGCACTCCATGTGTCGTCGTATTTTATTGTTTCCCGGATACGAGATACAGCATCGCAGAAGTCTGAAACAGACGACTGCACAGATGCTTCATCCATTAGTCTTGACTGCAATGCGCCGTATAATACATCCACGTGATAGAATATTGTGCAGAAAAAAGCGAGAAAAAATGAAAACTCACCATCTTCTAGCAGACGCTTTAGACCTGCCGCCTCCCTCACAGAGCGTTCGTCCCAAACCGGAGAGCTCTGAATGCCATTGAAACACTCAATGAGCTCAGACCTAATTTCGGACACGCCCTGCACCACGCGTGATTGGAAGTTCCAACGTGTTGGTGCACAAGCTGGGAGACGGCGGCTACATATCTGGCAAAGGAGGTCAGAGCGCTTTGGCGAAACGGAAAAAAATGAAGAAAACCCCGAAACATTTGCAAAAAATATACGGACGAGAGGGGTATCAAGACACATATTTTTAATAACGAGGTTAAATTGGTGTGCATAACAATGTAAAAAATGGGCATGAGGAAAATCTTATTTTATATAAACTTGAACACCATGTTTCGACCCACTCATGACTGTCGCGCCGTCATTGTAAGGCTGTAACACTTCTTTCAGTACAGCCGATATCCCGCAAGCCGTGCGATCAACGATTGGTACAAAGCTGTGAAATCTCTCGATAGGTTTACCATCTTTCACAAACCGAAAAATCACAGCCAGTTGGGAAACGCACGTGATGTCAGTTGTCTCGTCAGACTGAATCGAAAGGAACTGGCAATTCTCAATTTCCAGAGCCAAATGTTGTAAATAAATTTTATACATTGAGTCGAGCAAATCATTTTGAATATCCTTAGATGTCCCTTACGAAACAGTTGCGGCATCAAGATGATCTCTCAATACTGTATCTAGGGATGCGGTGTATTCAACCATATCCAAAAATACCCCTCTATTAGAAGAGCCAGCCCGTTCATCGTGCCCACGGAGGGACAGCTCGTGACAACCAATGAACTTCAAAACATCTATCAATCGACCGAGAACATGGCGGTTTTTCTCGACGTTTTGGTTGTGCCGACGAATAGAAACCGCGCGTCCTTCATCCAACTGTGCTGCAATATTAACATTTCCGAATGTTCGGTATTTTACTGCATTGTCCAGATGCTCCATAGAAGATTGATGATCCCTGGCACGCTCGGAAAGATGTTTAAGATCTCTAAAACCAAATTTACACCAACGTGAGTCACGGGCGGTAGCAAAAAGTAGACAATAAAAACAAAAAAGTGCATTTTTGTCCTCGCTGTAACACAACCATTCGTGTTTTTTATACCAAGTTTCTGCACAGAATGTACGCCTACGCTTTCCTCCGTCATGGGATTGTTCCAGTGAACAATTTTTTGGTTGATAAGGCCCAAGACGTTGTACCTCTAATTTTTGTTCCAGCGGCAGCTGCGAAAACGGAGTGCGAAGTAGTGCATCAACCTTATTCATTATGAGGTCTAAGGCTAAGAAATGCGAAGCCGGAAAGAAGTGAGGAGCTCAAAAGGAATGTGGAAAATCGAAAGCAAATGGACTAAAGGGATCTAACTGATTCAAATAGCGAAACAACTATCAACTCTTCAAGCAACCAACGAACGAGAAGGAATGCGTGAATATGTCAACACGTTGTTGTAAGAAACGTCGGCATTGTGTCGTCATAATTTCAGGCTAGCCCCGATCGGCCCCGATGATTTAGTAAAAGAAACAGAAAACAAACGAGACAAACGCGGCGAGTGGAAGATAAAAGAGAGAATACGATATGAGCAACCGGGGCAAAATCGGCGTCGCCCCGTCGACGTTCGGCTAAGGCTTTGCGAGCGAAAAATGAACCATGTCGGGAGAATATGGCTAGTGTAGACAGTCTGTGCAACCGATATCGAGGTATTTTTCAAATATTTTTTATTATACCGAAAAAACAACCGGGACAATGCCTATTGACGCGCCGCCACTGCTATCATATAACACCATATCTTAATATGAATATTGGTAAGTTATACCAAAATAAAAATTATGAGCCAACACAGAGATATTTAAAAAAGCTAATCTGTAATTGGTAATATTTTGAAAGAGAACTTCTGAAAAAAAAAACATAATTTAGCATAAATCCAGAAAGAATATTGCAAACTTCAACTGGATAAATATGTTTCAATAGAGAAATATATCATACTAACTTTTATTATCCAATGTATCCCTTCTTGCAATGTCAGTAGCCGATCTTGGCGTACTGTTGCTGCTTCTTGGTCGATCGTCCCTCCCATCGATATTATAAGAATCCTTATGATCAGTTCGAGATTCAGAGCGTGATAAATGCACATCGTTAGGCATAGAAATGTTTTTACCATTAAATTCCTTAATAGATTGACTAGAAGAACGCATATTTTGACTACTAGATTGTCTTTGCAAGTTTGGCTTGCTATTATGATGTACTGATGATCGGTAGTCTCTATCTTGAGATCGTGATTCAATGTTATTTGATAATCGTGTATCTCTATAATCAATGTCTCGATAGTCCCGATCTTTTGCCGTACTAGAATTTGTTGTACGATAATCACGATCTTTACTTCCCTCGCTTTCATGATTAGTTCTACTTCTTTGCTGCATTTGGAGCTTTTTTGCATCAGAAAAACTTTTGTGTTGCTTTAGAGCAGCATGATGTGCATTACCACAGCTTGATGAGCCGGATCCATCAGTGGAATGTTTATTGCTCACTGAAAGAGGTCACATACCTAGTTAACAGCAAAACTCAATATCCTTAAACCAAAACAAGACAAATCAAAACAATATATTCAAATAGCATTAAGCGACTTTGTTAATTTTCAAATAATTCCACTTACTACTTCGGGCATTTTACCAGCAAATGGAAGTCTTGTGACCAAGTACCAACCAACTCAAAAACCAAATAGACAAAATTGTAACATCATTCAATAGATAATATTGCCTATAATATATCGGAATAATCTGTTTAATTGCAACTCAGAATTGCGAACATGAAGCAAAATAAATCAAAAAGGGTATTCTATTAACTGCTAGGTAACGAAGTGCAGACCCTCTTGATGTAAAGGGAATGAGTGAAAGGTGGGTCTTATTTAAACATCAGGATTAATTAATGCAAATATTCAGCTTTTAGAATTTTACCTTTATTATGGAGTCCAGAAGATTTAGACTTGTCCTTTTTAACTTCGATCGCTCGACTAGAATAAAAAGCATTGTTTTAGCTCAGCAAATTCAGCTATAAAAGTTTTTCTAAAGACAACCATATATCAGAATATGTGTTCTGCATAAATACATACCCAAGTGGTTCCCAACCTTTTCCCAAGCGACCCAAATTTTGTATAAAAAATTTTTTTGTAAAACCTCTCGAGAGGCATTTATTTATATTTACTTCATTACTTCAACATTATTATTTGTTTGTCATCACCAATTTTTTGATATCGTGGCATGGCTTTACTTAGCAAAATATATGCTTTCAAGTTCAATCACTGTTGAGCAACACTTCAATACAAAATAAACAATAAAATTTGCTAGAAAATGTAATCCTATTGTTTTCTAGTAATAGAAAACTAGACTTTACTAGAAAATAACATGCTTCAGTAGTGACAACACTGGGTCTTATATATACCAAATTCCACCAACGAGAAAGGATACTTACAAGATGACCAATCCTAATGAAACAATTAATGAAACATTTACAAACTTACCTGCTACTCCATTCCTTAGGTCTTTCCCATTGTGATGATTTAGTTTTATTATTGAAAAAATAAACCTTCCCATTAGAACTTAAATGTTCTGACCAATCTCCACAAATTCTTATTGCACCAGGAATCTGCAAAAAAAAATTTCATTAGAATATTTGCATGGATACCGGATATTCCCAAGATTAGGAGTCACCAACACAGTGCCTATTTGCACCAAGTCACCTGTAGAGACTACATGAGTCGCTCGCGAGTCTGTTCTAAAATTAGCTCAAATAACAGCGCTTATCAGTAAGCTGAATCTACTAATTTTATTTTAGCTATTCTTGTTTGAATCACACTTATATGAGAACTGGAAATGACAATATAATATTTATTGTAACGCTCAACTTCATCGATATGTGACCTCACTAATGTCACGGGTCATTTAATACTGTTCCAATCATGACTTAACACACACTGGGTCAGCTTGAGCCATGCGTTTCATGCAATTCTAAGGAATATGGACATATCAAGCATTGCTGAACAACATTTAGCCTTGATGACTTCCACCTCAAACCCTATCGAGGACTCGAGGTACCGTATGCCAAACTTTTGAGGCAAGTTGACACAAAAAAGTGCAGTGGTGTATTGACAGCAGCTTCATAGGTTGGAAGCTTGTTTGGTTAAACCTATCTTTATGAATCAGCCTTTTCTGACATGATCTTCATCAAGAACAAACACAGAACATGACTCAATGATGAAGATCTGCAAGACTCAATCAGAATTGCACATCAGAGTACAGCACACTGGTGGAGAGCATGCAATGCCAGGTTTCACACTAATTGACAAAGAAATAGACCAGATTTGGTCCCGGTTGAAATAAGATATCCATGATAACAAAACTGCTAAGTCCATTTTATCTTGGGCTTGTACAGGGTGTTTGTTAAAAAATGTAAGTACAAATAGGCTGTTATAGAAAAAAATTGTTTTGAAACGTTCAATTTGATAATAAGAGTTACTGATATTAATTTATTTCTTAAAATAATTTTATGTTAAATATTAAACATTATTAGTTTCTCCTAGTAGTTAAATATTGTTATTACTGTAATAGTAATAGTTAAATCTTGATAGAGTACATTGGGAAATAGCCCTCTGCTTCATGAAGGTTGGTGATCTCTGCCCTAAATCAATTAACCAGATCTACGGTAATTGTTGGTCAATTTTCAAGATGCATATTTTTCTAATAGACATCTAGTTGTAAAATAAACCATAACAGGGATGGTCAGCTTCATACGTATCTATGCTGCAATGGATGATAATTTTTTCACTACTCCTATTTTTAAACATGAATAATTTCAATCTATAAAATATTAATTAATAATAAAAACTACCGGTAAATTAAAATTTAAGAAATATAAACGACGAAGCACTTTCAAACTTATTGATAAATCTCTACTTTCTCAACATCATTCCATTATTTAGCTCAAAATTAGCTCCATTCATGTTACCGTCTTAATATAAGACAAGTCATTTAAAAACGCGAATATCAAACAATACTATCAATTACATTTTTACAGATTGTTAAAACTGTCTCTAACCTGAGAAGTAACTGACTTTGTTGATCTGTGATCACGATTTGATTTCACAGAGGACGATGAGCCGATGTCACCAGATGATGCTAAAATTTAAAATGTAAACAAACTGAATAGTCAATGCAGACACTTCCTGTGTGGATCATTTGATTGAGTTAGGTAAATATATATATATATATCTTCCCAAATATGATCAACTGGCGGACCACGGTCTGAATCCGGACCTTCCGGGTATTCGATTCGGACCGCGCCTAATTCTTTATTTTGAAACATTGGCCCCTCTTTTGGAGTTTCCATTTTTAAAATCACTTTTCATAAATTTAAATATATATGAAAAGAACTATAACGCCATAATACACAATCTTGATTAGCTAATAATCATTAGTCGGCCGAGAAAGTGTGTGTTTAAGGATGTCGGAATATAAATTCTGGAAAGACTGGACCCAAATATTTTTATATTTATAAGTTTTATATGCGGATCTTCGGTAAAAATAGTTCAGTAGCCCTGGCCTGCCTACTCTATGAAGGGACAATTTATACAAGTGGACTATGCCATTTGAGAATGTATAAAAATATATGATAATGAGAACCCACTGTGCAAAGATAGTTGCTTATGAAGAATAATAGCAGATATTTAATCTCATGTAAATATTTTGGTGAGAAAGACTATAAAACTTGTATGGAAATATTGAATGCAATTCCACAATGACAAAATGAAATTCTTTAATGAATTTTTGCATTGAAGAACTTTAAAAACTCCAAACTTTATTGCTAATATTTAAGTTATATTAATAAGTCCAGAGACAGCACAATAATCAAACTTTTATGAGACAGATGGTTTATTGGAATCCAATATTACTGGCAGTGTTCACTATTAGCGCACTTTTGTGCGAAAATTGCGAAGCACTTTCGCAACTTTTTTTAGGGACTGCGAAATAGCACTTTTTTCCGATTTTGAAGAGAAATAGCACTTTTTTCCAATTTTGAATGGAATAAAAATTCAAACTTAACAAATATTTTCGAGTATTAAGTTGACAAATAAGTAACATACTAGTACTTTTGTAACTCAGTTCTGCATATCATAACGATATTTACCGGAATTCTAACCTATGAGATGCAGACATAGCTTTTGCATTAACGGCAAAATTCTTGTTTATAATATGATTATTATACAAGCACACCCGATTCCGCTTCTCGCGCAAAAAACGCTCCCGGGGCGTTTCTTTGAAAGAGAGTGGTCATGTGACTATCAATGATATCGATGAATTCAAAATGACTATAAAAGTGTTAGTAACGTGTTATAGTCACTTTGGATGAATTGTGACCAAACTGCACGATTTTCAAATCAGACGAAACTTTTAGCAGCATGTCACTGATTTGCAAAATCAACAAATTCACAAAATACCATTAAGTGCCATTTTATTGTAATCACAATGTTGAAAGGACGTGGTATTTTCCGGAATTTTGCGATATTTACACAACTATTTCTCATTGATATGCGAGGACGGGTGGGCAAAATTCAATATATTTTTGAATCTAATATTTTTAAGGAGTACCAAATAAACATGGTGAAAACATTAAAAAATCGGCAACAAAGCCTTTTTACTGGTTAATTCCGTTGTAATCGCTAATTGTTCTTGTCACCGATCGTTTTGGCGGCGATATCCAGGTTTTGGGTAATCTATATTCCCGCCCTCTCTTTTTTACAAATATGAATTCTTGTGGGTCGGCGGACATCGAAGTTTTATATTTCGGGTTTACCCGTTCGTTCACATCGGCAACAGATGTTGGAGACATTGAGGACTCAAATTAACATTTGCGTTGGCTTTAATATTACCTATCAAGATTTGTAAATTTACCGTCCCAATTTTATGCGAATGGTAATATTATTGTCCATACCGTGATGCAGATATTTATTAACACGATAATTAACTTTCTCATGTATTTCTATGGTGAAACTTCGCAAATCTGAAATTGTGCCAATCCTGAATATTGATTTGAAATAGTGATCGAATAATTCGGCTATAAAGGCATTTCTGCGTGGTCATAAGACGAGATGACGTTAATGAACAGCACTTCTTTTACAGGATATTTTACAGATGCGACTTAATGCTGAAAAGATTGGGCTCGAGTGCTTTTTTTTCGAGTGCTCGAGTGCCTAATAGAGGTCAGGCGCTAATTGTAACTAATTCCCTCAAGTTTCAACGTGTTTTCAACGAAACAATACCCCGGCGACAATTATAGCTAAAATGTTACCGAGCAATTCACAATTTTATTTATGGAATTTGCAAATTCACCAGTTTCTTGACGATTTTGATATTGTCACGCCCTAATTATTTGTGCAAAAAATACTCCCCTTATTCCGTGGCGGTTTGACGGGTTCTTTGTTCCATTCTTCAGAAAGTTCTGACACGGGGATATAGAATACTGAATCCGGAGGGTTGAATCCCTGTCCACTTACTGGTGATTTTCCGTTTTGAAATGCGTGAAACATTCTCTATTTTAAATTAAATGGCGTTTCGCGGGCTAGAGTTCTCCCCGAAAATGATGTGTTCCAGACGTTAGTTATACGATAGATAAAACATTAGATTATTAATTTTCGTGACGCCCCGTTTTCGAAAACACAAAGTTATATCGCAAAAAAGCGTTATGATACATTTGGAATGAAACATTATTTACCGTTAATTCAGATCATATTTTACTCTTCATGACACCCGGTATCCGAAAATACAGTTGTATCTCGAAAAATGTGTTTTGTTACATTTAAAATAAAACATTTTTGCGATTAATTTAGATCATATTTTACTTTTCACGACACCCGTTTCCGAGAATACAAGGTTATATCGCGAAAATGTGTTTTGTTACATTTAAAATAAAACATTTTTGCGATTAATTTAGATCATATTTTACTTTTCAGGACACCCGTTTTCGAAAATACAAGGTTATATCGCAAAATGTGTTTTGTTACATTTAAAATAAAACATTTTTGCGATTAATTTAGATCAAATTTTACCTTTCACGGCAACCCGTTTCCGAAAATACAAAGTTATATCACAAAAAATGCGTTTTGTTACATTTATTTTGCATTCCCAATAAAATACATATTTTCCCTAATTAAGGTCGTCGATGAATCTGTTCCTGTCGTTCAAGCTCGACACACGTTTGGACGAGTGTGGGGGCGGTTTTTTGGTCGACGATAAATTAAAAAGTTGCCACACGTTATTTGTATAACGATAGTAACTGAAAATTAAGATTTTATGATAGAAGTGAATTTGTCTCAAGATGGTATTTTACGATTCCTGCCCACAGAAAATAAACACGCTGACAGGCTTGGTTATAATTGATATTCGTTAAAATTTTTTTTACACTATTAATAAACGCACCACACCAATTGCGACCATATAAATTGCAGTCGCATCGGTATGGACTGTATGTTTTTGGCGCTCTCACATTAATAATAATTTTCAACAAAACAATACCCCGACGGTCATTAAAGCTGAATTCGTTACCGAATAATTCACAATTTTATTTTTGGAATTTGCAATTTCAAGATCTCACTTGACGATTTTGATGTCATGCCCTAATTATTTCTGCTTAAATGCCCCAAAATACAACAAATGTAATCATTTTCGACGATAACAGGCGCAACAATTCGTAAACGAGCCGTTATAACGAAATTCGCGATTGATTTTACCTCTCTCTTGTTTACAATTTTAACATCCCGCCGGCCATGTATGGTCGAATAAAATGTTCACATATTCGAAACATGACTTGGCCAAGGATGGAAGGGATCACTAAAGAGCTAATAGAAAGTACATACGCGAGGGTATGATATTAATATCGAGAACATTTGTGAGCATATCACAGGACTGAAATATTTTGCACCCGGCTGTTTGTTGGCAGAACAACGATACGCTAAAGTTAATTGATCGAATACAGGGAAGTATTTATTTATCATCTCACTTGCGAACATCGAGGTTTTGGCGGAATTGTACGATCATGTTGTCTTTCTTAAATAATAACTTTTTCAATAAATGTTCATTTTACTTTTGCGTCTTTATTATATGTCGGGTTTTCATTTATTTTAAATTCGAAATTGTCCGAAATACTCCCAACAGGTGTATAAGTACAATAATATTGGTACTTACCAAAGTACTTACCAGGGAAGTTTAATACACACGATGTGTAAAGGGCGTCGTAACTCCCGTTTATTAATTATAAATTATTTTTCATTCTGCTTAAAAAACAACGGCAGCATCTCGCTTAACTCTCGCGACCAAATCTCTTTTGTTTTGTATGGCATCGTCTTGGCGATGAATTTATTGCCGACTGAATTTCAATTGTGTTTTAGTATAAGTTATTTTCTGTTTGTTGGTTTCTAAATTTTACAAACTTGAGTAGCAAATACTATTAATGTGAGATTTGTGCATATGAACGATTGAATATCGCGACTGGATGTCCGATATCTGAGAATGCGTAATTCTCTTTCAACATTAATTTTCAGAATATCAGCGTTCATGTGGTCGAATAAAAATTATTTATCAAATGGATTGGTATTTCGAGACACTGTCAAAATTATTTGGGATCCACTATCATATCATTCGTTTATTTTTTTTATTCATGTTTTTCTCAAGAATCACCGTCCTTATATTTAGTGTACCTTCGCAAAAGAAAACTCTTTGGTGTCATCGTTCCTATTAGTGTAATTGAAATATATGGAAACCTCGCAAGTGGCGTTGTGATGCGAATATTTGATACTAGGTCAGCAGCATTACAAAGAGTGCTATTTATGAATGCTGAAAGTACATGACATTACTGAACATTTTGTCAATATATGATGTTTTCTGCCCGATTTAAACTAACTCGCACGCAAACCAAGGCATGTCGACATTTAAAAATTACTTTTCTTTGGGTAAGCTTTGAAATAGTATAATATAAATGTAAATGAGGAATTAGGTCACACTAGCTCACGAAACGGGAGGATTTTCAAAGTGATCTTGTGTAATATTTCGGAGAAAAAAGTTTGAAAGGAAAGTAGGTCAACCTATCTCCTAAAACAGGGGAGTATCCTGCGTAATATTTCGGAGGGAACGTAGGTTAACCTATCTTTTAAAACAGCGGGTGGCGACTTTCAAAGTGGTTCAAAATCACAAATTAATAATTATCAGATTAGGTTTAGGGATAAATCGAAAAAATGAATTTCGAGCGCACCTAACCCTAATTAGGCTATTTATATTTGGGGGGGGGGGTTATTTTGCACGGGATTTGTACAAACGAACCACCCTGTAACTAATATGGTTTCCAGCCTGCCTCGTGTCTGTTAGATGGAAGGAGTAACAAATGTGAAAGTCTTTGCTGTTTAGGCTAGTAAGCAACTGACACCGTGATACATTGCATGAAAGTTTTGTCCGCGGCAGGTGTTAGCAGATGTTATTTCGTTGCCGATGAATTCGCTTGTTTTAATTAAACATGAATTCGCTTAAAGGGAACTCGGTTAACGAAGAGGCTTCTCTTTAATTCATAATATTAACCGGAGGAGCGCTTTTTCGAGTATCTATGCCGTTTTGAATGGGTTATATGAAAGGCTAGGGCACATAACTTGTGAAAATCGGCAAAATCACTTTCGCACTTTTTTTTTCGACTGCGAAGCACTTTCGCACTCATAATTTGCTTAGAGTTAACACTGATTACTGGTGCTGGGAACCATTGAAACAAGCTTTAATTCTCTCAATTCTAAAAAACATCTTTAATGGTGATTGTATGGTTGAGTTGTCTACATTGTGCTTTCCACTGAATTTGAAACACTAACTTTCCATATGCTGACAAGGTTAGCCTAACCAATTTGAGTATGTTGTAAATTTATATTATACACTTACACTTATCATTGAATTTGTGCATTCCAAACATCTCTTTCTTCCCATCTACATGTCTATGATGATGCTGATGAACTGCTTCAGATTTTCGCATTTCATGCATCCCTGTAAAAATACGAGGAAATAAGACAAAATGCCCAATTTGACAAGGCCAACATAAAAATACTAGATGAATAATTACAAAATATAAAGAAAAAACATTTCTCAAATAGGTGGAGTGTGCCTAATGATCAGGTTCAAAGCTCATGCTCAGCGATAAAAACTCTTGTGCTTCATAACTATAGCAGTATAGAGCCGAATAGCAGCATTATGTTACAACACTTCAAAATAAAAGATTATCTGTAAAAGGTTCATAAATAATTCAATTCATGATTTTTCAAGAGAATGCAGAGTAGTATAATGCCACACTATGTTTATATACTACAAGAAGAGTCTGTTAGCAGAAAGATCCAACCAAGACCAGAGTCGGTATTTTTGTTATTAGGATTGAATAAAGCAGTTCTGAAAAAAAAAATTTTTAAACCCATCTGACAATGTGGTGGTAGCGGTAATTATTGCCTCCTGTGTGAGACTTTAGCTCATACTGCAAAGAAGGCCTAATACTTTCAAGGCACGTCTAACAAACCACAAAAGCAGCTCAGTAGTCTTCCCATTTGTAACAGGTACCCAAGAGATGAGAGCAAATAGGCAAGTAATTTATTCAGTCAATAATAGGAAAAGTCAAAGATTTCATTTCTTCAGATCTATGTATCATGACTAAAGCAGAATATAAACTTTTTCTTACTTAACTTTCATTTTACTTTGGTAATGCCAGTAATGCCAACCTCAATTAAAAATTCCAGTGGCTTCAGGGACCCCTATGCGAAAGTTTGATTGCATTTTTCTGTATGAAAAGCAAACCCTTACAATGGCAAAACGAAACAATCTTCAAAGTGTAGAAAGGTCAATAATAGTGGCAAGCCTAATGTAATATGTATTTGATTATATTTAACCAATATCTGAATATACATATATTAATAGACTCTCGAATTTAAATGTAAACTTGCAGATTCCCTGGAATTTACTGGAGGTGATGCTGTGGAACCCCAGTTGAAAATCACTCGATTATGTGTCAATGGCAACACTGCACGGTCAGAAAACTTGTATTGTGTATGTATGGGTACCGACCAAAGACAGAAATATGTTCACTGGTTTTTAGGTTACAGGCAAAGTTTGATGAGTTTATATTTATGTGGTCATAAACCATTATATAAGTTATGTGTTGTCTGTGTAAATATATTAAGTTCAACTTGGTGTTATTGGATTTATATCAAAGTATCATAACTACACAATATTCAATTTATTATTTTAATGACTTTTAAAAAGAATGCTGAGACACAGTTTGGTGGAGAATCTGTGAGAGTACAGAACAACCAGTCAGGATCGTCAATATAATGCAGTCTTGGACCAGGCACTTGATGTCCATTGAAGTGCATTCTTCATACTGCTGTACTACAGACTGCTGTTTGACTGTTGTCTGAAAAAGATGGTTATGCTGAAAGATAAGAGATTAGGTTGAACAGTACCGGTACCGTATACCGGTACCTTCTCACAGGTTCGGTATACCAAAAACATTTAGGCGGCGAGCAATTACTATATTCAGATATTGAATGCCACCGATATGATATCAAGATACTGGGACATTGTACATGGCGGGCAGCCGGGACATCCGGAAAGACGACTCATGACAAAATATACCGGTACAACGCTATATTTACCTCGTTTTTGTACTGCGTTCATGGATAAGGCGTTACTTCTCTGATTTGGAAAGTATCGTTTGATCTTTCGGCGATGACCATCGCATCACAGCTCCGAGAACAAAACAAGTGGCAGCATCAACGGTACGCGGACTAGAGACGATTGACAGGGCTTGGCTGAAAGACTGGACCAATGAAAAAAGCTTAGAAGTGAAAGGAGTAAAACAACAGCGTTTTCCGGTTATCCGTTCTTCGTAACGTCTGTTTATTGAAATCAGAGCCATTGTATAATGGCTCTGTTAAAATCATAACTTTGATGATTTTAATTTGTCTATAGAAGTTCTGGATCTGAATATGTTACCCAAAGGGGTGGCTTATGCATAAATATTTGAAATGTAAAAATGAGGCGATGGTTTTATATTTTCACTCCACGAATTGAGTGGTTTTGACTCCGACGATTGTATTGTGACCAGACAGTGTGTACCTACAAATTTTTCTTTTACCTATTATGCTTATGTTTTCCAATAACGTTTACCTCATCTCTATCTCTTCTTAATGCTTGTGTGCGTGTACAATCACAAGCCTTACAATCACAAAAAGAGTTCAAATGGGGAGTAGAGATCTTATCGAGAGGAATTCGGGGAAGGGAGAAAAGGGCGATTTATAAGTCGATCAAGTCAAGTCAAGTTTATTTTTTCCAACCAGTAAAAATCAAAAAACATGCAAAAATATAAAGAAAAAATGATATTCAAATTACTGGGGAAGGGAAGCCGCGGGGAACCAAAACTGGTTATCGAGCTGCAACACCCAAGGTTCTAACACCTAGTTTGACAGATCGGGGAGAAGAGTTTCAACGAATAGATATCATATAAATTTTACTAATTAGCTAACTAATTTCAATTGTTTTATATTATTACTAGAAATTACCGTACATCTTACCAATGAGAGTACCCTATAGCCAACAACCTGGCGAGGTGAACGAATGGAGTGTATGCTATGTAAAACTACAAACATTTACTAACTCTGCAGTTCGGGATTTGAGAATGAGTAATATTCGAGGTCATATAGGAACCGTTAATATTTGTTAACCCAAGCACACGATTATCTCTGTTTCTGTTAGGGCAGAGCTGAACCCAGCAGACACGAATAGTAACAAAGCAACCAACCTTATATTTGTTGTATTTAGACGACACAAGAAGAATATTATAACACGTTCAGTCCAGTCCATTAATTTAAAGAATTATTGTCAGTTTATATACAATAGTCGAGACGCCTGTTATGCCTTTAGGGTTTAGCTTTTACGTGGATATCGTTTATAATAAATAAAGTAAGAATGCCGTAATTAAGTCTCGGCAATTCTTGTAAAACGATTTAGAAGAATGTCTGTAGCCAATTAAATAGTTAGCTGTAAGTGGTCGAGTGATTAAAAACTGGCTTGTACTAGTTTGTCTTGCTCAAGGGCAAGATAACGTGTTTTTAACTAACGGGTTATTCCTATGAAAGCCAATTAAGTATTTAACGTAAATATCTTTAAGAAGAAATCTTGTTCTACTGGGAATTACCTTTTTTCTTACTGTTAAAAATATGGTCTAAATAACTAATATCCCTATATAATTCGGCCCTAAAGAACGGAGTTCGGGGTTTCGGCATAACAAACGTGTCAAAAATTGTACAGATCTCTACAAAATAATAACGAAAAAATAATGATTGTAAGATTACACTGAAATTATAACAAAATAACTTGAGTGAAATTAAGGTTATCAGGGTGATAAAATAATGATTTGATTTGTAATAATATGGAAAGTTTTATGATAATTTTCAACTTATTTCCGAATTAGCTAGTTTTAAAATTGAGTTATTTTTTTCAATGTCATTAATACTTCAAGTAATAAACAAAATATTCATGATTATACGGATACACATTAATATATATACTGAAATTGAAAAATTTAATGGGACAGAGAAGAGGCATGAATAACAGGTAATTAGAAAAGTGGAAAGAAGCTTTTAGAAAAGATTGGCGTATTATAGTTTTAAATTTGATGTTGACAGTCAAAACAGTGATTTTAATTTAACATATTTCATCACACCTTAACCTTACAACTCGCAAGTAATGGCTTAGCTAGCCTTGATATCCCTTGTTGGGTTTGAAGCGCTTTGAAAAAAAAATTAGCCTTCTGTGTGCGTTGAGAAAAAAATGCGCTTAGTTTATGTATTTGATCAATATATTCGTATTAGACGAATATATTGGCGAGATTAAAGTATGATTATATTTAAATCATCTTTTTAAAAGGTTGCCAGTGATTTAGAAACATATTCTATCGAAAATGGGGTTGTTTATGACCGTCAAATTTACATTCTTTATGAATTTTATGAAAACCATTCGTAACTAAACATTTACTTATGTTGGACAATCATTTGGCCTAACGATTTTATGCCACTTAAATAAACATCCGAATTACCCTACCTTCAATGAATTCATAAAAATTGGAAGCCGAATTTTAAAACGCCAGAGAGAAATAGAAGAATTTTACCTTAAGAATAGGAGAAGTATGAAGCGTGTCCCAACAAGATGAAAAATCTGCACTGATAAAATAAAACAAAATTATGAGCATGAAAATAACATATTGTTACGTTTGTCATTCTTTTTGTCATTTGTCGCGTTAAATAATTTGTTTGGGCGCGTTTTATGTACCGTATTTCTTTGAAAAGTCCCTTCGTCTGTAGTTGATTCATTATTTCATCATTTTGATTATTTTTCGTTGATTTTTCACCTCATAATTTTTTAAAAGTTCATTTCGTTTGTCCGTTAGCCATCGTCAAGATTCATCGTTTTGTCGTTCCATAGCCGTCTACCATTGTTCAACTGTGTTTATCTTTAATGCATTGTCATCTCGTTCTTTGTTCGTTCTTTAGCGTCCGCACTGGGAAGAAAAATTGGCGATTATTTTTAGCTAATGGCCCCTATACGCTTAGGTTAGTAGGAATCGTGAATATTACTTAACTTTTGTTCCTCCGTAGATGTTGTTGATCTCCGTTGGCACAACAGCAGCGAATCTGACTCCTCTCAGATAGGCACAATTCTCAGTCGGGGTCTCACCAATTTTATAGGAACCGTTAATATTTGTTAACCCAAGCACACGATTATCTCTGTTTCTGTTAGGGCAGAGCTGAACCCAGCAGACACGAATAGTAACAAAGCAACCAACCTTATATTTGTTGTATTTAGACGACACAAGAAGAATATTATAACACGTTCAGTCCAGTCCATTAATTTAAAGAATTATTGTCAGTTTATATACAATAGTCGAGACGCCTGTTATGCCTTTAGGGTTTAGCTTTTACGTGGATATCGTTTATAATAAATAAAGTAAGAATGCCGTAATTAAGTCTCGGCAATTCTTGTAAAACGATTTAGAAGAATGTCTGTAGCCAATTAAATAGTTAGCTGTAAGTGGTCGAGTGATTAAAAACTGGCTTGTACTAGTTTGTCTTGCTCAAGGGCAAGATAACGTGTTTTTAACTAACGGGTTATTCCTATGAAAGCCAATTAAGTATTTAACGTAAATATCTTTAAGAAGAAATCTTGTTCTACTGGGAATTACCTTTTTTCTTACTGTTAAAAATATGGTCTAAATAACTAATATCCCTATAGTCATTGCCCAAAATGCTCTCAAAACCGTCAAGCATGCCAACATTGCCTATACACTTGCTTTATGGCATTTTGTGGTTTCTGCGTATGAATGTTTGCGCGTTCTGACCTCATATTTTTCATTTTTGATATTTATCTTATGGCTAAACCATCAGTCGTCACAAATCCAACATATTTATTATGCTCGGACTTTTTTTTAAATGGCATGTAACAGTAACTGGTTTGATTCGCATACCAAAGAGGTTGTTTTTACTACAGTGATTTTGACGGATGCAAAACTGAGAATGAAAAATTCGACCAAGCAACAATGGATTTTAATAATGGAAGATGTATTTGGCGACTTCGGCAAAGATGGTGATCTTCCATCATCTACTTTTTTGAAAACAAAGAAAATGGGCAAGAAACATGAGCGAAAGTACAGATTGATAAAGGACGATTTTCAATCTGAAAATGTCAAGATCAGCAAACCTACATGCCAACCGTCAACCTTCGCTCATTACCCCAATATTTTCAAAGCTTTATTATGGATCTTATGTTACAACATTTTGTGATAATTACTTAGCCTTCAAAATGGAACATTCAGGACACTCATAAAAAGGATATTCGCGTGGGTCTAGCTCAGACGCCTAAGATCTGAATGGGGAAGATCAGTAATCAGTAGTTTATTTTTTAATACGCTGAAAAAGCACTCACGACATACAAAGTATCATAGGGCCTATGAAGAAATTGCATTTCAGGTTGAAGGGAAACGCAGAAACCCAATACTGGTTATTTAGCATCGGCACCCATTAAAAAAGTCTAGAAACCATAATAAAAAAGAAGAAAAATATGAAAAGACACACTAAGATGCCCATTATGAAGCCGATGTGATGAAAAGAAGTATATATAATCCATCTGGTTGTCTGGACCATACGATTCTTTGATAATATAGTTGTATGTATCAAGCCCTTTTATTATAAAGGAATTCAAATGCAATATGGGTAGTGTCGATTTGCTTGATCAAAATATTGCACGCTTTTGCAACTATCATTTGAAATCCCGAAGATGCGTTGATCAAAAGATTTGCGTTGATCATTTGTATCAAATGGTTGAATCTGAGGGACTTCGAGGGAACAGAAATAATCGACTTAGCTGTCGGCATTGAATTGGTCGGTAAATTCATGCGAGAGAAACATAGGAACAATCGATGCTCGAGACAGCAAGATGGAAGCTCCGGAATGTTGGACGTTGCGAAGACTAAAATTATATACTCCAATTTCTACAAATTCGAAACAATTTTGTAACATAAGAAGCAACGCCCGAAACTAGTTTTCGTGTTTTTATGTTTGTTGTTTACTTTTAAGCTTTATTTGTTTACAAAAAAACAGCAGCTAATTAATTAATTGTTATTATTGGTATTCGCATTTCGGCACAGGCACCGTCACATAACTTCCAAATGTTTTTGTATCGTTCACGACTTTCACTCATCGAAATTATTTGCAACATTACAAGTAGGCTTCGACCGTGAAATTTATTTTCTCGTGATCATGTACTCTGTTCATTAATTTATTATGGTATGATGGTAAATGCCTCTGTTCTGCAATTGGTGCAAATAGCTGTTGTGGATTCCTGGTTATTAAATCGTAGAGATTGCAAACAGCATTCTTTGGAGAAGCCACTGAACCCAAAATTGGGTTAGTAGCTCAATGTGTAATGTTTCTATTCGTTTTACAGAGGAGAAATTGTTTTCCTGGCTTCCATATTCAGGATTACATTAGTTGAAACATTTCTTTATTTCGTTCATAGCAAAACATTAAACAATACAATGAAGAAAAAAAATAATTTCAAAAGTAAGCAAAATCTATAAAGAGATTTAGAAGCAGCGAGTGCTATTATTTTTTGTCGACCAGAAAAATACATTTGTCAATATTAAACAGATTACTTTTTTCAGATCAAAAACACCTAAATAAAAAATCAAACATGGAGGTTGATTTGTAAATTTCAGTAATTTGTAGATACTACGTACCGGTATATTATGATTGTGTATACGAAGCGAAAAATAGATGCAAAAATTGTTACTACAAAATCCTCGAACAACCACTAGCTGTCCTGCGATCCATCAAATATTCTTAGGTATTTCGAATTTGAGCTCTGCAGTTACGGAACGCTTCGAAACGCAAATAAACATTGCACATTCTTAGTTACCAAATCCGATTTCTTCAAGACGGGTCGATGTCATTTCTAGATCAGCGTTTGGTTGCGTTGCTCAAGACTGTAAGAGAAAAATTTAATTATATATTTTACGTTTTTCCTCGGATGAAATCGGAGGTATTAAGCTCGCTTGAATAATAATGAATGCAAGTTCGCGCCGATCACCTTATCGCGGACGTCGACGGGATCGCTCAACTTCTGAAGAGCGTCCCAGGACAAGAACTTACGATCCAAGCGAAACAGATTATTCCGATGACTTCGAACCAGATGCAATAAGCAAAAATGCTACACCACCGCCAAAACGCAGGGGAGGAAATGCTAGAGGAAGAAGACATGATAGTGGTTCTTACTACACAGACCAATCTTCCACTTCACATTTACATTCTTCAGGCAGCAAAAAATCAACTCAAAGTGTAGCTCGTGGTTTGAAAGGTCAGAAAAAATCCAGACCCAGGTATGGCTGGAAATCCAACAATTCGGGTAAGCCGGAATCGATTCGAGCACATAGGGATAATATAACAACCAGAATGTTGTCAGCAAAACAAAGAAAAATAAATGAACTACAAAATGAACTTGTCGAAACTGAACACAGATTAGATGGTATGCTTAAAGAGAACAAACTTTTAAAAACTGTTCAGCACCGACAGGATAAAGCTCTCAAACGATTTCAAGATGTTGAAAGTGACTTGCCCCGACTAATAGCTCAAAATTTTGAGGATCAAAGAGTCTTAAAAACCAGACTTAAAAAGGCACAGGAAGCCGAACGAATCTTAGAAGAAAAACTCCATGAAAATAATGATGAAATGCAGAAAATGGAGAAAACCTTGCGGAAGCTGAAAAAAGTTGTTTATGACAAAAACTTAGGGGAAAGATCAGAACTTGCAAGACAGCTTACAAATACAGAGAATAATTTAACTGTTGCTGAACGGAAAGTCAAAGAGTTGGAGAAAAAATTAGAGTTAACAACGAATAGTTTCTCGAGACAAATCAAATCAGAAAGGCAAAAACACAAAGAAACAAAGGAAAAGTTGGATGCTTTGACTGATGACTATCAAACTGTGCAATCAAGATTAAAAGAAAAAGAAAGAGCATTAAATGTTAGTAATATTTATGCTTTAAGAAATAAAGAGCAATCTGCTATAAAGTCAATTCAATCTACACCCAGGAAACATTTTTTGCTTAATTCAACTTTTACTCAAACTGAAGCACCTCTTCCATTAACATTCCACTCAAATAATGCAACAGTGAAGCCGACACAGATGGGTTTGAGACGAAAAGAGTCTCCTAGTGAGAGAAAAAAAGATAGAACGAAACCAACTGAAAATCACTCGGATTTTCGATCATCTCCTTCAAATTCTTCTCCTGTTCCTACTGCAAATACCATGGGCATTTTGACTTCTAGTCCAACTACAAATGGCTTACATTCAACCACAGGTCATGTTAGCAAAGAGCAAAGTAAAACCACTGACCAACATGCATTTCTCACTTCACACCCTCTATCAAATTCTTCAACACCAACTCACTCAATGGTAGCTGATTCTATTGAATTTGAAAAACCAGCAACCCAGTTTGAACCAAGTTATTACGAGTCTTCATCACTGAGATCAAATGTTAAAGTAGAAGAAGAAAAACAAAACTCAATAAGTGAAATAAAAAAGCAACAAAAACTGGAAGAAGAAAGGAGACGATTAGCAGAAGAGCAAAAAAAGAAAAATGCTTTGTTAGCAAAAATGCGCGAAATTGAGCACGATGAGCCTAATTCTCTTCCTCTTGAAAGCAATAAAAATTCTTCAATTTCACCTGCACCATTGTCATTTGAAACTATCAAAAATCCGCCCATTCCAAGCAAAGTCACAATGCACCCTAAATCAAAGGCTGAACTTGTGAAGTCATTATTGGGAACTGACACTAATGACTCTGATCCAGTTGTGGAAAATCTTCATATGGGATTGCCTTCAAATCCGAAGAAGGTTGAAAAACCTGAAAAGGAGTTGTCATTTGGAGGATATGCTCCTTCTGTTGGAACTACCCAAGCTAGCAGAAAACCTGTCACTATCAACAAGAAGCCAGCCATGATGTCATCTGATTCTGATAATGATGAGCCAATGTTTGACTTAGATAGTGGTACACAAAACAAAAAATCGGATTTATTATCTCAACTTTTTGGAGAGCAAAGCACTGATAAACTTAAAAATGATTCTAATGAATCTTTGAAAGCAAATGGGACAGGAGGAACGACTCCACGTGCTAAACCTGTTCATTCAGGATATCCATGGGAGAAAAATGTTGTAACAACAAACCATGTTAATGCTCATGTTTCAAGTAAAACTAAGACAGGTTTACCTGTTAAAGCTACTCCGTCCATTCATGAAGATGACATTGAGGAATTGGTGTTGTGAGACTTTAAAAATCACTTAGCATTTACAACCACAAATTTCAACTTTTAAGATTGAGTTGCTTTGAAGCAGCAAAGAAAGCATACATACCAATTTTTTGTATACATTTTTTATCTATAATTCGGAACTATCGTGTAACTAAATAATAAATAAGCTATTTCACTTATCATTCGTTAAACTTTGTTTGTTGGTATGGATATCAACAATGTTCAATACCGGTATTTGCACTGTTACTATTCTGCAATTCATTTTAAATTTGAATTGGTGAATAATGCCCCTAATCATGGAGTACCCAAATCATTGTTTATACCACATTGAGTCCATTTCTCTGACTTGAACTTTCCTGTAAGTTGGTAAATTGTTACCATTATTGACTACAATCGTTCTGATCTTGTGATTACTACTCCTAATCTTACAAAAATATTGCTGACAAAAATAAATTAATATTGTTTTTGTAAAGTAAAAAGTAATTCAAACAGTAATTCTTAAGCCGTCCAGGTGTGTGTATATATTTTACTGTGACTCTGACTTGCTGTCATGTGTTATGTGGCTTTGACAGCTTTATCAAATTGTTGCAAACCATCATAAATTTTGTAGATTTTTCAAGTTGAAGATTTTTGCTCAGGCATGAATTCTATGTATATTTGGTTTAGGTATGATTGTGTCAGTATCAAAATGAGAAATCGAATGATAATGTATCATCTCTATCAGAAATATTTCATTCTGGTGCACTGATTTTTTATTCCTAGTGAAACATATTACATCACGAGTATAAAATTTTTTTCAAAATGGTTTAATGGTTAAAACATTGATAAAAAAGGATTGGCAAGTGTCAATGAAACCACATGTTATTATGGACCTGTGATTCATTATGTTATGACGCCACTGCTGCCTCCATTTAAATTTAAATGCTGTTGACAGTTGTCAGGTGATTGTATTGATTTAATTGCCAAGTGAGGAAAACACCCATTGTACTGACTCATCAAAATTTCATAACTATTTGCTATACATAATTTAATGAACAGTCGAATGATATATGTTACTTAGCAATATTTTTAACAAATGTTTGCCATCACCATTAAATTGTTCAGTTTTCAATGCAATAAATATTTTATGATTCATTATATTTCAATTTATAAGCTATGTTAAATTAGCCAAATTCAGGCCCTGTGACCAATTGATATTAATTCATGTTCCACCAAGTGTCATTCTAAATGTTTTCTGTCATAATCTGGCAATGTTAAAAACACCTGTTAATTGTCTAAAAAATCTTATTAGGCATGTAGTAAATCTACGACTCTTTTATGGGTTTTGTAGTATGAATTCTCAATAGGGATGTAATAACAATCAACTTTTTGCTATGTTATTGTTTTACTTGAGAATGATTTGATTGGTGAGAATCGCTTGAATATATTTGTTGGTCGTCTTGTTAGCGAATGTTACCTAATTTAAACAACGTTATTTTTTGGAACACCCGTTTTCTAATCTAAATGATATATATACGATATTACTATATTTTCTATGATTAGATTTGAGATAACTCGTCATCAAATAATTAAGACAAAATTGCAGCCAATAATAATCTTGATAAATATTGAGGGCAAATTACCATAAGAATCGAATATTTTTGTTTCTGGTTGTGGCATTATTTTGTTTATTTTGATGTTTGGTGTCATCAAATACCCAATATTATTGTCATATATAAGAATTGGTATTGGCATTTATTTTGATAAGCTTCAATTAAACTTCTGTCGAAAGTATGCTTAAATGAGCATGCATCAAAATTCTACTTTTTCACCTACAAAGCCGGATGCTACTAAATCGTCACTGTGTTTTAACCTGTGTTGCCACTTACCGTATATGTCAAACAATATGAATCATCAGAATTTTACGACCTGTAATTCTTTCCTGATTTTGATTGTATATTATCACCTATTGTGTCATATTGAAGCTTGTCAAACTCTGAAGTCTGTGTCCATATATCATGGAGCCATTTTAACTACTTTGTATCAGTCCGTCTGAGATGTGTATTGTGTCAAGTTACATTGTTTAAATCTGGGTTGTTTCTTTTTTTGAAGTGCACAAAGAATATGCCAAAAATATGTATGGAATCCAAATTACAGTCAAATAACATGAGAATCATGCTAGGTAATTCTCTTTTAACTGAGTTTGTATCTGGCAAAATTCATTTGATGCACTATATAACCCTGTTAAATTACAGTTCATTGAAAATAAGTGAGGCAAAAAAATTATTTGAGTTTATAAACATGTGTTCTATGAGTTGTAGGCTGGAAACTGTGTTGTCATTGATTTTCAATTAAGATTCGAATCTTTTCTGCATTTTTTGAGGTTGCATATTCAAATATGTCTTTTACTGTCTTTTTGAAATTATCAGTTGAAAAAAGTGTTGACTATTGTTTACTTTTCACAAAACTTGGTCATTTAATAACTTTTATTTGAAAATATTTATTCTTCTATCTTGATCTAGATTTCTGGACAATCCAATTTTAATTCAATATGTGTGTTTATTTGGAATTGTTTTGTATTGTAATTATAACTACCTACTTATAGTACTCCAATATGATTATGAATAATCATGGTTGTTACTTTCCACTGTAGCTAGTAATTGATTTTACGAAACGGTACAATTCTTTAAAATGAAGTTCTTAAGTTTGTTTATTATTTTCTTTTCTTAAATTCAAACTCTGTGTATGATTGTGTTGTCTATAATATAACTGTATTGCCTTTGTAGATGATTTTTTTCTTTGTTATTCAAAGTATTTTCTAAATGAGTTTGTATATTTTTTAAGATGTATACTTAATGTTATAAATAACTCCTTGGAAGCGAAACAATATGGAAAATATTGCCACTTCACGTAGGCCTATCGACTCCGGCATTTCAGAGGGGGGCATCTCAAATCTTGATGACGAAGATAAACTCGATAAAGAACGTCTAATTTCTGAGTCGTCTGATGAAGAAGATATTGTCTTTAAAGATATGGAGGATTCTGAAAACAACACTGATATGCCTGCAGTCGAGTCAAAGAAATCTGGAGCTATGATTGCTGTGAAAGAAAGGTAATTGCATTTTTCATTATTATCCAAAATTATGTCAATTGAAGTCTGTAAAAGGGTCAGCAAAAATGCAGCATGGAATACCTTCACCATCATTGAATTAAAGTATATCACAGACCAATATAAAAATATAAAAGACCAGTACAAAAACTAATATTTCATTGCAATTATTTTAAATCATTTCAGACTAAATTTTTTTTTGTTTTCACCTATTGTAGCATTCTGTTTTAAAAGGTATCTTAGATTTGCATGGTTAACCAAATAGTTTTGCTTTTTTAAATATATTTTTGACATTCATAAACAAAAAATTGTTGCAAATTGTGCGTAGCCAATAGCAATACATAGCTCATGAACCCCAAAGGAAGGCCATGTGTTTCCAAGGAATGTTACCATAGTTAGTTTATTTGCCGCATCTTGTATTATATATTTTCAATATGTCAGAAATATTAGACTTGAAATTTTTTTTATCTTATTTTTTTTATCATCTTTTATTTCAAAACCAGTTGGTCTAGCAGTAAACGTTTGTTGTATTGAACAAAACCCGTGTTTATGAATGTCAAGTGGCAACCTACCATTCTTTTGTCCTTTCCTCTCGAGTACTTTTGTATATCTGATTTATGTATGTTATCCTAGATTTTGTGGAACGATGTTTGTCTCGGGTCAAGTGGAATTATATTCCACTAGATTTGAAAAGACGTGAAGGTGCTGTTGTTTATTTATGGTGCCTGGACCATCTCCAGTACTAATATTAAATGAAGAAATGTTTTATCATCACTGTTTTTGGGGATGGTTATCCATTATTAGCTTCCTCATATTTGTTGCTCATTTGTTTACATTTATTAATATAAGCATATTTCAATGATAGCAAACTCTATATATACTATGACCGTTTTTATTTTACTTTCTTTTTCATATAGCTTTTTGCTTGTGAGAATACCTTGATAGAACGTATTTTAATGATATAACTATTTTTTTCAAGATTGTTACCTCATTATCTGCTCATTGTATCATGAATTAATCACTCCACCAGTCTATTCAGCATAGTAAACTATTTAATAGTATTCAACAGCATTATCTTGGTAATATCATATTTGAACATTTTGAAGCATAGGTGTTGGGGTATTTAGTGAGTGGAAAAATGAATTACCAGTACCGTATACCAATTTTCAGTCTTTTATTTTTATAGCACAAACAGCGCTTTGTGGTTCGAACTTCAAATTCAAGTAGTTATTGCCAAGTTTAATTACTGGCTGCTGATTAGCTACATCAAATATTTAAATATTGCTAGCCTCCCTACACAAAACCTGATACGCTAATATTATGCTAGAAATGGAACATTTCAAGCTTTGCAGCTTATTAGCAAAAAGTAATTTGAAAATGTTATAAAATTAACTAGGAATGTTCATGAAACTGAAAAAAAATGGTAAATTAGTTTCCGATTTTCCAAATATTTAAAAAAAATAATGACACTATTTTGTTTTCATTTTTTAGACTTCTAGCCACTGTCAACCAAATTGCTTTTGGTGCGAAGTATTTGGGAGTCGCTCTTGTGGTGTGGCTTGCTGGCTTTTTTGGGTTCAGCTTTCTATGGCTCGTAATAGGTAAGTCAATATTGAATAGTATGAAATGTTTTGAAAATATAAATTTGCCAAGTAAACACACCATTATAATCCCATAGTATGGAATAGTTGTAAAACCACTACCATTTCATTTGGTTTATTTTTATGAATTATATTGTGCAGAAAACATTGTATACTGAAAAAGCATAAATAGTTACTTGAACTTGCTTGCTATTCTAGGTGTATTTGTTATGACTTGGAGAGAGTACAGACGAAGAAAGAAAGAAGCTATTTCTGAGGTAAGAGTGTATCATAATATATAAAATAACAATTTTACAGAAAAAACATCGTTTCCATTGACAGTTCATGCACTATAAAAGTATTTTATTTGTGGGTAACTTGGGATAAAATCTGAACTTTTTCTCACATATTGCAGGTTCTAAGCAACATTGCAAAAGATGAGAGAAAATATTTCCAGGCCGTTAAAGATATTTACAAAATGTCAGGAAAAGATTTACCATCATGGGTGAGGTGGAAATTTACTTCTTAGAATAATTTCATCACATCAACACACTATGCGAATGCGATCCTGAATGCGTTGCATAAGAATACTATATCTGAGAGCATGGAGCTATGTCTTATCCACTGTCATATTGAAACCAGGTGTATCAGGGTATGTTAATGACCTATATGGTGTCACAAGCTAACATTAATAAAGACTCATATGATGTTGTAAAATAAATTGTATTGAGTCAACCTTTTCCTATGAAATCATTTAGTAAAGATAAGTCAATTTCTTTATGAATTTTATCATGCCTCGTTTGCCTGTTGAGATTGTGTTTATGCTTGCTTATTCATTTTAGATTATCAGTGAATGTGATGCATTCAAGTTTCTACTTTGTCAAAATGCAGAAAATTTAAGCCAAATTATTTGCCCTTAATGATCATTTATCTTATATCTATATAGAGAGTATAACCACAAGCCCTGCAGATGATGAAGTAAATTTAAACTAAATATTTTACTTATATTAGATTTCTATCAACGAGTGAAAGATATTTTCTCTCCAAATAAATACTATTAGCTTTGCAGCTGTTATTAATGAATTGAAATTTTGTATGATTTTTTCACACTTGCTGTTATATTTTCCCTGAGGCATTTTAAATGCTAGTTACTTACACAACAACAGTTTGATAGTTTTACAGCAGCTTGTCGATAATTACCACTTCACAGCTTGTCACCTCTATTTATATTACCTGCATGTTGCGGCCTATATTACAATTTAAATTATTTATCACTTTTGCGAATGCTAGTTTTGAACAAAGCAATTCACACAAAAATTATAATAGGGTTTTGGTTTGAAAGACTTTCCAATCTGTGTATTTGATAAAGTAAAGCTTTTTATTAAATCAAATCCATCTATAAATAAATCTTTTCTTAAACTGGACCTGGCTTTATCTTTGTTATACATGGCTCGTGTTTAAATACACTGCATCCATATTTTTAATTAATCTTGTATACTAATAGAATCAATTTATTCAATAGATTAGCTGTAAGTATTTAAATGTGCCCACAACAATATTTTTAACTCTTCGCAGTTTTGTCATGACTAACGACTGAGAGATGACTGACTGACTGGCTGGAACTAAACAGCTCAAAATATTATGAATAACAAATGATTTATTGCATCACACCGAACCCACTGTATTGAAACATAGTTAATTCAAGGACCTAGGTTATAGGTACTCCATAGTCATTTCAAGGAGTAGTCTGTTGGTGGCAAATTCACATAACATGATCTAGTTTCAAATATTTTTTGTTATAAAAACTTCAAACTTTGATATCAACAGTGTACTATAGAATAAAATCCTTGTTTTTCAACTTTTAATTGGATATCAGAATCTTGAGTGTCACTGCTTGTTAGCAAGTTTTAGTTTCCTGTGACTTCTCTAATGATAGCGTAGGCTCTTTTTCATAATTTACAGATTGATGTTCACTTTTCAGAAGGAAATATATTTGAGTTTGACTTAATTTAACAAATTATTGTGCCCGTACCGAAGATAAGTAGTTGTATGAAGCATATAATTGAAGATTATTAGAATTTTATGGGGATTGCTTCTGGAAGTCCCCAGGAATATAACAACCCCTTTGGAAAAAGAATTCTTCATCTGTTAAAACATATATTATATATTAGCAATTATTACTTCCTGAACTACTTCCTAATGTAACATCACATATTAATTAAAGCTGGTTTGGTACACATAAATATAATTGGAAAATTAACTTTACTTCTTGTGTTATTAGTCAGGTGGGAAAATTCAAGAATTGGATATGAGGTTATCCCATTTGATAAATATTTCCATATTTACAGCTCGGGGTTTGGGTAATGGGTCTTTGGGTATTGGGTTTGGGCCATGCTTTTGGTTAGTATTACTTTATTCAAGCATACCAGCCAAATTATCACTGCATAGGTCATTATTACCATTCTCCATGCTGTATCATAAATTTATACTAGCTAAACCATTTCTTGTTTACCCACGTACTTAGATCAGTGCAAAGTGCAATTAAAATCAAGGTAATAAAAATTAAATTGGTATTTGCGAAGTTGATAAAATATGAAAAGAATTTGTGTAGGACTCCTTATCTTATTAAAATCAAAGCCAAAAATTTTATATGAAAGAAATCATTGTGAGAAAGAGCAGTTCATCGAGTTCATACAAAATAAAATTTTATCTTTTTAAAATTTATTCTTGACCTTTAATATTTTGAAAAAATTCTGTTATCTGATGTTGAAATATTCCACCAATAATCCCTTCAGGGTACAGTTTATTCTACTTTTATTTATTCAATATTAGATTATATCTTTCAAGAATGGGCCACAGATGGACAGTACCTCCTCATGATAGGTTCTATCATTCACCATGCCTGGCATAATACAAACAGAAAAACATTTTATCATTATAAGATAGGCAAATTTAACAAAAATGAAAAGCTATAATTTGTATTTGTGGTAGATGGCGTGGCGTACACTCGCACATCAACATTCCATTGACAAGAGTTTTGTGAAATACATTCGCAAATGATCTGCACCCTTATCTGCATTCTTGAACCAAAATAGTCATTGGTCTCTATGCCATCTCATGCAATGTGGATTGAGTATTGCGTACACAGGGGTATAATATAGCATGCTGATCTTATCATTGCTTCAAATAAATTTTGCAATTCGAATTTCAGTTTTTCATGTCTAATATGTTATCTATTGTTTTGAACTTGAACTATTCAAATGAAAAAAGTCAAATAAGACGATTCCAAAAATCCCAGATTCAGTTCAATGAAAATCATAGCGTGTAACAGATTTATACACATACGTCAAAATATTAAGTACGGTATATAATTTATCAGCACACATAGAAGCCAGTTTACATATTATAAGCTTTCTATTGGCCTCCCTTAAGTTGAGAGACATCAGTCAGTCTTTTTCACTACCATATTTTTTATACAGTGTTTATATGCCTTCATGGTGAGCAAGCTTGTGGACAATTTCTCATTAATGCATAGGCTGCTGCTAATTTTTGAAGTTGGACAATGCTTTCCCAATCAATTTTTCCTTTGGTTGAGGTGGTGGGAATGGGTCTTGAACCCAAGATAAGATCCTTGACCTAATATGACAACATAATAGGATGTGTCCAACTCTCATACTGTGTATAACATATGCTTCTAAATATTCACCTCAGATACTAGTATCAGGATAAATATTTTCTAATTTTTTTTATATTTGCTTATTCATTTAGGTGTATTTTCCTGATGTTGAGAAGGCTGAATGGTTGAATACGGTGCTTGAGCAATTATGGCCCTACGTCAGTGATTTTGTCAAAAATATTATTGTGGAAAAGGTATATTGATATTTTGGTTTTACACAAATAGATTTCTACCCTTTACTTTGCCTGAAAATTTTATCTGGCAGTAGACTATATACATAGTTGGAAATCTACAAACTCTGGTGTGACAAGTTATTGGAAATTTTCAAAATGTCATCAATCCCCCTGATTAAACCTTTGCAAAAGATAAAGATAGTATATCTCAGCTGTGACATGAACAACTGTTTCGCTTTGTAAGCTAGATTGAGAAAATTGAATTAGATAAACAAGATTTTCTCATACTAAGCAAAAGGATGTCACAAAGATTCCAAGTGTCTCATGATGATGAGTTGGCATAATTGTTGGTATATAGCATGATCATATTGATGATATATTTGACAAACAAAGCCCAATGTTCCATTTCTTCATATATCTATTTACCCGATTACATTTAAATTCTAGGTGGAACCATCTATATGTGATTCAAATCAACTTTTGAAAGGTTTTACTTTCTCAAAAGTAGATCTTGGTGAAAAATCACCCAGAGTTTCTGGTATTAAAGTTTATGGAGATGAACAAACTAGAAGAACTGAGATTGTCATGGATTTACAAATTATGTATGTAGTATCAGTATTAGGCATGTTCAATTTCAATTGCGTGAATACTTCATAGCTGGCACATTTCTTCCTGAAAAGAGGTCATTGTTCTATCTTACGGCAGCATTTCGTTTGTATTTGCTGTTCATAATTTCACAAAGGTATTTTCTGGCTGAAGATGTTCTGAGGTCAGGTTAAACAGACTGTTATATCTGTGCTTTTGTACTTTTCTGTTATTATTTTTGTATCTGAATAGACATCTACCTAATTCTTCTAATTCACCAGCTAGTTAGTGTGGAAGTCACCACGAAAATAGAAGAGAGTAAATTTGGTTTCTAAGCAACAAAATATGTTTAATAATATAACAGTTACTCTCATTTTTGGAAACCTGCTTCATTAAATTTAACTCGATGGTAATAGACAATGACTGTTTGCTTTGGCCAATGTTGTTTTATAGAAATTTAACCTCCGAGTAGAATATATCCCATGAATAAAACTGGCAGATATTGGCTCTCGATAGTGGTATTAAAAATGTGAATTGTCCGTCTATCTTACTTAATTACTTTATACAGCATTGGCACTTAGAAATAACAAGTACTGTGGCTTTGTTCCTATGACCACTTTTATATTTATTCCACTGAATCCGTTATAGTCACAACTCACAGTACATGGTGTGGTATTGTAAACAAATTCCCTGATCTGTTGGCCTTACTTTTATGATAATGGAAGGTAAACACCAAACAAAATATCTACAATGGTGCATATAAATAATTAAAAATGAGTGCACACTGACCACTTCATTCGGTCAACATCTGGATAATTGAATTTGAATTTATAATAAAAAGTCTGCAGATAACTGATAAGAGTAGTTTACTTTATGTCATATTAATAATATTTTGCAAAATTGCATCCTCATTTGCTATAGGGGAAAAACTTTTTAATCTAGATTCTTTGAGCAGTACCATAATTTCTTTAATATATTATATTGAATATTATGTACTGTTAAAAGCTCTACAGGTCATGTAAAGCCAACTTGAGGTACTAGTCATGTAGGCAGTGTATTAAATAATAATTTCCTGTATGTGTGGCGTTGATAACGCAGTATAAACTTTCTGCATATTTGTTTTTATTATGACTTTGAATGACCTCATATATTGATAATGACTGTTGTATAATATCATGCTGCCCACCAATTTTACCCAAATCCTTTATAAGAATTAATGTAAATAGTTCTTTCATCACAAATAAAATGGTTGATTTGAGCTGAAAGCTTCCATTCAACTCCAAATTTCAGAATGGTTTTGTTTGGATACAATTTTCCCATCTTTTAGGTCTGGGCCAGGACTAGTAAGCCCTAGTAACAAATTTTGACCCAATGTGCAAAGTCACTGTTTATCGAGTTTTAGCTAGTGATCCTTTTATCTAAATAGTCACATATTATAAAGTTATATTTTGCTATTCATTGGAAATGCTTGATTTAGGCAAAAATTTAATATGTGAAGTTCAACAGCGAATATGATTTGACTCAAAAAATGGGAAAGGAGTGAATTTCTCAAAATAGATATTTTCCATTCCGAATCATTTCCCATTTTTATTGCAAACTTTTTCAGGCATCCCTCGAAATCAGTAGCAATGAGTTCCCTAATTTGGGAAAATCATGCCGAATTAAAAATAAATCACTGATTATCACGACATTCAAAGAACGGGTTCACGCGAATCCCTGAATCTCACCACTGATTATTGCAATTTTCATTAAAATAAATCACTGTGAATCAGAAAAATCAGGGGTGAGATTCAGATGGTTCGCTTGAACCCGTTCATTGAATTTCGTGATAATCAGTCATTTATTCTAACATGAATCACAATAATCAGTGGTTAGATTCAGGGGGTTCGCGTGAAACCATTCTTCGAATATCATGAAATCAGTGATTTATTTATAATTCAGCATGGTTTTTGAAATTCGGGATCTCACTATGAGTGATTTTGATACAAAAGACAACCTGTTTTTAAATTCTGAGTCCTATGATTGACAATAAATACTAAAACTTGTTATAACAATACGCCAACTTTTTTAGATATGAAAGTGATTGTAACATTAGTGTTACTGTGAATAAATTGAGTGCTGGAATAAAGAATTTGAGTGTGCGAGGTATGATGAGAGTTGAACTTCGACCTTTAATCAGCAATATCCCCTTGGCTGGAGCAGTTTCTGTTGCATTTGTTCATCAACCGGTATGTTTTAAATTTGAATCAAAGTAAACTGTTGCTGAAACACTGTTTTTGTAATATTTATTTCTCAATTATGAAATATTAGTTGTCTAAATCACTCCCTACTGAAAAAATGATTTTGCTTGTAATAAGCTATTCTACATATATATAATAGTTATTAATAGCTATAATTTCTTGTTTCAAAAACTGGAAACATGAATGAATGTTTCAATCTAATACAATTTCCCACTGTTTCTTATAAGGCCGATTTATATGGACTAGTTTAAATAATTTAACAGAAAGTTATATAAGTACTCTTCATAACTACCGGTAATACATATATTCAGCTTCTGTCTGGCTCATCATTGTACTTTTATTCTTTATTTACTGTACAGAGTATCGACTTTGACTTGACTGATCTCGGAAATTTTTTCGATCTTCCTGGTGTTGACTCCATCCTTCGTAATTCTGTATCAGATTGTGTTCACAGTATGTTGGTTTTACCAGAGAAATATGTTTTGAAACTATGTGATGATGTTGATATAAGTAAATTACTACATCCTCTTCCTAAGGTAAATTTAACGACTTTTGAAAAGAATCTTAAGTTTATGATAATTAAAAACCATTTTTAGCATATATAATACTGTTGCCCAGCAGGAGGTGACTTTCAAAGAAGATAAACAGCAGTATTTTTACTGAAGACCCATTTTCCTTATTGCTTTGAACAGGCCCTGCAGACTCTGGCAACATAAACTCAATTTGTTTCAAGGACTTTCTTTTTTGCCTACTTACCAGAGTATTTTGGTGGGATTGAGCATATTGAAATTACTTATTCTTGAGAAGATATTACCCCCCAATGCTAATAATGTTGGCTTTACCTGACCTATGTCACATCTTATGCATACAATCAATAAAAATTTCCGTTCTGACCATTGTTAAAATTTTGTATGGTAGATTCATAGCCCTGTACATTTTGAATATGAAAATTTGATAGGATGTGTTATTCACTATGTATTTGTGAAATTTCCAGGGTGTTGTGAGAATTCATATTATCGAAGCAAAAAATCTCGAAGAGAAAGACAGAAAAATTTTAGGTGTTGGTGGAGGAAGTGACCCATATGTTGAAGTGAAAGGTGAAACCAAAAACATTTTCATAAACGTTTAGGACATTTTGCAATATTTTCGGCAAGGCTTCATTTCTATTTATTATTATTACCACAATTATGGATATGGTGCAATGATATGGTCTTGAGACAGAATTTAATGTCCAACATGACAGAATAAAATGTTTGATTGTTTACATGATTTTGGTAGTGAAATCATCACCTTGAATTTGTGATCCTAAAATGTGATATGTTCTCATTGTACATTGAATTGAAAATTTGAATGCACTATTGCTGTTGAAAATTTGAATATAAGCATTTCATATTTATATAATCTAGTCCAGTTATAGTCGTTTCGATGGTCAAAACAAATTAGCATTTTGTCACAACTTCCTTTCTTATTTCATATATCAAGTTGGTCGAGGTCATGAATTTCGCACCAAAGTTATTGAGCATAATGTCAATCCCGTTTGGAAAGAGACATTTGATGCGATTGTCATGGATGTTCATTCTTCAACCATTGAGATAACATTGTATGATGATGATGGTGCTTTGACCAAAGCCGATTACCTTGGATCGTGAGTAACTTTGTGATTGTGGGAGAAGTTTTTTATGAATGACATAAGCATTGCAAATTAAAAATCTTAGATTCAGTTACTATCAGTAATTTATTTTTTTGTCTGCATCCAATTTCCTAATTTTGAGTGTATTAAATAAGCATATGCATAAAGACACATTGTATGAAGAAAAAACAGCCATTTTAATATGAAACATTCTCTTAGATTTTCGTAGATTTTTTGTTTAGGATTTTATAATTTCTTACTATATAACAGAACGAACTATCAATCCAAATTATTATGAAATGACTTTTGCACCTTTGTATTCGGTCTCTGCTCTTTGGATAAATTGAAGCATCTTCATGGTTTTATGATTGAAATAAAAAAGCATACCTTGTTTTGAGGGCTTATCATTTTCCTCCTATCATACACATTCACTTCCTAGGCTTCATAGATAAGAATGTAAATTGTATACCATTAATACAAAAATGCTCAGTATGTAACTGCAGGCTGTGAAGAGTACCGGTATGACAAAAATTTTAATATTATTAGATTATTATATTCCTTCATTTTAACTGTTTTATATAATTTTTAGAGCTTCAGTTCAACTAAAGAATGTTTACAATGAAGGCCTCATTGATGAGGTAGGTTGAAGTTTACTCGCCTTGTTCTGAAGTCTCTTTACTAGTATTATGTCACCAAACTAAATGAATCTTCGCAATATTAAACTAAACTAAAATATGTATAGAACTTTTATGGTGTATCTATAAACAAGATAGACACAAAGTGGTCTGCATTGTTTTTCATACTTTACAGAGAGTGAATTCTCATTGATATACCTGCTCAAAATGAACTTTTTGAGTTATTTCCACATATGGCTATTGTTAGTATTTTTCTAATAAGGTTTAAAATTTAACTTTTCAGTGGATTCCTCTTTCAAATGTGAAACATGGAACGATTCATGTCAAATTGGAATGGCTGGATTTGTCAGACAATCCTCGAGATGTTAGAGATGTATGTATAAAATATTTATGATTTCTTATTCGATGATTGCATTTGCAGCATACATGTAATATATTTCTATATCAGTTTGATTTTAAAGATTATTTGTATTCAGTCTTACTGGAAGTACACCTAGCGGATTTGACAATGGGGTTGGAATGTAAATCCTAATGAACATAACTCAGTCCCAGTTGAATTTGTTTGGGTATCATTTGAATTTCCATTGAAATTATTGGTTTTATCATTGTAAAATGTCTTAGTTAGAAATCTAGTTATGAAAACCTATTTCTTTTATTTTTCAGGCAATGGAATATGCAGGAAGGCATGACTTCAATTCAGCCTTACTCAACATGTACATTGATAGTGCAAAAGATCTGCCAGTATGTATTTTATTTTAATTTATCAAGAGTTAACAGGAGATCAGTGGGCACTGATATAATTTATATATTACCATAAGACATCACCCAATAAGTTTTTCATTCTATAACTGTCTCAGTGGATACAAATAATTCCCATCTCTCATACTCTCTTTATTATGAAGGCGCTAATTGCATCTAATTGGAATGGTGGTTACTGGTTCTAAAGACTATAACTCAAATATCTTGATTGTATGGTTTTCTATTCGTGTTTCCATTTTAATCAAGGCTTTGGGCAATCAGCCACTGATGCCCAACAGGCTGCTGTGTTTTTTACACTTTGTTTATAAAGTTTTGAATTTAAGATTTTTCTAAATTGAATATTTAGACATTTTGTTTGTTTGTGATTTTTTGATTACCTTGATACCGTACTTTATGCTTGAAGTGTGTGATTTCAGCTTAAAACATGTGACGACACTGAGATACCCGTAATAAGTGATGTTCAGGTAAGACAAAATGGTGGCCTCCTAACGCTGAAAAATGCATGAGGATATATGTTATAGTTACATATGTTGTAATGTAATCAAGTTCTGCTTTTACTCTGTTAGACTTTTTCTATTTGAACGAAGATAACTTGTCTTTATCGACTATTTCTGGGCTTTAGATTCAGCCACCATTTCATATTAAAATGTCATTTATTTTTCATATTTGAGATTGAGACGATGAACTGTTGTCACATAGCGAAAATCAATTTTAAGTTTTACTATTTTCAGTATGGTCATTGCAAATGCATTTTCGAGCGTCTATATGAGAGACAACACTTCATTGTGAATTTATTCTTGAGTGATATATTCTTGTTTGATTTATCAGACAATGATCAATTACATTCGAAACTTGCAAATGCTTACTGCATAGGTTCGCGAAATTTTAAATTTCATGCCACATTTACTTTTGTTAGTAAATATCATGACGCTTTGAAAAAAAATTTCACTTTGAAATTTCATACTATATGTATATTTTATTAAGACTTGTTTTGGTAAGCATAAATGATCACAATGCTACTGAATGTCTGAAATGGCCAATCATACTTTTCTCTCAATGTTAATATTGATTGATCATTTTTTGTTTGTAAGTTCCAAACGCAATAGAGATGAGAAATGGATTGATATTTTCGTCACAGTCCAAATTACCTATACGACAGTTTGGAAACCACTAGCTTAGTTCAATGGACATAATCTAATTCTTAAATTACGTTAAACAAGGTGGTCTTGGTGAAATTTCGAATCATACATTGCTCAATATAAATGTACATCTTCCAACACAGCCTTGCTTTCTGCAACCTAAAGGAAAAAATCAAATATCGTTTTACTTGGAAGTCATGAATATTTTATTTTGGAAAATTTCTAGTGTGACAACGAGGTTTTATTTTCAGCGAGTACTTCTAAAACAAGCAAATACCATTCATCGTATCACCGAAGTACAGTTTATTTATACTTTCGCTAATATAATAATAACAATGGGAGTAGAGTAATACATCAATATGAATGCCACACATAGTGAATCCTAATAATAATGAAGCAATTTTCCAAATTAACATTTCTGCATGCGCAACAATACTTATAGTTACTGACATGGTGAAATAATCTTTTAGTCCAGTGGAGTGTTAAATCACCTCAACCTCATACCAGTTTATTGCTGAGATGAAATGTTGCCTTTCAAAGTCAGAGCCTCAATATTTGGGGGATTTTAACCACCTAGGGACGCAATTGTGGACTTCAGATATAATGGCACGTGCTTATTTGATTCATTGTTAATATATACAATACCACGGCCCCCCTAAATCAGGCAAAAAAATTGGGTCTATAAAAGTGACTTAATAGCCGGGAAATACAGTATAGGTTTTGGATTTTGCCTATGCATTCTCGCAATGTGGAGGGCCAATGCCACCAAACTTTTGGAACAATTCTCGAATTGCCATCTTCGCATTGGTTTGAACACTTATTCTTCTTACTGTTGCCTAACATCTTTAATAGCAATTATATCATGGTTTATCACATTGTAAGATATCTAATAGCCTAATTTGTTAAAAACATAATTATTTGCTAACTTTTCAGCTTGGTATAAACTACAGATTCATTTGCATTTTGTTTCATTTTTAATATTATCAGTGAAACTATTGTGCAAAAAATCATGATATATGTAAAATTTGACATACATCAAGATATCATTCAAAATCGAAAAATTTTACAAAATATGAATAATGGTATTATATTGTCATATCAGCAAACACAAAAATGAGTAATTCCGATTGGCAACATCCCGTAATAAAATTTTTTAAAAAAATTTTTTTATGGACATTCATTTTGAATCCTGATCACCAGTAATTGAACAAATTCTTAAGACATCAATTTCAACTGATTGGAAAATGAATTTTGATGTATATAACTTCCCCTTCTAATAGTTGATTGTAAATGTGGAATATGTGTATCAATTATGTAGTCATGCTAAGCAGTGTATTTGATACTTATCATCTTCAGAATAATGATAATTCTTGTTTTTTTTTTCCAACAAGGATTCAAATACAAAGACATTTTCCAGATTTTTCACCCGCGTAAATGTGTGAATTTGCTGTGGAAATTAATTTTTTTTATTTATTTATGGAAATCTAGATTTTAAGACATACCGTATTTGAAGTTTTGCTTCAAATATCGTAATTATTTTACAAATTATTGTATGGTAGAAAGGACCGACTTACTGTACCACAGCAGCTAATGTTGTGTCAAAGGCAATCAACTCACCAGCCAATTTGAGAACTGCCATATTCAAATTATCTTAAATTTTTATTTTGGATTATGAGAGTTCAATTACCTAGTGATTTTCACAGCTTTTTTTCGACTTTTCTTCAAGTTTCGTTTTTGAAGCAGATGTTTTTTTTGGCTTTTTCTGGACTGTTTTTCTTTTTCAAAGCCAGTATACTTATTAAGTTCTTGTCTTTTGATACAAACCTGTCTCTAAGCTTCGCTCGGATGTAACTCTTCTACAGAGTATTAAGATGATAATATTTTTAAATATCACCTATCGGTTTATTACAATTCAAAATGAGAAGATAAGGCTACTAGGTTTCATATAAATAGTGACTTCCCATTTGTGAATGTTCTAGCTTTTAAGGATGAAAACAAACTGCAATGGAAGGAAATTTATATCAAGCTTTTTTATTCCGCTACGAAATGCATTATTTTTTATTTTTACCGTACAGATTTCGTTTTACCTGTGATGATGGATAAATAAATTAAACAGTCTTAAATTTCGGAATTGCAATAAATTTATATCATATGCTATGCATCTTATCACCATTTCTTATTAGAAAATACTTTCTGCACATATTGCATGATTGGTGACTGCATGATCTCTTCTTTGTTCTATTCTTCATATTTTGGAAAAAAGATAAAAAGCATTTGTTGACGGCTTGACGCTATATGACTGCATGTTTTTTGCAATCACAAAATGAAATGATTCTGTAAACAACAACATAACAAACAGCAGGGGATTTAAAATACCGAATGGACCAATATTCAAATAACTGAAATAGCATGAATAGCATGAAATATGCATTTTCAAGTTGTATGCTTGTATCGTTAAAATTTTAAATTGAGACTTTTTTATGAAGTCATTCAATTCCTTGAGAATTCTTATATTTGATACTATTAAGATAAAAGGTGACTATTTGGAATGAGCTTGAACATGACTGCAATGTGCATTACTGTTCATCCATTCAAATGTTTTGCTGTTTGGAAACACCATTCATTATCGTACCATTTTCCTGTTGTATTATTGATAAATCATCACATTAAATTGCACCTTTTCATTTTTTGCAAACCAATTTAATAATGTCTTTATCCGATGATAGTTTATTAAGAAACTTACCATCCCATTTACTTTATCAAGGGTTTAATTGAAGGCAAGTATGAACCTAGTCCAATTGTCAAGATTGAACTTCCTGGAGAAACAAAACGCCTCAAAACAAAGGTATGTATTAGCTATTCTTCTCCTTGAAAGTCAGAAAATGCCATGTACCTATCAGTTGTTAGCTTGTTGGAATGTCAGCATGTCATTGCAGATTTGAGATCTCACATCTTGATAGTGAGCCATTGGTAAATCCAAGCAGTCTGTATTTGTTAACATTCTAATATCTCAAGATGAAATTATTTAAAGGAAATTATCCGGTCTGTGATTATGCATGACATGGGTATTGCACCTAAATAAAGAATAGGAAATTTTGAAGCCTAAGTTCCATGCAAAATGCTTATTTCTAAAACTGATATGTGAATGCGTGGTGTCATAATATATTCTAGAAAATACGAGTTTCCTTATTAAGTCTGTCGTGGTTTTGTACTGAGAATATTGGCGCACACTCACAACATTCTCAGCATTAAACCTGCTCTTATTTCGCAGTCTATTTCTCTTAGTTTAAAATGCATGATTGATTAAAATTCAAATGATCATTCGAATATATATTTTGTTAGGTTGCTGCAAACACCAATAATCCAGTTTGGGAACAAAATTTCAGAGCATTGATACAAAATCCAAGAATGGAAAGTTTGAATTTTAACGTAAGTTAATAAATTTTATATGTGAATGTTAAATGTTTGGAATAACGTGTAGGCTATTGCTGTCATTAGACGCATTAGTCAATGAAATTATGTGAAAATGAGGCTTGCATGAAAAATACTTCATGGAAGGGTTATCTGACCTCATTGGCAACCATATCACGTTATGATGACTTACCGGTACATACATCCTAGCTTATACTATTCCATTCTTAATCAAATTTCTCATTGCGCAGGCATGGACTTCATATGATTAGTAATATGATAGCAATATGTGTTTGCTTGACAAGGAACAGCTATTTACTGTCAATAGACATCAATTATACGACACTGTATATTTTATTATGGATATTGTATACACAATATTTTAAAAAGTCTGCGAGTAAGGAAAGTATTACTATTCTGTTTAAAGCTATGCTCACTGACTGCTGAGTGCTCCATATTGTTGCTCGTTATAAATGCTGTTTTGTGATTATTTGTCACCCATGTTTAATTAATTTATATGACTTGCCCCGTTGTAGTCATAAACTTGTTTGCTGAATTCTTGCGAATTAGGTGAAAAGCAGCAAAAATATTTGCCTTGGCAATCTTCTTGGTCAAGTTAATAAAAGTATACGACGCCGTCGTACGAACGTAAGTAATCCCAACAGTGTGTCGATCATTGTGCACAAAATTGTGTGAAACTTTTAGAGTATTTGTAGTGAAAGCACTTGATGATGTAGGGATGTAGTCCCTACAGCTATGTCCACCATCTATGTATTTGAAATGACAGAGGAAATTTAATACTCAGTTCATAAATATAAAAAAAAATTCTCCTGCGATTTCATAATACTACTTCTAGTTGTTTTATGCTGAATTATTATCTTCTATTAGGTGATTTGCCACTCTGGCTCTCATGATTTTTTGTGTGGGTTTGTGTGCATTACTTTAGTATGAGTATTTTAGTCTTAGTCACAAATTATATTACAAGTAGCCTAGTAATGATACATATTGATAACATGAGAATTTTCATCAGACAGTTCGCTAAAGTTCAAACCACTTTACATAGCCCTAGTAATTGCCTTTCCACCAGAGATTTGAAGTCTGCAGATTCACAGTCAAACATTTTGCTAACACAACGTACAAATCTCACTTATTAAACCTAGATTCCACAATCTGAACATACTCTGGAACATACCTATTAAGAAAGACTATCCTGTGGTATGTATCAATCAATATAAGTGAGTCTATTTGTCATAGCTCTCAGTGGCAATTCAACAATCAACTTCATGGTATTCTGTCATATCTGATAATCAAATCTCATTAACTTGATCCCAATAGCAATTCATAACTTCAGGACAGGATCATGCTCTACTCTCTAAATCCCATTCAACTGAGTTTCTGTTCTCATTATTCCTCTCAGTTTTTGACTCCACTCTGCTATTTTTTATCTCAATATAGATGAGTGGTATGCTTGGTTAAATAAAAATCACATATCTGATTAGTTTTGCCAATGATCACACACTGTTCGCGCTCGTTTCGGTAGTGACTGGGGCTCAATTTTATTTTATGCTAACTCTTGTGTGTTTTTGCAATTACTCAATAAATATGGTTGCTATTTATTGTATCGTTCTAACTCCTAATGTATTATTACAATTTTCATGCTAATTGATTGGAATGAACTGCGTAGTGTTTAATTATCCAAAAATTGTTTGCTCAAATGTTCTAACACTGTGGCAGTTCTTTTTGTTGATTTTGTATAAGTTAATATAAGTATTATAATAGGCACAAATGATCAAATGAAACAAGTATTCAAATACACACATTTCTTTGAAATACACTTACTAAACCCTGTACAAAAATGTTTGTCCATCTACAGCAATTCCTAATTAAGGTACAGGTGATCTAAAAAAGCAAGACATGTGGAACATATTCTAGAGAGAACATAACTTCTTATATTACTGAAACTTTTGGTACAAACATACGCAAACGGTAGTTCAATGGTCAAAAATTTATTTTTTCCTTTTCACAAAAGTAATTGAGAAATTTTTCGGTTTTGTTCCATTTTTAGTCACCCTGTATATAGACCTAGACACACACTCCAACTTTGTTTGGTTAGGAATTATGTTGATTATTGGAGATAGAATTGCCATCGAATCCTATTTATATTTGGATTTCCGGATAGGCAATCAAATATTTTAGTAAAATATATTCGCACAACAATAGCGTAGAACTTTTTTTATCATTTGGTTTCAACTTGTTTAGTAAATATGAATTTCTTGTAGTTTTGTGACTCACAAACAATAGAAAAAATACTTCAAAAATTTGAAGTTTATTGCTACTTGATCATGCTGATAAATTCTGGGTAACTCTTCATATTTTCATATTTGACTAGTTTTTACGTTTTTTTTTCGTGTTTTTTATTATTTAGTCAATGTTGCACAGTAATTCTTTCTGCCAGCTAAAAATACCGATTTAGTTTGAGCTGTTAAATTTTGTTATGTGATTGACAATTGACTAATAAATATTATTTTTGTAATTGTACATGTTTTCCTAATTTACATTGTAGTTTCAATTTTTGCTATTCAGAATTTCTATTTGAACCGTGCATAAGAAACCATTGCAAAATGTTATTAACCAAGCATGTTCAATAACTGCATTGTATAGTTTTTGTTATTGGCTGGTTGTGACTGACTTGAAATATTCGGAAATAAATCATTATCTGAAAAAAATCTAAAAAGAATTGTTGTCGAGATACCCTAATAAAACGTTTGTTGTAGAGCATAGAGAAGAAAATTCAACCAAGTAATGATAACCAGAGATTGGTTGATGAATATTAGATTGAAATTTGAAGCGTTAACTCAAGAATTATTTTGAAAGTTCTGAAATGATCCCTGTAATAGTCCCTAAAATAGTATGCTAAAAATCTCAGGTTATTGATCCTGGTTTCGATAATTATATAAATCATCAAACCCGATTATTCAAAAAGGGTGACTTGCATACTTTATATTCCACAAGTCACTGTTACATCAGATGTAACTTCCCTTAATCGCCATGTACTAACTTGAATTATGTTAGCTAATATATTTTGTAAGCTCGGTGTTTGTTGCAAAAGCCTATTTAGCTTTCCTGTTCCTAACAATCTGAAGTTTGTTTCTAGGTTTGTGATAGTGAAGGTATGAAGGATGAATTGCTAGGATCTGTGAAAGTTCGTATCAGTCAATTATTGAAAGCTCCAGACATGACCAAAGAAGAACCGTTTCATCTTTTGAACTCTGGACCAAAAAGTCAACTTCAAATGCGTCTGTCAGTGCGAGTAAGTTCATTACTCTTGCTACTTGAAATATAAGATTTATGTGGTATCATTCTAAGAAATCAGATTACTTTTTGGTTGAAGATATGTGAAAGTTGTATGATATGATATTTTATATATACTTATATTGTATTAGTTGCTGATGCCAAGAAAAAATTCAAATTTTGCTGATTCATCGTCAAAATCATCTGCATTTGTCATAGCAAAATCTAAACACTCAACCAGTGGAACTGATGATATAAAAAGTTCCGAAAATGATGATAAAAGTTTGAAAGGTTTGTTATGAATTAGTGAAGTAAAATTGGATTGAAATTGCAGTTTCGCGTGATATATTATTTTACATAAAATGTATATGACATATAATAACTGTATTAACAATGACATAATGATCAGGACCTAATACTGTATTTGTCTGAGGTTGAAAAATTTGGATTACCTTTACTTATTCTACCCTGGTGATTTAGATTTTTTTGGTTTCTGTTCAATCCATAACAATATTAGTTGTAATTTTTCATTCACGCTCGTGCTTTTTTATGCTACTACTCACTGCTTAAAATTATCAACATTTACCGTTATAAACACTCACCGTTAGAAATTACAATGGCTGCTAGTATATGAAGGTTAATTAATGTTTATGTATAATTGAATAATTTGTCAGGCCCTAGACGCAAACAGCTGAAAAGTTCAGGCAGCAGAAAGTCGAGTTAATGTCATCTGGAATAAGAGAAATGAAGTGGCAAGTTTCAGTTATCTGACAGACTATGTGATAAAAGTTTAAAAAAATTAAGATTAGGAAAGGAAGACTTGGAAGAAAAAAGAATTATTTTCAACAAAATTATATTCTGCGTTTAGAAAGCATTGACAGTTGAAACACAATATAGAAGTCATGTATATAAAGCTATGATTAATTATAACTATAACTAACTTGTATCACTTTAATATAATATCAACTATTCTTATTTTAATAAATATATTATGAAGTATATTATATTATTTCACAGCCTTATATATATTTATATATTATCTCTAGATCTAACATTCACTAGTGGTTCTGTTAATAACCCAGTTATGAGTTTGCCCATCAACAAATTAGTGTTACCTTGGGATTTATTGAATTAGGTTAGTCATGTCAATTTAGAGAGCTTTGATCAAATTTGCTAACACAATATCAATAGAGATTGGATTCAATCGCTTGCTTATTAGATTTCATCTAGTTGTGTGTTTTCATCTCTTTTTATATTAAGTAAATTAATCTTCACTTTGTTGTTTATGGTATCCAATGATTTGGCATTAGACTTGTGTGATTAACATCTGGTATTTGTTTGTTCTTGGTCTTTAATTGTAGTGAGCTCAATCTTTTATAAAATCTTGACTTCATCTAGATGTAGAACTTACAACACTGTCTACCTCCGCAAGTGACGATTTCGTTGATTCTGTCTTAGGCACTCGCTCGGTTTCAGAACATTCTGAAAGCTCAAGCACAAATGATCTTGGAATTGACTTTGGTATGAGAAAAAATATGCATGCTCGTAACATTTGAATTGTTTCCAAACATAATATGCAAGTCATTTTCATAAAGTCTTGTTCACATTAAGCATGCTTATTCTACCAAACTGTTTTACCAAAGAATATCATAAATACTGGTGGTGTGGACTTAAACTAACTTTGAATCTTCTGCCACTTTTCTAATTTTGGGCACAATCTTAACATAAATAAGGATAATAAAACATACGTTCAGACCCTTTATTCAAAATTAAACATTGGTTGAATTCGATAGAAAAATTTGAATTACTCAACAAGGGTGATCTGATTTTACTTTATCTATGAAGCAGATGTTCTACAACCATTAGACACAGATCCAAATCTGGTTTATTCTCAATTGTATCTGATTTTTGTTTGTCCGCAGAAAGATTAGTATCAGAAAAATAATATTACGTGTGAGAAATAATTTGGATATTATGGGCGCTCCAGAAGTATGTGTACCAATATGGAGATAACTAATTTTGTTTGCCTATTTTACATCAAGTTGTGTAAAGGGACTAAAACCTATGGGCAGGGGTATATTCACTTGGCTAACACAGACAGCCCCCGAACTGGTAATAGAACTCAAATGAGGAAAATCGTAATAAAATTATGGCCTAACTCTTACGTGGTACACATACTACGGGAGTATCAAATTATGCAGTGGGAAAATATATACCCATTGGTAATTTCTTTTCATAAAATTTTCATTCAATAGCTTCATTCATTTTGTGACTAAATTTTTAAATCTTTCAGTTGATAAATCTCTGGCATATTTCATAGGTAAGAGTTCAGTGTGCACAAGCACTTTCTTGTATACTTCAATTATTCTTTCACTTATTTGTGCAATCTTTGTATATTTTGTAATTTGGCAGCACAAATAAAGTAGTAGATCTTATATGTAATTTCTGCAATGCTCTTGCTCTTTTAGCACTCTTGCTCTAATTTGTTTATTGTGCAATCTTAGGTGGTGGTGTGATATATGGTTCACAGATTTCATTTTGCATTGATTATATGAAACCTGAATAAGTTCCAATAGATATTATGTTGGAACTTGTAATTTTTTCACGACTTAAGGAAAGTTATGTGAATAACTGACACTAATTTTCTAGCACACAGAATTGAAAAATATTGCATAACATTTTTGAGATATTAGAAGTTAATATCTGTATACTTATTTGTTCTTATGCTTTTGTTGTGTTTTTGCAATTCATACTTCTCCATATGCACTGATTCATATTCACTGGTGTTGCAATTTTCTATCTTTGCTTTTGTGTGTGCAGATTTAGTCTGGTTGAATATAGTGCACTGTAACAATGCATGGTATCTTAGTTTTATCCATTCCTTATCCCATTTACACATATTATACGAATGGTCTATATATAGATACATCAATCAATCCTATACCCATATTCATCTATACTCTGAATTTCTCATTCAATAAAAAATTTATTTTCAAGTGATATGTTGCCTGCTGTGGGATTCGAATTATTGTAGCTTTCATTACAACATTATAGAAAACGTCATTCATATTTGTGACTGATTTTAAAGTCTAAATATTGATGAAGAAATGATAAAAGTATGTTAGCCATAGTAACATCAAATACATATGGAAATTGTTTACAAAAAAAGAAACATACAGGGTTTCCATAATGCCCTTTCAATTTAAAGGATTTATTACAAAGTCGAGTGATAAATTTCTAAATTACAAATAGACAATATGGACACCGTCTGTGATGGTGTTTGATCATATTAGAAATCAAAGGTAGAAAAAATGATCCATCTGAATTTTTGTTCGAATATATTTCTATATGAAATTTGTAATCTGTTATGGGTTATTATTGCATGATTGCTCGCTGGTTTGCATGACCATATATATTTTTTTGCATGACTCTTGTTTCGTTATGAACACCTGTATTTTCATGTTTGTATCTATTCTTATTATCCACTAAATTTGACATTAATAATTTAAATTCTTTTTTACCAGTGTGCAGTAATAACAAGTTACCCTGAGTGTTGTATTATTTTTTGTTTTGATTTAATTAATGAAGGAAATGCAAGAAAACCACAGCATAATGGGACAAGAAGAAGTGATTCGTTTACTTCAGAAATATCTAATGTATTTGAAGGAAACAATTTGAAAGAGAGACTGAATAAGCGGTACAGATTTTGAAATGTTCATATTGTGTGCTATTTGTAGTATCAGCTGCTTAGAAAATGGCTTTGTGAATCGTTTAATGTATCGGTATATTTGGACGATTATTTTCAGTGTTAACTTTTAATAAAATCACAAATTTTAATAAGCAATAGAATTAAATGAATGCATATGGATTGTAATAATATGTCGTTAATATATGGAGAAGGATAATAATAAAAAAAGTCTTTTTCTCACAGAGATGTCATTAATAACGATGGAGAATTTGCTCTGGGACGACTCAATCTAACATTGAGTTACTCATCAACTAAAGAAAAGTTAATGATCGATGTACATAAAGCTGAGTAAGTTTGAGCTGTGTGTTTCTAGTATCATGTGCTCTTGATAAAATTTAAATAAGTACCAGATATGAGATCAGTTATGTAAAACACTATGCAAATGGTTTGAAACATAGTTATCAATAACCTAAGATTTTCTCACCCAACATTCCAATAGCGAGTCCTTCTATCTGAATATTAGTATATTTCAGCCACGTTAGTGACATTATATAATGTTCATTTGTTCGGATTGGTGATAAATGTTTCTTAAATATCCTAGACTTATCTTTTCTATTTTAGAATAACCTTTTTATTGTCACTTTTGAATTCACTTTTTATTGTCGCTGATATATTGACTTATTTTATTTAGAAAACTCATAGTATGTGATGAAGATGACAAGACATCTGATCCATATGTTCGAATATACTTACTGCCAAGCAAGAAAAGACGCAAAACTAAAGTGGTTAAGAACAACCTGAATCCTGTATTCAATGAGAGGTCTGTTGATGGATTCACTTAAATTTTCACAATACAGAATTTTTGTAAATTGATTTTTTTTCTATATTTTTTGTTGTGAGTATTTTATATGGTATTATTTTAGCAAGGTTATAAAATTTTTATGTACAAGCGTTTATGCTAGTGTCGTATTTACTCATGAGATAATTTGTTGTAGTCTAACATAAAAAAAAAAACAAGATCAAGTCAATTGTATCTCTGCTCAACCCTATGTACTTTATTTTTACGTGTTATTTCTAATAATTTCTTCATTACTGTTCCAGTAATTACCAATCATATTAAAATTGTCTACTCAACTTTAAAACTCTACTTGAGTATTTTAACAAAAATTATAATATTTAGAATTGAATATGAAATGTTGAAAGGTGAGATTAAAGATCATCAACTTGATATATCGGTAAAAAATAAAACAGGACTTCTGTCGTCTGAAAAAGTATTAATGGGACGAATTGTTGTGGATCTTGCAAAATATAACTTGGAAAGTCCTGTCAATGAATGGTATGTTTGATTTTGAATATTATATTGATAGTTTATATACTCCTTGAGTATAGGGCATACAAATTTGAGAATTTTTCTCGTACACATGAAAAGTTTAGTAGACTATTTTTTTCTTAAAGTACCCTGGTCTTAATTAGACATAATTAAGTATAAAGTATAATCTCTTTCTTTGTGGAGTTTTGTTAATCTTGGTTTAGTGCGGATATTGATAAAAATGGATAGCTGATTTTTGACGGTATACCAGTTTATAATTTCTCTCGAAATAACTTCATTATATAGATTAATATTTTGATTTCATACATCATTTTTATTGTTACATTCGATCACTGAATTTATCAAGTTCATGAATTGTGAAATATATCTAACAAACATTCATTGTAATTTTCAGGTTTCCTCTGCAAGTATCAGCAGATGATGAGGACTGAGTGTTAGTTTACCTTTTTCATTTACCCTTGAACATGATTGCTTATTAATTACTTATTAATATGATCTTCATGTGTAATAATGTCATTTTAGAAAGTTATCGTAATTGAGAAATGTGGAGGGCAAATGATTATTTTAATTTTAGTGAATGGTCAAATGTTTTAGTTCATTAGTATAACCAGATACAAAAATATCAGAGGATCTAAATATTCGTGGTCTCGAGTTATTATGATAACAAGGTAAACCCTTTTACCATTTGCATTGATAAGTTACAGTCTCGTGCTTAATATGTAGAGGATTATGGATTATTTATGTTGAAATATAATGTGATGCACTTCTTTAATCATTTGGAAATCTTTGCAATCATGTCCTATCAACTACATTTTACAAGATTTATCTTTTGAATAAAATATATTTGTTTGATATTGTACATTCTTTCTTTATTATCCTTTGTTCTTTAACTGAAATTTTGCTTATTGTGCTTGTAACTTCGCCTTCATGCCGCTGTCTGCTTTATTTAGGTGCCTTTTTCATAGTTGCTGTAAATGTGTGTTAACTGAAATTTTATTCCTTTATAAATAAAAAAAATATGAATAATATGTTACTCTATCATCCTGGGTCTATTGCAAACTCCATTGCCCTTTTCGTCTTTGAGATTCTTTCAACTTGCACTGCCTTTTATATTTACGCTCTTATATATTATTCTAAACTGGATATGTAATGGTAAGTGAATGGGAATATATTTTCTAAATATACGAAAATTCAAAGTTCTGTCCTAAATTTTGACTTAGTTAGCATATATGAACATTTGTAATAATTTTACCTTTTATAATAGTGTGTGCTCCTGCACTGCTTTTTTTAGCAATGTACAATTTTAGCAATAGCTTGTAACAAATTAATATTTACTTTTTAGTGATACCTAAAAAAGTACTACTACCTGTTGTCAGGGTTTGTGTGTTTAGAGATTTCAATATCAGCATTCTATAAAACTACCATGATATTAAGAAATTGTTATTTTGAGAACTAATCTGCCCCAATACACAGATAAATCATCACTTGCTTCATTTAGCGAGGTAAAATCATACATATGCCACATCTGTGGTATCATTGTTACATGAATTGTAATGAAAAAAGAATGTTCATATCAATTGCATCTTATAACGTGATAAAATGAGTCTCAAAATGTTCTTTATTTTGATTTGGTTAATTCAACTGGCATCCTATCAGTGATACTTTTACTGATTCTATACCTATGTCGGAATTCAAGTGTTTTAAAATATTTGAATTTGTTTGAATATAGTCAGATATTATCTGCTTATATTATGCACACTTTTTTTCAGATTATACGACTATTAGCAAATTATGAATCTGATTCATAAATTACCATTAATAATAATAATGATTATTATATGAAAAAATTGTATAAGTTACACTCTTGTTTCGGTTATCATTACTGGACTATTAATAATATAACAACTCTGTCAATGTCGAAATGTGGTATCAGATAATGATTCCTACACAACTCAGTGTGTACCCTGGGTACATGCTGTTTTCCTAATATTTGCTATATTTGTATATATGCAAGATTTTGTTTACCTAACAAGTATTCATTTCTGTAACAGATTTTTTCAATTCCAATGCATGATGAAAATATAAATAAACCTTTGATTTTGGCACTTGCCATTGTATATGATTATCAATTATTACAAAGATTGGGCGTAGGGATGCCACTTTTGGATTTACGAATCGGATCGATTCGAATCACATTTTTTCCGAATCGATTCGAGTCAGATTTACGCGATTCGGAAAAAGAGAGCGATTTACCGAAAAAAAAACATTGAACGTTTGTCAAAAAGTTGTTTTCGGCGTCTTCAGATCTGCCGAATGCGTTTATGCGGCACTCCAAATAACGCCAGATTACGGGAACGAAAAAAAAAACATTGTTCAATTAACGTTTGTTAATCGTTGTTTCCGGCGGCATTAAAACTGCGTTTATACGGCATTTATATTTGTCCCAAGTTCGGCACAATACACTCTTTTATGATGACGTGTGGCGTAAGTTCCACCAAACTGCCAATTTTCCACCAAATGGCCTGGTTTCTATTATGCGCGAATTTAAATGGATCGTATACCTGAAAATTCGTGACAATTGTGATGAAAATTTTCAACAGCACACCTGCGCCACGACTAAGTTATTGTATGCCCTGGCATGATTGGATGAAGAATCAGCTACCGGCGTCTAGATAGTATTTAATTTTGATTGAAATTAAATTTTAACTTTGTTCTGAGTGAAATATTTCGCGTACATTTGAAAAGAACTATTTCCGAATGAGTTCATCGGCCGGCAATGTTAATTGACAATTATGTTTCTCATCCTAAAATATATATTTATTTTGTTTGCGTTTGTCAGGCTTCCACTCCAGTGGTGGTGAGCGAAATCAGGGGGACATAATGTAATAGTACATACAGGAGAAAAAGCGCTTTTTCAGCTGTTGCAAAGAAAAAAGTAGTATTTACTTTTAATTTTTTTAGCGCGATACAAGCGGGAATAAAACATTTCGGATTATTTCTAGCAAATGTCATAACTGACAGGTGGGAGTAAATAATACTTGAGGAATGGCAACTTGTGCACTGTTTTACATCAACACGTGCCAGATTTCATACCAGACCAAGCATACTGTGCGAATGTCTTATTACTTTAGCCCCAACGACCATGTTTGATCGAAAAAAGGCGTCGATTATGCACATTTGGACTTTTTGAATTACGAAATTAAACGTAGTCCACGATAATAATGAAGCCCGAGTTATCCAATAACGCTGTTAGCCACAAATAATATTGTCTCTAATATTTAGGTCAATTTTTGTTCGCAATCGTAGTCGGGTGAACGATTGTTTTTCTCGAAATTCCTTTAATTTAATCGTGGTTAATTTTATCGTCTTCAATCATTTCCCATTTATAGTAATTCAGATGCAATTAGAATGTTTTTGTCGTATTGCTCTATGCTGCTAGCATAAATATAAAGTATAGTACTAAAGTTTTGAAGATAAAGAATCGGTAATGAGGCCGGTCTTAATTAAGTATAACAAGAAGTGAAATACCACAGTTACTTACATATACTGCTGTGAGACTAGGGACAACAGTGTTGTTACTGTGTTTACCACATAACAGTACAACTGTTCCCTGCTTATTTTCTCATATGAATTCCATCAAATTGCCTTAGTCCTGATACAAGTATAACATAATAATAACTCAACTCAGTATTGTAAGACTCACAGATAAGTTTCAACAGCAAGTTTTTCATTAATGCATTTATTGGTGATATCTATGACCTATGGTACATCTTTTTCATCAAGATGGAAATAAGTGTGGCTTATTCACCGAAAAATCCTTATCATCCTTGCTATATAGTGCATTCCATTTTCAAGTTTTTCTCTTCTAGATCTGAGCTTTTTTGTGACTTTGAGCAAACATACGCATGCAATAAAAAAAAAGTTTAATGGAATCAGATTCGATTCGAGATTCAATTCGAAAAAAAATGTATCCAGAAGTGGCAACCCTAATTGGGCATCTCAGTTGTGAATATGTAGGCCCTATCTGATAATTTCCATTACCTGGATTTATGCACACTGGTTTGTAATCACAGCAGAGTGGTTATGTCAAAACTGGGAACTGGTCCTTTCGCTTGAATCATTTCTGCTGCTCCCACAGTTTTGCCAGTAAGAGATTGGCATTATTAATATGTTGATAACTATTTCACAAACTCTAGTCTGAAATTTCTGTACGATCCAACTAACTTACATGCCAACATCTAGCGATCCAGAAATATGTGGACGGAGGTAACTAATTTTGTTTGTTTACTTCACATCAAGTTGTGTAAAGGGACGGGAGCCTATGGGCAGGGAGTATTCACTTGGCTAACACAAGGAAATTGGAATAAAATTATGGCCTAACCCAAATCATTGGTTGCCTATCAACTTCCACAGAATATAACCAATGACATAATTTAATATTACCAGTAATTAATTACACAATGTATGGAATTGGCCACCATGTTCAAAAATATATATCACATTTACAAGTAGTGCAGAAACAAATATAAAAACGGATAGTTGGAAAACATTGCATCAAATAAAATCAAGTTAACAGTTAGGTTTTAGCTTGATCAAGCTTTTTACTAGGTCAATGACCAGTTGACGGTAAATTTGGACCTATACTATACATATGTAAACAGTTATTTGTGAGTGATTCTCTCAGTTCGAAACAGGATACACCTCATATTTGTAAAAATTGTAATTGTGAAAAAAATTGTATTAAGTTAGCATTGAAAAAGTACAATTTAAAACATTATTATACATAAATTCTATTGGGTAAACATAGACTTTAGAAGTCTTTAGCAAATCACAAAAAATTCTTGATTCCCCTATGAGAAACAGTCGCACACTTGATACATTGGCAAGCTAGTTATGAATAATTTTTATTAAGGTTATCTGCTGAAAATTTAATATCCAAATTTCAAATAAAGAACTTGTAAAATATGAAGAAATCACAATAGGCATAAGAAGTTATAAACATAATTATTAATAAGAGAAATAATATATTAACAAATCAAAAAATATAAGCTTAAGAAAACAGAAATCCAAATGTGAAAACAGTATTATTGAGTGAAATGTTTCAATCAGAGAATTCCAAGACTAATTAAATATTCCAAATCATTGAAAATTTCACAGAATTTGAAGCATTGAATTGTTAAATTAAAATATCCATTGGTATCTACTGGCATTCCTAAATCAATGTCAGTGATAGCTTGTGAGACTCTTATTCTCAGTTGCATAATAATGCTTTGGACAAAGTTATATAAAATATTGAAAAAGTAAATGATGCTGTCCTTGGATATATCTGAACTTGCAATATATTCAATACACTAACTTTAAAAATGCATTTGTATTCATGTTGTAAATGAATGTATTGGAAAGATTTTTCTTTACTGTAACACTAACAATTTAATAATCGAATTTGGATACAAATAAGGCTTGGCAATAAATTGGTACAGATTTTACAGAAACAATAACAATATAACATGTAGGCCAGAATTGAGCCTTTTATTGGCTGAGCCAAGAAAAGAAAAATGATTGTTGATTTCTCAGAAATATGCAATTGCACTTGTCTTGATATAAGTCTTTATTAAATGTCACAGATGTTTTTTGCTGGGAAAATTAAATGGGTTTTGAAACTTTTGGTTCATAAAAAAGTATAATTTAAATGTAGTCATTCAATATCTAAATTGTCAGCCAAGGTGTGAAGTCGTATGAAAAGATTTAAAAATTGGACTGTCAGCAGCCTCAATTGCTTCCAAAGCTTTGATAACATATCAGTTCTCCCATAAACTGATATTTTATTCAACCATTTTAAATTGATAAATTACTGAATATAACTGAGTTTTAAAAAGGTTGTCAAGAGCCACATTAGATGTCAATTGTCAGAATTAAAAATGGGGGAAAGTTTAGTTTGCGCATGTGCAAAGTTCAATATTCCACGAGTATCATCACATCATTCCTATTTCTAACTAACTATTTAAACAATATAAACTGTTTATACACAAATCTCAAATCTTACAAATTAGTGACATTAATATCATGATTCCCCATATATGGCATTGAAATTGTCATATCATCATATACACGAACAGTCAAAGGCATTTGAAAATTCTACTATTCATGACACGATTTTGCTACCAATTTAAGCTTTTCAAATGTAACATAGGTTCCGAAAAAGCAGATGTAAATTAAAAAAAAGTCAGGAAGCACGCAGTGCAGATGGATGTTATTAATACCTAAGTGAAATATAATTAAGGTACCATGTAATACAATACTAGATGGTGAGGTAACAACTAACAATACAACGTTCCACAATACATCAGTAGCAAAAAGTTTACAACTATAGTCAATAAAAAACACATAATCAAGTTCACTTTTAATTAAGAGATGATTTAAGTACTAAACAATTAATCATCAATAAAATGAAGCCCGTAAAAAAGTAATCATAATGTTTTACAAATATATGAGACAATGAATGTATAAGGCTTTCCTTTAACCACCAATTAAGTAAAACTGATCAATTCAAAACAAATCACCGAATTTTATGATATATGACAAATTACAGATAATTCCCAAGAATATTTCTGCACATTCACAGTATAAGTGAAATCAGTAGTTTATTGTGTAACAATGCCAATAAGTACATTCACATGTCACCCTATACTGTTTAGACATAAACTATAACTTTTGTTGTAATAATTGTATATGACAGCTTTATCTACAATAAAAATTCAGCCATCGTTACCACAAATTTACTCAACAACAAACCAGACTAATGTGAGTTTTTTAAAAATCACAGAAGAAGATAAAATAAAAAAGAGTACAAAGACCTCGGCGTTTTGATTTTCTTAACATTGAAAAAAGCTTCAAAATTCCAACCTCCAACCCGATGTTTCAATTATATAATACCAGAAAAGTTTATTACGGTACTTTGTTACTGCAGTATCAAGTTTTCCACAGGTAAACATTTCATATCTGATTCAAATGTCTTTCCATTTCAACTATCCGTCATTTGAACCAACCTGAAGCATCTACAAAAAAAAATACAACTCAAATATTGATAATGATTGTTTTTAATAATATATTACATTAAGCTACCACACTCAATGTTGATATATCTATGACAAATATTGACCTATGAGAAAAAACTAGGGAATAGATTGTTTCCTTTAACGTGCACATGGAATGCAAAAGGAGAGCAGCTGCATTAGATTATAGATAAACATCTTAAAAATGAAGTTATCAATAAAATTGTCAAATCCAGGCTTTAAGAATCATATTCAAGTCTTTAGACTAGTGTTTCTAACAGATCTAAATTATAAATACTTATCAACCTATGTTAAGTTGCAATTTCTTTTTAATTAAACTTTTTTTTCCCAAAAAAATCCATTTAATGATTTCTTTCCCAAACTTACCATCATGACATGTCATCATTATCAACTGCTCTTACAAACTGGTGCCCGAGCAATTGTTCAGCAGATAATCTTTTAGTAGGATCTGGAACCGTGCACTTCTTGACAAAATCTTTTCCTTCTACAGTAAGCATATCCGGAATAGCTGGGGATTCTCCAGAGCCAACCCTGAACATAACTTGAAACCGTTCCATGTCATGCCACGGTTGTTTGCCAGATGCCATCTCTATCACAACACAGCCTAAACTCCATATGTCAGATGCACGGCCATAGCCAACTTTTTCTGAAGAATTTATAACTTCGGGAGCAGTGTATGCCATAGTTGTTCCAATATGAGTGATCATTTCTCCAGGCATTGTCTTCAAAGTATCTTTAAGTTTCAAAGCACTTCCAAAATCCCCCAATTTTACAACACCAGCTGTTGTAAGAAATATATTGCTCCCCTTTATGTCACGATGTACGATACCACGTGAATGTAATGTGTGTACAGCAGCTAAAACTTGTGATGTGTATCTTCTAACCATTAGTTCTGGTAAACATATTTTACATATATCAGCCAATGTTCCGCCATCACAATACTCCATGAATAAGTACATCTCATCACGATGCAATTCAACACCATAATACTGTACTAGATTTGGATGTTTAATTCCTTCAAAATTTGTGTATTCATCCAAAGCTGATCGAATTTTCTGAAGATCATTAGGTTGAAATTTAACTTCTTTCATTGCTAATATAGTTCCAGTGTCAACGTTTACGCATGTATAAACACGTCCAAATGAGCCTTCACCAACCCTGGCCCCTCTTTGCCACCTGAAATTAACAGTTCGAACTCCTAAGCTCACAAATGAGGTCGGTCTATGATTATCAGATACTTGACCGATTATACCAGCTTCAATTCGTCTTCTGTCTTTGTCCATTTCTAGTTCTTCAACTGCATATCTTATTCGATCTGATGGAGCTGATACATCATCATCCTCTTCTAGAGACAAAGCGCCTAATTCTTCTTCATACGTTATTGCTGCTCGAGTCATGGGATCCGCAGTTGATGAATTACTGAGAGATCTTAACACTTGAGGTTCAGATGTAGGGACATGCAGGGTGCTGAGCGATTTCGTTTCCCTCGATGGCACAGAGTTCTTGTTGACTGTGTTGGTATTACCTTTCTCTTTTTCACCTATCAAATGGCTGATAAAGCTGTCAATTTTTTGTTTCAAACTCGAGAATTCATTTTCACCTAATGAAACGACAAAAGCAGAATCCATATTCACAACGAAAGTCAATCCTTGACTTGCCCACCTCGGTCTATGTCCTCTGCCTTTTTCACGATGTTTCATGACATAATCCATCCACTGCACAGCAAGTTCCATATGCATTTTATCAATCGCACTTCGAAATTCACCAGACATAATTCTAGTAGCTTCCTTGATGAAATCAAAACCAAAATTGAAGCAAGATTGCATTACTTCGTTAACCTCTGACATAACTTGTTGTCTTGAATCCATGTCAAATGAACCTACTCTACTGATGCGTTGTTGTAAAATTTTGTCACTCTGTGACTCTAAGCAGCTTAAAGTTTTCTGCATACTTTTTCTTAATATAGCTGATAGTTCCAACACTCGAGTACGTAACAAATCGAATGATTCTTTTATCTCTTTCACTATTGGCATTTGAGCAACATTCAGCTTGGCAAAAGGCGTGAATAGAAGGGACATTTCTTTCCTCATAATTCCTACGTCATCTGCAGAAGCAAGTACCACAGTAATATCATGTGATAAGCGAAATGATTTACTAAGCAATGCCAATGATGTCAGGCATTTTTTGCTATGGTATGTATTATCTTGAAAATGTATTTTTATCACATCTCCATTCCATACAGTACATCCCTGGCCTTGTATGCATCTATTCATGCAAGTTTCCCCACCATTCATTTCAATTTGAGTTCGTAAATTACTTTCAGACCTGGTCTTTTGTGTCTTTCTTTCAAACCGATTCTGTTGCATTTTTCCTTTTCCACGTGCTCTCTTTTTCATTGGGAATGTAACTTCAGACTGTCTTCTCAGGCCTGCATTTTCAGATGTTTTTTTCACAAATATAACACAATCCATTTTAGTAGAATTTTCTCCTTCATGATCGCTTCCATGTTTTTGCTCAGATGAAGCCAGCAGATGATTGAAGAGAGCTCTTTCAACAAGACCCCACACTGTTATCGATTCAGGGATGCCCGCACACTCTAAAGAAGCTTTCAGCATTTCCAACTGATCTTTAGGATCTGGAATAAATATCCAATAATTCTGTAAATCTACATAATCTGTAGGTTTGGACAAGCCATTTTCATTTGAATTATTCTCCCTCCAGTTCATTTTAAGTAGGGTATCAGAAATATCAACCAAAACATAACCTTCAGAAGACATAGATTCCAGAAGTTGGCAATGTGAGCAATACATTTCAGGATTATTATTTCCACGACTTTCGAGATCTATAACATCAAACCCAATCGCAGGCTCCAAGGCCTTACGCAATCGTTTTCCAAAAGATAATATTCTTGTAGCTCTTTCTCGAGTTTCGATAAACAAATCTCGGACAGCCCTACAGAGTTCAAATAAGTAACGTTTTTGGTAACCATTATGACTTATTTGTTTGTAAGACAACCACGGAAGAGAATTTGCACTAGATGATGAAGATGTAGTAGATATTTGTCTGTTCATATTGAACTCTGTTGGAGAACTAACTGGTGTCACTGATTCGGATGACTGAACAGAATTATGACGAGATAAATGTGGACTTTCAGAACGTTGCCTGTGGAACCACAGAACACCAGCTTGAGCCTTTGAAGTATGCTTAATAGAATCTGAAATTCTTCTTTCTTTTTTCAAATCTTTGGAGGAATGTTGTTCAGCAGGTGAGGGAGTTTCTATATCGATTTGCGACTCAATTAGAGCATTAATCGCACTAACAATAAACTCTCGGGTTGAGTCAACAATGTCTGCAGATATTCGAATAAACCTGCTCGCACACATAACAATTCCATCGAAATCAATTAGTGGGGATATATTGTTAGCAAAGACCCATTCCTGTTCCAAAATCTCCTGAAAACCTCGGGGAGCATGCGGCAAATCACCCAACATTTTAACCAACCATGCGTTAACAAAATCCAGGTAAGTTGTGAGCATGCAGCGCAAATCTGCTTCATAATCAGCCATAGATAAGGTATTATCTTCATCTTGCTTATCTATGTATATATCGCCAATCAAAAAATTCAAAATATCTCTAGCAAGCAAACCACATTCAAGCATTTCCTTAGATTCGGCCACAAGCTGCTTTGCAGTTAAAAGACATACAGATGAGCCACTGTTGTTAAAAAATGGCATGGCTTGTTTCATTCGCAAATGCATACATTGTTTCATAATGGCAAACAGAACTCGAGGGAAAAAGAGATATAAGGGCTTAATACTTGGCAAATTAAATAGCGCAGTGTTGCAATCGGATGGAGATACAGCAGACGCTTCATCAATAACAAAATCTAATTGATTTCCTTCAAAAATATTTCCGTGAGACTCAGAAAACACATTGTTAATTTTTGTCAGAATATTCGAAAGTTTTGAAGTTTGATCCTTCCAAGTTGACTTTGACACACAGTTTAGGTGTGTCCATACATTCGCAAATGAAACTTCTCTTTCCTCCTCGCCACCAATTAAAAACTGAACTGAATCAGATTCACCATTGTGATCCATAAAATCACTTTCATATTCTATACGAGACATCTGAGGGGTGGAAATATAGCATTGTTTTGGAAGTAAGTTCATCTTCGCACGAAAAAGTCCACTGAAATGCTTGTGAATAAATGTATGCAGAATCGATTTAACGGGCTTTCTTTTTAAAATGCGGCTCGTGTATTTACTTATGATACTTTTAAATGTGTCCACACTAAGGTATGAAGGTATTTCATTACTTGCACTGCTTGTTTCCTCCTCATTTTCAGAAAGGGCAGATAAATTGAAATGAAAAAGGTGTAAGGAAATATAGAGTTTTCCTTTCAAATCTGATGTAGTATTATACCAACAACAGAGGGATTCGATTTTCGACTGAAATTCTTCACTACTGTAATATGGGTATTCTGCTGATAATGTAGAAGAAGAGGGATATAGATTTTCAATTATACAAAGAAGTTTTAACACCTCTCCAACTTTGCTAAGAGCATCTTCTTGTAGTTGAATATACTTTTTGGTAGGAAATAAGATATTGGTCTCAAGATCATATTCAAGACTGGTGTCATGAAAAAAACGATTGGCATGCGGTAATGCTTTGGGTGATTCTATATCTGATATATCTTTATCAGATTGTTGAGACACCTCTAAGTCAGAAACATTACTTGACATGTAGCTGTCGCATTCTTCACATGCCGCTTCAGGTATCTGCTCTAAAGTAGAATCTATTTTTTCTTTCAGTTCCCTGAGATAAGTGATGTAGTTACTATCAAATTGAAACACAGACACAAATGATAAAACGTCCATTACAAGACACTGTCGCGCATTAAACAATATTTGATCCTGCTCCATGAGAGAGTGATCATTGAACCACGCTTGCAATTCAAGCCAGATAAGCTCATTTCGTCTTAATCTGTACATTTGTGAGGTTTTATGATCAACTTTGCTTCGATCAGTTTCCGATTGGTTCTGTTTGTTATTCCCTGCTGTGACAACCTGTCTTAATCTTTGCATGTAACGATGCCTCATTTGTTCTGTTGGAGAAGGCTTCTGAAATTTAATTTTAGATTGGTTTTTACGACCTTTGCCTTTCGATTTTGAATTAGATTTTATATTATCGCTGACAAAATCCCTTTCAGATACACATGAAGTTGACAGACATCGAAGTGGGCGACCACTTCCAAGCATAAACATATCTGATTGGACAGAAGCTCGTCTTCCAATAACAATATCATTGTCACCAAAAATATCATCGCCATCTCTGGCTGTTGGAATCGAATCCCCTCTTTTTGCATCTCGCTGATGGGAGCGGATCTCAGTTTTCTTTTTTCGCATTGAACTCCTTGGGCTATTTATATATCGATGATCTTTTGAACTAAACATGAGATGTTTGTTTTTAGGGTCAACTTTCCACGCATCTGACCCGTTCGCAGCGGCACCACCAAATTTTGCATTTTTTGTTTTGCTCCTAGATCTTCTCCTGGGAGGTGTAGCTTCTAACAGGTCATTCACATCATAATTCATTACCACGATATTCTACATAGCAACCGATGGCACTAACTGACTAAACATAAAAATTAGAATTGATGAATATTGCAACAAAAGTCAGAAAGAATAAGTAAAAAACTGGCAAGCTTTTCACTACTGCACTATATCTGTATATCACATACAGACATAGGGACAGCCACATTGAGACATTCACAAAATTTAGTATTCGGAATACAGGAATAGATTGTAAAACTGTAAAATGACAAATGATATTTCTGAATGCAGGAATTAGAAACATTAAACATATATCAAATATCTGAATATATCCCAAAATGAAAAATGTTTACCAAAGAATTTTATATAGCTACTGTATGCAAATTTATAGAAATTGAATTTAGTAATGATTTAAAAGGTTGTAACACAGTAATAAGGGGTCTGGTATAGTTTAGTACCACATGCACTTCTAGTTGGCCTGGCTCAATAATTTTTGCATATGTCAATTCTAACCCCCACCTGACTACATCACCGAAAAATTACGTCATTTCGAAGTCACAGTGGCGTAATAGGGCCCACCAAAGTATGCGGATGGTCGTCCAAAACGCGCAGACTATCACCCGAAATTGAGCAAGCTATTTCTCTTGTTCTCTCGCCACAACGATCACGATAGGAGAGAGATTGCCAGCGTTAGCGAGATCCTTATCGGCGGCGCAGATGCCATTTCGGGCGATCGTAATTATACTTCGGCAAGCCCTATGACGTGATGGTGACGTCGTAGTGAAGTTTTGGATGGCATTGTCAGGTGGGGGTTAGGAATAACATATGCAAAATTCGTTACGCTTCGCCCACTGGAAGTACTTGTGGTACCGGTACTAAACTATACTAGACCCGTAGTTGGCACTGTTTTAATTAATTGAATATGGTACCCTACCAATATATTCAAAATCAATAATCAGCATAACAGGTGATAACGTAACTGATAAAAACAAACACATATCAAAGAATCAAGAGGGCAAACCTTAGGCTTTTTAAAGATTAATAAGGACACATGGAATTTCACATAAAAAGTCGCTGCCAAACGAAGTGGTACCGGTACCGGGTACGGTAGGTACCTATTTGCCACGCCATATTGCTGTATTCTGGTACCGGTATCGGCGCGGCGGTGTGGCTAGGCGCGGCGGTGTGGCTCAACGGGCTAAGCGTTAGGAATACGCTCGCCACCGCACCTCTAATTACTCTGCGTGGGTTCGCAGGTTCGAATCCCATGCAGGGATGGTTATGTGCAAGAGGATTGCTGGACTCCTCGCCGTCGTTGGGTGGTTCACGTAACCGCTGGTCGGTTACGGCTTCCTCCACCACCAAGTCCATGCTTCCGAAAACAAACAATACAGTAAAAACTAATCCCATACCCGACTTGGAATGGTAACCGGACGAGAGGCCGTGGTTCGCCATATGGATAAGCCGTCTTATCGGCTTTCCTCTCCCCCGGGATAAATATGTAAATCCTATCCTATCCTATCGGACATCGGTACAGTATTGATCTATCGGAGGATGGCGAAATTGAATACCGAATTAATAAACAAATATTACAGCTGATTCTTGTTGGAGTCTACTGATACCATATAGTATCCGGCGTATAGACTACCGTGCCGAAATCATTGAGGTGGCCGAAATTCTAAATAGCCCAACCGTAACTGCCACAAGTTTATGTTGAAGGGGTGGGATAGCTCAACGAGTATACAGTATATATGCTCATTGGCTAGCTAGACCAGAGTTTCCCAAGGCCAAACTAGGGGCAACCCTAAAATGCGGGAAACGGGAACTACGGGAAATGCACTAAAATGCGGGAACGACGGGAAATTGCAAAAACTAAAATGCGGGAATGACGGGAACTACGGGAAATTTCACTAAGAAGCGGGAATGACGGGAAATCGTTTTAAGATACGGGAAATACTCATTTTGTAGTATGTTTAGGGGAAATTGTTCTAGAAAACAAAAGCAACGGTAAATATACGCTTGGGGGTGTATGTACGTGAAAATTTATCTAAAATGCGGGTATGACGGCAAATCGCTTTAAAGTACTGGAAATACTCATTTCAGAGTACGTTTGAAAGAAATTGCACTAGGAAACGGAAGCAACGGGAAATATACGCTTGGGTTGTGTGGGTACGGAAATTTCACTAAAAAGCGAAAAATTTCACAAAGAGTGGGAATGACGGGAAATCACTCTAAGATACGGGTAATATGTATGTTAGTACAATTACCCCGTACATGCACACTCAAGTATAAACGACACTCCGTAAGTATGTGCAACAAGATGACGCCAACCTGAACCCAAACCTGGTATACATACTATGTTCAGGTTGTGCGCCATCTTGTTGCACATACTTCGGGAGCGTTGTATAAACTTGCCGTTGCTTTCGCTATTCAATGCATATTTACCCCACACATACTCTAAAATACATATTTGCGGAAATGCGGGAACGATGGAAAATCGCTCTAAGATACGGGAAATCTGCAATTTAATTCAAATACCCCGAACGTGCACACTCAAGTATAAACGGCGCTTCGGTAGTATTTGCACCAAGATGGCGCACAACCTGAGCTTTAATCTGGTACACATACTTGGTTCAGGTTGTGCGCCATCTTGATGAACTTACTTGGGGAGCACTGTATAAACTTGCCGTTGCTTTCGCCTTTGAGTGAAAGTTTACCTCACACATACTCTAAAATACATATTTCCGGTACTCTAAAGCAACTTCCCGTCATTCCGGCTTTTTGTAAAATTTCCCGTAGTTCCCGCAATTTGAAATTGGCTATTTCCCGTCGTTCCCGCAGTTCCCGCTTTTTAGTGCATTTCCGGTCGTTCTCGTTTCCCGCATTTTGGGGCCCTAAAATGGCGGGATGATCATAATCAGAGTCTAAATAACTTATACCGGCGCGGCGGTGTGGCTCAACGGGCTAAGCGTTAGGAATACGCTCGCCACCGCACCTCTAATTACTCTGCGTGGGCTCGCAGGTTCGAATCCCATGCAGGGATGGTTATGTGCGAGAGGATTGCTGGACTCCTCGCCGTCGTTGGGTGGTTCACGTAACCGCTGGTCGGTTACGGCTTTCTCCACCACCAAGTCCATGCTTCCGAAAACAAATAATACAGTAAAACTAATCCCATACCCGACTTGGAATGGTAACCGGACGAGAGGCCGTGGTTCGCCATATGGATAAGCCGTCTTATCGGATTTCCTCTCTCCCGGGATAAATATGTAAATCCTATCCTATCCTATATCGAGATAGACAAATTGGACCGTAAATTTCCCGTACATACACACCCAAGTGTATATTTTACGTTGGTCTCGCCCTTTAATGCAACTTTCCCTACATATACAATACAATGCCGATTTCCCCCATCTTAGAGCAATTTCCCGTCATTCCCACTTCGTGTGAAATTTCCCGCCATTTAGTGAAATTTCCCCTACATACACTCTAAAATGCATACTTTCCCTATCTTAGAGCAATTTCCCCTCTTTCCCGCATTTCGTAACATTTTTCCGCTTATTAGTTAATTTTCCCGTCATTCTCACGACGGGAAATGCACTAAAAAGCAGAGCCTAATTGATTTTGGATGTATTATGTCGTATAATTAGCGAGGTATTAATTAATTAGTGATGGGACACAAGGTGTCACTATGGAGTAAGAGCGCTGTTTTGGGGGATTCCCTAACTTTCAATCGATAAGTCTTCGGTCTCTGACCGATATTCTCGTAAATAAAAATCGCTGCATTGTTGCGAAGTTTTCAGTCTTCAAGTAAATTCCGGAAAATAAAATTGTCACGGCGATCGTTTTGACGGCCGACATCCCAAATACGGTTGTTTGAAATGACAATACTCATTATTCGGCGTTGTGTTCGTTGGAAATATTCGAATAATTCGACTAATAAAACTATTTGCCCACCACTATCCCGACGCGTGTTATTTATCATTGAATGACAATTAAAAATCAACTGTTTAACATTAAAATCCAAGTAATAGTTTCACATTTAATGCACTTGATCGGCGCTACATGCGAGCGTGTTTTTGTACTTATAAACGATTTTGACGCTACTGACATCCGTGAGTTACACTTCTCTCAAAATTAATTTTCACGATTTCTAATGTTCTATTTTCAAATGCGGGTACTGCTGACTACGGATTAATGGTCGATATTTGAAATAGGACTTACAAAATATTCACCATAAACCGCCAGGCACATAAGAGGCGCGCTACACGTAACTGTGGAATTTCGCTGTGAACGACACATTCTTTTCAGTTTATAAAACGCCTACGTCGTCGTGAATAGCACTTTTGGGTGCTCTGTGGAATTTCGCTGTGAACGACACATTCTTTTCAGTTTATAAAACGCCTACGTCGTCGTGAATAGCACTTTTGGGTGCTCTGTTTTAATTTCACCGAAAATTTTGGCTGCGCCCATGTCGGTACCTATCCGATATCACCCCGGCTATATTCCGGCACTGATAAACCAAGTCATAATTTGTCACCCATGTCATCAATAACCAAAACTTTTGTGCTTGCTATTACCAGAAAGCCTATGCTGAATGAAAGTGCGACCTGCGGTTTTACTCAGTTATCTTTGTCTGGTCCTCCTGTATTAAATGTGGCACACCCTTGGTTTTAACTACTTAAATTGCTTTGCAACCTAGTTCTTCGCTTGATATTTATCATGTTTTTTCGATTTTCGTCATTTTTTTCTGTAAATTTAGAGCAATAAGAGAAAATTATTCAGGTAGTTTGTAGACTAATATGATATATAAAAGTTGATAATGTCCCGAGCATATGTTGACATTATTTATCGAACCAAGAAATTATTGCCTCATCTAACGTGAATACGACCATATTATTTTATGATATTTTTCTCATTCTATTGCATTTTTCTCTGCGATTTTATATGTAACTGCAATACTTTATATTTTTTCTGCCAAGATGTTTGTTATTTTATTGCAAGCATCAATTGCTTTTATTATTTTATACCAATTTCTTTGATTTCTATGTTAAGTTCCCTTATTTTTTCATCTTCAAGACATTCGTACTTAATGATACTAGCCCAATTAAAAAATACTACAATCACAATTTCTTAAATCATTGGGATCATATATTTTTGGCGCATTCAATACAAAGAACATAAAGTCATGTTTTTGATGGAATTAGTCTGCTTTACAAATGCGTCTTTCTAACAAAAATAAACGAATTGCTCCAATTGAGCATTGACTGATTGAGCATATACTATAGCTAAAGATAGTACTATTTATTACGTAATTTGTCTACAAATATCTCATTCATTAGGGGCACGTTTTCCAAACTGGAAAATTCATCCCTGGCGAGTAACTTTGTCCTTTTGAGCAGGAATTGGCTTTGTATTTGCTGTAGCATCACTGATTTCCCAAAGTTCGCTCTGCCTACTATAATACAATGCACACATTCAATTAGAAAACACTGGAACTGTACAAAATCAGTTTTTCAACTAGGGCAATAGACAAAGATCTAGAAATTAAATTAGTACAGTAGTTTTTATGCATAGTGAAGAAGAATAAATCTTATTCATCAAATGTTTTGTCCACATGTATCCCATTCGTGGAATGTTTTCTTTTCATACATGTCGTTCAGGGGTTTTGTCCACATATATTTCATTCGCCAGATATTTTGTCCATATACATCTCGTTTCCCTGATGAAACAACCGCTCATTGGCGAAATGTTTTCTCTTCATACATTTCGCCAAGGGGTTTTGTTCATATATATCTCATTCGCCTGATATTTTGCCCACATGAATGTAGTTTATCATACATCTGATTAACCATATATTTTGTCCATATATATATATCTTGTTTCCCTGATGAAACAACAGCTCATTCGCGAGATGTTTTCTCTTCATACATTTTGTCCAGAGGTTTTGTCCACATGTATCTCATTCGCCGAATATTTGTCCATACGAATCCCGTTTATCATACATTTCATTCACCAGATATTTTGTTTAAATATATTTCGTTTCCCTCATAAAACAGTCGCCGTGATTATTCGCTCGTTAAAAAAACGACTTTTTCAGTGAGACTCTTCTTTGGCGTATGATATTCAATCCATGGTAATTAACCTAATTGTGTCTAATGTAGCTCGCGGTGGCGACCCTTAAATACATCGCTACTTTAAAAAAAACAGATGTAATATGCGGACATAAACCCGTGAGATAAACTGTCTAATTATATTTAGTTTCGATAGGTATGTTTGCAATCTTGCTAATTCGTTATCGCCGTTAGGAATCCGTATTTTTGCCATTTTGCGAATTAGAGAAATCTGTACTTGTAACACAGATCCGTTCAATGCTGCCACTCAGATTAATATTAAGATATAAACGTTATAATCTCACGACGTAAAATCTATTTTAGTACAATGAAACTCGATTGGATTAATTAATTTATCATCATAATTAATTTACCATCACAATCCGTTAAGTGTGACATGTGGGACACGAGGTACAAGTGGGACAAATGGCACATGTGGTACAAGTAGTACACGTGGTGCAAGTGGAACACGTGGTATATTGCGGGCAAGTGGGACACGTGGTACAAGTGGGACACATGATACAAGTGGTACACGTGGGACAAGTGGTACACGTAGAGCGAGTGGTACACGTGGGGCAAGTGGTACACGTGGGACACGTGGGACAAGTGGAACACGTGGTATATTGCGGGCAAGTGGGACACGTGGTACAAGTGGGACACATGATACAAGTGGTACACGTGGGACAAGTAGTACACGTGGTGCAAGTGGAACACGTGGTATATTGCGGGCAAGTGGGACACATGATACAAGTGGTACACGTGGTGCAAGTGGAACACGTGGTATATTGCGGGCAAGTGGGACACGTGGTACAAGTGGGACACATGATACAAGTGGGACACATGATACAAGTAGTACACATGGTGCAAGTGGAACACGTGGTATATTTCGGGCAAGTGGGACACGTGGTACAAGTGGGACACATGATACAAGTGGTACACGTAGATCGAGTGGTACACGTGGGGCAAGTGGTACACGTGGGACAAGTGGGACACGTGGGACAGGTGAGACAAGTGAGTCACGACATTTTTGAGACACCGGAGGGACAAGTGAGACACGTGGTACAAGTGTGACACATGAGACAAGTGGGACACGACATTTTGGAGACACCGGTGTAAGCCCTGAGGGTGTTGGTCAGCCACTTTTGCAAAATCCGAGTACAAGGTATTCTTTTATCAGATAATGCTTGCGGTGCTGCAGGCTTGCGAATATGTATATTCTCAATGCTTGGAAACAAACGGCAGACTATTTTATTATTCTTTCTTTCTTTCGCTGTACAGAAGAACTTTAAATTCGAATTATTTTGTATCGTTAACGTCAATTCCTTTCTATTTTTCGAACTGAAACCGATATTTAGAGAATATGTGCACGAAATCTCGATGACAATATAATCAATCAAGACAGTCGGGATGGCTTTAAACGTAGGCCTATGTAGTAAAATCGGGAAATGTAAAGTTTAAAAAATCACAGCTAAGGGGTCATGGTCTTTGGAGGCGTCCCGCTTTGAAGACACAAAAAATATGGTAACCCTATGCATATGTATTGGTTAGAGTGAAATCTGCGGCCGTGCTGGTGTGTGTTTTAGCAATGTTTCATGTCATCGGTTTTAGCCATTGAGGTGTATAACAAGCACAATCAAGGCACCCATAAAAGCATACTTAGGATTTCGATAATTGTGGTGTCGTTAACCTCGATGTCCAAAAAAGGTATCAAATTATTAAAGAGGGGGTTTGAGGGTGCTGTGGGCATGAATATTGCGTTAAATCAAAGTAGTTGTATTCTATTTGCTACACATTGCCGCATGTCCGGGAAAGACTTGTATATACTCGAACACAGGACTCTCGTGAACCCGCAAGAATTTGCACTTGGCTCTCGCTCTATCTTTCTGAAAGCATGCATTTCATGTTTAGGTAAGCTATTGCTGAAGAGTTGACTTGATGGCAAATTTTGGATAGAAAGGGCTATAGGATCAAATTTGAGTGCCTATCGTAATATTTATACATGCTGAGACTTGGTGACATAAAAATTCCACACAATAGCGCCTAAGTAATTTTCTATTGTTCCCATTCATTTGTCCGCATACAATTGATGATTAACAACTGAAGTGTGAACAAAGGATTTACTGATTTTTTACCTTTTCGGTAGCCTACCTAATCTTTTTATGTCGTGATCCCAACCAACGTTGGTTTTTGGCAAGTTCATGCCTCGAACAAATCTGTAGCCTATGTGTTTCGTGAGATCTTAATACAACCAAATACTCCACGAACCCATGAAATAAGATCTTAATTCCTGAGTCGATGTCTATCAATGAAAAAAACCTTGCGTATGTCATTGATAACCAATATATTCCCATACCCTATTGTTCTACCCCTGTCATCGTAACACTAAGTCCCTCATATAATCTGCACTTTAATTTGGCTCTTATTTGGTCAATGAAGTGGTCTGGCCCACTTCTTCATACACCCAACTTTGGTCGGGCAATTTGTCTGTGAATTACAGGTAGATTGGAGATGAACCAGTGTGCAAAATAAAGGGTACAACAAGAATACAATAAAAATAAGATATGGCTAATTATTCCGCTGTTCATTATATAACGTCCATGAAGAATTCAACAAAATAATCATGAATATTCAGTCCACTGTGCGATATTTAATACTGTGCAATATATAAAGTACAAAAAGATTTCAACAAAATAAGCATGGATATTTATCCAACTGAGCAATATATGAAGTACAACAATAATGTATCCAAACAAAAAAATGAGCATGGAAATTTATTCTAGTGTGAAATAGGCTACAACAAGAATTCAACAAAAAAGCATGACTATTTATTTACCTGTGCAGGCAACGGTAACCGTTATAAAATTATTAATATGGTGTGGCAAGTAAATATATATTACGTTTTTTACTCATTTGTTTTAGTCTAATATGTAATTTATTTAAGTTTCTGGCGTTGTCTTACTTTATTATATCTTTTGTGGTTAAGTGCGTGAAATATTTTAAGTGAGTGAACACGTACAGTCCTTTTGGCAAACCCTTCCAACCCAAATTTTGCACGCTTTAAACCTTACTTAAAATTTCGTCCGCTCTCCTGATTCCATAATCAGTTTTTTTTTATTTCCCTTATATATCAATTATTTTATCTTCTGCTGAGTTTAAATTCGAAATAAACTCGTGGCCGGTTATAGAATGCGTCCGGCTATAGAAAAAAAGTTGTACAGCCCTAGTTTTGGTCAATGTAAATATTCTTATTGTTTAGGCTCAACGTAATATGCATGGGTCTTCCCACAGGCATGTATTATAACGATTCTCTAAAGCAGGGAGCGGCAAACTTTTGACGTTCGCGGGCCAAAATTAAAGGCTGCAAGTCATTGGCGGGCCGCGCGTATTTTTAGAAAGTTAAAAATCGACGGAATGGCCAATGAATCACATTTTTTCACACAGATTTCAGTTAAATTTTAAGCAGTGCGCGAAGACTGATCATTTAAATATTTTCTGCGTCGTTAAACCATTTGCACTCAGCATCAACTTTTTTACGTTATGTTGCCATTTGTTTAATTAAAATCAATTGTAGGCTCATTAAGCGAGTGATTGTGAATTATATACTTGTTAGGTTATAATATAATTTAGTGGCTCAAAACAAATTCTGTCACGTAAAGAATATAATCGTCAATACAGCTGTTTTGTTAATATAATTCAGTGAAGCGTCGCGGGCCGGATCATATTGCTCCGCGGGCCGGATCCCAAAATTCCCTTTTTTAATAAATCGAGGGATTTGCACAACATCAAATGCCAATGGTGCCATTACTTGCGCAAGGAAATTCACGAGTTAACAGTGACATAAACTGTCAAAAGTTAGCCATCCAATATAGTGGAGTAATTCCTCCACCAATAATAACACAGAATACAAACAAGGGAAAGATTCTGATTGGCGTGAAGGAAGAACAGCGTAAATTAAATACATTTATTGAACTTTGAGGCTCTTATATTAGTTGGAACTGGGAAAAAAGATAGAGAAATATATCATAAAGTGCAAATAATCTATCTGAACGATTTACATCTCCACAGCCACACTATAGTCTATCCTTTTAGGCATCTTACAGCTCTTGGTGTTGTGTTTCCGATTTTGCAAGTTTCAAACTTCCATGTAAATTGCAGAGATTTTTAGCACATAAGTGATGTTCGCAATATCTGAAATAAAGAATAAATGATTTCATAATCAGTTTTTATTTATTTGTTTTTATCAACCGTTTTATCGCCGTTTATGCTGATTATGGAGTCGAAATGAACTTATCTTATATATCTTATGTGTCGTTCTAAAAAATAAATATATAACGAAAAATATCCAGATTAATGTGTCATTTTGTTACCGAACAAACAAGCGATAAACCATCGCGCTAACACTTCGTGTCTATGATTTGAATGGTTGTTGCCCCGAGCATCGAATTCCCTTTTTATGTTTAATTCGCCATAATTTTTATGGTTAAAGTAAAGGGCCGCGTAACAAATGAAATTCAAAACGACACTAATGCTAAGCACTTTTTTAACTCAAGTGGACATTCGTGCATAGTTATACGGGTAATCACCTTTTAGTAATTTGAGGTTTTGGTTATGTTTACAGACATGTATGAATCAAACAACTCAGTGGCCATTTTATCTCCTGAAGGTTTGGTAATTTGAGGTTTTGGTTATGTTTACAGACATGTATGAATCAAACAACTCAGTGGCCATTTTATCTCCTGAAGGTTTTATGTTATGATTTTAAGTAGATTCATGTTGATTGTGCTACCGCTGCGGAGATAGCCTACCACTTTTTAATATATATATATTACTTATAGACTTATAATACACTGAAATAAACAGTCTACCTCCACCGTCGTGTTACTCAAACGGGGGGTCCTCGGCGGTTGATAAAAGAACGTACTCGTGTTAGAAATCTAAACCATTGTTTTATTTGTAAGCAATTTCAGATTTATTTCGAAGTTTCCATTCAATGCCACCCTTAAAATTTAGATTTTCCTCACTTTTTCCGTCTTACGAGCCGAGCAACAAATTACGATAAAAAATACTTACTTGGGAGAATATGCCCCCAAATCACCATTTTTCCACGCCTTCTCTATTGGATCTCTCATGTCTTCAGCCAGTTTTGTAAGCGTCCAGTCCGCGTAATTATTTTTTCCCCTTGTGAGCCATTCCTCAAAAGCGCGGTTAACCTCGTGCAAACCCCAGAAACGTTTAGCCATCCATTCGTTTACCTTGGCGTCGCCAATTTCTTCGAAATGTTTTATTACATTAGGAACGATAATTTTTTCATGAAATTCAGCCAACTTTCTTTTTTCCGGAAAAGATTCAGAGAAAACCTTAACATATTTTCTCGTTTCTTTACCGAATATTTCGATAATGCGTGGCAATACAAACTCGGGATACATCTTTTTGTAATCGTCGAATATCTTCGCCACTGCCTGATAAATTGGTTTGCTTTTAGTTGGATCGTGTTGAACGACTTGCATATGTAGCAAATGTAGATACCACATCAAACCCTCAACCTGTAGTTCCGATAGATCGTCCACTGGTCCACTTTGAGTCGATTCAAGCCCTCTTGCAACAGCGTCATAAACACTATCTACGTCAGATTTGGGAAATACATAATTAGCAATCGGATATACTAAGCCACAACCGTATTTCATTAAGTTCAAAATTATATTTGAAGTCTCGCTTTCTTTCTAGGTTTCATAAACTGAATTGAGAAACTTAGATGTGGCATGAAATAATCTCCGAGTTAATTCGTTGTCCACGAGCAGACTTTTGACAAAGTCTACTAGATTATTCAGATTTATTGGATCTCGTGCAAGTTTTATTAAAGGGGCTTCAAATCTTTTTTTCTCGAATCCAATGTTTCCAAAAAATACGACGAATTCGTTTATGATTTCATCTGCATCTTCGATAAGAAGCATCGATGATAATTCCGCCTTTAAACCAGCCAGCGTAACTATGAATGGATCATCCAAAGCTCGAAGGCCGTCCATATAATCGTCGACATCCAGAGTGCTGTCAGGGCCAAATATTTGCTGACAGGTCCAGTCATCCGAGTATTCTTCTTTTACGCAACCACCATACCTCATTGCAACTAAATCATTGAAACACGAAATGAAGGAATATAAACAATTCGTAGAGGTACTCCGCCATTCGAACCATCATGATGACCGCTCGTGGTAAGAGTTTTGATTTGTTTGGCAAGATGTTAAAATTTGGTTGCGTTAATTTAGTAGTAAATGCTTGAATTGCAAAGAAAATCAAATTTTATCTTAGCTCCCATTCAACGTACTAGCGTTAAAATATATCATACACTAATTCGTTGTCGCTGGAAATGAAAAGAACAATATTATTTTCTAAGTTTGAATAAACACATATAATATCACCGATGAATCCTTTTTTAAGTGAGAGTGAGAATTACTCAAAGAATATAAAAATTTTGAAGTCAACTGATATTGACATTGCAAAAATCTCAGTAATAAGCTTAAATCTATGCAGTTGTACGCTAAAAACTTACCCTGCAGTTTAGTTCTACGTATGTTGATTGAAAACTCTTGTATGAGGCATATGCTGTTTTTCTCGCATTCATGTTTTTCCCAGCGAGAAAGTGGTACTCCTGCCAGAGATACATTGAAACCTTGGTAGCATGTCAATGAATAACCCACCTCAAATATTAAAAACTCAAAAATGAGAACATTCATTAACATCATGCTCGTATTATTCGAGAATTACAAAATCTATAAAAGGTAAAAAAGTATTGTAATAATTACCGATCTAGTGATATTTGCAACCAGAGAACGATCAGGACGAACTAGAGAAAAAGCTTCGTCATGTCGGAAATTTGGACTTGCTTTGATCTGAGTTTGCGGATCTGTTCGATAGTAAATTTCATCATTCATTTGCTTATAAACAAAAAAAGACTTGCCCTAAAGGTTGGTCGGAAAGTTGGTCAGCATAACGTGTTAAAAACGTGTCTAACTATATTAAAGAAATCGTTCTGCTGTACAGTTTTTCAATTCACTTAGGCTATATCTCGTTTAAGAGTAAAAATGCATCGGCTCTCTATGGAGTGTGTAAAGCCAATATAAATACATCAGCACGTTGCAAGGGACATGGTCAAAAAATTATCAAAACTTTAGGTTTCTGCCGACGTGTTTTTATGTTGTATATCACAAATCGAAACAAAATCGAAATAACTTCGAGGTAAACGAGATGCCCCGTTTGAAAAAAATTCTGAACAAAGTTATAGACTGAACAATTTAAAGTTAAGCTGCCTCTTGTCCACGGAGTTCTCATTGTCTAAGATGCTACATAAACGGCATGCTATCATTTTTTAAAGAGAAACGCTACACTACCTTTATCAATAGTATCATCTGTCCATTACCTTACAGACGATGAGTCATTGTTTGTCCTATAGGTTCATATACTTTCTTTCGATTTGGAAGATAAATATATTCATTTGTCGTGGTGACATTTCCGATTCAGCGTTTCCGTATGCTGTATTATGAATCCCTATTGCGCCATTATACAGCGAAAGTGCTGTTGCGCCATTGTTGTTCAATCGTTATTGTCTTCTGAATCAGCAAAAGTGGGGAAGTTTTGTGCCAATTGTATTCAAAATAATATGGAGGAATTTACACAATTCAATGGTGGTGTAATGTTGCTATTAAACGTTTTATGAAAGAACTGGTCATATCCGGAAGAGTCCCCACTTAATTTCTAAACTTATCACCCTCTATATATATATATATTTCAGCACGAATAGAAGAATTGAGCAACGGACTAATTGTGTTTTAAGTGCACTTTTATACTGTAGCAATGAGCATATATACAATGAGTGGAAACTTGCAAAGATTTGCTCATTGTGGCATTGTTCCCTGCATTTTTTACGTCGTCCAGCTAAATGGTTCGTTGCATATTAAGAAAACGCATTGCTCGCTGCCAAAATCCCTTGCTTCAGCCGAGTCGGGTGCGAAATTGGCCGTATTGAGGTCTTTAATTCTTCAATACATATTTGGTTTTGGGTTTCGAAGTATGGTACGCTGAAAGCATACAACTATGAGCATATGCTTATTGGGAATGCATATCTATTAGACAGAAAACGTATCTACAGAACAGAATATGAACCAGTCGCCGAGAGGAGTGCGGTTATTTATGTATTTATTAATTGATATAACATGGGATTTACATATTTATCCAAGTGGAGAGGAAAGCCGAAAAGAAGGCCTAAATATATGGCGAACCACGGCCTCTCTCAATCATAGCTCTGTGCTCCATATGAATCACATGGCTCTGTGAGCTATTCGTTTACTTATTAAAAATACTGATTTTAACTATAAATTACTCTGGGATATCTTGCCATTGAAAACAAAAGCCAGAAATTGGAAGAAAAGCAGGGAATGAAATGTGTGTATTATGTAATGGAGAACCTGAGTTTGTTTCACATATTTTCATGTATTGTGAATTTACAAAAAATATTTATGAAGATTTTGTTTTAGATATATTAAAATTGATCAGAATACATTTTGTTATCAATATGATTCTTGCATATTATTCAATTTTAACGATCCTTTATATAGTCGTATAGATACTGTTGATTCGGATGCAATTATACTTTTGTAATCAATAGTGAGATATAAAATTTTGACCATGAGAAATTCTATTATATTCGAAAATAAAACACCACATTTTGCCTTTCTCAAAAAGCAGATAAAAATGGCCATAATATGTAGAAAAATATAGAGAATTATAGAATAAACAACCCATTTGAGAGGGAATTGAAAAATTTATGAGAGAGGCCGTGGTTCGCCATATATTTAGGCCTTCTTTTCGGCTTTTTTCTCCCCTTGGATATGTAAATCCCATGTTATATCAATTAATAAATACATAAATAACCGCACTCCTCTCGGCGACTGGTTCATATTCAGTTCTGTAGATACGTTTTCTGTCTAATAGATATGCATTCCCAATAAGCATATGCTCATAGTTGTATGCTTTCAGCGTACCATACTTCGAAACCCAAAACCAAATATGTATTGAAGAATTAAAGACCTCAACACGGCCAATTTCGCACCCGACTCGGCTGAAGCAAGGGATTTTGGCAGCGAGCAATGCGTTTTCTTAATATGCAGCGAACCATTTAGCTGGACGACGTAAAAAATGCAGGGAACAATGCCACAATGAGCAAATCTTTGCAAGTTTCCACTCATTGTATATATGCTCATTGACTGTAGCGAATGTGCATTATGTACATATGTAATATAATGTTTTTAACCCTTTCATATTAATAGCATGTAACATTTCACAAAATAGGCCACATTATGTTTTGCAACAGCGATAATGCATTCGTTCCATGTATTCCTTTTCTCGTATCGACCAATTTGATGACGTATCCTTTGCGGTTTGCCGAGAGGACTGCATAATATCGTGTTTTTTGGTTCACTTCAGATTTTACTGCATCAAGAATTAAGTGTGTTTCAATTTTATCTGTATTTGGATTTTGGATCGTGCATCTTTTCAATAATATACAGCAATTCGGCATTCAACATTATGTGCTTATTATCGTCTGAAAGAATTCAGACTTTCGTCTGAAAGAATCCCATTCCATGACGCGTGTCAATTTTAACGCGGGAATCGAACTTTTAAATACTAGGGTGATCACGATCAGTCTATCAATCTCTTCTCCCTATATTTTTGGCGACCCCTGACCTCAGCCAATGCGCACACAATTCCATTTTTTGCCGGAAAGTTGCGTTTACATTTGTCTGGAACGTTGAAGATACGAAAGTTTGCACGGCCGGCGGCTTTCCGAAATTCAACGCTACCACACTCTTGTTACTTTACAATTCATCCGGCAATCTTTACCGATTGGAAGTTCCGAGAATTGGCCAAAGCGAAACTTGCTCTCAACGAACGAAATCTTGCTTTGAATCAAACAAAGTCTATTGTACATACAATGGCTTGGTTTTAAAAGTAAATGATAACTGCGAAGACATTGTCAGATTACGCCATAAAGGCGTGGCTCGTCACCAGTGGCACGACGTCACCAATACCTGGTTCTCAAAAGTCGTTTCGATTGTACAACAGTCGTCCGATCATGACTCTGAATTATTCGCTTAACTCTGCGACAGAATACACGAATTGGAGTGTCGTGTCGAATCAATGCTCTCCCATCTACTGAAACCACTAGTACAGCTGTACCCCTCTCAAATATTATCTGCAATTTTAAGACGTGAAGTTCATGCAATTGTTCATGGAGACATTCTCGTCGAACTTCATTGTGTTTCTGCCAATTTCCGTCTACCAACACAATTCTTATGCTACACGTCCGATTGTTGCATATACCTCGCCAAACAGATCTACAGAGCTTGGACAAATCTACGCCAGTAACGTCGTTTTTAATCAAATATTGCTGACTGAATCACCACGATTTGGACGAACAAGAATTTTCAAAATCAATGGCAGCTACTACAAGTATTACAACTATTCACTGGTATCCAGAAACAAAAATGTCAAACAGGTATACCCTTCATTGTATACAAGTTTTGATTACCCATCTACAAAAGATTACAGCTCATTTCTTGAGGAAATTCTAGCAAACGAAGAGGAAATTTCCGCTACAAGCTTGGATGACCTTTTAGTTACAATTTCGGAACTGGTAAAGATGCAGGTAATATATATATTTATTTATATCCCACCTCAAATATTATAAAATCAAAACACTCAATAATTTCATGACCGCATTAATTGAATTATAAAATTTCTGTAATTTGAAAAAGTAATTCGAGTAAATATATGAACTCGGAGACGGCTTACTAAAAATACCCAACCGCTTCCCATGTTTAATTAAAGTACCATTTTTAATGCATTCATCGTATGTACAATGGCTGCCACCAGCCCTACAATGCGTAAAATTTTTTTTTTCATCAATATGAGAATAACTTTCACAGGACGCAATCCTCGATGGTTCACAACATATTGCTATTAGGATATTATCGAATGTTTATATCCTTTTTGCTGAGATTAAAAAAAAACGAAACTAAATAAAGAATTATTATACTCAATTTACCATCCATCTCATACTTGTCTCGACACTACCCTTCACACGTTGTAAGGGCAGCGCGATTCAAAAACAAATTATGATACATTGTTACCATATTGTCTTTAGAATCAACATATTTGTGGAGTGTCGGGTCAGTGATCTGTATTCAAAATTTTAAGAAAAAATTGAATGATCGTGTAATAAAACTACCAATATTTGGAGTGCTTTTTCTCCGTTGTTTACCGTATTATATTTCATATTCATCCTTCGATCAGTGTACCTAGTACTTACTACAGTCTGATATAAATAATATACTCAAGGCTGAGATGACCCAATGCGTGATCTGGAATTTACTAAAGTTTTGCTCGCTCTCCATAAATATATATTTTTCGTATAACGGAAATTCGAATGGATGACCATAACTAAAATTTTGTCATATGGCGCCATTTATTCCAACTCATGACTGAATATTGGGTTTTCTGCCAGTGGGATAAAAGTAGCCATTAATCATATCACCAATACAAATCATTAAACGATTACAACCCAGAATATAGAAACGCATCACACATTTTCATACTGCGAATCAATTTATTTTATTGCACATGATATAAAATAAAGATATTGAGTTCATACAATGAAAAATACCTGCTCAAAATGAATTGCACGTTTAAAGGAAATTCCGATTGAGAGAGTATACAAATCAGATGAGCGATAATCAATGCCATTATAAGATAATAACCTGTAATTTTTTCTTCTTGCTTCTTTATGCTATTATGATAATGGATCTGTATACACTGACTAATCAAAGCGAATAAACAAAATGAATTTTAATAGTATTGCATCACACAATTTCAGATTACCTCCAACACCCCCTACACTCTAAATTTGTGAAATTGTGCTACCATTTGTGAAATTGTGTGAATATCTGATTGTAAAAAAGGAGTGTAGTAGTTGTCAACACATTTTTTCAAGATTTATTTCAAAACTTCCGTGTTTATAAACCAGCCATATATGGCAATACTGGATTAATGCTGGGGACATGCTTTGCTGTGTAAGTGAATAAAATATTGAAATTTCAATTAATATAAAATGTATTATTTTGCATAGAGACTGATCATAGTTATTGATTTTAATTTTTGTGATATAGTGACTGTGTATGATGCATGTTAGCTCTCAAACCTAATTCTGAAACCAGTGTTTGATCTTGTACCTTCTGCAAAACTTGAAACATCAAACCTGGAAATAAGAGAATGGTTGAGAATGTCAGAGAAAATATTTACAATGAGACATTTTACCAATTGTGTTTTTACTGTGCTCGGTGGTGTGGCACATCATGCTGGGCATTAGGAATACACTCGCCAACGCACCTCTGATTATCCTGCACAGGTTTGCAGGTTCGAATGTGCGAGAGCATTGCTGGACTCCTAGCCGCTATAGGGTGGTTCACATAACCGGGCTATCTAGCTTCAGCTATGTCCATTTACAGTCAAGTTATGCAAACTAGTAACGTTAGATCTTGACAAAACACATTTTATAATTAATGTTTAACATACTTCACAAAAGCAGAATTGAGTGGACTTTGAATATCAGATAGTCTACCATATCCACAATACCCAGCGATGTATTGACTGTCTTGGTAAGGACCAGCATAGAGCCACAGAACATCATCAACACATCTACAACCAGTATCATCACACTGAAAAATGAAATAGTTTTTATAGGTTATTTCACACCGTGTTTTTGCACCAATCATAGGTGAGGAAAAAGTAACTCCCACATTTCATTTTTTGAAAAAATAGACAAGAATAGGATTTGTTAAATTTTTATCAATACTTAACAAGGCATTGCCATTTTGTGTAAAGTACTTTGATTGCTATTTTGTCTAAACTACTTTTTGGCATCATTCAACTGCGATACATTTTTGTGAGCATATCGTGAAGTTTTCCGTCACCCTCTGAGTCATTTCCTGTGAAATTTCATTTTTTTTGCGAAGGGGCAGCATATCACCACGCAAAGAAATCAAATTTGATGGAAAGGCTCCTCGTAAAACATCTCTTGATTTTTTTGCTGCATGGGCAGTTGCTCCCATCTTTTTGAAACCCTATCCTTGCATTTTTTCCAAGATTCCTAAGTTTTGGCATCATGAAGCATCGGCACATAATGAACTGAAGTAACCGAAACCGCCGTTTTCTGTCCCTCAAAATAGTAATGCCTCCAAATTCCAAAACTAGCAACTGTACACCACACTGTTACTTGCTCGCTGTGAAGAGCCTTCTTATGTGGCTCTCCTGGGTTACTATCTGCCCAGTACCGAAAAGTTTGCTTATGAAACCAGATAAATGAAAGTGAGTTTCCAGGTGATCAGAATCTCATTAGCAAGAACATTTTCAGTTACGGATTCTCTGATAGTGCGAAAACAAAAAAGTATGGCGTTTATGGATCAAATATTTTCTCTATGAATCAAATAATTTCTCAAAATTTACAATAAATCAATTGTTATTGGAATCTCTAGGAAACTAAAGACAAAATGGCGATCCAGTTACAACATGAATTTACTTAAACTAGGTGAATAACTGCAACAGCATTGCCACAATAAAAATTTAAAATGTAGGTAATTTTGGCCTCACTCTGTAGAAGACTGTGGAGATATATGTTTTGACGAGATATATGTTTTGACGTTCACAATCACAAGAAGTATTTAATATGAACTTTCCCTATAACATCTAACGTCCCAGAAAGCAGACTTACATCAGTTACTTTAAATAAATCCGGAGAAGAAGTGATATTTTTGTAAAACAATATGCCAAACTTTGGCACATGTTTTTAAATAAATGTTTAATTCGATGAAAAGTGACTTTTATACCGAATTTTGTAGTACGCCAAAGCTGGTTGTTTTCACAAAAACAATAAATTTGCAATATAAACTACTTACCACATAGTAAATATCAATAAAGTCGATATGAAGTGTGACTGGCCGACCAGAAGGAGCTTGAATCGAAAATTCACATGTTGTGTTTGGAGCATATGCCTTATGAAACAAAAAAAATACTATAATATTTAAAAAGTCAGCAGAGAATGATTTTATATCACAGGTATTTTAGGTCACTGTCAATGTTTGAATTCTCCTGTAAAACGTTTCTATTTTGTTTATTAATTTTTTCTCTCTAGCAATATGTCTAATTTTTCATTAATTTTCCTCTCCGGGAACTCATGGGTAGAAAAAAACACTTAAATGTCTAGCAACCTTGAAATCTCTTGTAATGGTCATACCTGTGGAAAGTTGAAGCTTGTTATGGTTCCATGATCTCCTGTGATGATTCCTCCACAAACCTCTGGGGTTGAAGTATAGGTGATATCATATCTATATGTATAGGTATGATCAAGGATGATTTATTAAGCAAATTTCAAACTTTGAAATAAAAAAAAATCACATAGCATGTCAAAAATAATTGAACATGTCTGTCATAAGGGGGTCGTGAAGAACTTAAACTAATAAGATGGCTTAAAACAGTCGCACTGCGTTCTATGTTTATTAAGTTTCAATTCGAAGAACTTCCAATGAAAACCGATTGTCCCACTTGTTCAACCATTCTGACTTAGTACATATTGTGGGTCAACGGGTTAAAGTAAGCATATGGTGCAATGCAACTACACTGGCAGAAATCAGTGAGTGGAAATCTGTGAAAACTCCTGATTCATACATGATCATGCATACCAAGCAGCTGATATTCGTAATAAAAATTATTTAGAGAATAGTGTAAATATTTATATGCAAACATTTTCAAAAAATTTGATAGCCCAGGCTATTAAAGTAAATACAGTTAATTTTAAAATTGATTAATTTTAAAGTAAATACAGTTAATTTTAAAAATGATTTATGACAAAATTATGAACATTTCAACCTTTCTACTTATAGTGGAGAAATATTCAAGGATAACATACCCCTTTTCATGCACAAATGGATCCGCATTTAACTCCAGATAAACAGAATTAGATGAAGGAAATATAGGATTTGGAAGATTGAATCCACATAAACGTTGAAGAAGAGGTGCTGATGCATCAAGGCCATCTCTGAATTTGAAATGTTCATTTGTGTAATTAACGATTATGTTCAGATATTTTGGCATCAGAATGATACTTCACACTTTTAATTAGATTTTAAGTATTAATAAAACAAAATTATCATATCCAAAACTACAAAAATGAAAGTTGTATATGTATGCTTTGTAATGTCGCAATCAAATATTCTATCTGAAAGTATTTATAATCAAGAAAGCGATATCGATATGACTCATATAAATATTGGGATTCACTAAATCTCTAGTAATATCTTTTAACACAGCAATTAAATGTTGGCAATAAAAAAGATTTAGTTTGAAATAACAATAAAGTTTTTTAGAGACAAATACTTAAAGACCTGACAACTGAATTGATTTTACCGTATATCAATGTAATCATAAGTACAGTTGGGATGATACTCGAGTTCGAAAAAGTTGAAAAACATTTGAATCTGATTTCCAACAGGAACAGTAAAAATAGTAACACATACAGTGTCGTGTGGATAGAGGACTGGCCATCCTGGACTGAAATAAATTAGAAGCGTTTTATAAATCTGTAAAATAGCAATATTATATCTGAATATTAAATAAGCGTGGTTTAAATGAGAGCTGTTTATTTAATTGAGATTTTATGCAATGCTAATCAAGTTAGGGAAACATTGGATTACTTTTGAACTTTGCAACATTGGATTCACTGATAAGCCATATAGATTGGCATCATACTATTCTCCAGTTTATCATCTATTTAAATATAGGATCAAATCTAATCTGTTGTCGGTTGTGCGTGTTGGCAAAGACTTCTGTGCATATGTTTATCTGGAATATTCATTTTCTTACACACTGCCCTTATGGGGCAAATCACAGTATATTAATAGAAGGCATCACCTATTGTCTAGTACAGTGGTTCTTAAACTTTTTGTGCCGCCCCTCCTTTAAAAAATTTTACAAACTTCGCGCCCCCCTCTTTTTGCTTTGAAAAATGCTTTTGTGGCAGGTTGCTATATATTAAGATAGCGCTATAAGAGTGTTGGTCTCATAGCGTCATTGCTCAGATTGTTTGGGCATGAAACGCTTCGGAGTACAACTTCGCCATTCACTGTCGTATGTATAAAGCCAAATAAGGGTTGGTCATCATACATTCTCGTTTTTCTGCTCAGTTTGCAATACCTGGTAAAGTCAAACTAATTTTTAAGTAAAACTAAACATGCAATAAACCCATGCTTTAAATTTATTTTCTGCTCAATCGTTAACATAAGACACGTAAAATTTCAATCAATTGTTTACCCCATCACTATTGAGCAATGCAAAAATTATTTACTGTGTGTTAAAAATAAGCAACAATTACAGACTTCTTGGCTTGCCTAACGTTTCAAACAAAATGGAGGAGTGCAAATGAATTTATGTAAATTTAAAAGTAGTTCATTCATTTTTCAATAGTTATTATGCATGTGGACGATTCCTCGGCCCTTGACCACTGAAAAATAAAGTCGCTAAGGCGTTTGCGATTGCATTTTGTTTAAATCGCGATTGTTTTCGTCAGCGTGGAGTGTTATTCAAGCCGTAAAAATCGGTGTTTATTCTCCCTAAATCAGAAATTTCCCTCGACATATTCTTGTGCCACGAAGACGATTATAATTACTTTTTTTGTTCTCGAATGGAACCATGACACCTCTGAGTATAATGAGTTAGTTTTTATTATATAATCATCAACGACGAGATGCTAAAGATAGAATAAAGAAGTGAATCCGCAACTAAAAATTTCTTTATTGTAAAAGTGGCATCATAGAATACTAAAAATAAAAAGGAAAACATTATGAGTTTTGTTTTGGGGTGGACCGCGACAGATTAAAAACACTTACTTGGACATTGCTATTCTCATAAATACTTTGTGCCTGCGGCACATCAGTAGTGTTCTAATACTACCGACTTGAAATAAATTTCACTCCGTGGGATTTTATCGCAGACTTAGGAATTTCTGTAATGGTGATATCTTAAAATTAATCGAGTGGCAGCATTGCGATAGAGCGGAGTAAGAGTTGCAGGGACAGCTCATATTGGTGAAATTGGCAAGAATACAAATTAAAACAAACCCATCTTAGGTTGAAACAACAATGTGCATTGGAGATTGAACAAATTGCTATGTGCATCTATCATGAATCATATCTTTGGCAATCTTAGCATTATTCGTATCATCAAAGCGATGATTGATACTGATGATGAGCATTACCTAAATAATTGTCCATACTCTTGATCCAATTTTTTTGTGCAATTTGTGACTTTGTACTGAATACTGAATCCTCGGCCTGCAGTTTCTGAATCTGTTCTTGCATTAATCTTTTGTGAAGACAAATAATAATCATAAGCAGGAAGAAAAGTCATAAAATGAATATTTTTAATTTTATTCATTCAGTGCTAATATTTTTAGGAATGAAAATTTTCACATTATCTTTAGTGACAAGAAACTATTTAAGCATATTTCTGCCTAAAAATGTAAATAAGTAATTTACAACGGTATTTAATTTACTAATCAAGATAGCTCAAACCTGAACAATCTGTCCAAAACTGTGAAAATCTACAGGTGCATGGCTGTTATTGCAATACTTGAAACTCTGGCCAGTGTCCCCTAAAGATGTATAAGGTTAAATATTCAGTCAGCAATATTTTTATTACTAGTTAATAATTTGAAGCACAAAAAATTTAATGCCATTGTAGTTGTATTTGAGGCATTCACAAATAATTGGAAAGAAAACGCGTGAAACAATTTATTAGGATAATGTAATATATTTATTTTTTGAGATAACCATAGTCCAATCATACATCAGATCTTATGCTTTTAATGTTCTACAATTATCACAAAATTGAATTTTCAACTAAATGTTGTAATCTAAATTATCTTGTCTCAGTTGTAAAAATCAAACAAGGCCACATATTAAATTAAATGCTAATCTAATCTCAGATATGTAATATTGTATCCCATAATATTTTGAAGCATTTTTCCCAAAAACAGAAAATTGCCAATATCAGATCGATACATCAGAGAATCATTCGAAACATGAAAAAAAAATATTGAATTCGATGAGTGTATTACCAGGTGGATAGTCCTTGATTTCGAGGTAGGCAGAATTACAATTTGCACCTATATTAGCAGGAGATTGAATGTCTACATAGGTGAATTTTACCAAAATATATTTCGTAATGTCAGTTCCTGCATCTATGATCCACCTGTTGAAATATATGGCATATGTAAATAAATTACGGTATGCACTCATTTCGCATCGCTTAAAAAAAGTAGATTTATTATTCCATATAATATCTTATGGAATTTTGCATATGTTGCCAATGCAATCCCACATTCTCAAAAACAATGATGTCCATGACTGAATGCATTTTTAAAATTAAGAATTCTGAGTCGTTCCATATTTTTTATTTGAGGAAAGATATTTAACAGGTTCAATATTGTTTCACTCTACGGCCTCTCAAAAACATATAGCTTAATTGTAACCTTGTAGTGTGTCACATTTTTAAGTGGTTTTATCAGCTAATATTCCTCTCCTCAAGGTAAATATAGAATATGCCTTATCTGGTCTCAAAATGTAGTTGAGATCATACTAAAGTTACCTGCAATTCACATTCTTATCCATACTTTGTAATGATGTTGGAGGAAAACTAATTTTTTGAAACTCTTCTGATGCCATGTATTGCCCACCACATGATCGATTTTGAGTTACATAATTTGCAACAAAACCTGAAATTATTTCCAGTATGTCAATGATAAATTGGTTAATTTTGTTTGCTCACATAATAAAATATTTTGAATTATAAAATTTGCAACAAAACCTGGAATCATTTCCAGTATGTCAATGATAAATTGGTTAATTTTGTTTGCTAACATGATAAAATATTAGATTTCCATTGAGAGGCCTAAATTGGTTTCCAAGTTAATTGGTTGTAATTGAGGGTAATAATTGGGGATTGATTATAGCTTGTGAAGTCTGTTTTTTTTTAATTTTAATTAGAGTTGGTGTCTAATCTCTGTATCCCTCACCTTTTCTGCGTCTACAATTGCTATTTAATGTTATTCACACCTATCACGAAATATAGCATACCAACAAGAAAATTGCTTACACATATGTGTCATCATGCTTAAATTGATTTTTTAAACAGGTACTGTACTTGCTTGTTTATAAAAAGACATACCGTACATTTTTACTTTCCAAACTTCAGAAATATCAGTATTACCGTGTTTAATGTTAACTATATGTTTTATTGTACCAGTAATCACCTGAATTTTCAATGTAAGGATCTGAAAAGAATCTTATTGACAAGAAGTTTCCAGATGATGTGAATGGAGGAGGAATGGATATTCCACATGCTACAACTGCTATTGGATCAAATTCTGTCTGCCCATCATGAATCTGAAGTTAAACCAAATACATACATTATTAATTAGACTATGTCTATTTTTGAATACTATGCAGAATTGAACAATTTTATTATTACCTCCAAGATATTTCAAAATGCTTTGAAAAGTATGGTTTCAAAGAAATATCTTTTTTATTTTGAAGCAAAACTATCAAATAAAATAAATAAATGTTCTAATAAATTATTTTATACACAACATTGAGTGTCCATGACATTTTTTGGTTAGGGTTCTGACTGGATAACTTGTACAACTGCCTTATTCAGTCACATTTCTGTACTTACGGTAATTTCTCTCAAATAGCATTGTTATGGCTAGAAATAATACAATGCATTCCAATGGATTTTGTGGAGGTTGAGTTTAAGAATTCATATTTATTATTCTGAAGGTATGGCACAGTTCCAAACAATAAAAGCCAGGTGAACTACTAACTGCACTGTGACCCAAAAAGTACAGGTAATTTGCAATATACAAATTTAGTTACCGGTATGTTGTGTTAGGTTCGGTAATAAACAATTAAACTCAATATTTTGCAAAGAATCATACTTCAATTTTATCATATATACATCCATTGCTTGTTCCATTTTCAAGTTTAAATTGTGAAAATGAAACTGTAATCACTTCATTCACAGAAGCTTGTATAATCCATAAACAGTTGAGCGATGGATCATAATTTCCTGAGTAAGAAAGTGGGCATAATTAAAATAGATACATAATTTTGGGTAATTGTAACAGTTTTTTACATATTTAATTACGTTAATGTAAATACAGCGGTGCTATTAGCAATTGATTTGATAGTGAGGAACTTGTGGCTCATCATATTTCTATATGCACAGAATGAATGCATAAAAGTTTTATGTAACATTACCGGTACTTAATTTTTGATGCCATAGAATAGATTGTATATCACAAGTGGACAGTTGACGACTAAGTATCAAAAAGTTATTGCACTGCATTATTAACAAAGTCTTCACATATACAGGTATTTGTTTCAAAGTTTCAAATACCATTTCCATCAAGATCTATTGAAGAGAAGTTGCCTGTAGCACTAGTTAATGTTCCTCCACACCCTTCCAATGGTCCTGCCATTTGCCTGTATGTCGACATAAATCCATCCTCTGTCAAATTACAGATCTCAAGTATTTTTTAACATTTGTTTTATTTTATGAAATTTTAGAGAGTTGTGTGAATAACTTCGCAAAGAATAGATTCTCTTAAACTCTAATACATGCTCTTCACTGGTATAAAATGGTTCTTTAGGACTTGAAGTTTAACATGAAAATAATATTACATCAAAATATTAGAATATTATTACAGAAGAAAATTATCTTAAAATGAAATTATTTTGACCCTTAAGAGAGGATGAGATAGTTTCTATTTAGAGGTCTAAAAATGTCATGTTCGGTACAGCCTGTAAAATTGTTGTCTATCACATGTTTGAGATTTTGACTGGCTTTTGCATTGAATCTTGTGTTTATCAACTTGGAATAAAAAGAAATATACCAGTTGTAGCTCCATCTGTGATCAACTCAATTGTCATTGTGTTTGATGAACTTATCAAGTACTTCGGTGCAAATGTGCCACAATAAATTCCAATAAGAGGAGAGTCAGTTGAGAATCCATCATAAACCTAAAACAGAGAAAAGTTGAAATGTATAGCAATGAGTTCAAAAGTATAGCACAATATAAATACTTACTTTGACATAGTCATAACCACAACTTCCATGGGCTTCAATATCAAATGATGTAAACTCTAATTCGACAACTTTATTAGGTGAAACTTGAATCTGCCATGTACAATTTCTATTATGATGAAGATTGCTGTGTGTGAATGCATTTATGTTTCCTGTGATATGAAATGTTTATAGTTGCATATCAGGGTTTTTTTTTCCATGAAGTTTTCATGATGAAACTTTCAATGTTGAAATATTAGGTGATTAAAAGATAAATGACAACATTCAGATATTTTATGATTGCTTCAAGAAGTTTTTCTAAGATGTGTATAGCTGACTATGATTGACAGGATATTCATGTAAGAATATATGAAAATTCTCAACTATTAGCACAGTTTGGCACTTTAGTTGTATGGGGAGAAACAAAGGAATAGAGTACAAATTCATGAAAGAACAAAGATAAGTTTAAACAATTCCACAACTGTGAAGACATACCGGTAGTTCAGCAATACCCTTGTAAATTATAACTCTTGACAGGATTTATATCAGCTTCAGTGTAATATAATCAGTTATGGAACGACTTAGAAGGTATGTTTTGAGTGAATACATTGATCAAAATATGTTCATATTTACCATATGTTGATGTTAAAAGTCCACCACAGTCTGCACTTTCATATTCAGCTTGAAAACCATAATCAAATACCCCAGGATCAGTTACGAATTCAATAACCATGGCATTCTGAAATAAATTTTTATCAAAATACTAATATTACCTCTATACATAAGCTTACAGATAGACCCTGAGTCAGGGGCATGCAAATGTTCATCGCAATGGGTCAAAGCGTAAAATTATTGTGACATTGAAGGCCGGACCATCAAACAACTCATTAGATTTTGCAATTCCACATTGAGCTTGCAAGCGCTCGATTCCGGAACTTTGTCTGGCTCGCCATCATTTTTAATATACTCCTCCAAGTAGTATGTGATGCGGAAAGACAGTTTTATACATGATTTTTTAGATTTGTGCATTTTCCATACACATAGCTCCAGTAAAAATATGCAAAAGATTTCGTGGAGGGCTCGTTTGTGTTCAACGATTGCTTGTAATTTTATTCTACTTCAATAGTTCCCACGAGATCAAACTTTTGGCAAGTAACTGTTAAACAAGAAATACCCTCTCTGCTGCACTGAATATTTCTTATCCAATGACAGTTTTTGGTAAATATCTCCAACCCATAATTGCCACACAATGCCATGTAACTGAAACTACCATTTTTTCACCAGAGTTTTTTGTACAATAGTGTCGCTTGCCTTGAAAAATTACACTGCCTGTGTTCAATAACGTTTTTCATCGATGTCGGACATCCGCCATTCATAATGAACCTTACATTTTTATTGGTAATTTTTGGTATTGGTTCAGTTTTTTAATCACAACACGGCATCATTAAATAAGTGTCATGTTACTGAATTCTAGTCAGACAAATTTTTACTCCAGTATGACGTAGTCACGCAACACAAAGTTGAAAACTATGGTGCCATTAAAAATAGGAAATAACATTCAAAAATAATGTAATATACCGAGTTGATACAAGCCATGTAATTAGGTTCCATGGGTATTCATTCCACCACTATGCCCTAAGTCAGGGGTGGGCAAATTACGGCCCGCGGGCCACTAAAATGTTTCAACCAGCCCATTTGTGCCTGCTAAAATTGGGTTATATATACTATTAATATGCTTTTCTGGACCCATTTTTTTGGCTTTATTTAAGGGAGTCTTATTGGGCGGCTACATTAATTTTTTTTTTGGGGTTGGTTTATTTTTTTGCATGAGTTTTACCAATTATAATTTGTGTAACTGCAGCTGTTATTTGTCTCATTCTTTTTAAAAGTGTGGCCCGTGTCGGTGTCATGTTGATATCGTTACTTTGAAAAGAAAACACCTACCACCAGAATGAAGTGATTTATCACCATTTAGTTTTGCCCATTCAGAGAAAAAATGGACACCAAACTGAAAAACACAGCTGTTAACTAACCCATGGTTAGTTCACCATATTCACAGGTTATTTCAACATTCCATGCAAAAAAAACTTTATTGTTAAGAATAGTTAATTCTGTGAATATCATTCTTCCTGAAACAAACATGATCTGGTTCTAATCATATAAAATTATGATTGCATATTAGTGCTCAACTGATAAACAAAAAAGCAATTTTTCTGCCGTGTCTTATTGGCGAGCCCTATGGGAAACCCTCTTTTTTAGTGCTAAAAATAGACTTCGTCTTATTTGCCGAGGGACCTATTAGCTGGGAAATACGGTGAATTACCATTAAATCAATAGATAAAAATAGCGAATTGTTGGCCCAAATAAATACTGTAATTCATCATGTGTTATCCGCAACTGAATATAATGTGAAAAATGAATTCCATATAAGTCTAATTCCCCAATCCGAATTATAATTCCAAAGTATGAAGATTAACAAAAGCAAAAACAGATCTTCTTTAATGTAATTAACCTATGGACGGTATAAGGAATCAGCACAAGCAGCTCCGAGCCTGATTTAAACAAGCTTTTGGATGCATGTGGTAGGCTACATCAGGGGTCCGCAACTACTTTTAAGCGCGACCCAAAAATTTTTTTTCTGATTTCTCGCGACCCAAGCATTTGGTAAACATGTAATTAGTTATCAATTCTAAGTCTATTATTGACACTAGCAATTTTCTTGCTACGCAGAAAAAGTTTTGAAACGCAAGAAAAAGATTTTTAACATGAGTAGGTAGTTCCGAATGGCAACAGAACATTCATTGCAGCAGCTGGTATTTTCCGGATATTCTTTTGCAACTGAAATCCAAATTTCAGCCAAACTTCTTTTGCCGATTTAATATAATTACCAATATTTACTACTGAATCAGGAACACATTTTAATTGTTGGTCCAATGTTTTGCTAGCCAGATTTTCTCTATGCATAATGCAATGCGTAAAGTTGGTATGAGGCGCAATTTGTAATACTCTTGCTAAAAAACCTTTATGTTTTTCCGCCATGGCCCCAGCCCCATCAGTACAAACGCTAATACACCGCTCCCACGATAATCCATCATTCTGTAGTCTCGTCTCAATGGCTGGGAATATTTCTTGACCAGTGCATGTTTCAGATACACTGCTTGAAGACGCAAAGATATTTGAAGGTGCATGCGGCGTTCTGTTCTCACTAAATTTCACCGTTGTATCTTCTGCTCGTGGCTTTTTTGGAGTATTCTTCAGTAACCAGTTTGTCAACATTATTTGTGACTAAAACTACCTCTAAAATTCTTAACCCCGCTAAATTTTGAATTTAATCAAGAATGCTTTACAATAACAAATGTAACAACCCCCTAACTATTTATTTCAGAATGGACAAAAATGTTTCCCTGACTTTCGATCCCAGCAAAATTCTTCCGCCTTATACTCTACCATTGCAAAATTATTGGTACATATTTCGAGAATGGTTTTGCGAGTAGGCGCCTATAAACCGGTTTATATGTTTCAAACTATCATTTTAATTCAATACATTCAACAACCTTTCATTTAAATGTGCCGGTAGAAAAGTTTGGCCTGGTTTATCACAGCTATTTTTAGATTAATTTTTGATTACTGCATTTAAAATAAAACTCCAACAAAGTAAAAAGGTTATTGAGTTATTTGATTAGGACTTATATTTACCACAACACTACTGTAAACTAACAAATAGCCCGCGAAAACCGCCAAAACGAGGCAATATTTACAACCACGAAAGACTGTCTGAATGGCAGAAGTATCTGAGCGCTTCTGAAACGTTTATTGTTACGTCAAATTTTGCATTTATGCTGATTGCCCAATGTTACGGCAGTAAATAAGGAAGTGTATACTCGGGGAAACATCCATAAATATATTCAGAGATTTATGCAGTTGTTATACAATAATACGCTACACAGACGCGATGCTCATATTTATGACAAATTTAAATTGTTTTGCGACCCAGAGCGGAGGGCTTCGCGACCCAAATTTGGGTCGCGACCACGTAGTTGCCGAACCCTGGGCTACATCACTCCCATTAATCATCCCATCTGTGCCACTTGGTACAAAGATGTTTGTACATTAGCTGTTACACTGGTTATTTGTATGTCAACTGTTTTTGTTCATTATTTTCTATTGAGCCTCCAGCGCAAGTCTATTATCTGGAAACAGTCCAATCGGGAAAGTAATTGCACACCCCTGCCCTAAGTGATAAAAGTTTTGGTGGAAGAGTTATTAAGCTAATATATGGCTACAAGGCTCATCATTACTGAAAAAAATATTTCGCAAATAGTCTTACTTCTGAAGTCAATGGGGTTTGAGGAGCAGTGTTACCACAATATTTTCCAACTGGCGGAGAACTTGTTGAATTTCCAGCATAAACAGCTACATAATCAAAATCACATAATGTAACTTCGGATCCGGCTTCAATATTGAATGCTAGGAACCTGTATATGTAGACATACTCAAATAAATATGAAAAATATATGGTCAAATGGACCTTGTTGAAGGACTCAATTTTGACCATGAGAGATATTTAAATGCTTCAAAAAGTGCCTTTTCGTTCTATTAATTCACATATGTTACTATTATGTATTTTTACTGATATTGCATTAAGTTTTACACTTTATCTTCCAAGATTAGGTAACAGATTAAAAACATGTGAAGGCAACAGATAGGTTACACGGCAGCACGTTATAGAAATGAGTTTATTGCTTAGTTTGATGATTTAAATAATTATATTACAAACATTTTACTTTCACTCAACTTGTAATTTATTTATTCTTATGTATAACAACACCTATAATTTGTTTATTTATCCCCAAAATTATTTTTGAAGTTAGGCATAAACGGCAGCATTATCAGAAACTTGCCCCGGGAAGCAGGAGAAGGTGACCAGTTGTTAAAATGATATACATGTTTTGCAATATAGTAATAAGGATATATATATATATGATGTGTTAATTTTGACTATTTAAGCAAATGCTAGATTAAAGTAAAAATATGTTAATAGCATAGTAAGAGAACTTGAACAATGTTTAAAATATATTTGATACATGTAAAGGCATACATACTGTAAAAAAGAATTATATATTTTATGATAATAAGTGTTCATTCCAGTGAGTGCCCATATTCAAGTTTTTATTAAAAGTTGTTTTGTCAAAAAGTTGATACGCTATGTCACATACTGGTACCTGTTTCATACTCAGTATTGAGATGCATAGATGTAGGGATGTGTTTAAGAAACTTACGTTAATTTGATGAATTTTATTGATGATGATGAATAAGTAATGGTATAAAGACAATATTCATTGTTGTTGTAGGGTGATGGATAGTTTGGACTTTGAAAATAGCCAGCTTCATTTGTTAGCGTTAATCCACAATGTGCTTCATAATATGCCTTAAAACCTGTGAGACAGAAAATTTAAAAAAGGAGAGGAAAACAACAAGTTAGAAGAGGCCTATGCATAGAAAAAAAATAGTTATTTGGTATAGTTATAATTTCATTGCACTGTGAGTTTCATCTTAGTGTGGCGGTGTGGCTCAACGGGCTAAGCGTTAGGAATACGCTCGCCACCGCACCTCTAATTACTCTGCATGGGTTCGCAGGTTCGAATCCCATGCAGGGATGGTTATGTGCGAGAGGATTTCTGGACTCCTCGCCGTCGTTGGGTGGTTCACGTAACCGCTGGTCGGTTACGGCTTCCTCCACCACCAAGTCCATGCTTCCGAAAAACAAACAATATAACTAATCCCATACCCGACTTGGAATGGTAACCGGACGAGAGGCCGTGGTTCGCCATATGGATAAGTCGTCTTATCGGCTTTCCTCTCCCCCGGGATAAATATGTAAATCCTAACCTAATCCTAACCTTAGTCAAAGCTCAATATAAGCATACAGCCAGGCCAGCACTTGCACCTCATATTGCTAATCTGCAAAACCCATGTAAATGCATCAATTTATATACCGTACCTTCTCATTAATTTCATACATTATGAGTAATAATAGACTTTAATCGAACATGTTGTTTTGATGGAGCATCACCAAGACAGACTCCCATACAAGACCAAGAAATAATTTACAAAATATTCGCAGTTAAATATTTTGCATGTTTATTTTACACATTATGCTTCAATCATTCATATGCTAGTGAATATGTTAGGAATACGCTCGCCACCACTCTGATTACCCTGCGTGGGGATGCAGGTTTCAATCCTATGCCGGGTTAATTATGTACGGGAGGATTGCTGGACTCCTTGCTGCCCCAGGGTGATTCATGTGACCGCTGGTCGGTTACGGCTTCCTCCACAATCAAGTCCATGCATCTGAGAACAAATAACTGGCTGACTAAACCCATACCCGACATGGACTGGTAACTGGTTTGGTTGAGAGGCTGTGATTGGCCATATGACTATCGTCTTATCGGTTTTTCTCTCCCCCAGGATAAATATTTAAATCCTATCCTATGTATTGATGCCATGCTCATTACCTGTTCCTGATCCACTAAAATCCGATCTGAATCTTAAAGTCATTGTTGCTCCTGAACTTTCAACAACAGTGTCATCATCAGGTGCTGTTGGATAACTTGGAGGTCCACAAAATCTATCAAGTTCTGTTGATGACTCAGATGGACCATCATAGATCTAATGTTCAATCAATATGAAAAATAAGATATTACTATTATGTTTGAAAGCTTTAAATGATAAACAAGAATTTGTTAGTATTACTATATACAATCCTAATTGCTTGAGTACTGTAAAGTTAACAATAAAATATCATACTGTGCAGTACGAAAAATGTATGAGTGTATATTTTTGATTTGTGAAATAATTCATAAGAGTATTGATTATGGAAACATTAATAAGCAAGCATGAAATTTCATATTTTAATAGGAACCTGAACCTGTTTTTATGGTGCAATCTTAAACTCACAATCTTACCGCAATGAAGTCATACAGACATTCTTCATGTTGTTCAATTGCAAAATTATCATCAAAAGTGACATCAAGGTGATAAGCTGGATCGGTGATTATTGTCCATATACAATTCAAATTAGCTGCATAATCATTTGGATAATTGGGTGAAGTTATTTCTCCAGATTGTTTGTGAATGATAACATTTCCACAGCCTAGAACAAAAAATATATAAAACTAAAAAAAAGAAAATACCATCTTTCAAAGAATCCAACATTTCAACAAGCTTGCATTGAAATTATTTGATGATGACTTTGGTTTATTGCTGAGTTACTGTAATAGAAATATTTAATGCTATATACTATTACCAATACTATTTACCTGACATATCAGCTGACCATTCAACTCTCCATCCATCTTCTGGTACACTGTAATCACTTTGAAATAATATTGTAATTGTATTTGATCCTGCTGTATAATCTGTAGGTTTATTGTTGTTGCAATAACTCCCAACCAATGGTGAAGATGGAGTTGGTCCATTGTATATTTTTACATAATCATATCCACAACTACTGTGTGATTCTACATTAAAATCTGTCCAGTGTAACTGTAAAAGCATTGAGACTATGTGAGATATGCTTCATACATCATTCAGCTTCATTCCCTACTATGAAAACTGTTACTATTTGTGTTTTAATTTTTGAGCAGTTATGTTAATTTGTTTTAAAATATGATTTGAATAGCATGTACATAAGTGAAACTTTGTTCATTAGGCAATGTGGCGCATCGTGCTAAGCATTAGGAATATGCTGACCACCCACCTCTGAATACCATGCGTGGGTTCGCAGGTTCGAATCTTGCGAGGGATTATTATGTGTGAGAGGACTGCTGGACCCCTCGTCTTCATAGGGTGGTTCAAGTAACCTTTGGCTAGCTAACTAACTGGCTAACTAATCCCATACTTAACATAGACTGTTAATTGGACAAAAAGCTGTGGTTCATCATATGATTAAGCTGTCTTATCGCCTTTCCTCTTAGCAAAATAATATTGAAACCATATCCTATTCTTTTTTTGTGAGTTGTAGGGAATAGCATGATAAAAACAAACTCCATAAACACCACACCCTTTAATATGATTGACTACAGTATTACAGGGTAAAGAAGTATTTACCAACCTTGATATGTTGTCCTGCAGGTACTGCAATCGTCCATAAACAATAGTCATTATCATTATAAGGGTCTGGATAATTTGAACTTGCTATCACTCCATTTGTTGTGCCTGTAACTAGTCCACCACATGCTGAAAAAAAACATAATATAGTAATAAAATTATTGTAAATGCATATGAAAAATAAATAGTTTTCAAGATATAAAATGGATAAAAAGTATAAATATTTCTCATACCGTTCTCAAATTAAGCAACTTTTTAACTTTCACCAGTGAGTAATTTAATGGCATTTTAGGCATACAATATTTCCTATAAGCATTACATGATTGGCAGCACAATGTTCAAATTTTATAGTAACTCTGTTCAAACCGATTCTATTATTACATAAAAAATCGGATTATATATCGGATTATCACAAACTACAAATCAAAGATTGCAAAAAATTTGCTATAGATTTGCAAACAAATAAAAAAAATACTAATAGAATATTTGCTTACGTTTGAACTTATAGGAAGCTTGAAATCCTTTGTCGGTCACAGAAATATCAGATATGAATTGAACGAATGCATTTGGCAAAGCCATACCAAAGGGTTTAGGTTTTGTATCTCCACATAAAGTTTGGTATAAATATCCCGAGTAATCAGTTCCTAAGCAAAGAGTAAAAAATAGGATGCAAGACCTAAAATTATTATTGTAGTTTATATGCCATACATGTTTTAATAGAGGCAACGAGCACGATACATGAATTTATTATTACAATGTATAGTTCAGTATGGAAATGCTAAAATTATACGTATATGTTTTGAAAAATGTTGAACAACAAAAGCAACAAAATTGAAAGTAAATCAAAACTAAATCTGAAATGTTTCTTTAATGTTTTGAGTGTTGTACAAGATACTGTATAGGCAGCCGATGATTCACAGGGAGCTAAAATATTTTTGATTTGGCGTGGATTGTCTTCATTATTACATTTTGAGGGGTGGCTGGTATACTAACAAGCAATTGCAGTATGGAATATTGCACATTTTGATCATAGATCTTTTAAAGCAGGCACTTTCATGTAAAAAATGCTTAGGTTTTGGAAATTTTTTAAGTTGGCATGAGAGATTTTTTAAGTTGGAGAGAAAAAATGTAGACAAATTTAATTTTCATACCTGCTTTAAAGATAACTTTATCAAAGTCACAAACGATGTGATGTTCCATATTGAATTCATTAAATGTGATTAATATTGTTGAATTTACAAGATTCGGGTTTGATATTGTCCAAATGCATTCTTGATAATTGTTGTAGTTCTCTGGGAAATTTGGTGTTGCAAACAATCCACCTTCTGAATCACCAAGCACCCCACCACATACTGAAAAACAGAAATGCCATATTGGTGGTTTTAATACAATACTTTGTAATTATTAGTTTATTTTTTTAAATCTTTACTTGATACTTATATGCATGTTTGGTAAGTAAGTAATGTTAGGCATTATAAAAATTGTAAATAAATAAGAGTTTATTTGTGATGTATTGGTATAGCTAATCTATAACAAATCACCAGTCTTACTTCTTGGTTCATAAGATGTGTATGTTGCCAGAAATCCTCCATTTGCTAATGAAGCATCTGTTTGGAAAATTACTTTCATTGTATTTCCTGTTGATTCTTTGTTGCTTGGCAATGTATTTCCACAATATCGGCCAAGTCTCGGAGAATTAGGAAGAATACCATTATACACCTGCAAATGAAAATGATATGCTGAATTAAACCGGGTCGGGGGTTTCAATAACCGGGGTTTTCAACAAGTATGTACAAGTACTTATTGTATTTATATTGACAGCCAAAACTATATAATATTAGCCTTAAGCTTTAAAGTCGACTAAAATGAAAAATTTCTTAAATTTAAAATTGAAATTACTAACTTCAACGTAATCATAAACACAACCAAAATTTTGATGAGGATCCTCAACACTAAATACATTAAATTGCAATGTTATTCTTCTATCAGCAGCAACAGTAATAAACCAAGTGCAGGTTCTAGCATGATCATAAGCATTTGGATAGTTTGGTGACATCAATGTTCCTCCAGGACCGACCAACTCACCACCACAAACTGATTGAAAAATATTAAATGTTAGCATGAAAACGTTCAAAATTGATTTACGGTAGTTTAAAATTAGTTTGGTTTGAATGAGATTTTGGGACAAATAATCTCAGTGTTATAAGTCTATATATTAAGGCTGTATATAATTGATAATAATATTCTAAAATTACAAAAAATTTCCCTTCATTTAAAAATATTGAAAGTCACTTGTGTCCCAAATATTAAATACTTTTATATCAATTAACAAAATGGGGAATAATTATTAAAAATTATGGTCATTTTTACATAAAAATGAAAAACTTTCATCACCGGTATCTTTGTAATGAGGATAGGATATACCGGGCCAAAGAAAAACCGATGGGGCGACTTAATCATATGAAGAACCATGGCCTCTGGTTACCAGTCTATGTCGGGTATGGAATTAGCTAGCCAGTCATTTGTTTTCAGATGCTCGAGCTAGGTAGGGAAAACCGTAACCGACCAGCAATTACGTGAATCACCCCATGGCCGTGGATCTCAATGTGGGCGTCGCGACGCACATGGGCGTCGTCTCAATTTTGCCAGGGTGTCGCAGAACATTTCCTTTTTTTGCGGAATTGTACCTGTTTTGAGGTGCGTCAAAATAGCTAAATAATAAATTGCACTGTAGAAGCGTACAAGCGAAATAATTATACTGAACAGGAAATTCTAAAAAGAAGATTCGCAAGTAGTTTTGGGATTTCCTTCTAAGATGAAGATTATTCTTCATTGGTTAAAAAAGCGTTTCGCACTCTTATCCTCTTTGCGACTTCGTATTCAGGTGAAGCAGGCTATTTTACTATGGCTGCAATTAACACGAAATATCGATCTAGTGTTAAATGTTGAAAGAAAAATGCGTGCAGATCTTCCACTGAAAGATTCAATGGCATTTATATAAAAAAAGCAAATACACCGATACCTTTATTTAAATGCGAGTTCACTGACTTTCGTTATGTTTTGTCAATGCAAAGAAGGTCTTTTATTGAATTGTATAAGGCGATTTTCACGAGGAGTCATGTTTTATGAAAGGGCGTGGTAATTCAAATAAGTTTGAGAACCACTGCCCCACGGCAACGAGGAGTCCAGCAATCCTCTCACACACAATTAACCCTGCATGGTATTTAAACCTGCGAACCCATGCAGGGTAATCAGAGGGGCGGTGGCGAGCATATTCCTAACGCTTAGCTCGATGCCCTACATTGCCTCTGACTTAGAGATGTATTTATCAATGTTGGAGACATCTACTTACTATCTTCACTTGCTTTAAATTCGAGTCTAAATCCATCACTGTTTCCTGAAGCATCAGATTTAAATCTAATATGAGCAATATTGTCTTCAGTATCAATTGAACCAGGTAAATCGCTGCCGCATACAGTAGTAAATGGAGGTGCTGTATAGAATAAAATTCTATTGGTTGAAAAACCTTTTCATTCATATGATCCAATACATTATAGAAAAGATCCTATAAAAATATACAAAGCCACCTCATCATAATCAAATTTACCACAGAAAGTTTTATGCGTTTGAATGGGAAATAAAGGTGATTTTACCTGTTGCATTAGACAATCTGAATTCAACAAAATCTCCAGTTTCATCATCACAATCACTGTTACCATTTAGATCAAGCTGAGTAAATTGAAAAATCAAAAAATGATAAGCAGGTCCTCTGACTTGCCAATCACAAATTGTTGAATCAGGATAATTGTTGGGATAATTTGGTGACGTTATAACTCCTGATGTTCCAACAAGTGTTCCACCACAAGCAGCTGAAAGGTTCAAAAAATTGAGTACGATAATTGACTAAAAGCTTAAAAACATCACAAATCAACAATAGAGGAAGTCAGTAAACTGGTTTACTCATCATTTAGTTAACAAAAAATAAACTGTGCCCAAAAGAAGTTGTAAATTAATGAAATGAATTGATGAAAAAGTTAAAATATGAGTTATCATTTAGTTAAAATATGTAATATCATATGATACATTCAAAGTCGAGAATTTTCTATAATTCAAAAGAATGTACAATGGAATGCATACGATAAGTACCGGTAAATGCAAATAAAAACTTCGTATATGATGCATATCCGGATTTTCTGTAATTTTAAATTTTCAAACATTTTCTGTGATAGATAAAAATATGAATAGAAAAAAAAAAGAAACAAGAGCATTTAAAATAAGACCTATTTTATATGTTGCTTGGAATCCACCAGCTGATATAGTTTCATCTGTTCTGAATCGTACAAGCATTGTATTTCCTGTACTTTTAGTAGTTGGAGGTTGTGAAGATGAACAATATCTTCCAAGAATTGGATCATTACTTGTTTGTCCATCAATTACCAGAACATAATCATACAGGCATCTAAAAAAGTTGGTTCTTGTGAAATAGTGAAACTCGAAAAAAAATTAAACTGGACAATGAAATTGGTCAAATTTTTTCAAATTGTAGAAGATACAATATGAAATTATCTATGATTATTCATGTTGACATTTATACTTTGGATGGATTTCTATAAACTTACGATTACCAATGAGTGTTTTTTTATAATACTATTAGAATTTGCCCAAAACAAGGTCACCCATACTCACTTAGAAGTAAAAAAGGTCTACCTCTGAAAAAAGTTATGGACAAGCAACCAATAAAATAGCAGGTGCTACTGAAAGCATATAGAATTATGATGATGCATTAAGTGAAAGTACGGTAAATGTTGGTTTACATTTCATGCATGGTCTTTTTTTCAATAAACAAAGTTTTTCTATTCAAAGTACACTAAATTAACTCACGAAGAACCAGCTTCAAGATTGAAAGTTGTAAAATCTAGTTGAATTGCTTCACCCACTGGACATGTTATCACCCATATACAATCCGCTCCATGTGGGTAGGCCTAAAAAAATATAGTAAGAGTATTAAAAAATATAAATGCCTAATCTAATAACTATATTCCATAATCCATTTTCTTTACAGTTTTTTATATGAATATTTCAACTTATCAACTTCCCTCTACTCTGGGATAAATATGTTATGGATCTATTATATATATATTTCAGCACAATGCTGGTATGTTACGACTTTTCTAACTGAAATGAACTTTTCTGACAAATACTTGGTCTGCAGTGTTTTTTCTTTCTTTCAGAATGGAAAGAATTAAATGATATCGCAATATAAAGAATTTAAAATTTAGGCATACATGAAATATAGAAATTCTAGTCCCTCAAGAAATTGGTTTCTTAGTTTCATAGAAATAGCGGTAACTATCAGATTGAAATCAGATATCTGTATTACTTACCGAAGGATAATCCGGTGAAGAAAATGTCCCTGAAGTTATTTCATCGGTAAGCTGTAAATTCCCACCACAACCAGTTCCAGATGCTGTGTATGTTAAGCTTTAAAACAACAAAAATTTCAATGTGTGAAAATGCACATGGATAATAAGTTAAAATAAAATCAATAAAAAGAAACTGAAAAACATCAAAATGTGAAGCTGTGTTCATTTGTATAATTATCAATTTTTCTAAAAGGAAAGCTTTGCAAAATTTGAAATAAAGCAATATCTAATAATTATCATGATCTTCTGATAATGGTTAATCTAGGATGCCTTAGTGCTGCTGCTGAATATACAATTAACTGATACCTGAAACCTTTTCCAGAATTAGCATCATCTGAACTAAATTTGACATAGAGGAAATGAGATGATGTTTCTAATCCACTTGGTGGATTAGTTCCACAGTATCTTCCTGAACCTGCTACTTCTGGTAATGGCGGGGCATCATCTTCTCTTCCATTTAAAATCTTTTTAACAATAGAATGAAATTTACATATTTATACCGAGAAAAAGGAAAGCCGATTGGGCGACTCCATCATATGGCGAACCATAGTCTCTTGTCCGGTTACCAGTCCTTGTCGGGTATGGGATTAGTTAGATAGTTATTTGTTTCAGATGCATGAATTTGATGGTGGAGGAAGTCGAAACCGACCAGCAATATTGATATTATAGCCTACTCACTTGTTGACTCGATGCTGGCCTTGACAACTTGCTCAACCAAAGTTAGTTGGTTAAATTCGAAATCTCAAGCTTGCATAATTGAGCCCATGCAGTAATGATAAAATAATTGTGTGTTATATTTAAACTATTTTACCTGAACATAATCTCCACTGTCCTCTTTGCAGTCACTTGAATCAGAATTAATAATTTCAAACTGTGAGTTGAAATCAAGTGATATTGTAAAACCAAGTGTGGCGGTGATAATCCAGACACAATCGGTATTAGATGGATAGTTACTTGGATAGTTGGGAGATGATATCACACCTTGATTTCCGGTTAGGGTACCACCACAGGCTGAAAGTTTACAAATATGCATGGTGAAATCGCAATTGCTAAATTTAACATAGTCACAGCAATATGTATTTCAACAATTGAAAGTCTTACAATATAAAACAAAATGATTAGTCCCTAAGATGCTGTAACTAAAAATATTTCAGCATGAGCAAAGTTGTGAGAACAGAAGAAAACAACCAGGTAACCCAGGTAATATTCAATCTTGAAGTCACAACAGTAATGATACAATATTTAAAACATTTTAGCACAATGCATCGAAAGTCCTATCTCATGGTTAAGCGCCCATCAATTTATTGTACAGCCTTAACCAACTACTAAACCTCAGGATTGGCAATTATTTATTATTATTGGCAATTATTCATCATAATCTGAATTACCTTCGTCTCTAAATTTTATACAAACTATAGAATCAGGTCAATTTTGCAATTTACACAATAAGCAAGAAAATAGTTATATTGTTTGACTTCTAACAATACAGAAACAATAAGCAACCTCATTTAAAAATGAATATGTAGGTTCTGATGTGAAGCAATTTGAGCTATATTAAGGTATATAAGAGGTATACTATATAAGAGGTATGGTAGGTACCATATACATGTGTATAAAATTTATTTCTATTCTGTAGTATATAGCTCCTAGCTCCTCCTCACTAACATTTTTGCCTCCATCTAATGAGAAAGTCCTACATACAACCTAACCATAAATAACGCTAAGCTATTATGAAGAAAAATTGTTATGAAAATTAATATGAATTGTTCAACCAAACCTACCTTGTTGATATATTCCAGAGAATCCTTTCATTTGTAATGAATTATCTGATTCAAATATTACTAGCATAAATTCATCAGAGGAGTATATAGGATCTACTGGGGGAAATTTCCCACAATATCTTCCAATTATTGGAGAACTGGTATCTGGACCTATTAATAAAAGTATGTTATAAAGAATAACTGTTGGATAAAGATACAAAAACTGCTATAGTTAACATATTTATAAATATCAACGTTCCCTTTCAAATTTTAAAATCAACTTTACAACTTTTGGCTATGATCACATCATTAGGTATATTATCAAAATTCATCTTAGCAAGTGATATTCATATTTTTATAACTATGATTTTTAATTGTATTGGTTGATCTTTATTATGCTATTTCTTATAACCACTATAACTGACATGATTCTACAATGAATTTTAAAGAATATTTCCACAGTTTTAGAAAACTTTTACGAGTAGGGTGGTATTTTGAATTTGGAAGTTTTATGAAGTAACAGTACAAAAAGAAGTTAGGAATAAATATCGTTTATTTGTCATAATCAAGATGCTAATTTTAATATGTTGAAAAGACAATTTTTAAATTTTTTATATTTCTCATTACAACTACTTTAGTTATATTCAAATTTTAATGTTTGAAGCTAAATCAATAATAATAACATATGGTAACTTTTGATGAAGCTAAATGCCTCACCATTATAAACTACCAATCTGTCAAAATTGCAATCAAGTCCAGTGCTTTCTATATCAATCATGGTTATTGTAAATTCAACTCTGAAAAAATATGATTTCTGCAATAAATTGGTTTCAAGCGATACATAAAAATATAAACAAGATGATTGAAATAGTGAACACAGCAAAATATTACATTACAAAAACTCTTGTATAAAAAACGCTTCACAGAAGCATCTATGAAACTTAAAAAGCTATTATATTACAGGGTCGAGAATATTCTTGGTTGCAGGAATACTAAAACTAAAACCTCTAAACTACAAGAATGGCTCAGGTATTTCAATGTACTCATCAATAGGCTATCACAGCCACAGGAATGCAGTAAATAGATTTAATAACTAGAGACTGTGTTACAATGTTTCGTTATTACTTCAATCAAAAGATTGATTACTTTGTTCCCAATTGTACTGCTTTACACTTGTATAATTTTGAATATTGTCTCAGTTTATGCTGATTTGATTTAGAAAATTTCAAAGCAAATGTCTCATATTAAGTTTTAGTGATACATGAATTCTATTATACTTGCATGTCTATGCAATAGTGCCAGTGGATTCATATGCATACAAAGTATATCACAGGAAGAGTGAAGACAACCATTTCAGGTAAATAAAAAATGTGAGCAAGGCTTTTGAATTACTAAGGCTACCACAACTATTATATGCCTTTTACCTGTAACCTTGGGCAGCTTCAATCAACCATTCACAGTGCTGAAATGGTGGATAGTCTCCTGGCCATCCTGGTGAGTATATTGGTAATGGAGCCAATGGTGCAACCATATGATTTGATCCACAGACTCCTATGGTAAATTGTTATTGCAAGGCGTGAAAACAAAATGGGTGTAAGTCAACCTCATTTACAACAAAGACAAATTGTATTTTTTTATTATCGTACTGGCAAATAAACTAAGATAAATATATTTTTTTTGGTTATAGTGTAATTGTATATATAAAGTGGGGAACAGCCATTTTCCGATTTTTTGAAACCACAATCTCTTTTTTAGTATTTGAAGCTCATAACCACACTCTGATCAAAGTCGAATCTGATTTTACACCCTCATTGTTCGTCTGAGCCATTAATCTTGTAAAGCCTCATCATTTGTTGTTCTTTTTATTCAATACGGTTAAAGCTGGTTTGGGCAAACAACAAGTCACTTTAACTTTAACGCTTACTTCTTGAGTTGTAAGTTATATCTTAGAGCTAGAACTATGTCTCTTTTAACTTTTTTGACAAATGCCATGACACTCAAGGTTTAAGGAATGGGACAAGCCCACAACATAACATTTCTGTTTTTCCAAAATTTTGTAGTTCCTTCCTTAAAAAAAGTACAAAACCAATATTCTTACCAGGTTCAATTGTTGGTACATTTGTTGGATTTGGATCAATACCTCCACCCTCTACCGCAGTCCAAGTTAAATAAAAACCTCGTCCAGATATTTTCAGATCAGATTTGAACCACATTAGCATGGTTCCCTAATGAATATTGAATATATTGAACAATCGAAAAATGTAATAAAAATACATGTATTTATGTGAATTATGGTAGCATAGTTTTAGTTACAACGACTAGCAATTTTTTTTGCTATTCAACTATGTTTGTACACTGATAACTGAAAAATTTAAATCAATTTGCAAATTTAAAATTTGTTTGTATTTGTATTAGCTTTGCTATTGTAACTTTCTGGAGTTATCATACCTGTGTTGTCGTTCCAGAAGGCAAGAGCCCAGTTCCACATGCAATCATTAATATCGCATTATTTATGGAGTCACCATCAAAAATTGTAATCACATCATTTTGACAACTAAATACCAGAAAAGAGGATAAATTATTTGTACTTTTCTTGATATATAAGAAAGTTAATAAATGACTTAATTATATGCCAATCACAACCTCCAGTTACCAATCCTGGTCAAAGATGGACTAACTAGATATTTATTAATTATGTCATATGCATAAACTTGAACGCAGAAAGAAGCCACAGCTCGCCAGTAATTATGTGAACCACCTTGCAATGGCTAGAAGTCCAGCAATCCTCTGGCATTATCTTTCCCCCAGATGAATATAAGGTAAACAATCCATGGCAATGATGGCAAGTGCACTCCATGATGTGCCTACCATCAATATTAAACAATTTTATGAATTCCAATTTTTAGGTAGTCATCAATGGTAACACCATTTTACTTTACTTACCGCATCAGTTTGTTTAAAATTATAAACAATTAGCAGTGACTATTACGGTAATTCTATATACTGGTATTACTAAGCATTAAATAAGCTATGTCACATAAAATCCAAGCCACTTACCCTTCATCCAACCTTCCTTGAAGATCCAACAAAGAGAATTGAAAGTGAATTAATCTTCCAGTAGGTGCATAAATGTAGTAATATGCCTCAATCAAATCGGGATAAGGTGCTGGATACATGGGTGAAGCAATATCATTTGTAAATTCTCTACACAGTTTAAAACAAAAAGACAGAACTAGATACATATAAAAGCGAACCAAAAACCAACAAGTAGAAATTGATGAATTGTCTATTGTGTTTTATGATCACTTCAAACAAGGCTCTAAACAAGCAGATGCAGACAATAGAATTATAAGCAACATAATCATTCTAATTGACAGTGATGTTAGCAATTTCAGTTTTTGTGAAAATGATTTTCAAATCATGAATAGCACTTGCATCTCACCCAATACTTGTACTTCCATACAAATGTTGATAATATGCTTGGAATCCTTCAGCAGTTGTCGAAACGTCACTGTGAAATTTCACATATAAGATATGTCCAGCAATACTAGATACATTTGCAGGAAGTGTACTACCACACAAACGTGCAAGACTAGGACCGTTTGCTGAACCTGTAAAAAATTGGTTTAGTTTTGAAACTTAAAACAAAAATCACTATTCCCCTAAGTTACTTCAAAGCCACAATGCATGCAATTTTTTTTTATTAAAAAAGTCACAAAATGTAAAAACAATGAGCCACAATATACTGAAAGATTATTCAAAAGTAATGCCTACCTTCTCTTATTTGTACATAATCAAAAGCACAGTTTTCATGCTCTTCAATTGAAAAATCCATAAAAGTCAATTCAATTCGATTTCCAGGTGATGAACTGAAAAAGAGATGATCGAGAAACAAAATTATATTATTCAATAAGTATGGTAAGCAAGTATTTATATATTCAACTACGGTAACAATATCCTTGTACGACAAAACAGCATAAAATTTATCAATATTTGTACACATTTTAGTAACAAACTTCTGATTTAAATTTTTGAACTCAGATGCTCTTGTTTATCATGTTGAACTCATACAATAATAACCATGAGGAAACGCTTATTTATAAATATCTTTCATAATTATGCCCTCATCATATACTTGTTTGTGGAGATCATGAAATAGAAAAAAGAGAATCAAACCATGCATGCTTTTTTGTTGCTACCTTATTATCCATGTGCAATCTGTATCTACGGGATATTCTTGTGGATAATTGGGTGAATTGAAATATCCACTCTGTGCTGTAAGTTCTCCACCACAACCTGATGTTGATGATGTATAGAGAAAACGAAAACCACTTCTTTGAAAATCACTCTGAAAATAGAGTTGGTCTTGCACTTCATTGAATTTCAATTTAGAACTTTGATAATACAAAATAGAACAGGCTGGTATATTAATTAAAAAAGCATAAATAAGTTAAACAATTTAAACGTTTTGAGAAATTTTTATCACATAAATATCTAAAATTGGCAAAACATTTATTTACTCATCCCCTAGAATAAACAATTGAATAAAATAAAAATAACTTTGTTAGCACATAATTGATAGCACTTGAAGTAATATATGCAACGGAAATTTTTTGAGAAAACTAAATAAACGATACAAAATTCCAAAATTGTATAGAGTTTGTAGTTTTGAACAAATATAAGCGGCCATGATTTGCCATATGATGAACCCGTATTAACATCTTCCCTCTCCCCCAAGATAAATATGTAAATCCTATCCTAAATAAGTACATTAAAAATGTGGAGCACACCTGAGATACAAATATTACAGTTAAAGCATCACCAAACGATGTAAATTTGGCTGGAACAGTGGATCCACAATAAGTTCCGAATTCAGGTGATGATGTTGTCTTTCCTCCGAGTATTTGAATGTAGTCATAACTAAAATAAAAAATGAGAAGGTAAAAATTTTAAATCATCATTGATAACAATATATCTTCCATACTAAAATATTAAAAGGAAGAATATGAATAATAAAATACTACAATATCATAAATGTAAAATTTCAGTGCAGTTCAGTTTCATTACAATAAAAAATTATTCCATATATATTCATTTGTGGAAACAATTTAAGAATTTTGAAAAAATCTAGTCAATGGCTAAATATTTGGTGTAAATTCTGGAAACGAAAAAACAGTTTGTTATGAACCTTGTCTTTGCTACATTATAAAAATTTAATATGTAAAGTAATGTACAGAAAATATATAGAATGCCAAACCAAAAATAAATAAATACTATTGTTTCAAAAGTAGTAACTAGTAATAGCTTTGTTATATACGATACTCATAATTATAAAAAAATTCCCATTTGAAATATTGTCTTTATAATTGAGGTAACAATGAAACTCACGGTCCACATGGTCCATTGTAAGTGACATTTGAATATAAGTCAAGTTGTGTAAATTGCAAGGTGATTCTTCCATTTGGTTGTGGTGCAGATATAGTCCATGTACAATTTGCATCAGCAGGATAATTATTAGGATAGTTTGGAGAAGTTATTGCGTTGCTCTATCAATATAAATGGATGTTTGTTATTTAAAGCTGGGTTCGTAGTTAATGCTTTGTGGTTGATGGTTCAGTTCAAAATAAATCATGCAATTTATCTAGTTCAATTTATGAATAAAAGATAAAATAAGACCAGACAATCATGTAATTTTTAATCATTGTAATCATGTAATAATGTAATTTAAAACTAAATCAATGCTACCCAAAATTTTTATTGCTGCGAAAGTAAGCTTTCTATATGTTTCTTAAATAAAATTGCTAACACAAAAAGTAACTGCAGTTTATCAATTTTTTTTCATTTTATTTTTTACCTATTTTATAACCGAATACTATTGTTAATACTGTTGATAAAATGCATTTTAAAGACAATTCTCCTTTGCTATTCTGCTTTCTGCTAAAAATATTATTTTCAAAACAAGATATTTATTTCACACATTTAGTGAATGAGATATTACTCATTTTGTTGAAAAAGTGACATACAATATTTAACTGATGGGAACGATAATTTCATATAGCCGAATTAACATTTCAAATTTGGCATATATTGAACATATAGTAAAGTTAAATTTAGTCAAACATATCAAGTGTTTTGTAATAATAAAACAGAAAGCATAAATGAAGCTCAGACTCCTTTACCTTTGAATTACTGGCAATTATTTTACCTCCGCAACCGGCACTGTAATGAGCTTTAAAACCCTAAAACAGAAATAAATATTTAGCGAATATTTTCTAGTTGGATTGCACTTATTTTCACAATGCAGGTTTGCACAATGCACAGCCTAAACTCCTAATAGAACAACAATGTGACCCCACAATTTGCATCGTGATAAGCATTAGAAATACGCTCGCATCTGATTACTCTGCATTGGTTTACAGATTCGAATCCATTGCGGAATAATTATATGAGATGTGTTTGCTGGACCCCTCGCTGACGCCTCGAGGTGGTTCATGAAACCGCTGGTCAGTTACAGCTTCCTGTCCAAAAAACTGGATAACTAATCCCATACCAGGCATGGACTGGTAACCGGATGAGCGGCTGTGGTTAGCCATATGATTAAACTGTCTTATTGGCTTTTCTATCCCGTGAGATGAATATGTAAGTCCTATTCTAAAGTAAGTGAACTTGGTCATATTTAGATCTTGGTTAAATGTTTGCAACTACAGTATAATACGGTCTAAAATCTCAATTGGAGCAAATGCCAATAAAGTGAAATATATAACTCAAACAAAGACTTACCATATGAGCAGTGAAGGGATCAGAATGAAATTGAAACAACATTAAGTTATCATATGACTGAACAAGAGGTGGTAAAGTTCTCCCACAAGTTTTTAAAAGAAGAGTATCTGAAGTTGAATTTCCATCATACATTGCAACATAATCGAACTCACAAACTTCTTCTTCTTCAATTTCAAATACCTCAAACTCAATAACAACCGTAGATCCTGTATTAGTATAGGAATAACTAATTGGCCTGGTACCTGGTATCTGGTTTCTTGAATTCAAGTAAGTATCATAATAAGCAACAACATTCTAGAAGGATTCGAAAGTTCTGTTGGCATAGAGCTATTCTAAAATCCCCAATAATGTTTAAATCCATGTATGTTTTAAATTTACTCTTTAGATTACTTTAAATTTATTCACTACCTAAAACATAAGAACAATAAGACACGGAAAGTTTTATAGTAGCACAATTTTATAATCCATTAGACCTAGAAATTCTGTTGCAGCTTTTTTTGAAACCTACTTTAGTTGCAATAGTACACAATAATATAGTAATAGTAATAAATAGGTTTAGCTAATAGCTAAGACTAATATGTTTAGCTTAGCAAATATTAAAAAATCTATTTCCCTATTTCATCACTATTTAAGATTAATATTATCAAGCCTTTGACAATATTCATCAATGAAATCATTTGAAAATGATTGGTCTCTCAATACTTTATTTATATTACCTTTTCCAACATCAATTACCCATTCGCAATCTGTGTTTGCCGGGTAAGTATTTGGATAATTAGGTGAAGTTATTGTGCCAGAAGTTGATGTTAACGAGCCACCACATCCACCAGCTTTTTCTTCAAATGAGGCATGAAATCCACGGCCGCTGACAAGAGCATCTGAATGTGCAAGTAAATTGGTATACAACATCACGATAGCCAATGCTATTGCAACAAATATCATCCTATGTCACTGTGATGTATTATATAGCATTATAACAAACTGCATAAATAATCCAAAAAAAAATTTTTCAACTGTCAAAAAAAATAATATTACATAAAATAGCAGAAGTGAACTGTTTACAGTGCAACAATAATTTATCAATTGTCTCACTCAGTATGAAAAATATGGAATGCTATGGATAAAAAATACAAATTACATTTTTTGTCTATTTGAAGAATGTATATTTAATAAAAAATATTTGTTTTTTTTACAAAATAAACATTTTCAAATAATATATAAGATCAAATTTCAATTAAATACCTGTTATAAATCTGACAGTCATAAGAGACGATGAAGAAGTAACATGCATTGGAATTTGTGGAGGATTTGCAGCATTGCAAAGTTGTGCAATTCGAAAGTCTTCCTCAATATTTAACCCGTTATATACTTCCAACGTGTCATACTGACCTATATAGTAAGAGAAAATTTTACAAATTTAGAATGATGCATATATACTGACATCATTTTGTTCAAAAAATTCCAGCCTGAGGTATAAGAATAAAATTGCAATATAACTGTTGACTTTGAATAATAACATTATAAGCAATCAATCTTGTGACTAAACAAATAATTGATATTCATAATTGATTGATATTCAAACCGTGCAGGCAGATTTTTACGAATTTTGGTCTAGAATCGAGAAATATTACAGGATTAACTTGGCAAATCAAAAAAGCAAAAGGACTATTGATTAGTTTTCCACTGTTTTATTTGTTCATTGACAGTTAGGTTAATTTAATACATGCTGTAAAAAAACAATATTGTTCATTATATATGAATAATTTTTTTTTCAAATTTGTATCAATACATCCTTCATAATTATTCATCAAATATTTTAATATTTTCTGAAAAAAAAACATTTATCATGTTGCATGTTTTCACCCGAGATGCAAGGGATTTTTGTGGATAGGGCAAAAGTATTTTACAGCTATTCAAACTATTCACAAGGTAAAAAGAAATCAAATTGCTTAGAATTCCTAATATCATATCATTTCAGTAAAATACTAACTTACAGTCAGAATGATGTTCAACATCGAAATCATCAATAGTTAGTTGTACACTTGTTCCAATAGATGTTATTATTTGCCAGATACATTCTCTATTATCATCATAATTATTTGGATAATTTGGACTTGCAAATTCTCCACTAGGGGTTTGGAATGTTTTACCACATCTAAAAATAAAAGTACAGTATACTTGAATATAACTAGTTACATATTATAAGTAGGATTTACATATTTTCATCCCCGAAGAAAAGGGAGCCGATAAAACGGCTTAATCATATGGAGAACAACAGCCTCATGTCGGGTTACCAGTCCATGCCGGATATGGGAATAGTTAGCCCGTTATTTTTTTTAGATGCATGGACTTAATGGTGGAGGAAGCCGTAACCAACCAGCAGTGCCAGTGGCGAGTGTATTCTTAACTCTAGCTCGATGCACCTCACCGCCGAACCATGTAGACAAGAATAAAATAAAATGTTCAATGTTCTTATATATACTGTGGTTTTCATATCTTATTTAGTCTTTTCATTCAAACACAAAATCTCACCCATCAACTGCCCAGGCTATTTCAAATCCTGGAGCTTGAGTATATGGATCCGTGTGAAACACAATCTGAAATTAAATATCATAATAAAAAATCTCAGAGATGCTTAAACAAGATGGACCCTATTTACTGATCGATAACTGGTTACTGGTATTTAAATTTACTGAGATACATACAGGTAGGTATTAGAAAAATGAGCTGATTTTTTTTTATCTGAACCAAACCGATTGAACAGTTAACATGCATAATCCAACTAAAAGCAAATCGTATATGCCTGCATGTTTTCTCCAGTTGTTCTTATGATGGGAGGTATCTGAGTCCCACAAAATTTTCCAAAACTTTCAGCATCTGAGTCTGTGCCATCAAAGACCTGAATAAATAAAAAAAAAATTGAAAAATCTTAGATATGTATGGATTCCATTGTGTTGAGGATATGGATTGAGTTTACCAGAAGCAAAGAGTACCAATAAAAGTGTTAAATATCCTATTATTCGGTCCTTGGGCAAAAAATCAAAATTATTGTTTTAATCAAAATATACTAATTTTCAATTTGGGAATTCAACACACAACATATAATGACATTTCACATCAAATAATTTCCTATGTTTGTAGCCCTTAACTACTTTTTATTTTCATTGTTGCATGACTAACTTGGCCTATTTGGACTCAAGAGCTGGATAGTTCCGCCCTCAAAGTCAAGCCCATAATGTTACCCTTGAAGTTCAAATTGGGTAGACAATATAAATGAATAGAATGAACACAAGAATGACCGACCTCAACATAATCACAGTTGCAATTATCACAAGTTTCAAGCGAGAATGTTCTGAATGTTGCATTCAAAGGATTACCATAGCTTCCTGAAAAATTGAGTTACTGGTATATAAATTTTGGTGTATATGAGATCAAGATAAATGTACAACTTGAACTTTATAATATGAAGTCTTGCAAAACACCAACACATGTTTTTATTTTATAAATTTCAATAAACTTAAAATTATAGGAATAGTACATTTCTTAATGTAACTCAGTTATAAGCTTAGCAGTTGACACATCTGCTTAGCATTAGAAATATGACTACTATGTGCATGACTTTGCAGTTAAAATCCCTGATAGAGATAAATATAGGAAGGTAAATTAAAGGTTGTTGTCAGATCATGTTTCATGAGATGATGTAGCATATAGGCAAAGCTGAAAGCTCAATCTGGTTGATGGTATCTTTATCACATTTAAAGTTGACAATATCAGCTGCTAAAGCTATATTGATACAAAAGTTCACCTTGTATAGTCCAGGTACAATCTCTGTTTGGTGGATAACTTCCAGGATAATCAAGAGATTGAATCAATCCTGAAACTTTGCTCGAGATGGTTCTATCGCAATCTGCATATATTATATATTTTACATCAAGACTCACATTAAAAAATTCAATGGCAAGTAAGATGTTCATTCTTGTGTTCAAAATGAAAACTGTTTTTGAAAATCTGAACTATGAAGGAGTTCACCCAAGCACATGAACTTATTGCCTAAGAATATTCTCTGCTGTAAAGCAAAATTTGTTTTTATATCAAAATATTGAAGTGCGGCAATCAAATTGACAAGAAAAATACTTTGTCTAAAAATGATACAATACACTTCAAAACACGGTTTACTACTAAAATAAGGACAACCGAAAATTTTCTTGTGTAGTTAATATGATTTGGGTATATTAAAAATTGTGCTGGAAATAATTCACCAGTATGATATTGAGCTACAAATCCAGATCCTGCAGTGTTGCCATCCGTACTAAATTTAACTAGTAAACTATTGTCACTTGATTCAAACGGTTCTGGTATTCTCGTTCCACAAACTTTTCCCAAACTTGGATAACCAATTGTGGGTCCATCGTAAGCCTTAAATTATAAAGTTACCATATTTAAAAATAAACTTCTATGCCAACTAGAAACAAAATGTTTTTTAAAATTAATAGAATACTAATTTCTAAAAATAATTAATCAATCCCAAATCACAAGAATAAACACTGTGATCACGGTATATGAAAAATTTTATGACATCCATCAATGAAAAACAGTATATGAGTTCTGCTCTATTATAAGCTCAAAAGGTAATTATGAAATTATGTAAATTATGTAAAACTGATTTTAAGCAAATGGAATCAAATATAAATTGACCCAAAAGAACTTATTTTAACTTGAGACTATATTCAAAGGTTGAAAAGATTATGGTATTGTCTCTACTTTAAAAATAGATTATATATTTTATAGAAAATATATTCAATTCTGTGTAAACTGCAAAACTCACGTGGAACCTTTAAGTTTCAGTTCAAGTTTATATAACAATGCATCTTGATTTTATTAATTATGTAAATAAAAACAAACCTCTACATAATCAAATTCACAAAATCCATGAGTTTCAATGTCAAAATTAACAAACAATAATCTAACAGATGATCCTTCTGATACTTGAATCAACCAGAAACAATCCGTCGAATGGGGGTATGGAAAAGGATAATTGGGAGATTGAAATCCACCATCAGCAGATGTTAATGTACCACCACAACCTAGATAGTAAATATTATGTTATTGAAATAAAAGCGTCATTCAATAATATTAGGCCAAAATCTAAAAATTCTATCTAAAAACAAAAACATGTACACTATTATTTCGATTTCAAGCAAAAGCTATTTAGCCTAAAATGCCTAATGTGTGGATAGGATAGGATTCATGTATTTATACCAGGGGAAAGGATCATATGGCTAATCACAGCCTCTCATCTGGTTACCAATACATGTCGAGTATGGGAATAGTTAGCCAGTTCTTTGTTGTCAGGCTTCATGGAGAAAGGAGCCGTGATCGACCAGCGGTTATGTGAACTAACCTACAGTGAGGAGTCTAGCAATCCTTCAAGAGTCAAAGTCAGAAGCGTTACATTACCAGTGAGTCCTCCATTATAATTCATTAGAAATCCTCTTCTTTCTTTTAGTTCATCAGTTACCATTTTTATATATAATTCATTACTATGGCTAATGAATGTCCCTGGGTTGTTGTTGCCACAATATTCTCCAATGAGGGGAGAATCTTCATATCCACCATTTCTATAAAAATACACAGCAAAGATATGATTGAGGACATTACTTTATATTTCTTTCAAAAAATATTGAAAATCAAATTTCTTCCTCCTCACTTGACCCTAAACTTCTTCAAATATGAAACTATGAATCACAAAGATATGAAAAATATTAAATATAAAACCTGATCTCCAAGTAGTCAAAACTACAAGTTCCTTCAGCATTACCACCTTCAAAATCAAAATCTGGGAAATCAACCTGAAAATAATTATCTTGAACAATCACATTGTTTGCAGATGTTAAATCTATGCTTACTTATTTTCAGCTCCATTTATTAAATCAGGGCTAAGGAATCTGTGACCATAAGCTATATGTGGACCTCTGAACTTTTTATTTCTGCATTTAACATGACATTAATAGCTATAAGTAATAATTATGCATTTCATCCATTTGACTTTGACAACAGTATAAATTTCGTTTACCCAGCACATCAAAGATACAAAAATCATCATGCTATCATTCATTCCTCTATTTCTGACATGAAAATGAATTCAAAGACAACACATATGGAATTGATATGTACAGTATGTTGTCTACCTTAGAATTATTGGACATGTGTCTATTAATAAAATATGCATTAGGTATTGTTATTGGTACCTGAATTTGAACTGACGATGGCATTACAATAGTCCACACACAAGTTCGCATACTAGGGTAAAGATCGGGATAATTTGGTGAAGAAATATATCCTTGCTGATCAGTGATTCGACCACCACATGCTGAAGATAATAGAATAATAAATACTCATGCAATAAAAAATCCCTTTTTTCATGATAAATTATGAACCATACCCTTTTAATTTAAATAAAGAATTGCAAACAATAACATGAAAAATGTTTAATTAAACATAAAAAAATAAAGACATGCTTTAGATGAAAATGTCAGTAATTTAATTACGCAAAGATTCTTTCAATTTTTATACCGTGTTCATTAATGAGTAAACATATTAATCAAATATAATACATGTAGCGTAACATCAGTAGACTTGCCAGTGCAAACAGGAAGATGTGGCATATTCGCAATACTTTATAAATTCAGATGAAGCTTATTTTATTCCCTCTCATGTTTAACTATTATCAATAAATAAAGCTTGGTTGAAAACTGAATAATAGACATTTAGCAAATTTGAACCTAAGCAGACAAACCTGTGCTTGCATTAAGGGTTGTATATCCTGCAGCAAAACCCTGTGAATCCTCATTATCATCAGTAGTAAAAAATAAAGTCATTTCATAACTTTTTGTGACAAGGGTCGGAGGAAGTACAGAACCACAGAATCTGTTAATAAAAGAATTTTTTTCGATTACTGTTGAGTTCATAAGCTCATATACAATTCTTATCGACATAACAAAAATTTTGTTATTCTACCAAATAAAATTAGGTAAATATTTGTAAGTGCATTTTCTATGATATTGATGATTTCTATGATATTGCAATATATAATTTAGGCCAAAGGTTTTAGTTTATTAGCTGGCGTAGTATTCATTACGAACTAATCATATAAACTACAGTAATCATACAAATAAAGCCACAAACATATTACAAGCACAGATACCTGCCGAGTGATGGTGAGGTTATGTCTGGTCCATCAAAAATTTCAACGTAATCTTTGACACATATTCCATTTGTTGGGGGTTCCAGTGAAAATGTTAAAAACTGTAGACTTATTATCAAAGATGGATCAACCCAGATATAGTATGTACAATTGACGCCATGTGGATAGGGAGATGGATGACCGGGACTTTTAATAGAACCAACTGTGTCCGTGTACACACCGCCACAACCTGCATCGAAAATATCAAATAACTTCTTAATATTTCTGTTACATCATATTCAAACATTGACAGTAATGTACTGCATGCATCTATTTTAGTGGATGATTGAAACTAAAGACAGCATTCTATTGTGGTAACGAAATTAACTGCAGCCAGGTGTAAATAGAACATAAGATTTTATGTACTAAAAATATAAAGCAAAATTAGGAAATTTGATAATAGAATGGCTGTTGGGTGATCATAAAATTTGGAATATCGAGTTGTAAAAGTGTATTACATGAGAAACATATTTACATTGGATGAATATTGCTCAAAATAAAGCTATCATTACAAATAGATAGTTTAACAATTCAAACTTTGCCCTGTATTTTGCAATTTTTCTTTGTTATCCATTTATAGGTGACTGATCAATGAATATTACACAATATTCATTGTAACATCAAATTTTGAAATGATTTGAACTTTTAAAAATATTTATAACAATTTTTGTTTCAATATTAAATATTGTGTTAAATTGAGATGAATAAGGATAATATTGAGATAAAAAAATATTTGTATTAGCCTGTTTTACCTGTATTAGTTGAGGTATATGTAGCCTTGAATCCACTTCCAGTATTCTGTGAATCACTTTTAAAATGAGCATATAAAATATTCTGTGTTGATATCATTGGTGGCACGGGAGCTCTACCACACATTAGTGATAACAGCGGCGATTCTTCAGTCCCACCATCGTGTACCTGTAAGATAAGATTGATAAAATCGTTTTTTCTGCACCATAAATTTTATCATAAATAAGGGACTTACTCTCAATTTTCAGTAAAAAAATTCAAATCAATAAGCATAACTATGACTGTTAGACTCTCAATTTTTATTAAACTATTTCGAAAAGAAAACTATTTCTAATGAACAACACGACAGCAACATAATATGAGTATTATTATTTTCACATATATAATCCCAAATATTTAGTCTCTTTCCATTGAAATAATTGCAAATAACATTTTCAGAAACATTATATTTTACAATTTTAATTTAATTCGCATTCAACATTACTGTCAAATTCATGTATGTAATATTTTGGCATGTTTGCGACATGTGCAATCTTGCTCTGATGTGAACTTCTAAAAATAGGTATATAATGTCTTGTCACCTCAAGATAATCTTTAGAGCATGTTGGATCTTCCTCAACATCAATTTCAACCACAGTAAGTGTGATTTGAAAACCAGGTGGTCGAACTATTGTGTAGAAACATTCTTTATCATTTGGATAATTAGAAGGATAATATGGTGAAAGTAATGTTCCGGATTCAGCTGAAAAATATTGAATGTTTCAATAAAATACTGATCATTATTAAAAATATTATATTATTTGACTTCTAATTTTTATTTTGGGTTTCATCAAGAACTAACTAGATGTAAAAAAAAAACATGTTGAGTTCAAATCTTGCATTCACATGGGACGTATAATCATTTTATCTAGATGTATCAATTTCCACCACTAATGCTGAGTAGTGTAGAAAAAACTCAATTTTTTTTTCAATTTAGTCAATTATTTTCACACAATTAGGGCTGCTCAAAAGTAGTCACACCCAAAGAATATGAAAGTTTGTTTAATAATTTCAGAGCTATTTATTACACATTACATTTCAAATACATATATGATATGAATTTTTGAAATATATAAAAGTTTGCTGAAAATAATTATAATTATTCAACTAATTGAATAAACAATTAAATAAAATAAAAAATAAAATAAATAATTAAATTAAAGAATAAATATGAAGAATAAGTAATTCAACATGAAATGCATTGTAATATTTATATTTCCTCACCAGTATAAGTTCCGCCACATGCCACTGTGTATGTGAGTCTAAAACCCCGTCCAGATAAAGATTGATCAGCTTTGAATTTGATATACAAATCGCGTCCTGATGATGTATACATCGGCGGAATAGTGGTTCCACAATATCTTGCAACTAGAGGTGAAGATTCACTTGGGCCATCCCGAACCTTCAACATGCAAATATAATCAATGATGTGCATACTTGTAGCCATATAACAATGTCACAAAATTATATATGAAGATATTCCATGTGACTTACTTCAAGATAGTCTGTCGCACAGTTGACATCAGTTGGAATGTCAAAATCCGTGAATGTGATAGAAATTTTCCCATTTTCCTGGATGTGAATTTGCCACACGCATTGCTAAAATAAATTTGGATGCAATCTTGTTGAGCATATAACAGAAATGATTTCTTTCATCTTTTGATAGAAAATGTCTAAACTTGAACTCCATTTTGTTTAAAATACTATTAATTAAATGCCCAGAATGCAAATAAGATGTAAATTCTAAATATGAAAAAAATTAATATAACAACTAATACCTGATCATCATTGTAGGTATTAGGATAATTTGGCGAAATAATGATTCCATCATCTTCAGTAAAATATCCCCCACAACCACTTATGCCAACTGAAAATACAATTACAATACACCTTTTGCTCTACATATGAGAACTGAGAAGACCCAAGCAAAGGAAACAATAATTTTTTATGATTCTTATATTTACTCAACAGTCAACGTCATGACTACTACTAATAATAATATTTTTAGAATAAAAAGTAACATTTCCAAACTTCATCTCATTTATTTTCATTTTCTCCAAATCGAAACATAATTCATGGTATCAATAAATATTCATGGATATCTATCATTTAAAATGTTGTTCAAAATACCAATAAGGATTAAATATCATCCTAGGCGCTAAAAAATATTGGAATAAATGATATTTGTAATTTTTTAAATAGCTAAAATAAATATACTCATTTGCTTTCTACAAACCTGGTTGCTTTGACCATGTTATATGAAAACCATTATCTTGATTTACTGAATCAGAGTGAAAATGAATCAAAGCACCAGGTGCTGTTGTCAGTAGTGGAGACGGAGACACTGAAGTACAATACTTCACTAATACTGGATCATTCAATAAGATTCCATCTCTAATCTAAATTATGGAAACGAATTTATGTTAAGCAGTTAACTGAAGAACACAGAGTACAAATTCCTTCAAACATATTAATGATTAGACTGCAAATGGAAGTGTGTAGTGCAAGAGAAACATGATCATTTATTATAGATAGAGAAGTGTCATGTTACTGAAACAGATTTTGACAATTGTTACAAGCAATAAAGATTTCAATTGCTATCATCCCTGTGCATGTTGAATTAAATTTTGTGACATAAGCTATGTGTTGACCCCACAGAAATAAAGTGTTCAGGAGAATCATAGAGGTTACTTGGAAATACTGTATATCAAAAATCAAATCTGTTATCTATTATAATTTTAGCGCTGGTTATACATATATTTAGTAATTAATCTATTTATACCTAAACACAGTAAATATATTTTTCTTACACCTGTAAACCACAGTATTCTTTGTTATTTTAAGTTATAGAAACTTTGCCCAAATACAAACATTTATACTAGAGCGCTACATTTCAAGAATACAAAGAGATTAGGTTAGTAAAATTATCGATAACAATGACTCCCACAGAAGTTAAATTTCTCTACATTACTACCACAACTTTGTTTAACCAGAGTGGAAGCCTACCCCAAACACGATTTGAATTTCTTTGCCAAGAATGATCTGTGCAAATACAATATTTTGAGCTCGTACTGATCAAAAATCAAATAAGAGACATACAGAAATATTCCAAAGCTCAGAAACTAGAAATAATCATATAAACTACCGTATATTTAAAATATTGCATAGGTTCATTATTAAATAATTATTAACCTTAAATATTGTTATTAAAGAGAAGAATACAGAGAGGAATCCTGATAACTAAATAAAGTAGATACCGGTAGATAAAATTCCCACCTCCAAGTAATCAGCAGTACAATCATCATGGTCTTCAATTGCAATAGCTCCAAATAGAAACTGTATAATATTTCCAGGCAGAACAGTTATAGACCAGTAACAATCTCTGTTTGTAGGATAAACTCCAGGATAGCCAGGTGATGATACTACACCATAATCTTGACCGCTGATATCTCCACCACAAACTGCAAAAAAAAAAAAAAAATTATGCAGATCTTTACATTTTTACATAGTTTACACATGAGTCTTCGCACTAATAACTAAAAAGGTTTAGGTGACATCTTTTCCAGATTGACATACAGCAAGTAATTTTTCTACCTGAAGATAAATCAATCACAAGTTCTTTAAATTCGAAACATAACATGACTGACCCACAATTTCACGAACTGTCACTCAGGGAAATTTAAAAATGGATAGGATAGGATTTGCATATTTATCCAGGGGGGAGGAAAACCGATAAGACGGCTTATCCATATGGCGAACCACGGCCACAATATTGTTTGTTTTCGGAAGCATGGACTTGGTGGTGGAGGAAGTCGTAACCGACCAGCGGTTACGTGAACCACCCAACGACGGCGAGGAGTCCAGCAATCCTCTCGCACATAACCATCCCTGCATGGGATTCGAACCTGCGAACCCACGCAGAGTAATTAGAGGTGCGGTGGCGAACGAATTCCAAACGCTTAGCCCTTTGAGCCACACCGCCACGCCCAATGTTAATACAATGTCTGGTAACTTAATGCCAGTTAATGACAGAATTTATCTAAACAAGTCAATTTTAAATATTTCTAATGAATTTGGGAAATATGTGGACAAAATACTATTGCTATGATCATTCCAGATTGCAAACTTAAATATAATAAATAATTCAATAACTCATTAAACCTGGGTCTGCAGTTGTCCACACCACTTGAAAGACATCATCAGTAGGATCACCATCAGAATAGTACCATAAAAATAGTTGGTGACTTGTTGATATCAACGCGTCTCCATTACCAGGGGGTGTGGTTCCACAAAATGTACCTAAAACATTATGTAAATTAAAATTATGTAAAATAAATTAAAGTATTGACAAAAAGTTTTCTAATTTCTGATTGCATAACTGCTCACAAACTTGACTGGGCACAAGTAACACACCCACTTTCTAAACTTTATGCAAGTGTCACTTGATTCAAGAATTTATAATGTAGAATGACTTGAATGAGGCCAATTAAATTCTATACTCATCACTTTATTCATATATATTTTTTTGATTATTCAATGCCTGAATATCTAAATTTAGGTAGATTTACTGCATATTCAACTTGAAAATAATTTTTATCAACAATATTATTTTATAGATACTAAAACTCAAACCTATGAGCTGTGAAGACAAGCTCGGACCATCATTAATTTGCAAGAAATTATCAACACACCCAGAACTTGATTCAATTTTAAATTGTGGAAATGTTGCTGATATCACCTACAAAATAATAGAGAGTAGAAAATTGATTATAAATTTTCAACTGAAAAATATAAGATTATTATTGCTAAAATATATTGGGATTACACATTGAATATCTATTTAAGTATTCCACAGTACTACATATCACAAATATGATGGTCTGTAAAGCTCAATGACACAGATCAATACAATATTATGCTTTAGGCTTAATGATAATATTTGGTAAATATTAGAATAGTTTTATTAGAATAACGATGACTTTTTTTACAAGCAATTTCAGTAAATTCTTACTAAATTAATTTCATGCTTCTGCAACTAGCCAAGCATTCATTTACTAAGAATTTCATACTAACTTTTCCATCTGTGACAATGATCGTCCATGTACAACTTGCACCCTGTGGATAAGTTTCTCCTGTATTTGCTGGAAACTGAAATGATCCTGTTGAAGACATGTATTCACCACCACATGCTGCACGAAAAAAAATTATAATTTGCAGTGGTATCTGGTAAGTGGCAACTATGTATCAACTTGACATATTAATAAAATTAAATCCAATGTGCATTACACTGCACCACGTCACCTACCCTAATAAGAAAAGTATCTGAAGAAATAATTTGAAGCATTTACATGTTTGTTGTAGTTCACAATTGGTACCAGTGTAACCACTGTTGCATGAGCATGAATATCCATTAATGCCATCTACACATGTTCCACCATTTTGACATGGATTACTTGAACATTCATTTGAATTATAATCACAATTGTCACCAATCCATCCTGGATCACAGAGACAAGTCAATACACCACTGATCAACTGAATATAAAAATAAGATAAATATATATTCATAAATATAGAGATTTAAACTTGAAATGCAAAGAAAGTTCTATCATGAGTTCATACAGAATTAGGTAAAATAATTCATTAGGTTGCATCTTTAATGTATATAAACTTACAACACATTGACCGTTCACACAGGAAGTGTCTGTGCAGTTGGTTTCTGTTAGAGTACAACCAAACGGTCCAACACCATTCCCATTGTAACCAGGTGGACATGTACATGACACACTTCCAATTGCTGGAAAGTAATAATTCATCAGACTATTTTTCAAAGACTATTATATACACTTGCCAAGTCTTTTTAATATAAAACACTTACAACTTTAATAAAGCAAAGTGGAATAATTACTCTCAGGTGAACGGTAAAATAAGATAGCTATCCATATATCACAAGATGCCAATGGGATCACCATTATAAGGCAAAATATTTATTTTATACAGAATAGTGACTAGTACAATACATAGAACTACACCTGCAATGATATCTTATCCCATGCAAATAATACCCAAAACAAATGGTGATATTAAGAGTTGGTGCATTGTCACAAAACACACTACAAGATGTTTACCTGGATTATAAGAGCATGTTGCAATTGGGTGGCATCCACCATTATTGGTGCAGGGATCTTGTTGTGTGCAGGTATAACCATCACCAGTATACCCTACAATGAAAAATACAATAATAGAAATATCACTAGAAATGGTGAAATAACCTATTATTCTTATTAAATATCAATATTACAATTATATTAGCCATAAAATGCCAAATTTGATACAATTTGATTATATATTTTAATGAAATTATTGTTTGCAAATAACTAAGTAAATCATTTGCTATAGCGGATCATGTTCATAACAGTCTAATTTACATGAAATTTACATGACTCGAATCATTTATATATATCAGTGTCTTATCAGTCACTTACTATAGACATAAAACATGCCTTATTGTATTTATTTACCTGCAGGGCAAGCTGAGCAGTATGACGTTCCAGGGACATTAATGCAAGTAACCATAGGGGACTGACTACAACCACCATTGTTTACTAAACATTCGTTAACGTCTTCACAAGTGTATCCATTTCCTTGATAACCTGAATAAGTATGTATACAAGTTGGATGACAGCAAGAAAAGAGCACTAATAGAAAAGAGATTCTAAATTTCCATGGGACGTGCAGAAGTATGCGCACGAAGATGGCGCACAACCTGAACATAGTATATGTGTACCGGTTAAGATTCAGGTTGTGTGACATCTTGGTGCGCATACTTCTTGAGCACCTGTTCATCTATATTTATAGTAAATATTTGCCACTGATAACAAGTTACCATTAGGACAGTTCCCGCAAGTGTATGATCCTTGTGTGTTATAACATTGCACAGAAGGATTTGAGGAGCAAGGTGAATTTAAACATTCATCTACATCTTTACTACATTCTGGATTTGTATCTGAAACACTCTGCCATCCATTCTGAAAGCATTTATATCAAATGTGATAATTTTTGTAGCTATATTGCAGAAATACCGAAAAAAAGGGGTAATGCAATAGACAGAACAACCACTTGTCCCATACTTGCTCCTTTTAGCGCACTCGTCACTTGTTCCATACTTGTCTAACTATTCTGAATTGGGGTAGATATATATTGTAGGGAAAATATTGAAGGTAAGCATATATTTTGGACTCATGCTATGTTCTGGGCTAAGATAGATATGATACTTTTGCAGAAGGTTTGAGTACTCATATGGGCTGAGACTCATACAATTGGTACAAGTGGGAACAAGTGCAAAACAGCATTCTCAGACACCGAAGTAAAGATTTGACAAAACCCACAATTTAAAACATTACAGTATATATGTATTCATTTTAGTTTTAAAACCTTGAAATATAGAATAACGCATGATAGTAATTAGAAAAAATGTACATTAACACTTATACAAATATTACCTCACAAACACAAGTGTATTTTGGCACATTAGGATCATCTCGAGGCGAATTAATACAAACTCCATGAACACATTTTGCAACATTTCCATCAAAGCAATCATCATATAGAGAAGTACAGAGAGGCCCATAGTAACTGTTTGGGCAGTTACATCTAGAAAACAGTATTTCTTGTCGAATTTACGCTTCAATTAAAGAGGATTTTATATATATATATATATGAATTTATACATTTTGCAAAAAAAATTCTTGAGATTGAAATAAATATGCACATTGCACAATATCCTTACACATATCCAAAACTATGTATTGTCATTTTAGTAAGTGTTATTTATTTTGAATAACCTACAAATATTTAGTGAACAATTCAAGAGCATTTTCCACCATTTCCTTCTTAATAATATTCAATCACAGTTTTCTTATCATGGATTTTTATTAATAATTAACATTTAATTAAACATACTGAAAACCCCCAGGTAGATTCACACAGGTTCCACCATTCTGGCAACCTATACCAGTTTGTTGAAAATCTATGCATTCATCATGGTCAATTTCACAAGTTGGACCCTGTTAGAAAAATCATTTTGAAAAACTGAGAGCTTTTATACAGAAAACATAACACTCAAAATATATAGACCAGCAAATTGTTAGTACATTATAAAACTATCAAAAACTTTTTTTAAATTTTAAGACCAAAGGTTTTAGCGAATCAAAGTACAATTCCTATAGACTTACATATTTTGTCAGACAACTAAATGTGATACTTTAATTAATTTAGTTATGGTTCTATAAACAATATAGTTTATACCTCATATTGACTTGGGCATGCACATGCAAATGACTTGTACAGATCTGTGCATGTTCCACCATTCTGACATGGAGATGAGGAACAATCATCATCATTCAAATCCTGGTTGAAAACATTTATACATATATTCATATAAATTTCAACAAATTCAGTATGACGAGGCTTGGTTTCCCTATGCACCAAAGAGAGATGTGAAAATAAAAGCTTAACTTTGTCCATTGCCTAACAGATAGGAAAAAAAACCTCAAATTCTTCTCTAAAACAACAATGATAGTCTGTAAGCAAGTTTAAGCATTATTCAAAAACAAAATGATTCAAAGAGAACATCGCTGAGTAAAAATTGATGTTATATAACAGACAAAACTAATACAAATAATTCAATATTGCTTATTACCTTACTTTTAAAGTACACTAATTTTATGTTGATGAAAAACCACTTACATTTTGAATTGTTGTCACTGTGGTTTGCAATGTGGCATACTAAAAGTATAAATTTAATGAGTTGGTAAATGCTGTGAATTTTTACATAATCCAATTACATGAGGTCAATAGTTGATAGATAGTTGAAAATGTTGGTATTGTACATATTGGAATAGCTTGAATGCTTGAATCTTGTTAGAATGAAGATGGAATTATATTGTAATTTGTGAGGCTGCAAGAAGCAACTTGATGCAGGGACGAACATCTTATGATAATAATGTAATGGATAATACTAGCTATTTATTTATAACATATTTATTCCGATTTATCATGATAAAAATCATGATATGAACAAAAGAGAGAACCCTGACCAGCGGTGGACAAAACCCTGAAAAACTCTGAACAAGAATCACTGATTAAATACAAACAATTTTGATAAAAAAAATATGAATAATTCATTAGGTATTTGGGTTATCACGACGGCAGGAGCCGTAAAAAAATAACCTTGCCATCGGGAGGATTGGCCGATTGGAATATTCCAATCAGGAGATTGCCATGGCAGGGTAGTTGCCGCTTACCATTAACGTCCGTCCGTTCACTATAACCATATCCGACGTGGAAAACAAATTAATTGTATGAAATGCATACATGTTACTAGTTGCTGAACTCAAAATTATCTCAATTGATACCTTTGCTTCCAGATCATCCAATCTACTATTGTGATCATTTGCCTGAGTTTGAAGTTGTCCAATGTTTTGTTTATTTGTGTCAACTTGGTTCTGAAGATCTGGAGGTATAGAACCTCCGCCTGAATTCTTGATGTCAATAATATCTTGTCGATTCTTTTCAATCTAATCAACAGTAAAATAGGGAAGATTTTATAAACTCCCAAATTATAAAATATAAAAAATCGATCTTATGTTTTATCTGTGGCCTTGTGGTCAACATGGTCGTTATATACTGAATATAGATACCAATCAAAGTGGAAAAGCACGCAACCGAGTAAATCATCTTGATTAAGGATTTTTCGCTGTTGCACTGCGCCGAGACATATAAATTCAAAACATTGAATTTAAACAACTTACCTGGTCAAAAACAGGTTTCAAGTCAATATCATCAAAGTTTATGCTGCCCTGATTATTGGTACGAAATGATATATTATAGGTTCCAGACGTTTCAAATATAAGATGACCGTTCGCCGTATACATTCGCGGTCTGAATAAAAATTCCGTTTAATAAGGATTCAGAGTCTTAATAAATCTTAAATAGGAACGAATACATACCCATCACCTTAACAACCCAATGCCCCATATTCACCACCCGCCTAGCGTGTAATAAAAACATCCCATTCCTTCCAAACATGGTAGCTCCTTATGTATCAGTGACCTCTTGTGCAGAGCCTTGTTTGGAGAGAGGGAGTGACGTCATAGAAATGTGGAAAATTATATTTGAATTCTGTGGCTGAATAACATGCTTCCAATATTAAACTCTTATCACTGAAACACTCTTGCACTGAAACAAATTGATTATTTACTTACAAATCTTTGCAAAACACCCGTAACTTTCGAAGAGAATTATTATGATTGAAATGTGAGAAGGAATAATAGCTACAAATGAACATTAAATCAATATTTTTAAAATGGCAGTATTCTTTTATTGAAATAGCCAAAAGTGTTTTGCTCTCAAATGTATCTGAGGAGAATGTGAATCGTCACTTTGTCAGAAACATCAACATAATCTGGTTACTTACTGAGTACTTATCGCATACAGGGACTTTTTTGAAGATGGTTTTTTCATTTCAACTTCTTCAACCTTCTTTCCCGCATTTCTGCTTCTGGAATATTTCTTAGCCTCAGCATATTCCGATTTTTTACTCTCACTCGCGATGCATGTATCCAATAACAAATGTATTAGTACGAGCAATGTAATAAAATTTATAATGTTCATTTTTGCATCCTAATCTTGACAAAACAAATAACTGGGTCTATAAATGAAGATGCAATCTAACTAGCTATTTTCAATAATGTCCATTTAGTCCAAAGTTGTGGCATCGTGACTATCTTGAACTATACGCGTAACAACGGTGAGAATTCTATAGATGGACGTCACGTATTTGATTTTATCGCAACTTTGCCTAAAAGTTTCATATTATAATGCCTCACCCCAGAAACATTGCCTTACGCTTACGACGTTCGATGTCTACGTTCAGCCTACCTCTCTCAATCAAGAACAATTATGAAATTCAAAATAATTGTGCCACAATACATGATCATATCAACAAACGTGTAGCTGGCATGAATAAGATAGAAAACTGGATTTTATATACTTTTCAAAACTATTAAAATTGCGCAATGTTGAATGGATTATCAAAGACAGTGAAATGCATTGGTATCAGCTTTTGTTGGGATGTAATTTTATAGCTATAAAATAAACAAAATGCATCAGGCAGAGACATTCGAAATGTTCCTGTTGACGTCAGATAAGTTTTATTACTCATCAAATTGTTTCACTTTGTCATAAAAAGAGATTTGTTTGATCATCAGTGATCATTTGTTTGATCATCAGTGTTAACGAATAGACTGCAGTTCGTGGAAATATATAGCTCGCATGACTTTGACATATTTGTTATATCGCTACAACCCCGCTTCTACGGTATGAGATTGCTCGATGCAAACAATAGTATCTCTGAAATTGAACATTTTTTTGTGTCACTGATTATTATTTGGTGATTCCAATTTGCGTTGTATATATTATCATTATATTACATATAAATATTTATATTTCTCATTATCCCACAACTGTGACTTTTGTAATATAATTGTATAACGCATTTCACTTGTTAACTGACTGCCAGCTATTGTTTGTCAGACACTTAGGATGGGGCATACCCTGGACCATTTGTCTGTCCATCAAATGTGATTTAGCGCCACAACGGTAACTATGCATGAAAAATGACTGTCTAATTTCCGTTGTCACAAACAATGACAGTTAGAATTGAGGCACCGCACCTGGGTAGAAAAAAATTCGCGTTATCGATTAGGTCTTATTTTAAGGGGAGGGCTAGGGTTGCCAACCGTCCTTTATTTCAAAGGACAATCCTTTATTTGAGATTTTTGTCCTTGTCCTTTTTGAGATGATAATTGTTCTTTATTTTTTCCAACATCGTTTTTCCTGATAGTTATAAGACTGTGTTTGATATTGTTTCGTTCATAAATCGCCTCCGTTTATGTATTTCAAGCTTTCAATTATTCTTTTTAATTTCGCTTTGGTCCGGCTCAAATAGCTAAAGAAATATTTATTTTAGCATGGAACATGGCACAGTTACTTATATTATTGATTTCTTCGAGAATGCAGATGGAAGTGCGGATGGAATGCTCACTTGTTTGAAAAACACTATGAACAATTTACAACTTGATTGGAAAAGAGTTTCTAGTTTAAGTGCAGATAACGCAAATTGCAACTTTGGAGAAAAACATTCCCTTTATACTAATGTTCGCTCTCTAAATGATGATATTATCAAGGCTAACTGCAGTGCACACATTGTACACAATACATTGAAATTTGCTTTAGGAAATTTGAATGTTGACATGTCATGTCTCAATGTCAGCAAATAAGCGAGAAACTCCTATAGAATTTCATATATTTGTAGAGACGGAATTTCATGAAATTCTGCGTCATGTACCAACTAGGTGGCTATCTCTGCACCCATGCATCGGAAGAATCTTACTTTCTTGGAAAGCTTCAAGTTCTTATTTCTTGAGCAGACCAGCTGAATGTTCCAAACAATTACTTAAACTTCTTATGATTGACAATGAGTCAACAAAAGTTCCTCAGCTTATTGAAATGTATTTAATATTCTCACAACATGTAATGGAGATATTTAAATTAGCTGTTCAAGAACTGGAAAAAAATGAAACTTCAACAGCATATGTTTTCATTATTCTTACTAAATTAAGAAATAGGTTAAAATCTCCATCTGATGAAGAATTTTTTGGGTATGATGTTCACCAACTTCTTGCAAATGTGAGTGCTGCTGAAGCTCAAGAGGCAACTGAAGCTTTTAGAATATTTCTCAACTCTGCAATAACGTATTTAGAAAAATATTTGACTTTGATGAAAATTCAACATTTGGAAAATTATCTCTTTTGGATAATTTTTCTCCAAAATATCAGACACTTGTAAACTTGTAGAGCATTTGAAGCTAAAAGACAAACTTAATTTGAATATGGATGACCTAATGATGAAGTTGCACCGTAAATATATACTACTACGGTTGCACTCATTCAAAAAACTTTTGGCACGATTCAAAGCACTAAACTGTTCACAGAATGAAAAACAACAAGCAGTAAATGGCAATCTTAAGCATGTTAATGTTTTCAAAATAGTTTCATTTGTGCTCTCTATTCCCGGAACCTCAGCTTATTGTGAACGCATTTTTAGTGTAATGTTATCTAAATGGCGCAGTGAAAGGAAAAGATGCTTCATACAACTAATTAAAGGTGAGCTTTTAATATACTTCAACTTGAAAGACACGTGTCGTGAATTTTTCGGAAAAAATAAAACGTGACCCACAATTGCTGAAGTCAGCAAAGAGTCAGAACAAATATACCTTTAAGAATTATAAACTTATGCAACAGCAAAATTAGAGCTTGTTTGGATCGATGTTAAATGAACATTAAATGAAAAGCACATGAAGACTTTTCAATATATCTTTTTAGCTTGTATATATATGTATTTCGTTGTTTTATATTGTTCTTTCCTGCAAGTTACAAAATAAATGATGACGGTAATCTATGTCCTTTATTGGGACTTTCCATAGTTGGCAACCCTCCCGGAGGGCTTATATTAGGATCATTTTTAAAATTCAGGCTAGGTCTTATTTTCGGGTTGGATTTTATTTTCGGGAAAACACGGTAGTTATTTGCTCTATACCGCCACACTGCCTTCATCTGAAGTCGTTTTATTTGTGTGCTATGTCTCGCCTCGTCCGCTTTCTGGCTTTAGCTGTTGGGCTGTCGCTCAGTTAATTTGACTCGCCGCTACTTCGCCTGTTCTTTGTTCGCATTACATTGTTTGTTGAGCTGGTTGTCCGAGCCGTAGATGTTCGTGTTATTCCAGTATTCGGCGATTTTCGGCTTGAATACGTACAGACTTATCCAGTATGAAGCGCATGGCGGTATAAGCTACGTTATCCCAACAATTATCTGGTTAACTTATTTATAATTTAAATACTTTGTATTAAAATCAACAACAATTCGATTATTCGGTGATTTTTAGCTTAAATACGTGTAGACTTATCTAGTATGTAGCGCGTGATAGTAAGCTACGTTATCTCCACAATTCTCTGTTTATTTACCGATTTAATTACTTCATAAGACAGTAAGAATATCAACAAAATACTGGAAATATGTGAATCCAGGAATCCTTAGTCCTTAACAAAAACACAATTCAGAAATTGGTTGCTAGGTGAAGTAATAAGAGCAGATTTGTGGAAATGCAACGGAGTTAGACTACCTAACTCATTAACCAGATTTTAGAAAATCTGAATACTGGAATGAGGTGCACTAGCCTACAGCACTAATGCGGCTCGGTGGTGCGGTGCATCGTTCAGTTCAAAGCGTTAGAAATACGCTCGCCAAACCCTGCATGGGTTCGCAGGTTTGAATCCTGTGCGATAGTTACCGGTATGTGCAGAAGCATTGCTGGACTCCTCGCCGCCGTAGGGTCAGAGGGTGGTTCACCCCACGTAACCCTGGTCGATTACGGCATCCCCCACCATCAAGTCCATGCTTCTGTGCTTCCGAAAACAAATAACTGGCTAACTGATCTCAAGCAACATTGGCTGGTCTCCGGGTGAGAGGCTGTGGTTCGCCATATGATTATGCCATCTTATTGGCTTTCCTCCCCCCCCCCCACGTGATAAATTTTTATATCCTAACCTAATGCCTGAATGTAAATTAAACTAGACACAATTTTTCTTCTTTTCTTAGCAGTCTATTTGCTCTGCAGTTTTCAACACAACCGAAATTTTATTTGTTCATTAAATTCAATCTGAATTCTGGAATTATTGATTAATCCACATTTTTTCGAATTACCGGTATAAAAAATTGTGGCATATAGGGTGGTGTAGCCAGTCTGCGGACGATTTCATTCAAACCGCTATAAAACAAAAACCAATATTTCTAACCCGTTAATTTTTTCACCGTAGGTGCATTGGCATTTATTCTACACGCTGAACTTCGAATTAACTTTCTACGACCAGGGGTTAAAGCTATACAAACCACCAAAGTACGACACTCTGAAGACGTATTTGCGACCGAACGACCAGTGTGCGACCACGGATTTCAAGCCTTGAACATCGTTTCTGCTGCGTCGAGCCTAGGGCATACGCAGCCATGCGTGAAAAAATGGGCTTCTAATTGCATTTCTGACCGTCATATATTTTAAGAACACGGGTATTTCGAACAAAATTCTTCAAATTATAAACAAAGCACCGCATCACAGCAATCAAACAGACAAAAACACCGTGGTCGCAAATTAGTTGACAAAGATATTATTGACGTATTGGAAATGCGCACCCCCCTACTCCCCCTCCTTTGAAGGTAGAAACGCGAAACTTTAAAGATGGTTAAAAGAAACACAACTCTACCCACCTGCCAAGTTTCATCTCTTTATCTCTTATATTTGTATGGATTTTCAACCTTTTTTGAAGGAACAATGGGTAGTTGGCGACATGGTAAAATGGTCCGTTTTTTTTCTTCGGTCAGGTTTTCGGTCGTAACTTTTTTATTTGTGGCCGCATTTTAGTGTAATTTCGTAGAGCTACGAGGGATAAGTGGACGATAACGCGTGAGAAATATTGGCGCGATTCATTAATTTTTTCGGCATTAATTTAATCGTTGAAGTTGATGGTCGCAGATAGGTCATGGCCGCAAAGTGGGTAAGCCACCCTATCTGTATTTTGAAACATAACACAGTACAGCAATAAGATTTGATAGATACAAAAATCAGGAAATAGAAGTGCTGAAGCGTTGGTACTCGCAGTACAGCAGTACTTAAGTCAGTACCAGTAAATGTTCTTTTCATGAGTTCTGTTGTATTTATATTTCGACTGTCCTACTCCAGTACTGCTTTCCAGGAATCCCACTAAATTTTGTATTGTATCAAATGAATCTGATCCTTTGTAATACAGTAATAGCTGTGTGAATATCAATATCCTAACAATAAAGCATTATGTCATAATTTTGAGAAAAAGTTTACGATACGGTTATATCTGTAGCCAAGATTCCTACTTATCTTGATCTGTTTTCTATTCAGCTATTACATTAAAAAACATAACAGTGTATCAGATGTCAACATTTATTTCAAGATAACACTGGTAACTTAATCTGTATATTGCCAGAAGTTGTAATCAGCAAACTTCATAATGTCTAGGTAAGCTGTTTTTCATTTTCTTCATGCGGTCAGCTGTCATTTTTTCACAAATTTTCTATTTGTATAGGTCTTAGGTGGTTGATTTAAAATGTGTTCTTTAGAAGTGTACGTTTCAATCTGATCTTAAAGTTAACTGGTGCACGATTGGTGGTTACTTAAGCCAGATGGATAAAAAAACACTTTATTCTTTGTAATTACCAACACAATGTCGATTCTGGCAAATCAAAGATTTGAAATCCATCTTAATTTTGAATTTGTTACACATCCATCTTTCATTACTTAAACTGTTTAAAACTTTAGGGACAACTTTCATTTTGTGAATGATATGGCTTAATGTGAATATCGATAACCTGCTTTAACATAATTCAATAGCCTATTATGCTGAATCCTGTACAAAATTGAAATTTGCTTTGCTTGGGACCATTTTAGACTACATTATACATATACATTATACAAATTTTATTGATATATTATAATAAATGTATTTTCAGTTCCAGGAAATCTGGAATGAACTCAGGATCACTAACAGGAAAACAGATTGGTTTAACACAAATATGGGAAGATTTAAAACAAGGGATGGATCAGGTAAATCCTGCTTAAATTAAATATCAGGATGCAAGTGTCGCCATATCTTCTATTTAAATTAAAGTTACATCGAGTGGAGCGTCCGAAGTGACTATTTTTATCTGAGAAGTCAGCAGGACGCTGCCGGGCTGAGGTCAATCGAATATCCCATTTTAATGTCTTATATCTGTCATCGATTGAATTCGACTACCCATTTTATCGTGTGAAAAACGTCATGAATTTTTTCTGATGACATGAAAACTTTTATTTATAAAAGCAATATCGAATAACCTTCTGTATAAAATAATCATCTGTATAAACATATTTTTCTGTGTTTATCCTATTATGGGTAATCTCTGCTACCACTCTTTCGTGAAATGTATATACTTGTATAAAATACTCCATCACATTCGATTGTTGTAAGGAGCCCACGCTTATATTTCTTGGTAGGAAATGAAAGTAGCTTCAAAACAAGGCCACAACTTACTTTGGTTACAAAGATAAGACGCTAGCCTTTATTGCTACCAAATATCACCTAATTTTTAATTAAAATTTGAGCCCATCCTGTATGGGGAGGGAAATTGAAGGTTGTACAGGAAATTTAGAATTTAATGTAAAAAATTTAATATTATGAATGATAATTGCATTCCGTTTCATGAAACATTTTTATCAAAATTTTCTTCTTATATATGGCAATACTTCCTTTTTAAGGTTTACACAATCAAAAGTATGACGAAGCCAAGATATATTGAACTCTACACGTAAGCGTTATTGTTGCCACCATAATTTAAAATTGTATTGAAATTTAATGATTGCCACCCACTGGTATTATTTTACATATAGTCTGATATAGATTTACCATATTAAGTTAATGACAAAGAGACAAAACAAATGAACACCAATATGAATGGTTATACTAGTTCAATTGAATATGTCGCGCATCTCCTTATTAATTATATATGTGTATTTACTGTATGTCATATATGTATGCAATTTGACATCACATGTTCTGATATAGCCCTGTGATTGAATGATTAAGGTCATGGTGGGTTGGCAGAAAAAACATTCTGTATTGTTTCTGAATATCTCTCTATAAAAGACATGTATGATTTATGTCCCAGGTGTCACGATTTATTTTAGATATAAAAATATCATTCCTAGTGGTCTATCCAAATAATTTCAGGCATGTATACAATTACTGCACATGCGTTCAACTTAGTGGGAATTCACGTCAAGCACCAGGTGCAATAGTTTCTAATAACAGTTTCAAATCATCACCGGGAAAGAAATGGCAGAATGCTCAAAGTGCACATTTTGTTGGGCATGAACTGTACAAAAGACTCCGATCATATTTGCAAAGTTATTTATCTAGTATACTCCAGGTACATGTTGAACTATTTTTTTTTTCATATACCGGTATATTAATGTGCCAATATTTTCTTGAGCTGGCCATTTGCTTCTAAAAAGTTGAATTTAATTCATGTAGTCATGGATTTAAAAATTGGATCTATTCATAGTTTCGGTACTTATATATTTTTTTTAAATATTCTTGATTCTAGATATAATTTAAAACAGTTTCATCTGAAAAATTATCAATGTGACCAAGTGGCAGATCTATATGGTCAAAAATTTAATTAGTGACTGATGGCTGTGAAAAATAGAAAACGAATCATACTTTTCCGAATTGAAACTCATTGAATAATGAATATACATTAATATCTGCGTCATTAAACATATCCCAATTTGAAATATATTCGATAATTCAAGTATTTAGTACGGCTGGGAATATCCCCGCAATTATCCAGTATTTGACTGTGTTGTTGTTCCTATCCCCACTTGTTTTGATGAATTGATTTTGATGAATTCATTTTCAGGAGGGGATTGATCTTCTTGGGGAAGATGTTTTGCATTTTTACACAAGACAATGGATGGGTTTTCAATTCAGTAGTCGTGTATTAAATGGTGTTTGTGCCTACTTGAATCGACACTGGGTTCTTAGAGAGTGTAATGAAGGAAGGAAAAATATTTATAAAATATATTCCGTGAGTTTTTTTATTCATATTATGCTAGAATTTTCTGTCTTGACCATAAAGATTTTGAAAGATTTTACATTGTTTTTTTGTCAATATGATCCAATACAAAACAAGTTAGCAAATCAATTTATTTCATGATCAAAAAGTCATGGGTCATCATACTCATCAAAGACTCATCAATGTTATTGAAAGAGTCATAAAATGAAACTTAGGGCGAGACATTGAATGGCATTAAGATTAAAAGTTATTTGATTGGTCCAAGTATTTTTGATATAGAGCTTATTAGTTTATTTTTCAATTTTTCAGTAAACAGTATTTAGAATTCATCCAAAGGGCTATCTCATTCTGAAAAAAAACAGAGTTTGGGCTGCATTTTTAGTATTATTAATGGAATACCAAAGTATTTATTGTATTTCATTATTTTTTTGTGTTGTATATCACAATAATAAGAAAATAAAATTTGATGAACTGATAGTAGAGTATTTATTAACTGTTCATGGGTGTGACACTGACATCATTATATTCTTTTGTTATCTGAAGTTGGCATTGGTGATTTGGCGAGAAAGTTTATTCAAGCCTCTCAACACACAAGTAACTTCAGCAGTTTTAAAACTTATCGAGAAGGAACGAAATGGAGAAATCATCAATACAAGTCTCGTCAGTGGAGTCCTTAAATCTTATGGTAAGACTTGAATGGAACCATTTTTGTCTGTTATCTTGTATGATAAAATGATATGGCTGTGTAAATTAAGACTGATATCATAGTCAAGTTTATCTTTTCTAGCTAGTAAGGGGAGAATAAATAAATTTACATACAGGTATCCAGAGGGAAGGTATCCATAAGTGCGGTATGTCCTATTTCGATGAAATTGATAAGAGCATTTTCTAATTCTCTGTGTTATGATGTAACATCATTATAGTGTCAAAATAAAATCATTCTTCATAGTTTATTTTTTTTTGTGTTTGGACTCAATGCTTATGGACTGAAATCCTTCATAATATACCTTGTTTATACAATAGAGAAATTTCAGAAATACAAAATATTGATAAACCCCATTTTTTATTGAAAATAGTATAGTACATGAAGTCAGTTTTTTAATGCTATTTCTCCTAACCTATCAGTATGATTTTGAATGAGCCTAATTTCTTTGGATGAATTTCTCACCATACAAGGTTGAGCAAAAAATCAGCACAAAATAAATTGCAGCTTTATGGTGTAGTAGGCTATGTGAGATGTTTTTTGAAGATACTGATATTTGAAGATATTTTTTCTTATTAATGAAACTTGCAGGATAACTTATTCTCTCTATACATTATTTTAATATATATATATATTTATTAGGCTTTTATTTTATTTTATATATTATTATATATTTAGCTGTAAAATCTGGCCATTTAAGTTTCAAATCAAAACTTTTATAACAATTATATGGAAAAAATTTTGAATTGGAGCATTCAAAACATCAAGTAATAGAAATAATGCTTTTCAATTTTTATTACCGATTAGCATACTGTTAGAATTGTGGTATATTTAGAGGCTTATATCACCATCATTGAAGTTTAATGTATTTCAATATTCAAATTTTGTTCCGTCATTATTCTGTGCCATTGAGCTCATACTGTTTCATATAACCTGATTTACCATAATTTCTCGAATTAAAATTACGCAGAATTTTCCTTTTGGAACATAAACATAGAATTTATCGCAAACATATGGATTTCTTTGAATTGTGCAACAAGTTACAATTTCAGCCGTTTCTCTCTGAATGCTTGTGTCTTGAATGTATTGATTTTTTATAAAGTTCAATTCAACTAAATTCGTTCAATGATACCAAATACTGAGACATTTGAAAACTATTATGTATCATTTAATATGACGTATCATAGCATGTTAATTAGTTATTAGTATTTGATTGACATTTTATTTACAATTATTCAACATACAAAAATGTTTGATGACGTAGTACGCAGCGAAATATCCTTTTTTGTTTTTACCGTATATTTGTTCTGGCTTGAGTCCAATGTTTTATTTTTATTCATGGTATTTACAAAAGAAAACATTAGTACAAAAATTGTGAATAGTAATAACCATTACTAATAAACCTTCAATATATACAATGTTTTATAATTACAGTTAGAGAGAGTTGCAAATTAAATATAATTTCAAAGTTACAGTTTAAGTACTAAATTATTTACAATTTGATAAATGTAGACATTCAGTGTAATTTCTTTTTAATATAGCTAATTTGTCGCATGAAAATTTAGTGTATAATATCCTACACATAATAGTAAATCTAATAAAGTTACCTGTAATTCCTGACAATGTAATATTTGCATAATGTTTACTTTATCTTGTAAAAAAGAAACTACGTCTTAGCTTGATGTCACTCAGTCAGAAAATAATAGTTCACTCACAGTTACAGCCAAGTATTTTTGAAACTTGATGCTAAACTGCTGTACAGTTTAGACCTATTTTGACAAACTATTTTGACCTATTTCATAATCGAATGAAGGCTGATGCAGTTTCACGGTACCATGACCACCTTTTATAAGATATGTATTTAGTAACATAATTAGAAGTGAAGATTGGTGCATTTTAGTTACCGTAAGTAGTTTATGGGTTATGATCTGATAGTAGAAAACTCGGTACTCCCGTAGTGTGTGTACCAGGTTAGGGTTAGGCCATAATTTTATTACGATTTTCCTCATTTTAGTTCTATTATGAGTTCGGGGAGTGTCTGTGTTAGCCAAGTAAATATACGCCCTGCCCATAGTAATCAGTCCCTTTACACAACTTGATGTTAACAACTTAACAACACAACTTAATTAGTTACCTCCATATTGGTACACGCACTTCTGGAACGCCAAAAAATCTCTAGTATGAAAAAATTTAAATTCAGTTTTTATCGGAGTGAAGGATTCAAGTGATATGAAATTGAAAAAAACATCAGCAAGTACTATACCTTTATCTTTTCAACCTGCTCAGATGAATTCAACTTTTACTACAGCAAGGCAAGCAGGTAGTAGTTAATGAAAGTTAGCATTGTTTATTATTGAAACCTTTAATACTGGCATAAGAGTATTAAGGAAGCATGTATGTATTTTGAATATCAGAGTTGATTTCATAAAGGCAAGGTTAGAAAAGACTTATTTGGAATATCGCTTCCAATAATATAGTCCGTAATTCATTTTACTGAGTATTATCTTTGAATGATTGAGTTTGACAGCAGTTTCTTTCAATTGTGGCAAGGAACAATGATGTGATAAATCTTTACACTTGAAGGCTTGGCAACGGCAATATTTATGAATAACCGACAAAAAAAAAGGCTAAAAACTTTGCAGCACAGTCAAAATCTGAAAACATCTCAATGGCCATGTTTACCATGAACTTTTTTGAATGTTTATCATTACCCTTTATGACTGATCTAAAATTCAAACATGAATCAAGCTTGATAAGTTTACAGCTATTCAATTGGTAGAAATGAATGGTATAACTGAAAAAAAATAAAAATAATATAATAAAATTTCATGAAGGTGAGAAGTGTAATAATATGAAGTTATGACATCACAGGCTTCTGGCATACTGTAATGGTATGCTGTATACTTCTTATGTACTGTATTGAAAAACAAAATACACGGAAGTGAGGAATATAACATAAAAATACCTGAGAGCAATGTTTAAACTTCAATGTTTAGCCAAAATAACTACCGGTAGCTAGTATGTTCTTGTATGACTTTAAAGTTTTAGAGGGAGAACTTTTCAATCAAATAAGCAGAAACCTTTTTGCATACATGCCTATGAATTATATATAAAATAAACAGTAGAATTTTAATCAGATTGGGATCAGTGATTCTTATTCTTTCTGATACAACAAGGTATAGAATAGACTATATAGTGAATACTTGCGGTAATGGAACAAAAAATATTCTGGATACGTAGTCATAGATGATATTAATATATTGGGTTTACATCGGCACGGTTTTAATTTCTACCATCATGATAAGGAAATGTACTGAAGTTTTGGATCGATGTACAATTCTCCTTATATGAATACCAAATCTGCACGCTGTTGTATTTGCATATAAATCTTAAATTCACTGTTTGCATTAGAGTCTCATCCTATCAAGTAGTGGATGTTATGTTTTTTCAAGTTAGGCCCAAGAATGAATACTGTAAATTAACTTTGTACCAAAATTCAAGCCCATGAAATCTCTTCTAGCTTTATCAAAGTTATAGTTTTTTTAGAATGTTGTGCAACTTTGTTTGATAAGACGTATTTGCTATGTATAGAATGATATAGAAGAGAACTATTTCTAAAGTATATTATATACCTATAGTTTTTCAGCTGTATGATTATTAACTACTTAATGTCAGAAATGGGGATTTTTTCTAAGCCGATACTCCATTTCGTTTCAGTTGAGTTAAGTTTAAATGAAGATGAATCTGCATCATCTTCTTCACCTTCCAAATCATCAAAAACAATCGTACCATCACTCTCTGTGTACAAGGAAGCATTTGAGGCTCGATTTCTTGAAGATACTGAAAGTTATTACACCGCGGAAAGTACAGACTTTTTGTCTCAAAATCCAGTTACTGAATACATGAAAAAGGTAGGCAAGAATTTGGTGATGACATGTATAAATATGTATTAGGGATTAATTAATTTATTAATTTTATGGATACTACATGGAGATTGATGTAAGCTGATGTGTAAGCTAAGGATTTCTGAAATATCGAATATTCGAATTGATTTCAAATTAATTCTATTTAATATTTTAAATTCTACCTTTAAAATATTTTAAGTGTAGTTTCATTTGAAAAATGATCATTTTGATTGATATCAATTCATGTCTAACAATATTACTGAAAATTTGATTTCTGAAAATTATAATACCAATTTCTCCTCATTTTCCTGTGTTTCCCAATTCAACTTCATTGCATAAACTCGACTTCTATGTGTTCATTGTTGAAAATAACCTATGTGACTCAATGTGAGTGCACATGACCTTGATTTGATGAAAATTTTCTATAAAATTATATTGATAGTCCACAATCAATAATATTTTACAATATATGTTGAATAGCAATTTATTCTTTTTTTCGATCTCTGGTGTAGCCTATAGGATAAATGTATTTAACCCATTTGTTTTCTACGAAACTGAACATTTTGAAGCATTATTACGTTTGAGCTTGATCGTAACAAAGCATAACAGTTGTTAATAGGTTTTATCATTATTTGCTCAAGGTTGTTTTTCACGTAAATAGAGCTCATTATAGGTGGGGGTGGTCAAATCCTTTATATTCGGCAATCTATTATTCTTTCGATTACCTGGGTTTCAAATATTCTAAATAGATTTATTTCACAGCCAAATCATCATATTACGGTATATGCAAAATTATAGTTTCAACCGTAATTAACACTTATTTCTGGCAATATTGCTGAAAACTGGAATATTACACAGAATATTTCTGAAATAGTTATTTTCCTGCAATAATTTTGAGTTATTCAGTCATATTTTTCTGTCATTTCCAATTACCGTATGTCCAATCGAATAGTAATAAGATTTTTCATTCTTTAGTCCATAAAACAAATTAATTATTGTTTCTGTTATCATATTATAATTTAGATTTTTCTTTTTACTCAATCATCATCAACAATTTCTGACAGGCTGAAGCAAGACTGAATGAGGAGCAGCACAGGGTTCAATTGTATTTGCATGAATCAACTCAAGATGAATTAGCAAAGAAATGTGAAGAGGTTTTGATAAAACGACATCTCGATCAGTTTCATTCGGAATTCCAGAATCTTTTAAATGATGATAAGAATGATGGTAATATAGTGTTATCATTTGGATGATCCTATTAGTTTTATTACAAAAAGTATCATTTCTCTGAACTAGATATAAGTAATTTAGCAGACAATAGACAAATCTATATTACATTTAATATAAGTAATGATTGAATAATATAAGATTGTGCAATGATTTTAAATATACGGTTCTCGAACATTGGGATGCGCCCCACAAGGGGAGTATAACAATTTTTTGAGGGGTTGTGAAGCTAATTAAAAATAAAATATTTGTTACATTTGATCTTGCTCGCCTTATTTTGGATATTAGCATTTCTTTATTGGTAATAAGAGATTGTAGAGAGCTGTTGTGCTTGTATCTTTATTATCCTTAGCGTTTTCATTATTCACGTTCTGTCCACGTATTTTCAACGTGTTGCTTCAGCCTTACTATCTGTTATTTGTAGCTTATTGTTAGCTAGGTATTTTTGAGGAGGGACGCGAGACTTGACAAATTCTGAAGTGTGCGATTTGAAAAGTTCCAAAACCACTGTTTTGAATTTTACATGGATTTCTTAAATAAATATTTATGCCAATCCTTTTGTTTTGAATAATGCTTTTTTGTACAATAAACAAGCAGTGCTGCTATAGGATAGCGTGACGTGTACCTAACTGAAGCTTGATTTGACCCTAACATGGTAGACTGTGCCTGAGTAGGGAACATATAACAGTAACCATGACAATATTTTTAGCACCAAACACTCATTGCTTGGATGCATAATATTGAAAAGTATTAAAGGTATTGTAGTCCATTACTTGCTTACAACAACCTTTTGTATCTAGATCTTGGTCGCATGTACAATCTGGTATCGAAAATAAAAGATGGTCTCGGTGAACTGAAGAAACTATTAGAAAAGCATATTTATAATCAAGGTGATGCCGCAATCAAGAAATGTTCAGAAATGGCTATAAACGTAAGTACACTCATATTTTTCAAGACTTATCATTGAGACCAACATATTACCATGGGATTCATGATAAGAAAGTATATAAGCAAGTTATGTTGGACCTGAATTTAAAATATCTCATAATATGTATTCAACGCTCGATTGAATATCCACCAGACAAGTCTGTTCTAATTGAAAAGATATATTGCAGTTTGAGGGTAGAAACCTCTATTACTACTTCTGTAAAATATATGTTTAGCAATTTTTTAACAAAAACAACAAATTTGTCATTGTTTCAAAAGTCATAATAAAAATAAAGCGATAAAAGATTACGATACATAAATTTTCCTATATGAAGAAAATAACATATTTAGTTCGAGACTACTGCATTAGACCATATACTGCTTGTTGAGATTAAGAACACACACTTGTATACACGTCTTCTTACCTCTGACTATATAGAATTAAAGTATGGTTAATTATGATATCTGACTGACTGACATATTTCCAAACATTAAACTTTTGTTTATTTTTTTCAAGGATCCAAAACTATATGTAAATACAATTTTGGAAGTTTATCGAAAATATCATGGACTTGTTCTGAGTGCTTTTCGCAGCGATGCAGGATTTGTTGCCTCACTCGACATGGCATGTGGACGCTTCATCAACAAAAATGCAGTCACAATTGCAGCAAATAATTCATCCAAATCGCCTGAGCTATTGGCGAGGTTTGTTAAACAATATTTGAATTTGAATTACTTTTTTTTTGCGAAAGGGTATCTGACTTGAGGCTGAAATCTAAAAAGGTGAAGCTTTCTGAGGCATTTTTGATTTTGTCATATTTGGTCGCACAAATTCCTTTCGAAATTATTTAGTAAAAATGTCAATTCTGAGTTTCTGAATTTGTACATAAATTTCATGCTATATGTCCCTTTTACCTTTATTTTTGCATTATTCCAATAATTTCTCTTATATTATGGACCTACAGCAATATCCACTGTATTGAGGATAATGTATATATTGGAGTCTACTAATTGTTATGGTGAATTTTTCCACAATCCAATTCACGTCCTAAACAAGTTTATACCAGTATACTTAATTACACTATATATTTCAGGTACTGCGATTCACTGTTGAAGAAAAGTGCAAAAAATCCTGAAGAATCTGTTTTAGAAGAAACATTGAATCAAATTGTAAGTAAATGCTTGTGCTGTCCCTTCAGATTACTTGTTTTTTAAGGGTATTTTCACTCTGAACAAAGTTCAGTATAGGAGCTTTTTTTTCGAAGGAACGAAGCTATCTGGTTCTGCATTGAATATCCATTTCTCACTCTCCAGGTAAGTTAGATAGTGTGGGTTAGATTTGAGATTTGAGACGTCCCATAGTCGATCGAATATGAACAATTGAAAATATATATTTATTGTTATAAAACTAACATTAATTCTTCTTTTAGCTTATTGTTTTCAAATACGTGGAAGACAAAGATGTATTCCAGAAATTTTATTCAAAAATGTTGCAAAACGTCTTGTACATCATTCATCTGCCAGTGATGATGCTGAGGCATACATGATCTCAAAGCTGAAGGTAAGACTAGATTTTCCATGAAATAAATCTGTGGTATCTTTGAATAATATGATTGTTAGTGCTTAGTGGTTCAATTGAACATCATGTGTACATTTTACTTTTAATATCTGATAGGGAAGGGATTTTCATTTCAAAACTTTGTTCCTGCATTTGATTTACTGACTAAATAACTATATAAACACTAACTGTATCGATCTGAATGGTCTTATTATAGATAAATAGCTTATAGTTTGGTTACATCTATCACCTGTTACATCTATGTCCCATTGGTAAGGAAAACTTTTTGTATGCAGTAGATAGTAAGTTATATCTCCACAAAGGACATTTATTAATACAACATGGACATATATACCACATACCAGCTTTATGGTGACATAGAAAGTTTTTTTGTTTGATCCAATGTGTCAGATTTTGAATTGCGCCTCATTTTAATTACTTCTGACTTAGCTTTTTCATTCATTCAGTGGTTGTCTATACTTGGTATTTTACCTTTTTACTTCTGCTTGTAACCTTGCTTTGAAAAGTAAGTGTAAAATATATTTTATTTTCAGCAAACATGCGGATTTGAATATACATCAAAATTAGAGAGAATGTTCCAAGATATCGGAGTCAGCAAAGATATCAACGATAAATTCAAATCAAGTTTTCTTGATGATCCACTGGATTGTAAGTACCATTTTTGAATATAGCTATGAAAGTTTCCATAAACCATGCCCTTTTTTTCCAAATTTTTGTCGTTACTGGATTTTCTTTATGATATTTCGTAATCTATACTTGGAGCTAGTTAGCTAATATTTTCCTGTAATGATTTTACGCAAGAAGCAAATCTGTAACAGGGCCACTGGGCAATGGGCATCTATTCATATTTCAAAGTATCTTTTGCCTCATTTTAGCTGATAATCAAGTAGTTTGACATAGTTGGTCTTGCCCATATCAAAGTTAGTTTACAACCCATTCCAGTAAATAGGGTTATATATGCAATTCACAATCTACAGTGTTCTTGCTCCAGCTGAATTCATATTTGATTTCTTACTAATTCAGTACCGTAATTGGAATTTTATTTTTTAGTGGATTTTTCGATTCAAGTTCTGATATCTGGATCGTGGCCCTTCCAACAATCAGTTGCATTCACTCTCCCTGTTGAAGTAAGTTGCTTTGTTATTTTTCTCTTTATTTGCTTAATACAGTTACATAATGCCTTTGTTCCTGCAACAATATCATAGTTGTTAGCTTGCCAGGCCTACTTATGTTGCTGTTGCAGGTTAGAGCATTTTGTATTCAACCATGTGGCACCTAAATAGCACTCTGCATATAAATTATTTGTTTAGTACAAAGATAATTAAATTATTCTTTAATAAATTAAATTCATTATTTCTTCTTGATTTTATTGACATATGAATATTTTTGCTTGAAATTTATTTTGATATAAAGATGCTTACAGTGTTTGTTGGTTAATAATTAATCGACGAAGACTCTTTTATTACCACTTAAGACCAGTCCAAGAGCTAATACCATTTTTTAATGTTTGATACCAAATAATACCAGAGTGCTATACGCAGTGAATGTATTTTTACTAGGATATCGCTTCAAAATGAATGAAAATATGTGAAATGATAATACCAGACATGCCTTATTTACTCTATAATTTTTACAATAATATCCGCCTATAATCTCTTCTATATATCTGTTTCACAGCTGGAAAAAAGCTACCAGAGATTTACTACGTTCTATGGAAAGCAGCATACTGGGAGAAAATTGTCATGGCTTTATCATCTGTCAAAGGGAGAACTTGTGACTAATTGCTTTAGAAACCGTTACACTTTGCAGGTATGTTTTTCAAAATTGGCTTAGACAGTTGACATGCAGAAACATTTTCTATACGATATGCTGTTGCATGTAATTCTACTTTGGTTGTCTCGAGTTGTAGACTAAGATATCTAAAGATCTGCATTGATGTAACTTCACGATTTATTGACTTCATTTATTTTCAATTATTATTTTACATTCTTATACCTAAATTTGTTCATTTTCATTCCAGGCATCTACTTTTCAAATGGCAGTCCTTCTGCAGTATAATACTTGTCTTTCATACACGGTGCAACAACTCGCTGACAACACTCAGCTAAAGATGGATATTTTGCTTCAGGTAAAAATCCTTGAAATATCCATAGCATATTATAAAACATGTAGAATTATTAAGAAGCGAATGATATAGTTTAGCCCAGTGGTCGGCAACCTTTTTTTCTGTGATGGACCGGTAAAGTCTGACCAAAATTTTGGTGGATCACTTTTATACAAATTACAGAAGAACTAATCTAATGTAATAAATTATATGTGTTACAAAATTATGTTGGCAATACATTCAAAAACAAAGGTGATACTATTCAGGTAACATGTTTCTTATGTTCGGCCTACTTCGTTATTTTGTCTTTGTAATTGTCAATTTTGAAAACCCGACCTCACATAACGGTAACAATTGTACGTTTTCGTGTCAACTTTCTGCGGACCGGTAGTAACCTTTCCGCGGACCGGCGACGGGTCGCGTCAAAGTGGTTGTCGACCACTGGTTTAGCCAGCACTCTAAATGTCTATACGAACAGGTTTCATCAGGCTTGTGGTCATCACAGCGGTGAATAGGAAATATAGTTCACTCACTGTTTAGATAAAAATTCAGAACATACGCAAAACTGTAGTTGAATATTCAAGACATTTCGTGCTAGGAATCTGTGCTAGCTGCAAACTGAATATTTTAGCTACTGCCAATGTTGTATGATTGTTGTGATGCCCAATTGAGACAAGAGGTCATGTCAACCACCTTGAAATAAAATATATTGAGCTATTCTGGATATTGAATGCTGCAACCATTTTGTATCGAATCTACCCTAATTATTTAATTCTGTGTATTTCAGGTCCTCCAGATTCTACTCAAGTGTAAACTCTTGGAAACTGACAATGATCAAGAAAAGTTGGAACCAGATAGCAGTATCAGATTGTTCCTTGGATATAAAAAGTAAGAATAGATTGGTTATCATACAATTGGATCGGCGGTGTGGCGCCTTGAGCTAACGGTCAGGAATACGCATGCCACCCCCCTCCTCTGATTACCTTGGGTGGGTTTGCTGGTTCGAATTCTATGAGGCATAACTATGTGCAAGAAGATTGCTGGAATCTGCTCTGCAGTGGGGTGGCACACGTAACTGCTGGTTGGTTATGACTTCCTCCACCATCGAGGCCATGCATATAAAAACAAAAAATGGCAAACTATTTCCATACCCGACATGGGCTGGTAATCGACTGAGAGGCCGTAGTACACCATATGATTAAACGGTCCCAATCGACTTTTCTCTACCCCGGGATAAATATCCTATCTTATCCTGATAAACAAGGTGATGTCAATAAAGATTCGGCATTATAAACCATTCTGCCAAACTCACTGAGCAGATTGATCATGCTATATTATTACATCCATTAATCATTATCATATATCACATGGTTAATCATTTGGACCTCCTGAAGTATGCGCACCAAGATGGCGCACAACCTGAACATAGTATGTGTGTACCGGTTAGGATTCAGGTTGTGTGACATCTTGGTGCGCATACTTCTGGAGCACCAATCATTTTTATGTCCCAACTTTAATCTTTAACAATATACCCTCATTTCTATAATTCCCGATATTTTAACAGCAAAAAATTGAGAGTTAACATCAATGTGCCAATGAAGACTGAACAAAAGCAAGAAAGAGAAGTAACTCACAAAAATGTCCAAGAAGACAGAAAACTACTAATTCAAGTATATTGACATTTATATATTCACCATATTTACCCTAAATATATACAAATAAAGTTCTCAACTCCAGTAAGATTTTGTCAAATGTCAACTTCCAATTATCTTTATATGTCTACTTTAAACACTTCAAACATTACCTAAATATATGGTTACTCCCGTAGTGTTTGTACCAGGTTAGGGTTAGGCCACAATTTTATTCCGATTTTCCTTATTTTAGTTATATTACGAGTTCTGGGACTGTCTGTGTTAGCCAAGTGAATATAATAAACACATCTCTGGAGCGCCAACATATGATTATTGAAGATAATAAACTTTCAATATCCACTGCCCACTGTGTGCCAATCTTATCCATTACATTCTCTTTTTTTATTCTAGGCTGCAATTGTTCGTATTATGAAGATGCGTAAACAACTCAAACATCAACAATTACTCGGAGAAGTCTTGACTCAACTATCTCAGCGATTCAAACCTCGAGTTCCTGTCATCAAGAAGTGCATCGACATTCTCATTGAAAAAGAATATTTAGAAAGAGTTGAGGGCGAAAAAGATACTTATCGTTATTTGGCTTAGTTTTCGTTTGTCTTTGGTTTTGCAGGATTTACACACAAGAGTAGTTCTACTCCTAAAAACACTTAAATGATTTTTCCCTATTATTCTGCAGATTTATTCAGTTTCTTATATGTCGAAACTTATGTGTTATGATACTAGCTCATCTCGTCTTTTTCAGATTTGTTCATATTGTGTGTAGGGATGCTGTTATCTGGAAAGTTATAATAATTTTTAAAAGGAAAATTAATTTCATTTTGAAATATCTAAAAAAAAAATGTTATACAGCAAATTCCTTATATAAACCAAATTACATTAGTCAAATTTTTACAAAAAAAAAACAGTTTTTTATTTGGCTCAATTTTTAAAATGAGTCTTTTTGGGATAAATTTTGTTTGAAACAATTTCCTTATAACGTTCCTATATGCATTCATTAAAATTGGCGTATACATTAATACAAAGTACAGACTGCTTCTTGTGTGTAATCCTGCTACCACCTTTTACTTTTGTATTCTCCTTTCGTGTACATTGTTCTAAGTTCTTTCAAGTGGGACAGTTTCAGCGGAAAGATATTATTTGTTCCATGCTGTGATGTATCCCTTAAAAGAGCATAATTGGAATTACAATGAAATAAGGTTTTGGCCTATTCCTACTCATAACAGCCGTTCCTTTACATTCATGGCAAATTCACCTTTCTGCTGACTTTGTGCCTTGCTAAACAGTTCTGCACCTAATATATATAATATCACCTTTTATTATTGTGTGTTATGGATTTCTTAATTTGCAAGAACTACTCTGTTTAGAACAGCCTAAGCCCTAAATGCATCTTTGGGATTTCAATGGGAGTTGTTAGCTGAAATATTCGTGGTGCATCGTGGTAAGCTACTCTGCGTGGTTCGCAGGTTCGAAAGCTATGGATGAATATTTTGTTGGAGTGGGTTGCCGGAATTCTCGCCGCCGTAGGATGGTTCACGGAACCGATGGTCGGTTACGGTTTCCTCTACCATCCATGCAACTGCATCTAACTAATCAAAGGTGATCCAGTTGCTTGCTGGTTTGTTTTATTGAATCAGGGAAATGATAGAAAACGAATAAGATCGTTTTAGTAGAGAAGTTTTGACAAATGGTCTAAAAGAGATGTTAAATTTTGGAAGAATTAGACGGCGATAAAGCTGTGTTAAATTTCATTGTCATCTGAAAATTACACGGGTTCTAAGGGCATCAGAGGTTTAGAAACATATCCAATTTGTCCAAGTCGTTTCTTGTGTTTTGAAAGTGATCAATAGCTGACTTGGTTGCGCTTGAGGATATTTCGAATTGAAAGTCAAAAGATTGAGATCCAATAGTCCATTTTCGTGGGAATGCCGCAGCGCTGTAAAAGTATCGAAGGCGAAAATCGACGCAATTGACTTCTTCGTTATACATAACAACATTCCCATCAGCGGTAAACTGAATCCTATCGATTCGAGAGGCGACTTTTCTAATTGAAGCATCTTGATCTTGTTTGCACAGCTTCGCATCGGGTGGTTTTGCCACGGAACGGACGTGTAGCAACAGTAGTAGTAGTAGTTAAAGAACGGTGAACCGCTAGTGTTGTAGTGAAACTATTCCTATAATTCATGTGGATATATATCTAGTTATACTTGCAAAACTATTTTGGATATTGCAGTTAGGCATTCTTGAAATCGTTCTCGATAGTTGTTAATGTTTAGGATCCTAAGAAACATAGTTATTAGCTATGTAAGTGGATTCGCACTTGAAATAACGAGACGCCCTCAAGTCCACTCAGGTCATTGGAGAAGTCACTTTCGTCAAAGGAGCTTCACATCGCTGATAGTGTGTATAATATGTTTACAATTACTTTCAGAGCAGCTTGAGATATATCACAGTTTAGCCTACGAAATGGAAATAAATCTTCTATTGCTTATGTTAGTTTCGTTAGAATTTGAGATTTCATTAGCCAACATCGACGTTCATACAACTACACCGGTGTGGCAAAATATTGATCTGTTAGCAAAATATCTTCTTGCTTTTCCATCTTTAAAAAACTTGACTTCTGAAGAGCTTGGTTTTCCTAGAGGTGTTAACTTCAACAATCCGGTATTTCAACAAACTACTGTTAACTCCAACACTGCCGTATCTACCGAAGGGATAGAACTTTACTCGACTACTATAGAAACCAAAACTCTGCCGCCATCAACGCAACATATCGAAAAGACCTCAATAATTACAAAACGTGAGACCACAACAGTACCCACCTCGCCGTCTCCTACGACACTTCCGATGTATTTGACTAGTTTGCCAAATAATTCAACTTCGTTAGCATCCGAGGTTGCAAAACCTGAGAAATTTTTCTGCCATGATTGTTCGATGACACCGCCAGAAAATACCACGGATTGCCCTCTTCGAGAATGTCCAGAAAGGCGATGTGTTAGTGTAATTATTTACGCCATTGACTTCACGAGCCACAACAACATTTCAATTTCTGCCACCACGATTATTCAACAGTGTGATACTGGAATTATTCAACTACACGAGAAGAATTTCAATTCCAAGTCCAGAGACAAGTCGCTTATAAATGATAATTCAACAAAATCTTTTAAATTGAAATCATTTAACATTTCATGCGGAAATTATAATGTTAGCAAACAATATACAAGTCCTTGGAAGTACCATCATCATACAGTGAATGCTTCCCTGGTTTATATCGCCAAGTATTCATGCTGCAACTTTCCTGGTTGTAACAATTTTGCTACCCAAGATTTCGGCGAAATAGTTCAAGATGATAGTATTCCAAACAGAACGATAAATATAACAAAGAATTTCGCGGAAGACAGAACTACTCCTAATCCTTTATTGTATGGGTACCAGCCACAGAATATCTTGAATGTGACCACTTTTATACCAGGAGTTCAATTTACGACAGAAAATACAGATTCAAGTTTGGGCAATGCCACCTCCCAATCTACCCTTTTCCCTACATATTCTGGTTCGGCAAGTGGCGAGGATGTGGATATCACAACCTTTGATTTTACACCGACGTATATTTCAATAATCCCGGAAATTGAAGAGTTGAAAACCACCTGGCATGCAATCACTACTATGACAATGGATCAAACTAGCGGTGATATGTCGACGTCTGTACGGACTGATGACTTTCCGCTTTGGACTACAGATTCGCCCAGTGGTAGTGGCCTCGGATCTGGGAGATATTCAACCGAAGTCGGTATCGGAACAAGCGTCGCGATTCAGACGAGTATTGATATGACTATTTCTAGCACTAGTTCAGATTACACTGAACAAACTACCTTTACACCGATAACCAATGACATGAAAATTGAACACACAAATACAACGACTGCACAGAATACCACAACAGCCGTTACAAAGGCAGAAAAGTTAACGAAATACACGACGCAAACAACGGGAACAACGACAAACACTGAGACGAACATCAAGACTACTAGCATACATGCATCTAACACAACATGGACACATTACACGGCAACACCTAGAAAGCGCCGATCAACATCTCCGATGTCATTCATAAAACTATCGACAAGCGATTCAATTATATTACAGACTATTTCAGCAACGACCAATCAAAATAATTCTACTTTCGCAACGAATATTTCTGAACAGTTAAATACTTTTGAGATGAAGGATGTAGCAGACCAATACAGAGTGCGAGTTCTTCTCCTAATTTCCGACAATGAAGACTTAACCAACTTAACATTTTTGTTAAACTTGAAATCAAATTTACTACGAGCATACGAAATAGCAAAAGAGGTAAGAAAAAAATACATAGCCGTCAGAAGCATACTCTAACATATTGGTAAGGTGCTGTCCATTGAATCAAGATATTTATAAAAATGATATGTATACCTATAATATACGAGTGGAGAATCATCAGGAGGACTCCATTAGGCCGGGAGCTCCTTTATTATTATGACGTCACACTTTTGTATTCAGGTGTTATTTTTGTTCATTCTTTTCATTTTTAGTTCCATTTAATGGCCACTCCATGGTTGCCCAAATTACGCCATTGGATACCACAATACCAAAAATGCAGCGCAATGGCCAATTTTCCAATAACAAAACTGTAGCGCGGTCAGTCAATATAATGACAGTCAATCTTTAGCGTCATACTCATTAGCATTTTGTAAGGAAAAACAATTTTATGCAATGACACGCAAAATAGCTCCATCCTTGGAGGCCAAGAATTTTTCATCCATGTCGCTAGCCAAATCAAGCTTGAATATATCATTGAACTTAGCCGTGTAGTTCCTTAATTTCATTGGTATTGTTTCATTTTAGAAAAAATCCATATCCCAAAACGCAGAAAGACTTTCTCGAAAGCTGCTGTCCATTAACGAATCTGATACTATACAGGTAAGTTTATTATATTAAGTTTAATTAAGTTTATTATATTTATTACATATTTTTATAATCCCAAGTCCTCTCTTCATATTATGTGCTTTAAATAACATAAACGTAATCGAAATGAAAAGAATTTACATTAATTACTAACAATGCTTTAGATTGATATTGTGTTGTTACAACGAGTGACCGATCATGCAGTTTATGTTGAGTTTGCCGTGCGGGAAAATGGTCAATATTTGGAAAGCAGAAACGTCGTGTCAGTTCTGCGGTAGGTTCAATGTTTTGTTTACCGCAATGCGATTCAGAAATAAACTAAAATTGCTGCACTGAGCTATTGATTTGAAGTAAATTCGTGTCATTATATTTTTATTTAAAAAAGTTCCAATTATGAAATAAACCACTGTAGAGAAAAGAGGCATTTGTCGAAAATAAAAGTGGTATTTATTAATCCGCAGCAGCTAATGCTATCACCGTGGATATATGCCAATAAATATAATTTTTCGAATTAGAAATGAACACGAACGACAATGGTGTAGGCCATTTATCTACTGGAGTATTACTCTTGGCCGTTTCTGGTGATATAAATAACAGTGTAAAAGTAAAGCATCGAAATCCGATGAAACAATTCTGGTGGAAGCCAATCACTCCATTTTTTTTCGTGAAATTTGGAATACTAAACAAAAGAAATCCCCAGGATTATTAATCATCTACGTTTTTTCTGCTTGCAATCTTCGGCAATAATAAGGCAATGTGGATCTATTTTATACCTTCTTTATAAGCGAAAATTTTTTCTTGTATTTGTAACGGTCAGCATCCTGTCTCCAGAAGAATTGTCTCAAATACTCGGAATTCCAGTTTTGTCTCCTGTCATTGCAAGTGAAGTAGAAGTAGCATCATCATGTGAGTAAATGACGCAATAATGATCATTTATAATCAAAAAATTGTTCAATTGAACAGGTTTTCAGTTCTAGAAGTTAACCCAACATTAATTATAAAATTTGCGTGAAAAAAAACTATTCTCGATTCATTCAGGGGTGATAACTGCACTGACCGCGATTCCGATTTTATTACTATTGTTGATATTACTCTGTTGCTTGAAATTTTCGAAAAGAGAAAATACAAACGTGAAGAAGATTGAACGACGAGAGGTAAAACTTGAATATCCCCATGTGTAGGACAATGCTTTGTAACTGAAGTAATAATATGCGTAATAATATAACTCGGAAAGCCTACTAAGCAACCTTTCTTTGTCCTTAAATACTAAACACATGATAATATAATATGATAATATAAAATATAATATGCTTCTTTTTTAAGACAAAAATAGAAAGATATCCTATATACACCAGCAGAGAAGTTGTATCGACATGTAGAAGATTTGAAGATCAAACTACTGATCCAAAAATAGAAAGGTGGTTCTTTCAACATTTTTGCAAGGTTTTCGGCGGCCTTTCACGTTAATGCAAACGTATTTGTTTTAAAAAGTAGAACCATTTTCTGAAAAATCATTATCGACTAAAAGTTAAAATTGCATTGGCACAGAATGTTAGAAATGCAAAAATGGTAAATAAAGAAAATGTTGGTCTTTTATGATGCAATGATGAAGTTGATAACGAATAATAATTTAGCTTACATTTCAGTCCCAGAAGTGTGTTAGAGCAAGAATATGAAATTGTGGACAACGTTAAGCCGGCAGCTATGCTTCCTCCTCTTCCCGAAGAACAAGTTTCGCATCTATATTCTTCGGGAGAATTTGAAGAGATTGATGAAACTAAGATAAAGCACGTAGAGCCAGAGGTATAAGTTGTTTTCAGTTTTCGGACAGTTTTTCCAGATTGCATGCACAAGAAGAAACTAACAGTATGATTTGACAAATGGCGACTTGAAAGCTTGAAAAACTATTGTACAAGCTATTATATAACTTCATAGATAGACTATGTGTTTTATGGCAATCTTCTAATTCTGATCTGTGCAATACCTTTTTCAGGAAGAAATGCCCAATGCAATATGTGAGGGAACACCGTCAATAAACGAGGAGAATTACGTAAACTCGAAAACTCTGCGGAAACAACTCTTTGAAAATTCTCCTCCTGCTGTCAGTAGATCTAATTTCGCTGAAGTCAAAGAGTCCCCGCTAGCTTATTTACCTCGCGTTTCATCCAAGGTTAATGTTTTATATATATTAGTTTATCCCCTGAAATATAAAGTATTTGCATTTAACTTTTGATAAAGAAACACATGTTGGATGCGCTGACAACAGATGAAAAGACTTATTGTGAATATAATTAATATTAACTTATTATATAATATATATACCTAATTTCTTTTTCTCAGATAGGCAATCTGCTTTTTTTCAAATGTTAATACAATGGTACCAGGAAATAAAGTGGACCAATACATGGTCTGTTTATTGGCGTCGTAGTTTATTGCAAAGTATTACTAACGTTATTTTGTTTAGACCACACCTTTGGTAACACAGCCGATTGTGCGCAGCTGGGTTGGAGACGACAACGAGGCAGTTTCGGGAGATGGTATCATACTATTTTTAAACTGCATTTGACTAAAATCAATCTTAACAATTATAACTTTGTTGTGAATATTTATATGACTAGGTGTGGCCGAAATTAATGCGGACTTGATGCGTATTCGTGCACGAATGAACAGAACGCAGAATGCAGAAAGAAGTCGTAACAAGCGACGAATAAGACAACGAATAAGCCACGACGAAAGAATCAAAACACCAAGTCCATTGGTATGTGAGAAATGAAATAAAAAGTACTTGAGTTATGTTGGTAAATAAAAATCTAGTGTAATTGAATATTTCGTATAAAGAAATTAAATCGTAATTAATTTTAGCTTTTAGCACTCTTACACTATAATCTATAATAAATTAATTTTTTTGTCGTACTTTACACAAATACCAAATTGTTCAGCCTTCTGGAATTCACAACCCATTTGCACCTGTAGAAGAGAAGGCATCTGCGCACCCAGTCGAGGCTGTAGGAAACCCAAAGAAAATTATAGATGAAATATCACGAGAGGGAGAAACAAAAGTGAATCATGTTTTGCTAGCGGAGTCAAATGATCCTGAAAAACAGAAAAGAAAAACGAGGCAAGCAATAAAACGTTAAAACTAATTAAAGTACAATTAATTAGATACGATAATTGATAGATCGGTAATTTTAACAATTATCAGTAAGTTGGAAATATTGTAAGGCGTGAAATATGATTTTAAGACTGACATGTCCAGGCAGCTAGCTTTTTGCAGACGAATATTTATTCTTCAGTTCTCTACCAAACTAATAATTCCATTTCATAAGTCTAGGCATTCTTGTTGTGTAAATTAGGTATCATATATATGGTATACGAATATTAAATTGGTTATTTGTCATATCAGCAAGAAAAGAAAACGACGCAAATTACTGATGACTATATTGAAAGACTGGGAGAATCGGCATCTTCGAAACCCAGATAACAACATTGAAATTTTAAGTCCTGCCTGCAGGCTTTCACTGGTAGGCTCTTAGCATAGATACGAAGCGTTTAGATTTACTGTCCAAACTATTTCTACTATCAATACGTTATCTCACTCGTAGATGAAGTAGAAAACTTGGCATGATTTATTTTTATGATTGCCTACTTTGCTCTACATATTACTTATTTTCGGTACAGCAACAGATATATGGAGTTTTTTTGTTATAACACACGGGTCAAATAGGCTGTCAACATCGTGACACAACCGAAAATAATTCTCCATTTCCGCCTTCGGTAATGAAACTATGACTGTAGCTGCATTGAACTTGAGAATGAAATGTTCAATGTCAATTAGTAAGAACATTTGAAACTTTTTCCTGCTATAAAAATGATCAAGTAAAAATGAGTTTTCAACCAGTTTTGAATACAATATTGATTCAATACCAGGATGCTAAAATGCAACGCTGGCATCAATCGGCCGATATTTCACATAACGATGAAGATGAATGTCCAATACAAGTTGTCAAACGAACCGATTCATCTCCTCCATCAAACGCTGAGGTATAATTTATATTGCTTTTTTATCCGGTCAATTTAGCTATAGAATTGTACAGAAGTAGTCCAAAAGTACGTATTTTTTTTTATAAAAATGACATTGACCTTTTTACATAGCGACAATGTCCACATAAAAATCTTGAACAAATGTGCGAAAAAAGCAACCATATATTAAATCGCAATAAATCAGGAGTATAGGCCGTCTTTTAAGGTTTGGCGACGTTAAATGTGTCTGTCAGTTACATCCCAAAATATTTTTATTATATAGTTAAAGTAGGCTATCAGACTTTACAAAGTTTATGAGTAATTTTTCATATCATGCAGGTACGGTTGGTGCGAGTCATTTCTGTGCCCCTGAACAACAACACTAATGGTGATACGTTGTTGCATGCGAACTGAAATGAATTTATTATTATTATTTGTGAAACTGATTTGTTAATCACTCGACTGGCTCTGATAAGATGTTTTAGGTCTACTACTTGTGCAATGTGTAAATACCCAATGTCGTTCATTTGTTATGCTAAAATACTGCTAAAGAAATTTGCCATTTCTACGTTGCTCGTGGATATTATGAAGAAAAGATGTGTTTTGTTCTTATGAAAGCTGTATCGACTTGTTGAGGTGGGGCCGAAATCTTGAAATATATGTAAGATACAAGTTAACCCAATTCATAATCGTCGTAAGCAAACAAATATTTCTGACTCTCCTGCTAGCCGACTTGCTGCTGAATGAATCACAACAGTGAACCTGTGGATATATTTATTTATACTAGTCAGTTGTGCAGCACACCTGCATTCCATTCCATTTTTTTATACAAGTCAAGCACTTCGAATAAGTAGGCACAAAATATATATATACTTATATGTAATATACCGGTAGTAGGCTACATGTAATACATTCAAGCATTCTCCTAAGCTAAATGAAACGGATTTAAAGGCCGTTTTAGTCGTTTTAATTACCCTAAAAGATTTAAAAAAAAAACGGAAAGTCTGTATATTATTTTAAGTCTGTGAAGATGTAGAAGTCTATGGTACCAAACTTTCCCCGGTTAAATTATTATTATTTCATGGAATGAGCAGTAGAGAAACATCCAGAGGCTTCAAAAATCATTTGTGTTATGAAACAATACTTTTAAAATATCTTTCTTGAATCGATTTTAATGAAAATTCACTATTTCGATAAAAATGTGTAGATTTAATTTATCAGATACTGCGTAATACATAAATTGATTGCATCAGTTCGTGTGGATTTTCAAGCTTTTCTGCTGAGGGTCAATCGCTACATTTTGTTTAGGCTGTCGGTGATATTATCAATACATTTTGAAATGCATCAAATAATAAAATGATAGATTTTCGATTGATTATGACGTCACAGAATAAATTCGTACTACGAGAAACAGTGAGCAAAATAGGATTATTTACAAAATATATAAGTTACCGGACCCGCATGCATGGTTTTAGTGTTCCGTTCTTTTTCAGTTTAGTTTAGAATAGCAAAATATCTTCGGGCAGAATGGAAAGAAAAGGTAAAGTTGATAAGACTGGGAACGATGACGCACTTGTGAAAAAATCCACGTCTGTAATTGCGTCTGTGTCGAAATTATTTGGTAAGAAAGCAAAGAAAAGCGACAGCAAACAAGCCGAAGAACTCAGTTCGTCACATAAAAAACAAACCGAGCTTTATAAAATAGAAGAGGATGAGGAGGATTCTTCAGGAAGTATTCCTACTAACAATAGTAATAAACAAGTGCAAAATACTCCAAGTGCACTTCTTAGGTTGATTACTCAGAAGGGTGGCGCGAAAACAAGTCAAAGTCAATTAAAAACTGAAAATAAACAGGAATCGGATGAAAATTCTACCCCGGCCACGGTTGGTTGGGGAACTGCGATAGCTGCGTACTTATCATGGGGGAGCGGAAAAAAGAGCGAGTGTAACGTAAATGATGAATCAAGCAGTGAAATTAAAATTCATAAGGCTCAAAACTCAAAAGAACTGATCGTGACAGCGCCTGCCGCCAACGCGACGACGCTTGATGACAAAGTTTCTAGCGACGAAGCACCAAGCTACTTTAGAATGGCAGCATGGGGTAGCATGTTTTTCTCAGCAGCCAAGAAAAGCGAAAAAGATGTCAGTGACGTGACCCCGGTCTCAACCAAACCAAGGCGGTCTTCTGTTAGCTTCAGTGATTCTAATTTCTTAAAAAAGGATTCAATTAGAACGAAATCCAAAGTACTGGATAACCTTGGCATTGAAACAGATGTCATCCCCAACTTGTATATCAAAAAGCCTATGACTCCAGCTGAAGCATCACCTTCGAAGCCGTCAAATAAATCAGATTCATTCGTAACATTGAATAGCAAGGATTCCGTTATGTCTGAAATACCGGGAGATATTGAAGCAGGTAAGGTCAGCGAATATCATATGAAGAATCATTCTTTCAAATTTAAAAATTTTAGGTTCTTTTTTTCAGGTGAATACACTGGGAAGAGAAAAAAACGAAAGGATTCCGGTGAGTGATAACAGAGTGTCAGAAAATGTTTTGAATTGGGGAAGAGAGAAACTTGGATTTTAAAACTATGCTATGATAATACTTCATTAGGCTAGCACATACTTTTGTGAGTAAATAATAGCAGAGGGCCTATTTCCACTCTCGGAATAAGAGAATCCGGTGCATTCGGCGGTTAAAACTAGAGAGGTAAAATTATCATTCGCCAGTTTCAAATGTCAGACACTCATTCAGGTGTAAACATCAAGATGTACATCGCCATCACCATTTGTTCATGTATTTGCGTTGGAGGATTGACGTTTCTCGTAATGACGCTATGTAAGTTAATTCATTTTAAAGCTACGACGACTTTTTATACTAGTAGTTATTTGACATATTATTGTAAATTCTATTGCAATTCTGTCACTTGGTATAATTTGTCGTCATATAAATCCCTCAAGTAGTTATCTCTGATTTTTGAAGTTTTCCATTTGAATTATCAAGAATCGTGATACGTTGAGAAATCAATATCCTAAGCTACGTGATTGAGACACTGTAAAATGAACTAACGTGAGATAGCCTACTGTGAAAATGAAAACATCTTATATATATAGCCTATATATTTCATCTTCTGCTAACAGTGATGGGAAATGGAATTACCTCAACTGTTGCATCCACAACGAGCGTAAATGGATCGCAAATACAGACGATTGCGCCACGATCATCGTTGAGACAGTTTTTGAGCTCACTCCAGGTTGGTAATCATGTTGTTGTTAATTCTTTCTTCTGTCCCAAATTTGGATGACTTGAAAGTAATATATTCCATATCAACCCCTAGCTCCCGATATCTGTTGCATTTGCAATTGCTGGCATGATCTTGAAGACGAAAAAACAATTTGTGAGTAAATTATATTTCTTCCAAGGTCCAAGAGGTTGACGACGAAATGGCTGACTGGTCAAGTGATCTGAAGCAATTAGAATCCCCACGTGCACAGAAAATTATCGATGCTTTGAAGCCAAGGGTAAACGCTTTTTGTTATTTTTATGCGTGAGAGCGACCAGTGCTTGTAGAGAAGCCATTATTATGTTTGTAAGTTATTCATACTTGTATTCAGATTCGCAGCGCTTTTGAGTCAGAAGGTTTCTCCACAGATGACGTCATTATAACTAAAATTGGACCAATCAGTGTTACGATTTATCATGTGATGAACAACACCGTGACGTCCCTGTCGTCTGGAGACGAAATTTCGATGACTTCTACATTTGAAATTAAAAAAGGCCAAACAATGCCGAAAGAGGACAGAGTATGTTTGTTAGAATATTCTTCATCTTGTTTTAATTATTGTTGTATTCGAGCAAATGTGCGTCTCGTAATACTTACCGTTGATTGAATGAACATAACTTAAATTTTAAAGTCTGGGTATCTTTAATAGATCATCACACCATAAAAAAATTGTAATGGACTATTTTATAAAAAAACTTTTCTTTTGCAGCCTAAGCCTCAAGGCCATCGACTGATTATCCGAGTTGAGTTCGAGACAGCCGGGAAACCATCAGATAACGCAAAATTGATAAATCAAGTGGGCGAGGCCGAAGTTGGAAAAATTCAATTCATGTTGGGAAAATATCTTGAAAATCAAGGAGTTGTGGCAAAAGCAGAATCTTTAGAAGGTTACTATTTTATGCAGTGGACTATTTCGCATCCTGAATTTAGTAATTTCACTTTGAATAGCACTTGAGTACACAAGCATAATTATATTTGAAATTCTGCTAGATTGTTTCTGCCAATTTACAGAATCTCGTATATGCAAATAAGGTCTATTTATAAGCATTTTAATTTCTTTTTAGTGTCGCCGGAATTTCAAAACTTTGCAAATGAAGGACTAAGTGTATCGCCGACGTCACCTGCCACTGTGAAACCCGGTATATATATATATATATTATTATTTCCTATATTTGAAATTTGAGTACACATTGTTTATTCTATCTCCCTTGGCTTCTCTGGTTATTTATCATCAAATATAACATTGTTTGGAAAACAGAGATAGACATCGACTGCTACAAAACTGGAAGAACCTTGGGTATGTCCAGAACTGTGGTTGGATGTCCGCCAAAATGTGACAAAGTAAAGGGTCCTACACTCATTGGTACAGATTGGTACGGAATCGATTCTATGATTTGCTTAGCAGCTATCCACAGCTACATTATTGAGGTGAGATAAAAGAGAAATAAAAAATGATGAGTCAGCTAGTATTTACATTGGAATCGTTCTCGAAGGTTATATTCCAAGATGTAGAAAAAGTTATTTTCAGGCAGAACGCGGTGGGGCAGTTGAATTTTTGAAATCCGGTGAGAGTTTTCTCTTTGCGGGATCGACGAGAAATAATATCAGATCACAAACATTGTTGGAATATGGAGAGAGATTCATCGTGAAAAGTACGTGATTGTATGAATGAGTTGAAGCCAAAGAAACAATTTTCCATAGATTATTCTTGAGCTTCATTTTTTTCACCTTTTGAACGTGATCGATTTTAACTTTTTAGGTCACCTCTAACATGAATCAAACTTTACCTTGGGTTCTGTGAAAAACATTCAAAAAAAAAAAAACTTTAAAATTTTATCAAATGTCAGTCTCACGTTATTGCTCCATTTTATTATGTGGATATGTAATAATGGAACAATGCATTCTAATTACTAAACGATGCCCATCCGAGCATTAGGACCGCTATTGAAGGCATGCGTAACAATTCGTTATTTTTGAAGACAATTTATGTAAAACTTTCTCCTATTATTATATACGTGTATAGAACCTGGACCCAGTTGGACTACAATAAAGCCCCCAACCACAACAACTATTCCAGCAACCGGAGGACTGCAAGAGAAGGCACAGTTACTACTGACCGGTACGTTTTGGGCTAAATGAGCTCTTTAGGTATATTTGAAGTAATGGCTGTCAAAGACTAGTAAATTCACTGGGACTTCATTACGTTTCATAAAATTATCATAATTGGATTGATTATTCCTTGGCCTATTCAAGAAAAAGATGATAGAATGAGATTCAAGCATTGTTGTAAAGCAGTTTCATTTTGGAACACGATATAATTAGATATGTAGTATCATTCGACTACACACGATATTTGGATATTTAAAAAAAAAATAATTATGATATTTTATACACATTTTTATTTGTTCTAGGTCAGATGACTGCGTTGTCTATCGATAAATCTCCACTATCGTTTTCTCTGAGTCTTTCGTACAGCACCACGTTGGCGAGTGAGATGAGATCATTGCTCAGTAACAAGGTCACATTGAATTATGAATAACTTACTATACAGTAGTTCATGTGACTTCATTTTATATTTAATTATGCTATACTAAAAGAGTTATATATAGATTGGGCACAATGAAGTGTTTAATTAACGTGTGGCAAATCCATTCCATGTATCTAGAATGTAACAAAATAATTAAGGCAGCAAATATTTCAGTTTCCATATGAGTGCGTAAATACAGAAATGAAATCGGTGTAACGAAGGAAAATAGAAAAAACAAATCATAATACAAATTTATTACGATCATTAGCTTTGGAACATATATATTCTAATTTGGCCTATGTTTTGATTGTCCAAAAGGAACGAAGAAATAGCAACAAAACTTCGGTAACTTACCCAACTACTATTTTTTCATTTTTGAGACTTGGTAATTTAAATATTTCATTTGTTCACTTAGCTTATATATGCAATGGAAGAGATGGAGTTTGACATTCATAGGATAGAAGTATTTGGATTCGAACCAGATATGACGTCATCATCGGCATTGCGCCTTTCCTTCAAAGCATATGGTGGATATAATGCAAATGCACAGGTAAGCTAGAAATACTATATATATAACTGAAATCATTTGTTTGTTTCACAACTGAACGATCAACCACTTGTTGGCGAGTTTGCTTAAATGCAATATGATATTTTTTGATCTAGTAAATTTTCGAACAGAAAAAAAGTTGGCATATAATGTATTTGAATCTCATTTTGTCTATAGTTTTTACCATTGTTCCCTCGAACTTTAAAATACAACACCATATTATTTTCATGTAAATTTTGCTTCAGGCAATGCTTCCGTATAAACCATGGGACAGTGAAATGATATCAACTTTTCTGTTGAAATTAAAAATGCATCTTAACGATGAAGGCCTCCAACTCACTGGATTGACAGTTCAAAGTATGCATGTTCGATGTTTTTATGAATAAAAAAGTTTACGATTGTTCAAAAAATAGTTATCAAAGATTAAACACCGTTTTTTCGCGAGCTACAAAAAAAACACTGTAACCATTGTATAATATTTAATATTTTATTACATACTTTCAGTCGATGAGGACTACTACGCCGAACTTATTGTAATGCAATCTACGACCACCGCAATACCAACTGCCCCCTCATCATTGTGTACGTAAGTAAGCAGAATTAAGCAGAAATATGCAACCGTACGAAAATTCTTACTATGCAGTTGTTGTTTAAAATGCTTAAAATCTAAATATCGCCAATTTGTAGAGGATAAAACTTAACAATTATATGTATTATATGCAATGGGTATAGGGCAGGCCTGCCCAACCTTTTTCGTCTCGCGGGCCACTTTCACGTCACGAAATTCGTTGCGGGCCGCAAACGTTTGTACCAAACATTGATACCAGCTAGGTACTAATTTCGGTTTAGGTAATTTACATATTACATAAAAGGCAAGTTTATTAACATAAAATCAATCGAGTTAGTTATTGTTTTCTGGTTACTGTGTAGATCTGGCAAATTTTTCGAATATCAAGTCGAATATTAGAATAGCAGTTTACCATTCTGGCACTTTACTATTCTGGAATCTGGAAACGTGGGGCGTGGACCTGACACTGGCGGGCGCCGAATCAAAGAATCAACCATTACAGAACACACTTGCCGTTTTTAACTACCACACGAGAACACACACATCACGTCAAAATTGAGTGTTATATTTGCGTTATAGTATTTTCATTCATTCACTTTCAGTAGCCATGATACTGCCTCAATGTTTAAATGAGCTTAATGTGCGCCAATGTCGCGGAAATATCAAGTTTATGTGGGCCGTTTCGTGGAATTTGAAACACCAATACAAGTATTTAATTAAGTAGCAGTACAAATATTTTTGGACGAATAGCCTATATATACTGATTTATGACTAATATGTAGCAATTCCATTAAGTCAATTTTATCAGAATTATTGACGGATACGCAGTGACGACATTTCCGAAATCTTATTTAACGCAAAAATACCATAAACAAAGATACAAACATAAAAGAACAACGAGTCCCGGGACTAGTACCAAAGATATTGTTGACTTTTTACGTTACGTTGGCGATAAAGACGATCAATGCCAACACGAGAAAAAGTAATCAGAAAGAAATTCATTTGCAAACTTAGGCTCCAAATTCATTCCTACATTTTCGCTCAGCGTTCGTCCCCAATGATCGCACAATATCTTTCGAGTTCGTCGAACAGAACGCACAGTTTTGCGAGAAAAAAAAAACTGACGTCGATGTCCACCAGGGTGCAAGACTTGACACATATGTAATAATAAGAACCGGCATTTGAAATTTGAATGTAGATAGATGGCAGGAATAATCACACCAAAATCACGAAACATACCTAACCCTATATATTGGTATATAACATAGTAAAAATTTAAAAACTTCTGCTTACAAACTTTATAGGGCGGGCCGCGGAAAACAGTCAGGCGGGCCGCGGGTCGGGCAGCCTTGATAGGGTATACAAACAAAGCCGTTATTTACATTTTAAATATGTTGTGATTCCGCTGTGCTCATAACTCGCTAGCCAACTCAGAGTAATGAGACTGGACCCGACACCAATTGACTATGCGTGCCGTGAATATAGAATTTGAAAAAATAAGTTGACGGAATAGAAACAAAATAGCATTTTGGTAATTAACATTCCTGATATCATTCTACATTCTCATTCACTTTTGTTTATTACTAAACATCGACAAAAAAAATTTCAGTTGTGCTGAGGTTTTCTTCATAGTAAGTGGAACAAATTTGAGATCAAAGAGTGAAGTTGATTCGATGGTCGAAATTTTTAAAACATTATTCGACCTTGCTGATTTTGATCAGGTATTATAACTATTTTTTTTGCAACGCTTTTCTTGAAAATGTGAATTAGAATCAATTTATACAAAGCTACTTAAAATCATTTCCAGTTCTTAAATAAGCATTATGTACTGACATTGTCTGAATACCTCTCTACCAGTTCACTAGCAATAATTCACTATTTAACCTGGGACCACACTACACCCAAAGTCTGAGGAATGTTACAGTGTAGTGAATGTATGCCATACGGGTGACTTTATACTCTTTAAAAGCATGTTATTCTCTAAGACCTAGGTATAGTTTCAGCCTCTATTTTACAGAGCGTTGTTGGGACAGTACAGAGGTGAGTTGTGAAGGTATTATCTTTCATGAGAGATCAATGACCTGGTGCTTTTTAAATTTTTTTCCATCCAATTGTTAGCTTCATGTTCCTTCGTTTATAACCATCAGCAAAAAAAATTGTGGGACGTATGGAAACATTAAATTAAATGTATACATATTTGTTTAGTTTCGACTCAAAGTTGGGATGGCAGTCATTGTTCCTTCTGATTCAGAAGAAGATCAAGATTCTACGAATTACGTTCTTATAACAGATGTAGGAAACAAAGAACATCATGATATTATCGCTGATCTAACTTATGAATTAGTATCTGTGGTGGAGAATATAGATTCCGGTGGAGACAGTGAACACAAAGACAAAATGTCGACTACTATTCGGGTATATATGAGATAAGACAATACATTGTTCAAAATATTTAGCTATTTCAAACTAGTGATGAATATTCGTGCGTTGAGATTCCTACATGCAGCTATCATGTAAGAATGGGAAAAAATACTGTTAATTGTATTGATCGCGAAATGCCGGTTTAATTGAAATGATACGCATGCATACATAATACTGCTTCTCACCTTAACATTATATAAAGCTGTCTAAATGTTCTTTTTATAAGGATTTGGAAAATCATAAGTTTTTTACTGATGATTTTAATACGAGAAGTAAGTTGTTGGTTGTTACGTCATCAACTATTGTCGGTTCTGATGTTGACAAAGACGTTGAAGAATTTGAAAAATTGAAGAAAAAGGGGATTAAAATTTTGTACACAGGATACGGATGGACAGAAAAGTGATGCTTACTAATACTGTAATATAAATACTATAACTAGTCCTAAGCCATTATTATTCATAAGACCAACGAAGTATTTTTAAGAAACACAATCGAGGACGCAATAGATGGTTGGGCATTGGAGTCAAATATTGAAGGTCTCGGATTTGAACCCCAAGCCAACTATCTCACAGAATGTGCAATGAGTTGGACAGGCAATGTGGAACATTAGAGTTTTGATCTTCCCAGAAGTAGTCGCACGTTACGTAACAGTAGTCGCGTGTCCAGAGCCTTGAAAGTACGACAATGTCTGAAAAAATTTACCATTAAAACACCTAATGAATAGCTTCCTTGTAAAATATTTTTGTACAAAAAATGCTATTATCCACTTTCTTTTCCTCTGTTGTTCAGGGATGGATACCCGAACAAATACGTTTCATCGCCAGAAACGGATTTTGTGAAAAGCGTTCGTAAGATAGAAGATAGCGGAGAACTGGCAGATTATATTTTTGATGTAATGAGGTATGGCGTTTATTGTTATGATGTTCTGATTTGTTTATTTTTGTTCTGGTGAAAATCTTACAATCATTCTTCTATTTTTCCAAAACAATTAGCGTATGATCTGGTGCTATTATCTATCTATCTTTATATATATATATATATATATATCTTGTATTTTGCAGAAAATACATTTGTAGTGAGTCACAGGGAATTTGTGCAATACGTTCCATGGAACCAGAAGGTATTTTACACTCTTAATGTTCTGAATCTCAAAAAAGTTTATAAACTCTTACCAACTATATTATGAAAGTACCAATATTCTGTACTCCCTCTTACTTTGGCGAACTGCCATCACATTTTTGAACATAGGCGTGGCGAATGGACAAATCATTAGATTACGTTCTGGTTGCGTTGAACCAGGTAAAGTCGAAATATAAATTTTAGCTGCCCCAATGTTTTATATAGTACTTTTATCACCAGCGTGGTTTCAGATAGACTGAATTAAAGCCAATTCTATAAAATACGGACTTTTTTATTTGTTGCCAACTACATAGACCTTCCCAAAATGGAAATATTATAATTATGCATTTGTAATTCATAGATGCAGACGGAGACCTTTCATCAGTGAAGTCAGAGGGTTCTTATGTACAAGGGATTCCAAAGGGCACTGGTCTTGAGCTATATGAAGCCAAAGGAGGTAATACATTATATTGGTATCATTTATTATTAGGCAAAACGAAAAAATATTTCCCATATCTTGCCTATAAAGTTCATATGAACGTAAAAAGGTTAACATATATGAGAATGGTAACTTAACTGTACATATATGTATAAAACACTGATTAACAACATAAAATGTGTCCTAACTGTGTAAAATCCCTCCAACATAATGCATATAGATTATCCGATTCATTTTTAAGGTAAACCTTCATGCTTTTAAGAAGGGTATGCGACATGACGCCTCTCACGCAATCAAACGAAGACAATTGATATACCGACATGCAATTACTAATGCAGACTAATGCAATTTAGACCTACCGTCATTCCTGTCATTTTAGGTCTTTCTTACAAAGGCAAGATTTTGGCCAAAACAGACCCGATTCGACGAACAGAACCTGATCTTGAACAGGCTTATTATATGCAATATGAATGTGGAAGACAAGATGTTCAACCTAACGTTACAGAAAGAATGGATGGAAGGATAGTGGGTTAGTATATGAAAAGTTGAATATTCAAAATTTTGTTATTAATGTAACATGCCTCAATGCACGATCCGTCACTTATCTACCACACTCCAATAGTACTCTAAAACTCTAACTTGTTCACAATTAAGCTTTGTGAAAGCAACCCAGCAGATAATAACAAATGGTTAAGGTGCACCATGAACCAAACCGAGTTTTTTTAATCAAGGTGGATCAGAAGCAATGCCACATTCTTGGCCGTGGATTGTTAGTATCAACAAATTAAAATCGAAATACGATACATTAACGAGCAAAATGCAGTATACTTACAACTACTGGGCGTGTGGTGGAACTATAGTTGCTCCTAGCTGGATAGTCACAGCAGCTCACTGTTTTGCAGACGGAGATGAGAAAAAGTAAGAATGCTTGTTCTTATATTTTTGTTAATTTTATTGTGTTACGGAAAAAATTATCGAGTTGGTTTATGGGTATTGCTCCCTTTATTTAGTATTACTTTCTATGGCAACGATTTGTTACCTTCTGACCACGCCAAGTAATAATCGTTGATATTGATTTCACCATTCACCAAACACGCCGTAATTATTATAAGCATATAGTTAACGTAGTGAAACTATTCATTTTGGTGTTTATTTATTCAACTAACCCGGAGTACACTAGTGCAGAGGTTCGTTCCCAAAAAGTGCGCCACGAGTGCGCCGCGAAAATCACAGAATTGTGCTAAACATAACTGAAATATGATTGAATAATTTACATATTATATTTATTAATATTATAAATGTTTCGGCGGCGGCGGTGTGGCTCATTGGGCTGAGCGTTAGAAATACGCTCGCCATCCCATGCAGGGATGGTTATGTGAGCGAGGATTGCTGGACTTCTTGCCGCCGTAGGGTGGTTCACGTAACCGCTGGTCTATGCATCCGAAAACAAATAACTAACTAATCCCTTACCCGATATGTTATACACTACTTGCTGCAATTTCGTGAGTTGCAGTGAGTTTATTTATCTGCTGAACTGAGTTTGTCGAACATGAGTGATTTTTTAGCATTTCATAGAAAAATCAGGCAGAGACGAGGAAGAAGAGACCTTTTGCCTTTATTCCTTAGGCATACATATTTACAAACCTTAAAAGGCATAAAGTAGACATTAACGATAAAAAAAATCGAGTTTTATTTAAATACGGCATTTTTTTTATGTAAGTGCACCGTGAGTTTTTTCCCTGATAATTTGGCGCCGCACAAACAAAAAGGTTGGGAACCGCTGCACTAGTGCACTAAATGTACAAATGTCGTATCAGAGAACTAAGGGTACATTAGGGATTAAACCAAATAATCATATTTGTTCTATTTAGATATACAACAAAATACAAAATTGTAACCGGCCTACATGACCAAAATTTATTATCAAGTCTTCAAGGAAATGTTTATGAAATAAGAAGAATAATTTACCACCCTAAATATGACGATGCAAAAAATAAATATGACATAGCAATTTTACAATCACACGTGAGTAAACTGGCGTTAGAAAGATCTGTAGAGTTTTGCACAAGTTCAAGAGAATATATCTATCAAATATTCTCATTATTTTAGATTCCGATCAAGTTTAATCGAAAAATACTTCCCGCTTGTCTTCCTAATCCAGATGTTATACCAATTAATGGAAAGGTTTGCGTTCTAGCTGGATGGGGATATACAAGCGCAAAAGGTATCAAAGTCTACTTACTTACTTACTCCATATATAATATGCTGTTCTATATTAAAAGACATATACCTAAACACACCATGTTAGGCTTCCGTTTCTTTTTGAAGTGTGATGGTGGAGTAAATGGCCATTTTATACCTTATTATACTGTATAACATACCACGTTTACAAACGCAACGACGCTATATTATCGAAACTCGTTTTTTAGCCTGATGTTCACTGACGAAGTCAGTGTTTGGACTTCATGTTGATATTAGTCCAATCTTGAAATTCTTCCTACAAATGGATAGCCTACAATTTCTAGTAATCAAATTGAACCGTGTTTTTTTCTGAAGTCACGATAAATCATAATTGTGTCGCAAAGGCACTTAATTTGGTAACCGAATTACAGTTGACAATGTAGTTAGTGACTGATTGGGTATAGCCTTGTTCAAGATAAAAGTGTAATAAAACTAATAAAATTCAGTCTTTGAGGGAAACAATATTTGTATATTAATAAAACTTAAGACCTCCTCTAAATTAATTATGGATAAGTTTTTTGAATTATTACGACACGAATGATTCGTAATGTTTAGTTTCCAGGCATTTTGTGTTTTCCGTTCGTAATTAGTCGTCTTTTGAACATTTCAGGGGATACAGATCGAAACATACTAAAACAAGCTACACAAGTAGTCGAAGATCCTGACAAATGTCAAAATGTGTACAAAGGGTTGCACTATAATCCAAATAACAATTTTTGCGTGAAGAGAAGCACGACAGACATCGTGGACATGCAGTGCAGAGTATGTGGATTGTTATGAAAAAAATTGTTCCATGTTTTTAGTCCAATTGTACATTTGGCAACACATGCTGTAATGGACGTGATGAGTTTAAGGGGAAAATAATCAAATTGATCTTTGCGTTGAGGCCCAAATACTGTTTACCTTGCTCTATATAGCTCAACTCAACCAAGCAGTAGCTGCTTGTCCATAAATTTGTTTGATTTAAATGAATAATGATATACCAGAAATTATTGAATAATATTTAACAGTTGGTATTCCGTTGTCATGATTAAGGTATATTTATTCATGATTTTTGCAGGGCGATTCCGGTGGACCACTTGTTTGTCTTGAAAATCGCAAGTGGATTTTGTACGGAGTTGCAAATTGGGGTCCGAAAGATTGCGAGAAAAAAGGCGAAGGCGGATATTCATTAGTACCTTCCATGATGGAGTGGATATGTTGTTATATAACTGCTGATATTGTACCTTGTATTTATACGAAATGTAATACACAGTTAACATAAATGTGTGAAATGGTGGTGGTGAGCGTGTTGTTACTTAACCAAGATTTTAGTTTAAACCTACTACTGGCTCACGCCACGATGTTCACCAATGAATGCCAATCTACCACGCCGTCGCAACTATTTGTGGTTTCCTACCCGTCGGTTGCAACGTTTTTATTTAGTCAGTGTAATAAAGCTGACTGTTCCTGTTTATTTCTTTTTTGTTCGTGTTGTAGACGAAATATCGAAATAAAATTGTATTGCAATTAATATTAAAGACGCCAACGACTGGCCGGTTTCGTTCTCCACACCAACCCATGCATTCCGGAATCGGAGCGACAGATTTTTTATTGTAATTAATATAGCAACGGACGCTAGCTGGCCAGGCGTATTTTCGCCACGAAAATCCACGCAGTCTACGGCCAAATCAGGGATCCTCATATCGGTTTACAGACTTTGCCTTACACGAAGATTATCATGAAAAACCACATAGTGAATATATATGGTATACCAAAATACGCTGTTTACGAAAGCAAACTGCTGCATAAATTAATAATCTTTAATTCCGGTTTGTGGGAACATGGGAAAATGGCAATGAGAAACAGGAAATATTCTTTATAATTGGCTAGAAAAGTTGCAATATGGTTTTTCCTTCAAGTGAGTATATTCCATACCACCAATCGTTGTGCAAAGCTTTGGTTTTGCAGAAGTGACAATGATCCTTTTCGGGAAAATGTTCTTTTGCGACTCTACCCCCAAGAACTTGGAAGAACAAGCTTAGAAGAATGATATTTGAATTGTACACTGTAACATATTGTAGAACCATGTTCATTATAAGCATCTCTGAAAAAGGGAAAATTTTCCAATTGAACTTGATTTTTATTGTTAAATGCAGTTTGGTGGTGTGTTCTCTGGGGGAGAGAAATATCATTGCTGCCTTTGAAAAATGCATTGCGACATCGATTGTCTACAGGCAGCAAGTTTGCATCCATTTCTTTTCTAAGAAAGGTCTTCGGTTTTAACAACAATATTTGAGTCCTCTGTTTTTTGATTCGGTTCAACATTTTTCTCTCCAACTACAGCATGGGTTTCTTCCAAGTCCTCATCTTTTGGTTCAGGTTTTTCCATTTTCAGTTCAACAGTCTTCTCCTCAATTACCGCAGAGGTCTCTTCTGGGACCCCTTCTTTTGGTTTATGTTTTTTCATTTTCAGTTCAACAGTCTTCTCTTCAACATCCGCATGGGTTCCTTCCGAGTCCTCATCTTTTGGTTTAGGTTTTTTCTTTTTCGGTTCAACAGTCTTCTCTTCAACATCCGCATGGGTTCCTTCTGCGTCCTCATATTTTGGTTCAGGTTTTTTCTTTTTCAGTTCAACAGTCTTCTCCTCAACTACCACAGGAGTCTCTTCGGAGTCCCCATCTTTTGGTTTACGTTTTTTCTTTTTCGGTTCAACAGTCTTCTCTTCAACTACCGCATGAGTCCCTTCTGAGTCCTCATATTTTGGTTCAGGTTTTTCCATTTTCAGTTCAACAGTCTTCTCCTCAACTACCACAGGAGTCTCTTCTGAGTCCCCATCTTTTGGTTTACGTTTTTTCTTTTTCGGTTCAACAGTCTTCTCTTCAACTACCGCATGAGTCCCTTCTGAGTCCTCATCTTTTGGTTTATGTTTTTTCTTTTTCGGTTCAACAGTCTTCTCTTCAACTATCGCAGGGGTCTCTTCTGGGACCTCATCTTTTGGTTTCGATTTTTTCTTTTCTGTTTTCTTTTTTAGTTTTTCTTCTTTTTCAAGACGTTCTTTCTCTCTTGCTTCTTCCATCTCTTTCTTTGTTCTCCTTTTTCTCTTGGGTTTAACAGGAGTGTCACCAGCAGGTGATGCTTGTGATGCGTCACTTTTTCTCTTCCGTGGAGTTCCAGTACTTGAACGTTTCCCTCCGCTAGCTTTAGAAAAATCAGGATCTGACCTGGTGCATTGAGGACACATCCATAAACCTTTTAGAACAAATTTAAATATATAAAGTATTAAAAGATAGTTTATAGGCGCTGCTATAATATGTAATTTACTATTTTGCATAGCCAATACAAAAACTGTGCTCACGACTGGGCATAAACAACATACCGAAGTCCCAAAATGGGTTTGGTAAAATTATGCATGGACAAAAAATAAACTCAGATGTAATATGGGCTTAAAGGAAAATACTGGGAATAAAATACCTGAAGGAAGATTTCTCAACCCAACACAAAATGTGTGATATCCTCTGTCACATCTATCGCAAAACATCATTTTATCTTCATGATGAGGTTTACTGCAGTATGTGCATGTCTTACATTCCAGGCATTGCCAATTATAAGTTACAATAACAGAAACAAGATCTTTACTCATGTCCAGGCAAGATGGATGACCTGAAAATTTTTTTCAGAATTCACAGCTAGCAAAATAAAATTAAATAAACGATATTAACAAAATGTTGCACTAAGCAATGCCTGAAAAAACTGAAATATTCAAAATTGGTTATATTAAATATACTAAATTTAGGAAACTGACATCCGGTAGTCGAGACCAAGGAAGTTTTAGATACCTTCTGATAACCTAAAAAACAGTCAAATAATCTTTCAATTTTCTGGACATCATTATTTTATCAGTTTGAATACTAATACGTACAAAATTATCTGTTGCAAATGGCCCAATCTAGTGTAAATTGTTTGATTTTGGCCCAATCCCAACATACTACACTAGACAGTCAGATCATCTGGTCTGGGCCAGAATAAGTATAATCCATACCATAGTTATCACATTGTGAACAAGATATCAAATCCTCCGGTTCTTCTTTCTTATTTGAGGTTTCATCTTTTAGGCAAATGCCACAGATTGGTTTATCTATATCCTAAACAAGTTGAAAAAATATTAAATACTTGATGATGATGTAAAAATCTTGAATCTTGATTGACATGAACAAGAGACCAGATATACGAAAGCTGATTAGTTCACAAGTTGAATGAATAAATATTAGATACTCGTAGAAGATAAAAATTTGTAAGAATGCTAATAAACAATTCAATATAGGCATAGTATGAAGAAATGATGACAATATATTGAATCAGGATTGGTATGAACATAAGACCCAATATTCAAAAGCTGATTACTTTACTGGTTGCTTTGAGTAACAGCCTGGTAACCGTCATTGTGAAAACATAAAACCTACATCAATATAACTCATAGATACATCTTTATCTGGTTCTTCCTTTATTGCTTGATTTTTTATTGATGCATTTCTGTCTTCATCTGTATTTTGAATTTCTGTTACTGTTGTTATTGTTGTAGAAGACCGATCTCCCGTTTCTGTGTTTCCCTTTTTCGGTGCTTCATCAGAATTGTCTGATGATGCAGAAACAGTGGAATCTAAAAACAGAAAAATTATATCTGAATACATAAAACTGATTTCAAAAGCAAGTAAATAAATCTAAACAAGCTGAAAGATGAATAATAATGATACTATGCAGGAAATTCAGTTGTATTTCAATAATCTTGCCAGAAGATCACGCTCCCTCTAACACCCAAACGCAGTGTTCGAAGTTATAAAATGCCATGGGTAGATTGTTTCCAATCTTGGGTTCAAAAGACTCACACTATCTCACACAGAGTGCTCTTAGTTAAGTGAATAATTCCATTCTTATTCTTCTAATTAAAATTTTAATTTATTGGAATTGTGATCATATTCTTTGGTAAAGTTAATTTATTTAAACGCAAGATTATATTGAATAAGTGTAGAATTTCCACCTCTTGGACCACTATCCTTATCTACTCGAGATTCTTTCGTGTGACCATCTTCATCAATTGACCTCAAACTCTTGGAATCTGCAGTTTCAGTGTCCATAGATTCCTGTTCCTGGAGTAAAAATATTTCAATCACGGTAATATAAGAAATCTTCAAGTACCTATTATAGCATATGGAGTGTATCAAAAATATCATGTCCAATGTACTAGCCATCTGCCAAAGTATTATATCTAACCTAACCTAGAACATAGAATGAATTCCACTTGATATGATGACTTTAACCATTTGTCCCACAATATATATATACCGTAACACAGAACAGTGGGACAAGCAAAATAGAGATAATTGCGAGACGCAGTATTTTTCAGACATGTTTGAGATAACATTATACCTATATGTGGAATGACAATTTTTCAAAAAAATATATAATCAATAATAAATATTAAGATAAAATTGAGGGGACTGAATCAAGCTGAATAAAAATACGAAAATATCGGGCGAAGACTTATCAATCGAAAGTTAGGGGATTCCCCAAAAACAGAAACTGCGGTTTCGATTCATCCGCTCTTACTCCATAGCGACACCATGTGACCCATCACTAATTAATTAATAACTTGCTAATTATACGACATAATTCATTTAAAATCAATAGGATTCTGGTCCGAGATATGATGAATGAACAGGCAAAATTTGGAGCAGATTCAACCTCGCTTTCGTCAGATATAGCGTGTATCTAACAGACAAACACACAAACAAACAGACAAATACCTATCAACATACTTACTGATCAAGATCGATAAGTAACAATATAGGTTGGGTAACTCACTGAAGCATCTGAATCCATAGAATCAAGTAAGTCAAGAGGTGGTGGAGGAGGAGGTCCATATACGACAGTATTCAGTGGAAAATAGTTTAGTTCATCAGATGTATACCTAAATAAAAAATATTATAAGAGCAAGTATTCAAACAGAGATGTGTTTCCAAACAAACCATAGTCAGGTAGTATTAGGGAGGCCTGAGCTATTGACTGACTCTGCAAAGTTGACTCAAGTCATCCAAATGAAATGACTCAAAATGAGGCTCAACTGAATGGTTGACTCGATTTTGGACTCGGTTCGGATGACTCGTCTGGGCTGAGATTTCAGGGACTCCATTAAACACTGTATTTCTTCAAGAGCAATTCTGAGTTGAAAATCAATGTTTTTAAGTACGGTAATGAAGTTCAATGTGGAAACCTCTATTATCCAACCAAAAAATGGTGTCGAGAACGGCAATTCACAGATCATCTGCTTGATAAATTATTTCCCATTCATCCCAGTAGCTGTTTATAGTAGCATGCATAATTCATACTTTTTGCTTCAGATAACAAAGTTTAGTTCGAGCATATTTTTATGATAGCTGAGCTTGTAGAAAAATTTTGTCAACATGAAATACAATATTTTTAAAAAAATTCAGTACATACTTTTGACAATACTCTTGGAATTGTCCTGGAATCAAAGCACAAGGATATAAACTAGGTCTTGTGAAATCAGGATGAACTTTCTTCATTTTTCGCTGAGGAATTTGTAGCACCTGGAAAATGAAATATAAAACATCTGTTTGGTGACAACTAATTAAGATATAACCAATGAAGATAAGCGATAGGTTAGGATAGGATTCACACATTTATCCGAGGGAGAGGATAGATGATAATCGACTAAATTAATTATCACATGCTGAACCACAGTCTCCAACCCAGGAAATATAAAATAATATGTCACAAATAATGTGTCACACAAAGATAAAAGTGTTAAATTTAACATTGAAAATAACGTACATCTTGAGATATCGAATAGTTGCATTATGATCGTTTATATGCACAAATCAAGTTCACTTCTCGTAAAGATCAAATATGCATGTATTATAAAATATGCATGTCAATTTCAAGCTAGTCTTGAAATGAAATATTTAAAACTTTATTTCAAACAAAAAAATTGAAATTGTCCATTACAGGCAGAATGGTCATCATCATGAACATGATAGGTAATACCCATGCTTACATTAGTCTGCATGTCATAATACAATCCAAATTCATCTCTTCGTTGCCTGTTGAGTCTGGCATTAAAATCTGATACCTGGTTCATTGCCTTCTTTAAATAACTTGGCATCTGTGATTTTTCAACAGTGGGCTAGAACAAAAAAAGTATCAATATTATATTTCAAAATAATCGAGAATTATCACAAGCGGAAAGTTCTAAAACAAAAGTGATAAGTTAATTTCAATAGAATCACGTAGCTATTAGATTAAAGCTTATTAGTGATAATAACAAGAATACAAGACAGTTACTTATACAGACTGTGGGAAGACCAGAGACCAAATAAATAGAAAATAACTTCTTATACAAATATTTAAGCTGGTATCATACTGCAGAGTACTGGAGATGTTTCTTCTTAATACTTTCCTTTCTTTTTTCATCCAAAACATTGACATATTCTTGATATTTATCAGGATATTCTCTCATCATCAAATCACAAACATCACGGCTTCGAACTGCTGTCAAACCTGAAATGATTACATTAAAAATGTATGTAACAAACAGCAATACTGGAATATCAAATTAGGTAGACGTGGAAACACATAGTTCTCAAAGTTAATCCAAATATGTGTGTATCTACCTAATGTTACTTGAACTTCGCTGACTAACATATTCAACATCAAGTGATTTAGTTCTCTCGCATCTAATTTCCGCCGTTCAATTTCTGTCAAAAAATATGATGTTAGAACAAAAATGAAAGTTAATTCGAAAGCAATATTACAGAAATTCAAAAATATGATATTATATTCCAACTTTTCATTTTAGCATTACATTTATATAAGCAAAAATATATTTCCTTCGATATGATGGCATTGATTTAACCCTATACAACAGGGTCAGCATATGTGAGTTCAAGGTCTCTTTCTTGGAATCCAAATCAAAGCCAGAGTTACATTTTCAAATTCACAAAAGTCACGAATTTAAGTGGAACCTCATATAGTAAGGAGTTATCATTTCAGATGTCTGAGAGTCCATAGGTAAAACTTTCACTTCAAACTTAAGGTTACAAAAGTAAGTTTTCATATTCCAAATTTTGCTACTATAACGTCAAGAGAACGAGCTTGTTTTGTAACAAAGATTTGTAGTCAAGATATTTGTAACCAGGAATCAGCTTTTTGAATGGCCTTTAATTCAAGAAATTCTTCTCTGTACATAGTGATTGAAATCTCATATCATATATATATATATATGAACAACGTAATCTGTAACCTGGATATTTCCTTTTGAAAGATGTTATGCTGAGAAAAGAACTGATTTGTTCTTGTATCATATAATAATCTCCTGTACCATCATTTGGCCATTGATATTCTATCACATCTGCTGCAGTCAGTAGTGAGAATCTAAAACAAAAAGTCAATATCAATAAATTGGTCTAAATGTAAAAATTATGGTTGTAATGAATCATAGGTGTAAAAAATTCTGAATAAATGTACATAATAGCTTATATAACAATATAAATAATCATTAATACAATCTACCAGAATATAAATTCATATAGATGAGAGCAAAGGATATCTAGATTGGTAAATCTGTTGCAAATGCAAAAGAATGTACTTGTGATGCTATTCATATGTGTGAATCACACTTGAATTTGAAACAAGCAATAAAAAAGGGAATGTTAATAATTACGTGTTTTTCTGTTTTAAAATAGGATCGATAGATCGTGTTGTTGTTATACTTGATGCCATCGAATCTTCATTTGTTGAAATGTCGGGAACGTGGCCATTAATTGGGGTACTTGCATGTGTACAGGTATCTGGTGTGTTTGGCCATGAGTCTGGAATACCTTTACTGTCTGTATTTTCATTCTGCATTATTTCCATTGTTTCGATATCTTCCCTTGACAATCTTCTGTCACTACTGTCTTCATTCAATTTAGCATCAATACATTGATATGAATCAGTTCGCTCCGAAGGTTTAATTGGAGCAAAGACAGTTACTAGATCCTTCACATCTTCAGTGGTTTGTGTGTCTGAAATTGGCACTTCAATCACAGGTACAATTTGTGCAACAGATTGTCCACCTTGTCCACCAGTATCTTTATTGTTAGATGAGCCATCAACAACTGGTACATGTTCAGGTTCAGAGCCAGGAAGTGGGTCACTTACTTCCATAATGTTCAGATTTTATGTCCTATTCCGGTTATAATATGATTCAAATGATAACAGAATTAAGAAGTAAAAGAAGATGGTAGTTTGGCCAAATACTGAAAGATGAATCTCGGGCCAACTAAAACAAAATATCACTACTGGTATCGGTGTGGCGGAATCTTCATCAGACGAACATCGGTATCAATATTGGCTCGCGCATTCGATTTTCTAACTAGTCGAACTTTGCACAAATTTAAATCTGTCATTCGGTCGTAGGGAAAGTCTGTACACCTTATAATATATAAAATCCTTCCGCGAAAACTAGCAAAATCAAGCCCATTGAGGTGTATATTATTTAACATATAATGCGCTGCTCCTAATGCTGTAATGCGATCTCGCATTGTGCCCAATGCACTGCTCTAATGCGGCTTCACTTCACTGTGTTCTGTGGCCAATGCGCTGCTCCTAATGCGGCCTCACTGTGCGTAATGCGGTGCCCCTAATGCGCTGCGTGCAATGAGACTTTTAGGCTATCAACCCTTCTCGAGATTGCTTTGCGAATTAGCTTTTCCTAATCCCTGTGCATGTTGATAGGCTACGTATCAGTTCGATTCAAATTATTTAACCAGAGACAATGCATACCGGTACCAGGTACCGGTAGCTGTTACTGCTGTACTGTGTTAGGAGATACCGAAATACCGATGTTGGAATGCAACATTTATTTTACTAACTTCCAGTTAATATTGGTGGATGAGGATAATTGTGACCTGGGTATCACAGATCTTTCAGGGCTTCAAAGCACAACTGAAAAACTGACAAATTGCTAGCAGAACTACGGAAACGAGTTAATATTTACAAATTACAACCATGCCTGCAGATCTGCCCAGTAAAAATTTCCGAGTGGCTGGTAAAGTTGATTAGCCAATGTTACAGAAGTAACCAAAGAACTCAATGCTCGAGCACGACATCTATCGCGATGGTTCTTAACCTTTGCACACCTGTCTATACTAGCTTAAAATTCAAAAAAATAACGGAAATTGTAAAGAAGTCCACAATCTCACGTTTTCACGAGTTAAAGATAAGATAAGATTTTATTTCGATTCATTCGCAAAAACAAAATAAACATATATACACAAAAGCTTAAGACGAAGAATCTGGAAAGTACGGTATAGGTTTAATAATAAAATAGGTTTAAAACGTATTAAACGCGTTCACTTACCAAAGAAGAAAGAAAACGAGTCACAAACACAAACAAATAAACATGAATATTGACGGCTTTCCTCTCCCCCGGGATAAATATGTATAATCCTGTATAATCCTAATCCTGACGGCAGTCATTACTCAGGCGTTTCACTTAGTAATCAGGTTGCGTGCAATCTTTTCAATATCCGCTGTGCGTGTGATGCGGCATGTAAACAAACAATCCGAAAAATCCTAGAATGAAGTGCGAATGCATGTTTCCGTTCCATGCTCAAACATATATCTAGTAAAATCTACTAAAACGTTAACACACCAATGTAAAAATCGATTGTGAATTTTCAAATATCAGTTCGTGCAGTTTAACCGTAGTAATATATATTTACGGTTTAACATTTGTATATCCGGTCTTCTCCATATTTGAGCAGAGCATAATTTCGTCCATCACGAAATCTTCCATTTTGCACATTTCCAGTCCATCATTAAAAAATCTGCCATTTTTGTTATTTGTTTATTGATGTCACTAAGTCTGGGATTCACTTCTCGAATGCATATCTTCGGCTCGAGGTAGCCACGTCCGCACGCGACGGCGTTCGGTACTGAAAGAAAAAGATTCCACGTAGTATCAATAATATCGTTTAGTCATCACTACTATTTTATCACACACATATATATATAGACCAATTCTAAACTATACCAAAGTTGTGTATCACTCCCTAATGATTTAAGATGGCACAACAAATGGTAACAACAAATGGGGTTCTACGTAAATTAAGGTATGAACACCTAATCGGTGGTGCCTGCCGGTAACAATTTAAAAATTTTAAATATTACTAAAAAAAAACTGAAGTGCATTCATTGCATATTTACATAGGCTGATTAGTATGACTAATATTTTTATTTCTTGCTTTTTTATTGGTGATAATTCCCATTTTCGAAGTGCCTAGCATATGTGGTGACTGAGCGCTTGTGACTCCTTCTAATACTACGTTATAAATATCATTATTAGGTTTACTTGTTTCATTTTGCATGTTCAACATTTGATTTGACTATTTTTAACTAATTTATTATTTTTTTAAAAGTTATTACGCTCATTTCATCTTTTTTCGGAAGTGCCTAAAAAGGGGCCTACCGGTAACAATTTATTATTCTCAAATACCACTACTAGACTCAAGTGAATTTATTGGGTATTTACCCAGGTTTACTTGTTTCACTTTGCGTGTGCAACATTTCATTTGACTATTTTTTACTAATTTATCATTTTTTTAAAAGTTATTACGCCCATTTTACTTTTTTTTCGAAAGTGCCTACCGGTGACAATTTCTTATTCTCAAACAATCAGGCCGTTAGCGAGACGAGGTCGTTTATCTTTCAGTTTCGTAGCGCACATAGGGGAACTACCTGAAAATGATCTTTAGTAACAAATAATACTTTGTTCCCATTTCCATAAGTTGCACGTTTTACGAAAAAGAAGCTTTTACTACAAAAAATATGTACTGTATTACTATCTGTCCTATATTCTCTGCCCTTCCGGTAACAGTGGCCAATGAACGCAAACTTCTGCATGACGTAACAATTAAAATTTGATCAGCTGTAGGTGGGGTTTCCGTGGTCAGATGAATCTCAGATATACTGCTCGCTTTGCTTTGAGTTGAATAGCTTTTCCATTGTCTTTTCCAGTTATTATGAGTTAGGTTATTCTAAGAAGGTGTTAAAAAGTATAAGTAAGCTATTAAACACTTGTATGTCCTTACCATGGATAGCAATTTTTGTTGAGCCCTAGCTCATAAAACGTTGTTAAATAGGTACGGTACGGTAAGTCCAAGGAAGGCTAGACCTAGAAAGATATGTCACAAACAGCGATATTTTCATGCTTGTATGGAAAGTTTATATTTAATTTAATGACGATTCTTGACTATCCAGCAACTTATACTATTATATAGGCTACAGCATATTTGATTCAGAAAATAAGGGCCGTTTGTGGGCCAATTTTACTAAAGTCAGTTGGTCTGAACCAGGGGTGGGCAAGGTTTTTGAACCAGGGGCCAAAAATTTTACCCACCTAGACTGACGGGTCATGTAAGTGTAACGTAAAAAGTTACATTTTATTACCAATATTTACAGTGTTATAAAGCAAAGGTGGAAAACAATAGGCCTCGTGCCAAAACTAAATTCAATCGCAATCTCAACAAATTCATTGAGCCATATTATCTGAGACATCAAAATTTGAATTCAGTTTGGTTGTGACAGACTCAGGCAGGCCAAATTGAATTACCGAGCGGGCCAGATTTGGCCGCGGGCCGTACTTTGACCAAGTCTGGTCTAAATTCATAGAGTCTACAAGAACCTGGACAGCAATGATAAGTTATGCAGGGCAATTCCGACTGTGTGATCTATCGAGATTCAGTGTAGATATAGTCTAGTACTCTAGTATGCAAACGCTGCAGGACTAGTATGGTGGCCTATCGTTGTCAAGCGTGAAATTAAAAAAAAAAATTAAAAAAAAATAAAAACCTAAAATAAAAAAATAGTTGTGAAAAAACATAAAAAAAATAAAATAAACTGAAATGCAAAAAAAAATTATAAATAAAAAATTTATAACAAGAGAGCTACGCCCAAATATATGGACACGTCTATCGCAGTACAGTACGGTTTACCGTACCGTCAGATCACAGTCTACAAATATATTCACACCAAGCGAAGCAGCACAGTAGGACACAAAATGGCGTCCGATGTCCGCTGAACGTTTAATGATGTCATAGCAAACAAAAACAAATCTCACAGAGCTATCAGAAATATTTAAAATGAATAAAAGTAATAGCCTTCTGGGGAAAAATTTTATCTTCAACCACTGAAAATTTCAAAGCAATTGATCCAGTATTCGAACAGAAAAGCGATTTTTTAAAAAATGATGGAGACAAATAACAATAATTTATCGCAGAACAGTTCTTCCCTTGCAAATTTTATGTTGTTTTCAGTAGAACTGTAATAAAAAACAAAAAGATGAGAGCGAAATTCACTGCGGTACCTAATGTAGGCACGCTACTGAGTTAGCAGTCAGCCAGCATCTTACCTGTACACTGTAGGCCATATAATTGATCACAGAACAGTTCTTCCCTTGCAAATTTTACGTTGTTTTCAGTAGAACTGTAACAAAAAGCAAAGAGATGAGAGCTGAATTCACGGCGGTACCGGTACCTAACGTAGGTGCGGTACTGAGTTAGCAGTCAGCCAGCATCTTACCTGTACACTGTAGGCCATATACGGTAATTGATCACAGAACAGTTGTTCCCTTGCAAATTTTATGTTGTTTACACTTTAGGACAGATACCGTAATTGATCACCGAACAATTCTTCCCTTTCAAATTTTATGTTGTTTCCAGTGGACTCTCATCAAAATAAACAAATATAGTAGGCTACAAGTGCTACAACGCTTGCATTACTGCACTGGTAGGACCGTGAAAGAATAAGTTACGGTAATTTCATTGTGGTAAGACACCGGTACCGGCACCAGTATCGTACTTACGTACTGAGCTACCAGTACCGGTACCGAACCTGTAGATCTGATATTCCGTTCCGCATACGATAGGCTATAAAACTTGCATTGCAGCATTAGTAATACCGCGGAAGGAATAAGTCAATTTCACTGCGTTACGGTACCGGTATGGCAACTTACCAGTACCGACCTACAGTAGCTGTAGTACTGAGCAAGACAATCGATCGCGAAACCGCTTGAAATAAGTGTAAAACAGTGTTCCCATGAGTAAAAATAAATACCGCGAAATTTTGTATGAAATATCATATCTCATAGGATTCATATAAAGTTTAAGAATAAATAAAAGTAATAGCCTTCTGGGGAAAAATATAATCT